TGATTATTCTAGATCAACCTAGCGCTTGAAGGATCACCTCGGTCATCATTAGAGCACTTTCGTCCTCGAGCCGCCGTCCAACAAGTTGCAGACTGACAGGCATTCCATGAATAGAGTCCGCATTGTCTAGTTAATCAGTTAGCCAGGCCAAATGGAGATGGAGGGAAAGCTACTTACAACCATTCCGGATCTTCGTATCGACCTTACCCAGCGATTCGTCGCTAGGATATGCTGCATCGATGATCTTATCGGCGGACACTCCGCAGGGGAAAGAAACTGCAGGATAGTCCAGAACATTGAAAACGCCAGTATATCCGATATAGCCAAACTTTCCATTTTCAACGCCGCTGTATGGAGTCGTGGGGCCTAGTTGCATTCGAATTAGAAACCATAAGTCAAATTCCCAAGGATAAACTCACAAAGTATAGCATCAATACCGCTCGCATTCCATTGGTCTAGGTAGGCCTTGCAAATCCCGTTCCGCTCAAGTTGCAGCTGCCACATATCGTATACACCCATCTCTGTTGCTTGGGAGTACGCCTCCATCTCCGGACGGAAGGGCTCCTCTGTCGCATCAAGCAATTTACGGACTGACTTTCCACCATCCGCGACAAACATGCGACCGAGAATAGAGACAAGCTTCGAGTGCCATTTGGGATCCCAGTCGACAACTTCGTGGCCGGCTTGTCGCAGCTTTGCGACCGTCTCCTTCAGCGCTCGGGCAACTGGAGGGGTTGGTGTGACTTGCTCGTCCTGCCAGAGGACGGCGAGTTTGAGTGTTCGCTTGGGAGTCACAGTGCGCCAGGGAATTGGCAAGCACTTGGGATCGTTAACCCAGGGTTTTTGACCAACGATAGTTTTGGCCCAGAGTATAATTTCATCCAGGGATCGAGCCATGGGCCCGTTGACGCTGTTCACGGCTTCTTGACCCGCGAGGCCAGAGCGGGTTTGGAAATTGGGGAATCGGCCGGAGGATGGTCGGATGGTGAATATTCCTGTGCATGCGGCTGGGATTCGGAGCGATCCTCCTGTAGGCGATGAAAAATTAGAACACGGACCGGACGAGCTGATGTTGAAATGACTTACCGATGTCAGTTCCCACTCCAAGCCGACTTCCACCGAAGGCGATTAAAGCTGACTCTCCACCGGAAGATCCGCCGGAGGTGAGTTTGCGATTGCGAGGATTCACAGTACGACCGAAGACATTGTTGACTGACTCAGCGATCATCATGGCCGTGGGGACATTTGTTTTGACATAGAGGACAGCGCCAGCCTCAAGAAGGAGGTCGGTCAGAGTGCTGTTGTAAGTCGCCGGGTCGTTGACGAGAGAGGCAAATCCCACAGTTGAATCACAGCCGATGAGATTGAAATTGTCTTTGATTGAAATCGGGAGGCCGTGAAATGGGCCTTTGGTTCTGCCGGTTGTTCTTTGGTATTTGTCCAGTTCCTGCGCACGAGCGATAGCTTTGTCGAAGAGGATTTCGGATAGACAGTTGGTCTGTTTGATCTAGTCAGCATTTGTCGCGTATTATCGGGCAGGCGGAGAGTTGATTGAAGGGATATACCAATTGATGAGCTGCGGCTGCGGCTTTGCAAAAGACACGAGTGACTTCTTCCGATGACCAGGATCCGGTCGCTATATTGAGGAGGATCTGAGGTGCGGGGGTTGATGTTATCTCCAACTCGCGTTCAGTGAACCAGCCTGATTCTTTGGGAAATCCTGTTACATCTGCCTGTGTGTCAGGGGGTAAGATATCTGCGGTAATTACCCATTCCGTCGGAATAGATGCTTTAAGGGCGTCGCGTTTTTGAGCTGCAATAGTTTCCCAGGACATGGTTGAACCTAGTTCTCAACAATAGTAACAAGAGAGGCGAGATGGGAGTTGGCTACCCTGGGAGGGCAAAATGGAAGAACTCTTCATTTGTATCTCATCATGCGGGGTCTTTTCTTTTCGGAAAATGTGCCGTGATATCCATCTTAGTGTTTAAGTTGATAATCGTAGCGTTGTTGTCGGACTTTTCGGGATTGCAATGAAACGATTTTCAGGATATGAAATACGCGGTTAGGGGCAGAATGGCGAGTGGGTACACACTGGCTTCGCGGTACATTTCGTACTACCTTTGTTCCAATCGAATCCTTTAGCTTCTTTGGACAGCCCAAGTCCCGTAACAGACATCCAGGTGATTCAACTCCCCATCTAGCAATTGGCCGTTGCTATTCCCGTCATCCGGAGACAGATAAGATGTATAGATTAGTTTCCTAGTCCGGCAGGTTATGTATTTCTGCCAAGCTTGCCAGTGAGCGCTAATCTGAAAAGTGGAGTCATCCCCGCACTTTTTGCAGTGAGCCTCGGGCAAAGGTAGACGATCTGATCGAGATAGCAGTTTATTTTTTCTTTGATAGCAGAGGAATCTGCTGATACTCCGCAAAATCCGGTATATCAGACCGAGATTTGAAAAGATAACGGTTGGCCACTGGATTGCGGCGACCTTTTGAGTGCGGACTTGGAGAGATAACCACGGATAGATAAATAGCGCTTCCCCCGATCCACTCGACGTCAAATTTTGCCATCGTATTTTCCCCACAGCAGGGGAGTACGAATATCAACCACAATGGGCGTACTTGGCCGATTCAAGTCCTATCTGAAGGGCCATGAAAGTGTGCCTGGTGAGGCTAAACTACTTCGCAAAATTGACACGTTTATTTTGTCGTTCTGCTGCCTTTGCTACTTCGCGAATTACCTGGATCGCAGCAACCTTAACAATGCTTATGTTTCGGGAATGTGAGTCAAGAGCTTGAACGAGAAAGACCTACTATATCGTGAGAAATATACTGACGATATGTTTCGCAGGAAGGAAGAGCTCAACTTCAAAGGAAATGAACTTAATCAAATCAACACTGTTTTCACTGTTGGGTATATTGTTGGGCAGTTGCCCTCGAACCTCGCAGTGACCTATTGGCGACCGCATCTTTTCTTCCCAGCTATGATGGTGATATGGGGTGCCTTGACCATGGTAACTGCTGCAGTGCACAATCCACAGGGAATCATGGCCATTCGCTTCTTCCTAGGGTTGGCTGAGTCGAGTACTTTTGTCGGAACACATTACATTTTAGGTTCCTGGTACACAGAAAAAGAGCTGGGAAAGCGAAGTGGTATTTTCACCGCGTCGGGCCTAGCTGGAACGATGTTCGGAGGGTTTATTCAAACAGGCATTCAGTCATCCCTTAATGGCAGACACGGCCTGTCAGGGTGGCGATGGCTATTTATCGTACGTATTCTGCTTCTGGATCAAAAAGATTCATTCCAAACTGACAAACTAGATTGACGGTTTGATTACTATACCGATCGCAATCTACGGCTTTATGCTCTTCCCAGATACTCCGACAACAACGAAAGCCCCTTATCTGACCTCAGAGGAGCGTGCCATGGCCATCGCGCGTATTCCAGAATCTGCCGCCGAGAAGGTTCCTTTGAACTTTGCTTTCGCAAAACGTTTATTTACATCTTGGTATTGGTACGCATTCGTCATGTTGTGGGTTATCGCTGGAGAGACAGAATCATTCTCTACCAACGCACTGCTCGCGCTTTACATGAAGGCCCACCCGACCAATCACTATACTGTCGCCCAATTGAACAACTACCCAACCGGAATCCCAGCAGTTGGTATTATATCCACACTCTTTTGGGCGACCCTGACCGACTTTATGGGCGGCAAGCGGTATCTGGTTGGATATTTTATCGCAATGACAGGGATAGTCACATCTGTTTTGATCTTGACCCGGTTTGACGATACCGCAGTTGTCTTTGCCGCATATTATTGGGCCGGATCTGTCTACGCTTGCCAGGCTACGTTCTTTGCGTGGTGTAATGATGCCATGCGGTATCAGAATGATCGCTTCCGGTCCGTGGTCATCGCGAGTATGAACATGGGTAGCAATGCAGTGAATGCCTGGTGGATCTTACTATTTTACTCGGCCGACTTTGCACCACGATTCACCAAGGGTATGTGGGCTATGATTGGGTGCTGTATTGCTTTGGCTATCTGGACGACGGGAATCGTTCTTCTCACAGTGCGCGAGGAAAAGCACAACGAAGTTCAGGACACACATATCAGAGATTTAGATGCCAAGCAAATGGATAGTGTGAGGGAGGTATGATCTCATTTTATAGCCCCGAATAATACTTAGCATGAACAAACAGTTTTTGGATTACTAGCCAGTATTATTTTGTAGAGAAGGGAAGTCAACATTCATTGGCTATCTATTGTGATTTGGCTAGCGTGGCGGTCGATGGAAAATCCGAAGGGAAGCCACGAAGCTCTTGCATTAGCATGTTCTTATCAGCGCCTGTCAAGCGTACACGTTTGAGTGCCCCACGACCCCGCCGGTTCTCAAGACACTACTCTGTAGCCAGGTTGTTTGTGTGTGATTGTCCACTTGGGCACTTGCAATGTAAAAATAATTTGTTCCATCACGGAAGGCTGTAAATATAGTGACGCGAAGGTCGGAAACGCGATTCGAGATAGTGAAACATACCTGGGAGTTATAGTTGACGAGAACCATTCATGAAAGGAAACGCCACTAGGTTGTTCATCTACGCATGATACTACAGAACAGCATTAAACCCAATGAAGATCCGCTGATTAACAGTACAGCAAGAAGGAAGCTTAATATCATTGCGAAGGATCGAATAGTTTCCGAAAGATGCAATTCGGACTTCCGAACTGCCTCTCTCAATTAGCCCCTCCTCGCTTGATAATCAACGTCCCGCTTAGCGGGGCAAAACTATCCACTTAAGCCGCTTCCGAATCCTTGAACCATTTGGAAGAGCAACTAAGTATCGCGCGATGCGAAGCTAATTTAGCCTTTTCGGCTCCCAGCGAGGCTGACTCAAATCCTAAAAATATTATGCATCTTCTTTCTCTGACTCCCCTCTCTGAAAGGCCTGTGTACGTCTTATAATATCATCTAATCGGGTCAATTGCATTGTTTATTCAACATGGCTGAAGAAGTTTATGATTTCATTATTGTCGGTGGTAAGTTATTTCCCCAACTCAAGCCGAATTCAAATTGTAGTTCTCCTTCCAACACTAATACTAAATTTCACACAATATCCAGCCGGTCCAGCAGGATGCACCCTCGCCTCATCCCTAGCACGAACAATTGCCAAACCGCGAATCCTCCTCCTTGAAGCGGGCAGCAAAAATGACGACAAATCGCACCGCGTCGTCGGAAAGCGATGGATGACTTTCCAAGAAGAATCTATGAATTGGGGATACAAAACTACGCCCCAGGATGGGTGTGATGGGCGTGTTCTGGATTATTCCCGTGGTAAGGGGTTGGGTGGTGGGTCTGCGATTAACTTCGGGATTTATACCGTTGGTGCGAGAGATGATTATGAGTCTTGGGCGGAGATTGTGGGGGATGAGGGGTTTGGGTGGGATCAGATGCAGAGGCGTTTTAAGAGTCTTGAGACGTTTGGGTTGGGGGGTTGTGGGAGTGAAGAGGGGAGCAAGTATGGGAATCCTACTGCTGGGGATCATGGCCATGAGGGTGCGTTGAAGGTGGGGTTTGCGAAAGAGTGGGAGATGGATTTGAGACCTTTGATGGATTGTTTTGAGGAGGCGGGGCTGGAGAGAAATTTGGATCATAATTCTGGGGATCCGCTTGGTATGGGATTGTGTGTTCATTCTGCTGGGGATGGAGTGAGGAGTACGGCGAAGGATCTGCTGATTGATGGACCGGGGAATTTGGTTGTTATTACGGATACTCCCGTGCAGAGGATTCTGTTTGACGGAAAGAGGGCTGTAGGTGTTGAGACGAGAGGAAATAAATGTGGGTACATCTTGTTGATGAGCATTCTGGGTTTCTTCGCCAGTTCAAATTGGATACCATACTAATACGCCTGAGCTATCCAGTCCTTGCCTCAAAAGAAGTCATCCTATGCGCCGGATCTCTTGACTCTCCCAAAATTCTCATGCATTCAGGCATTGGCCCAGCATCGGAACTAAACAAATTCAACATCCCAATCGTCCACGACATACCTGCCATCGGTCAAGGACTAAAAGACCACTTCTTCGCACCGCTCTTGCTCTCACGAAGCCCAGAGACAAACGACCGCAACGCCTTCTTCAAGAGTGAAGCTGCCATGACCGACGCCATGACTCAATGGGAAGAAGATGGGACTGGCCCTTGGTCAAAATACGGATGCCAGCTTACGATAGGCTGGTTCAAATCCGACACCATAACCTCGACCGAAGAATTCAAAGCACTGCCCAAATCCACACGAGAATTCATGAACCGTGAAACTATCCCTCACTACGAGGTCGTCGCGGGATTCCCCATCCATCTCCTGTTTCCGGGGATGTTGTCGGATTATAGCTACACCTGTCTAGCCGTTTTCCTAATGAACGAACAATCAGTCGGCGAGGTCCGACTTCAATCGTCGAACCCGGATGACCCACTCCTCTTTGACCCAAAGATTCTATCGCACCCCTTCGACCAGCGAGCCGTGATTGATATGTATCGCCATCTACTGGAGATTTCAAAGCATCCTTCTTTCGCCAAGGATAGTCTGGCTACTATTTTGGGACCCAAGTCCGAGTCCGATGACGATATTTTGCAATTTTGGAAGGACAATATTTCTTCTTCGTGGCACATGATGGGAACGGTTAAGATGGGAAGGATTGGGGATCGTGACGTTGCGGTTGACAGTGGGTTCCGTGTTTTCGGGGTTGAAGGTTTACGCGTGGCTGATATGAGTGTCGTGCCTGTTCTTACCAACAATCATACACAGGCCACGGCGTATGTTACTGGTGCGACTTGTGCGGACGTTTTGATTAGGGAATATGAATTGGATCAGTGAGGTTCCTCAATAAAGGTCTTTATTGCTTTGGCCCTTTGAGACATTGGATCTGGCCACTCTTACGCAAAGCGAGGCCATAACCCAAGATATGGAGCGAGAGTTTGAGATATGTCAATGCATTTTCTTAGACTCATTTAATATACCATGCACTGTTATTCAGTCCACAAATTTAGAGCCCCCAAACGCATTAATAAAAGAAAAGGAAGGGGGAAAGAAAACACCACCATGTCAAGCCAAAGACATGACGTCACTTATCGCGCCGCGCACCAGTACTGAAGAGCGAAGGACGAGTTGAGAAGCCAAAAAAAGACAATATGAAAGTAAAACGAAAAAGGGATATCGAGTGACCAGCAGAACTGCACAGAGACGGAGAAAAGTGAAAATTCAGGTTAGGTCACTGGGAGGCAATTCATTGTCCGAGCGGGATGCCATGACCTTCCTGCTTTGGCACGGTAACGTCGTCCTGGTTCTCATCTCCACGCATGCGTTTGTTGGGCTGGGGTTGGGGCTGGAAATTGTTGCTCATGAAGTTGGTTTCCTCGTGTGGCTTGCGCATGAGACCAGCCGAGGCGATGCGGTTCAGCGAGTTCATGTCGTCGTTAGGATTGCCGGGGTGTTGTCCTTGGTGGGGACCAGTGGGAGCTACCATTGATCCCGAGGGCCCGCCGAGGCTGCCGGCGAGGTTGAGTTCGGGGCGCGGCTGGTTGAGATCGATGTTCGGGGGGAAGCTCGGGCACATCGGCCTGCAGGTCCATCAGGCGAGACTGCAGGGTAATGACATAGTCCCGTAAAGCGTAGTTCTCGTTAGACAGGTGTTTAAGCTGCTCGTTCTTGGCATCGATGTTCTTGACCTCATCCTCAAGTTTGCGGATGTAGGTCTCCTTCCGTTGGCGAAAAGCGCGCTATGAAGCGTGAGTGGGGACCCTTATAGATGCCAAGGCGTTTCACTTGATAGGGGATGAGTTACCTGGGCGGCGCGATTCTGGGCGGCACGCTTGGATGTTGACAGCTCGCGCTTGCCAAACCCCTTGGGCGTGTCATCTGGAGATCCTTGGTGCGGCTGAGTGGGAGTCTGCGGGGCGGCCATCATGGCGGCCCCCGAGATGGCCGGGTCAATGTTGGCTTGATCCCGCGACCCGGCCGGATTTGGCTGCAAGTGATGCTGTTGCTGTCCAGGTTGGGGCTGGGGACGCTGGCCCAGGTTGTGCTGGACAGCAAGGAGCTGGTCGTGAAGGACTAGCGGGATATCAAGTTAGTTCTCCGTTTGATAGGTTCGCGTCATTGCCAACATGGGGTTGCCACGAGATGCCCCAGCCCGCCCGGAACCGGAAATCTCCGGGGATTAAGGGGTCAGGCAAATCAATAGTCCCATCTCGTAGAAGGGTAGGAAAATGGCCCTGAGATAGCGATGTAGATCACATACCCTGATCATCATGGTCCTATATCGCGATTGTTAGCGGGAAAGATCAGGGAGAGGGGCAATGACTAGGGCGGAAGAGGCGGGACGCAGCCCGGAGCCCGACCACGCGTCAGAGCGACGGCGAGATGAGCATCCAGGAACATCGCGACAGTCTTGCGTCTTCCATCGAGCATAAATGTACTTGGCGCGGGAGACGATCTGATGACAAACGCGTCGAAGAGTGGTTGCTTACCTGAGCAGACTGCATACTGGGATGCGGCGCTGGAGCCAGCGCAGGTTGCATGGATAGCTTGGAGAAAAAAGGGGAATATAAGGAGAATAGGAAATCAGGCGACAGGACGACCAATTTCACTAATAAAAGGCCGACAGTAGGCAATCTAGAGGTGATCTTGAGATGTTGAAGCTAGAATGAGGTAAGCAGTTGGGTGGGTGATGCTGTAAGCAGAAGTTGCGAGTTATCTAAGACAGGGCGGTGGGGGATGGCAGTACTCAAAGGCAGCAGTCAAAGAGCGTATTTGATCCCCTTTGTATCCACGTATCTATGAATAATCTGTATTTATGAGTAGATGGGGCTATTCTGCCGTATATTACTCTTATTTTACAAACTCTTCATTCCCTTAAAATGAACTTGGAAACTGGATAACCTGAGCAAGTTGTGTTTGACGCGCTCGCCGCTCCAGTCACATGACCCAGTACGACGCGTTCCGTTTCAGGCCCGGAGAAAAGTTATCCCGCTATCTGCCTTATCTCCGATGATGTCATTCCCCTCGCTGCTGGCGTACCAAGGTACTCCGTCCCAAAGGTTTGGTACCTGGGACTAATGCACATAGAGATAGATCTGACTACCACTGGACTATGGCGACTGCCGAGGATAGCTGACTGTGGACTGTATCGGTATACAAGTCTGCAAAGCCGCATGCTCAGAAGAACTACTCAGCCATCCTGTGCAACCTATTAGTCCGACGTTCCACTGGCACCAAAGCCAATCCTCCAAAGCAAAAAATTATCATACATTATCATAGTGCTGCTGATGTCAGCACTGCCACATGGTGACACATGCCCTAATCTGACGCGTTTATAGTTCCGATGGTGTGAGGTTTGAATTTCCGTGCCGAGGGTACCTACGCGAGCGTGCAATGTTTCTTCAGACTTCAGCTACTTCTTGGAATTCTTACAGTAGACTCCGGTAACATCCAAAGGGATGGAAATCTATTCAGAGAACGAAGATAACGAAGTACAATAGGCCCAGGCCCCAGAATCCCTAACAAAGACAACATACTTCATATATAAAGAAAAAGCTGAAGACAAAAAAGCCACTGCCAAGATAACAAACTACCGATCCAGCTATTCTACCCAGATGGAGCATCTAACATCTCCTCATCGCAACCCACGTCACCCGCCCCAGATGTAGGAGCAAGCACGGGGGTCTTAAGAGGCTGACCGCCCAAAACAGTAGGTCCAGTGGGAGGCGATGCGTTAGGAGTGGTTGTCATCTGCACATCGCCATCGCCGCCGGTCTGACTAGGTGCATTCAATGGTTCTTCTGGAATCGACGCGAGATTGCTGCTTCCGAAAACAGGTGCTCCAATCGGCATTCCGAGAGGTGACCCTATAGACGGCGGTGCTCTCGGTGTTGACCCGGCCCATGGAGTACCTGGCTGAGACCAGGGTTGTCCAATGGCGGTTCCGTAGCTTGACGAGCCTGAGGATGAACCGGCTTCGGATTGTTGTGCGGGTGGAACGACTTTAATGATCGGCATTTCCTGCTCAGAACCTGATCGGGATGGTGGGTACTCGTTTGCTGTGACATATGAGGCTGACGATGATCCACGGCCACTACCACCGCCGGAGCTGGGAGCTGCTGAGGACCGACCCGACGGTGTTGATAAGTGTGGACTCGGCGGCGGCGGTGGTGGCGGCAGCGGCGGCGCTGCTGGTGATGAGGATGATGAGTTTCCCGATCCAGCCGGTGATCCCGCGGCGCTCCATGGTACGGCAACAGTGCCCTGTGAGATCTGACTAGGGGCTCTACTCGATCCCGAGGCGCCATTAGCCACACCATTCACTGGCTGTTGGAAAGGCCCAGGACTCGGTGACGCTGGTACGTTTTCACCGGCTTGTGAAGTTCCATTATTACTAGATATAGAGGGCGAAGGCCAATGTGGAGGTGGTGGTCCAAGAAAGTCACCATCGACTGGCGGCTGCGCTGGCGGCGACGGCGTGCCTTGTGGATGACCGGGTGGTTGCAGGTGATGAGGATCTGGTACTGGTGTATGTCCTCCAGATGAAGAGCCAGTGGCAGAGGAAGATGACCGAGAAGACGAAGAGGCACCATCTTGGCTACCGGGTAGGGGCCCCATAAACATACCATCCGTCATTGGGCCATTATCCTCCGGCCGAGGGTAAATGTATGATGGTATATGTGAATCTGAAGCTGAGCCAGAGCTAGAGCCTGAATGATGAGAGCTTGAACCAAAGCTAGTAGATCCAGAATGATGAGAAGAATGATGAGAACCTGAACGAGAAGATGAGCTGGCACTTGGAGGAGGAGCAGGAGATGACCCAGAAGATGAACCTTCCCACCCTACGGGAATATTTTGGTTGGGCCCAAGAAATAGACCGTCTATAAATCCAGGTGGTGGACCAGGTGGTAGACCAGGCGAATGTCCTCCAGATGAAAATGAAGGAGTAGACAAAGAGAGTGCACTACTTAGGGGACTACTACCGGGGGAACCACCGCCGTTACCAGGAGGGCCACCACCAGGGGGACCAGGTGGGCTAGGAGGACCATCATCATCACCGGGGGGAGGAGTCAACGGCTCGACAGTCGGAGCAGGAATATCGACATTCAAATAAGGACCACCAGCGGGACCGGGATTAAGAAGGTCATGAGGCTGCCAATTAATCAAATAATCCCATTGATTAACAGTTCGATAAATGGGAGGTGGCGGATTAGCATTAACCGCATCGACATTAGGTAAAATAGTCCGAATGCCATTATGAGTCTCCGCGACATAGAGTCGATTGAAATTATCCGGAGCACTACCGACAAAGAAAAGCGAGCGCATCCACACCCCACTCAATCGATCAGTTGAGCGGAGAGTATACCCTTTACCGAGAGCAACCTGCAACGGGACCCAGGGCCGAGTCCATTCTCCGTCCTCACGTGGGATATTGAATTCTAGCATGCAGGTTGGCTCCACGACCCAGTCGTCTGCTGTTCGCATGACCTGGTAGCAGAGGAACGGGGCTGTACGTCCTGATGCTCTGTTCACGAGTTGGTAGAGGTCCATGTAAAATATACGGGGAATTTCGGCGCCGGTGTCGTCGAGGAAATCGTATGCGATATTGTCCACTGGCGTTACTGCCTGGCCTGGGACTCGGACGTTGAATGATAACTATTCATTTTTAGTGGATGGTTAGTCTTTATTGGCCTTTGAACGAAATAGTGTTCGACGGGGTATGCTTCTTACAATGTGCAGGCCGCTCCTCTGGAGTGGCTCGTGAATTCTCTTATAGGGGCGTCGAACATTGTATGGCTTCATCATAGTAGGCCCGGGAGTGCCAAGCTTGAAATGGGACATTCATATTAGTATTGGATGATTATGGGTCGAATGCCCAGTGGAGAGATTGAAATGAAGAAACTTACCCCTTCGACCCAGAATGATTTTCCATTACACAAATCATTGTACTTGTGAACATCGTCCCAGGAGAAATCTCCCCTTGCAAGAGCTTTTCCGTTGGAGAGGTAGGTAACTTCACCATCCCAATAGAGCGTCTTATTTTTATACGCCGTGATAAGTGCTTTGACGTTGACAAGCTGGTTGTGTTCATCGCCACCTTCATTACTCTCGAGGAACCGCTGCATATGCTCGAGATTCTTTATCCGAGTGATAACACTCCAATCCAGACCCGCCGGCATGGAACGGATAGTTGCCTCGGTCTGACGCTTTTCATGTTCGTAAATCTTTAATTTGTGGATCCACCAATCCGGCATAATCCCGTCTTCGATTCTTTCATGACATCTAATGATATTTGCTTCGATATCGCTGAAAGATATTTACGTTAGTAGGTTTCTTTCAAGATTTCTTCAATGTTATATAATCTGCTGGTACTTACTCCGTTTGAAGATCATAGTCTTCAGGGTTCCAGCCCTCCGGTGCCAATTTATAATTCGTAATAGGGGGGACCTGAGGTCGGAAGCGTACATATCTCTTTACGGGCGGAGGCCCCATAGGATCAGACGAGACTCTTCTCAATTCCCGATCAGGCTCCGGACTTTCGGGACTAGGGTACTGCTTCTTCCTCATCTCCTGGGGCTCCTCGGATCTTCTCTTCGATGGAGGCATGGTGCAAAAGGGATTGATTCAGTCACAGATGGAATCAAGTAGAATACTCAAAGAAAAAGAATGTATAGAAAGGTCCGAAATTTAACGGTTGAAGATTTTGTCCAAGGAGTGAACGACAGGATAAAGACCGAGTATTTATCACCAAAGGAGAACATGGCCTGCATCCGAAGCAGAAAATAAAGAGATGTAAAAATAGTATCTAGAGATGCAATACAAATTAGAAGGTTCCAGCGGTCTTCCAGAACGTCATGCCTTTGATCATTGTGGTTCAACCAATGGAATGCGAGCGTGGTCTCCTTGAGCCTCTTCCGTTCTTCAAATCCGTGGTCCCCGAGCCCAGAACCAGATGGATTGTATTTATGCATCTCTTTGATATGCCATATCCTTGAATGGTGATAAAAGGCTCGCTCGTCCTCGTGGCAGCCTCTCCTTTGTAGGTATAGCCATTCAGATTTGGTCGTTTGGCCAACTCCGGTAACGCCAACGCTATGTCAATGAAAAGTCGTTTCATAATACATGTGCTACTATTTGAGAGGAATTGAATCGAGTGCAGCTTTGAGATAAAGCACTATACTTTCCAATCAAAATGCCACTAGAAATCCTAAAGACAGGCACAAAGCGCAACCTCAATCTCGTCTATCAACTACAGGATATACGATTCTAAATCTGGAGATAAGTGTGAAAAGGAGATACTAGTAGTATCCATGGATGCGATGAGATATTCTATTTTTCCCTTCCGCATCACGAATTCCCATCCTCCTCTCTGTACATTTTGTTCATACTTTCTTTCCCTTTCATTTCACCCTTCATTCCATCCAGCTAAACCCCCTCAGCAAGTTTCCCCAACGCCTCCCCCTCAACCATCATCTTCATCCACTCCTCCATCCCCTTAGCACCAACCTGTTCATAAAACTTGATACTAGGCTCATTCCACTTAAGCACACTCCACTCCAACCTCCGACCCTTAATCTCAACAACCTGGCGCGCGAGGTACTTGAGCAACTTAAATCCATACCCGTTCCCCCGAGCTTCAGGCTGCACGTAGAGGTCCTCGAGATAAATTCCCGGCGCGCTGCGCCAGGTGCTGTAGTTGTAGAAGTACAGAGCCATGCCCACGGGTTCCGGGTTAGTGTTGGTGGGTGTGGCGGGGGGAGTGATTAGGGCTGTGTAGACTGAGCCGCGTTTGGGGGGGCTCGCCCGCGAATGAGAGGGTGTCTGTTAGGCTTTCGGTTGTGGCTTCGACTTCGTGGAGAGCTTTTTCGTAGATGGCTAATTCTTGGATGAATTGGAGGATTTTGGGGACGTCTGGGGTAGGGTAGGTTTTGTTAGTATGTCTTTTTTGTTTCTAGACGGTTGGGGTGACAGGTGTGGGGGGGGGGGGTTGGTACCCTCGGCTGTTGCCAGGCGGATTGTTGCTTCGGTCATTATGATAGGAGGAGTGGTTGTCTTGACTTGTGGTGTGTGATATGTGCTGAGGTGAAATTTTGCGGAGGTCTGCGGCGGGAGAAATTTGGCGGTTCTTTTTTTTTGACAGCGAAAGGCGGGGGTGGAGATCAGATGAAGGACCCACGTAGGGAAGGGCTGGGTGAAGATGGGATTGGATGATCGAGATTGAGCTTTGAAACTCAATCTGTGAAGATGATCTCGAAGCGATTCCTTGGACTTGAATAACGGAAAGTAACAAATCAATCGGTAAAGATGTCTTATTCGTCCTTATAAAATACTATATTCTTGCACTTCTCGGCGACCTCCGAGAAAGACTCCACTTTTCGGAGCATCCGAGTCGGCTTTGTCGGGCCGATGTCAAGCAAAGGGCGCGGACATCGGCATGGAACCGGTAGCCGGGAGCCGGTAGGCAGTTTGAATACGGTCTAGTGGAATTTGTATAGTAGAAAGGATGCTAAAGTAGATGGACACTTCGACTCGGAGTCGCTGGAAAAAGTGCAGAATGGGTATGGTATTAACTCTACACAAAGAGTGATAAAGCCACAGTATTATACAGGGAGAATGTGCTGGGTGGTCTGGTCCATTGGATACATGAGGAACACTAATCATTTAGACATGATAGCCGACATCCATTTTTGTTCGTCCGTTCTAAAGGATTCGATTAGTATATCGTTCGAAGTGAAAATGAAAATCACAGGGGATAGTGAAGGGTATGCTAACCGGTCGAAATGGAGCAGCATGCCCAAAACAGGAACAAGCTGCTTCTGATAATTCTTATCCTTCTGCTCCATGAATTGCAGCAGGACATTTTTCAAGTACATATAGTCGATTGCCGCATTCGCATTGGCATTGCCAGCTCCCGTAGGCGTCTCGCTTCGCTGAATCGAAGCACTTCGCTCCTGCTGTCCAGACGGCGACGCAAGTCCACGCCTGGACCCAGAATCCATCGAGGACCGCGACGACTGTCGCCCAGATGGTGATCCGCGCAGACGAACGTCTTCGCCAAGAGTCTTGTGTGAACGGCGCAATTTTTCCAGTCTGTTATTCGTTTCCTCGACCGAGCGGCGGAGCTCAGCTTTCTCTTTCTCCAAATCGCGCACCTGCTTCTCGCTCTCATCGAGCTGTTCGCGTAATCCGGACATCGCTGCACGAACTTCCTCCACCTCTTGCGTCGATTGTTCGGAAAGAAGTTCCAACTCGTCGCGTCGTCGTCGCCAGTCCTTCTGCGACTGTTCCAGCTCCTCTCTATCCTGTTCTGCCGTGCGGAGCGCGCGCTCGGCATCGCGCACCTTGGCCTTGAGATCTTCCATCTCGCGCGCCCGACGACGTCCTTGGGTGCTGGCTTCGTCTTCGGCACGATCGCGCTCTTCAACGGCGGCTTCCATTCGCTCCTTGAAGTCTCGGACCTTGGTCTCGGCTCGGCCTTCAATTTCGCTGAGAAGGCGGCGCATCGTTTCGCCTTCGCGGGTTCGCTCGCTGAGGAGGCGGTGCGCGTCTGCTAGCTCTTCTTCGAGACTGTCGCATTTCTCACGTGCCTCTTTCATTTGCATTGCCATTTCGGTGGTCTGGTCACGCATGCTGTTCATCAAAGACTGCGCACTGGAGTGTTGGGCGGTTTTGAGAGAAATCTCCTCGCGCAGGCCATCGAGTTCTTTCGTCACTTGTCCTAGTTGTTCGTCCAACTCGCGGATTTTAGATCGAGAGCTCTTGAGGCCCTCTTGGGATTTGGTGAGTTCTCCGGTGGTTTTCTCCTTGGCTTTAATGGCCTCTTGCTTCTTGGTTTCGGCCGAGCGCAGGTCTGACTGGGCGACAGTGAGACTTTCTTCAGCCTTCAGACGACTATCGGTCTCCTGCCGGATCTTCTTGTTCAGAGTTTTGACTTCGTTGTCCCGCTCTGTGATCTTAGTCTTCGAGTTGCGCACCTCTGCACGCAGGTCCTCGTGCTTGGCTTCAAGGGCGATCAACTCGGTATTCTTGTTGGAAAGGGTTTCTTTCATGTTCTTCAGCTCCGAAGATTCCGCGCGCAAGTCACGCAATTCGGGCTGGATCTTTTGAATGGTTTCACGCAGATCGGTAAGATCCTTAAAACGGGTTGCCGCCAGTTGTTGAGCTGCCGAAAGATCGGTCTCCAGGGTTGCGGCGCGAACCTTGAGAGTTTCGAATTCTTCCTTGAGACTTGTGTGCATCTTGTGAGAGTCGGCTGTGCTAGACTCATTGCTGGTGCGGAGTTCAATCACCTCCTTCTCCAATTTGCCAATGGTTTCCTCCAATGCGTTTTTCTCAGCAGTGAGCTCCTTGATCTTATCCTTAGACTCGACATGCTCCTGGCCTAGGTTAACCAGATCATCACGAAGGCTCTCGATCTCCTCCTTCAGGTCCTCTTCGCCCTTGAGCTTCGAATTGAGGCGATCGATGGCCGCCTCCTTCTCCTCAAGAAGATGCGTCAGTGACTCAATCTTCTGCTTAAGCTCGTCTAACTCGGCAGAGGGAGCACTCTCCGCTGAGGGTGTCTCTGTCTGAGCTGGCTCCTCCTTAGCAGTGGTATCAGCAGGCTTCGCCGGTTCCTCAGCCGCCTTGCCGCCCTTCTTCTTCTTTTTATTCTTCTTCTTCCCACCACCACCTCCAGCAGCAGCTGCTGCCGGAGCAGGCTGGGTCTCTTCCTCGGCGGGGGTGCTGACAATGGGCTCCGGCGCCTGCACGACTGGAGCAAGACTCTTACGAACCTCCTCAAAGTCAGCCTTGCGACCGGCAGTAACGTTCTCCTTGGCAGTTTTCCAAGCAGCATTGCCCTTGAAACTGTCATCGACGAAAGTGACGACCTTTTGTAGTTGAGCAGAGGTCTCAGACTTCTCGCTGACTTCCTTCTTCAGATCCGAAACGCTTGACTCGGTGTCCTTCAACTGCGATCGGAGGTTATCCACCAGACCTTGAACAACATTGAGCTTCTTCTCACTGGCATCCTTGTCCTTCTTGGCCTGTTCGAGTTGCGAAGCAATTTCAGCATCGGCTTCGGACTTCTTTGAGTCACCAGATTCAGCGACCTGGGCCTGCAGCTTCTCAATCTGATCACTCTTCTCTTTGAGATCGCCCTTGAGCTTCTCAGCTTCAGCAGTAACCTTTCCAATCGTCGTCTCAGCCGATGCCAACTTCTCTTTCAACTCATCGACATCCTTCACCTTCGAGGTCTTCAGGTTCTTAATCTCCGCATCCAAGCTATCCTTGGTATCGCGCAATTCAACCAATTCCCGCGTGGAGGTCTCCAAATTCTGAACCATGCCTTCTGTCGACTCGCGCGTAACAGAAATATCCTTTTTCAACGATTCAACCTCCGTCTTGAGCGTCTCAATCTCCTCTTCTCGCTCCTTGAGCTCGCCCTCGAGACGGGGCACCTCGTTATCGAATGAGAAGAACTCCTCGCTAGTCTCCTTTTCTTCATCGGGGGTGACCTGCTTCTCCTTCTGCTTCTTCTTGTCGTCCTTGGCGCTCTGTGCGGGCTTTGCCTCATTGTCCTTTTTCAGCCCCGCAACCTCGTCCCATGCGTCCTTGGCTGATTTCTGCGCTTCCTCGAGCTTTTTCTTGTAGTCTTCTCGGTCTTCAGTCACGCGCTTGAGTTCGTCCACAACCATGTCGCTCTTGAGTGACATCTGGTTTAGATATTCGGTCAGAGCTTTGGGTTCGCCGATCGAGGTGAGAGGTGTATTTTCGCGGAGGGCGGCTTCGAAGGGTTCGATTGAGAGGACACGCGAGTGGGCGGTTCGGTAGGCTTTGAGGAGTTCTGTAGGGTAGATCGAATAGAAGTGGTTAGATTACACATGCAATGGAATGACAATGACAATTGCAATTGTAATTATAAAGACCGATGGATACAGAAGCCATTCTTGCCACGCAGCGGACGTACCATGGTAACGCGATTCCAACTTGTCGAGTCTCCGCAGCTTGCCCTTAACTTCGGCGGGTAGTTCGGTCGAGCTTTGCTTTTCTGTCTCGGCGGGGGCATCTTTGGCCGACTTTTCAGATTTCTGGGTTGTCGCCTTGCTGTCTTCCTTCGCATCACCATCCTTGGTCTCAGGTCCGGCTTCTCCTTCGGCATCGGCTTCACCTCCAGCTCCCTCAGCGCGGCTGTTATTGCCTTCGCCTTCGCCGTCGGCGGGGGTGATTACTTCGGATGTGGCATCAGGAGTATCTAGACGTGGAGTAGCCGAACGAGTAGATGATTCATCATCGCCGATGGTAAATTCGCCCTCGAATTCTTTGGGGTCAGGACCGCGGACGGGAGTGCCAGAGTGTCGTCTTGGGCGGGATCGTTGGTCGCCGGGGGAGAGGTTATTGGGATTGGCACGACGGGTGGAGGCGGAGCGGGCGAGGTTATCCTGAGCGGTTTTTTGGCGAGCTTGTTCCTCGGCGATGCGAGAGTCGATGGCGTCGCGGAGGCGCTGGGTTTGTTAGCTTATGCCGGTGTGTTTGCGCGGGCTGGGCTGACGGGGGCTGGGATGACAGTGGGATGTAATGAGAGGGTCAAAGGGCCAACAAACCTGAAACATCGCCGCGACAGGTTTCCAGGGCCACCGGGAATCACCTGGACAGCAGTGGTTGTTGAAAGTGGGTGGGTGAGTGAGGTGAGGAAGTTCAAGTTGTAGTTCAAGTTGTACACTCGGAAATGCCGTGGAGGAGCGGAGGCGGAGGCGGAGGCGGACAGGAAAGTCACCTGCCACAAAGAAACATACGAAGTGCCCAGGTGTCCAAGTACGTATATTTTGGTATTTTGGTATATTTCAGTTATTCTCGAGAAAGAAATGAGATTTGAGGAGCGAAAGAGCATTCAAGATGAAGTTGCCCAGGTGTTTACACTGGAGTACTAGAGTAGTACTACTAACGTACCCGTCACGGTATATACTAGTATCAGGAACGGGTGGCGGTACTAGCAGTAGGACCCAGGTACTAATAACTACTAGACACTTCTAGGATCGAAGAACCTTTGAAGAACTCGAAAGCTTGAGAAAAGACTGCCCAGGTTGCTCTACAAGTTTACAAGTTAAATATCTTCCAACAGGGCCTCTTAGACTTAGATGTCTCCATACTATTAATACTGCATCCAGAAAGCACCAATACCCCGTCAGCCAAGACCGCTTTACCGAAGTGTGGAGCATGTGGGATTGAAAGCCATGATATCGACGTCAATTTTAAGTTATTCAATTTAATGCCGTGTGCATTAAGAAAAGCATTTAATTCAAGTAGGTAGGGCGAGTTGATCCACTCGGTAGTGAAATAAGTTACTACTCGATCATCCGACGGACGGTTGACTAATCGAATATAAAATAATTAGTTAACTAGTGGGAGGATCACTCATCGAGGCCGATCAAAAATTAGGGAAGTTTACCAGGTTTGAAAATGTACATGAGTCGGTGGCGATCGATCACTCTCACATTCCGACCGGTTGCAGTGCCTCAAAGATTAAAATTGATAAATAATTTCCCTCCCACTGACACAGAAGTATTCTAATTCTTTTTCAAGTTCTGCTCCATATATATAGGTTCACGTCTAAATAATACGGACCGACTTCCTCAATTATTATTTGATTCTCTATCCCTGCAGAATGACTTCATCAAAACGCTCGATTCTTATCACTGGGTACGTAACCCTGAATGAAAATCACCTTACATCTCTTTTTCATAATTAAGTTTGCTGATAAACATTACTTCGGGTAGATGCTCACTCGGAGGAGTGGGACATGCTCTCGCTCTTGAATTCGCCGCTCACGGTATGCGCGTTTTCGCAACTGCGCGATCCACTGGATCCCTGTCTACTTTAGAGGATAAGGGGATTGAAACCTTTGCACTCGACGTGACGGATTCGGCAAGCATTGCAGCTCTCAGAGACGAAATTATGAAGCGGACCGGCGGAAAATTGGATATGCTGTTCAACAATGCTGGCACAAGTACGTCTAACCTTGCTGATTCCCCATGGTCATTTGACGCCTTGCCACTTGTTTCCAAGGTTATATAGTTTTCACCGTCTGATCGCAATCTTTGCTTGAACAGTGTATGAAGCACCGGCAATCGAAGCCGATCCCACTCGCACACGTGCCATGTTTGATGCCAATGTCTTCGGCCTGTTCGATATGGTTTCAACCTTTACTCCTCTTCTTCTAGCCTCCGCTTCGAACACGCAAACGCCACCTGTCATTATCAATACGTCGTCAGTCCTGTCACGACTCCCGTTTGCCTTTTCGGCAGCGTATAATGCCTCCAAGGCAGCTGTGGCTACCTACAGCGACACTCTCAGGATTGAGCTTGATCCGCTCGGTATTAAAGTGGTTACAGTGTTCATGGGCGAAGTCGCCACCAACCTCATGTCGTCTGACAATATCTCCTTTGGTCCCGAGAGCATATACATCGATGCTGAAGAGAGAACCAAAGAACGAAGCCGAAGCCATTTCAAAAACAGTCAGAAACCAGACGCCTTTGCCAAACAAATTGTCGAGGAAGTACTGGTTAAAACCCCTAGATACGGAAAAGGCGAGCATTTGTGGAAAGGCAGCAATGCTGTGTTGATTTGGTTCTTGAATGCTATCGGATGGAGAAAGGTATTCGACAGCACCGTGAAAAAGATGGTCGGGCTTGACCAAGAGAAAATCCGCAAATCTATATTTGACAAGGGCCAAGCATCCGTGAAGTTAGAATGATAATATGCCCTGGGGGCAAAGGACGGCGTTTTGGTGTTAGATAATAATTACAGACTAAGTGGGTAACTAATATTCAAAACTATATCTTCCCAGATTGACATTCCTATCCAGTACAGCAACATATTTGTTTGCGAAGTATCGTAGCGTAATTTTGGTTGTGGGTATTGATTAGGGAACATCTAATCATCAGTTCTACGGATGAGACACCCTACGGACCACTGACATGGCAAGGTATACCTATGTAATGTTTCAGGGTAGTTACAGTCCAATGACTTCCAATTTGTTACATTGGGTTGTGGAAACAAAGTACGACTGCTGTAACGGGGACTGAAGGGGATGTTACCTGCCCAATGCTGGTTGAAAGAGGAATCATCCGAGGAAATGAGTGTAAATGTACCTAGTGTAAGATGGGAATGCTCGCTGGCAGTCTGTCAAGCAGACGGGTCGATCGCGAAGAGACAAAACCACCACACTCGCAGAGTGCAGGAACGAGATGAGCAAAGCGTGACGCTATAGAGAGATGATTGAACGAGCAATAACAGAACCTTTCATACGCAGTATATCGATACCGCAACCTCAGCAGCCTCAGTAGAACATTTTCATAAAGGGGAACATGCATGTTGTTTTTGATAGTATCGAACGAACGCTACTTAATCTCACGAAACAAAACGGTGGCCTTGTTGCTAAGGCCTCCAGCACATGACTACAGGATACCGATGTTGAGAGCGGGAATCCCCATTACACTAGGTATTCTATCGGTGTACCGGGTAGTGGTTTTAATGTACCAAGGCTTAAAGAGAATTCAAGCATAGAAAATACAACGCAGAACTCCCACTTTCCCGCTCTCGAGAGTAGTTCAGCTTCCCTTTATAACCCGAATCGCAGGGCCGTCCCATTAGATTTTTGCCTTGTCGATTTGCATGGCTATCCTGATTTCAATAAAGGTGTCCGTAGACGTTCTGGAAAGCTTTTGTTGTATGGTACTCTTTCTTTCGGGCAAGAAACCATTGAGCGATCTGGACCTGAGATGGTCACAGCCTTTCGTCGCAGAAATTAACTATTATTGATTAATAAACTTAAATCCACCCAAATCCATTAGTCTAGATAATTAAAGCCCCACTGATAGTACTACTTAATCGCATTTTAACTTTATTCCGTTAGCCAAATTAGAGCCTCGAATGTTTAATAATCACTCCGTCCGAACATACCTTATAATCCAGATAAGAAAATAAAGTTCGTAATCACGCCGAAGGAGGTGATTTGTTGAATAATTGATCGAAATTTGATTATCCAAACAAACAGAAAACCTTGTCTTGGCTTGTTGCACGCGTGTAGTGGGCAAATGAATTCTCTCGGCCAGGATAAATTTAGCATGTAAGGTGTGCTCTATTCCAACATCTTTGGGTTGCTATGTTCACAAATTGATATACATTGACTTATCATCCGCAATTTATTACCTTTCAGAATAATTCACAACGCCCAAACCTTTGCGACTCTCGCCTGCTCCCAATATGGCCTCTGGTGCATCAAGCATGGATGCAGAGTCCGCAATTTCCGACGACAGTCTAAAAACATCGGATGTCAAGAAGGATAGGGCAGATAAATCGATCTATCGTGCTCAAAAGCCATGGCATATGGGTTCCGAATTGCGCGAGATCCAGGAACGAGATGAAGCCGGTGGAGAGAAGCCCAAAATGCTCGGTGTGTCCTGGGACAATGTCACAGTCACAGGTGCTGGTGGTGATGCCACGTTCAATGAGAACGTCGTCTCACAGCTTTTCAATTTCCATCGGAGTGACAAAGGAAGCAAGTCCAAGACCATCATTGACAATTCGTTCGGATGCGTCAAGCCAGGGGAGATGTTGCTTGTTCTAGGGCGACCTGGAGCGGGTTGTACTTCGCTCCTGAACGTACTCTCAAACAACCGCCTCGGCTACGAAGAAGTCACCGGAGACGTCAGATATGGCAACATGTCCGCTGTGGAAGCCAAGCAGTACCGTGGCCAGATCGTCATGAACACCGAGGAAGAGATTTTTTTTTCCAACCCTGAGCGTTGAAGACACGATTGACTTTGCTGCTCGCATGAAGACCCCCTACGAGCTGCCACCAGGAGTCGTGACTCACGAAGAATATGTCCAGTCCTATAAGGATTTTCTTCTGCGTTCGGTCGGGATCTCTCATACCGCACGGACTAAGGTCGGCGATGCCTTTATCCGGGGCGTTTCGGGAGGAGAGAGGAAGCGTGTTTCAATTCTGGAGTGTCTCACTACGCGTGCTAGCGTCTTTTGCTGGGATAACTCGACCAGGGGCCTTGACGCCAGCACAGCTCTTGAATGGATCAAAGCGATCAGGGTGATGACCGATATCCTGGGGTTAAGTACAATTGTCACACTCTATCAGGCAGGAAACGGCATCTACGACCATTTTGATAAGGTTCTGCTTCTCGATGAGGGAAAGCAAATATTCTATGGGCCTCAGAAAGATGCTGTTCCCTTCATGGAAGGTCTAGGTTTTATGCTAGATCCGGGCTCCAACCGAGGAGATTTCTTGACGGGTGTGACAGTTCCCACTGAGCGCGTCATTGCCCCCGGATATGAAGCCAATTTCCCACACACTGCCAACGAGATCCGCGCTGCATATGAAAAGTCCCAAATTAAGCCTAGGATGCTGGAGGAGTCCCAGGTTTACCCTGAAAGCAGAGAAGCGGCTGACAACACAACCGTGTTTAAAGAAATGGTTGCCCGTGAAAAGCACAGGGGCGTGTCCGACAAGTCTCCCGTCACTACTAGTTTCGTCACTCAAGTCATTGCTGCTGTAATCCGGCAATACCAGTTGTTGTGGAGTGACAAGGCGACTCTCCTCATGAAGCAAGGCGCCACAGTGATCCAGGCACTCCTTGGCGGTTCTCTCTTCTACTCAGCGCCTGATAATTCCGTCGGGCTTTTCCTCAAGGGCGGCGCCTTGTTCTTCTCCATTCTGTACAATGCCCTCATTGCCCTATCGGAAGTTACCGACTCGTTCACAGGCCGACCTATCCTCGCCAAGCACCGTGCTTTCGCACTGTATCATCCAGCAGCCATCTGCATCGCCCAGATTGCTGCCGATTTTCCCATCCTCTTGTTCCAGGTCACGCATTTTGGCCTTGTTCTCTATTTCATGGTGGGCCTCAAGGCTACAGCAGGAGCTTTCTTCACCTATTTGGTAACCAACTTTATGACTGCTATGTCTATGACAGCGTTTTTCCGCCTAATTGGTGCCGCATTCCCTACCTTTGACGCTGCAACTAAAGTCTCCGGTCTTTCCATTGTCGCGCTTTTTGTCTATATGGGATATATGATTATCAAGCCTGTTATGCATCCATGGTTTGTATGGATATTTTGGATAAATCCCATGGCCTACGGATTTGAAGCTCTTCTTGGTAATGAATTCCATGACCAGGTCATTCAGTGCTATGGCCCTAACCTTATTCCGACTGGTCCTGGCTACATGGGTGAAGGAGGACAATCATGTGCTGGTGTAGTCGGTGCGATGCCTGGTTCAACGAGCCTGACTGGTGATGAATATCTCGCAGCCATGTCGTTTAACCACAGTCACATATGGCGAAACTTTGGAATTAACTGTGCCTGGTGGGTGCTTTTTGTCGCACTAACCATATTCTTTACCTCCAGGTGGAAGCTACTTGGTGAAGGAGGCCGCAAGCTCTTGATCCCGCGAGAGCTACAGCAAAGATCAAATCATCTCTTGAAACCCAGAGATGAGGAGGCGCAACCCACGGAGAAATCTGTGAGCACGAGATCTGATGATTCGGGAGCAAGCCTCGGAAATGACCTCCTCCGTAACAAAAGCATCTTCACCTGGAAAAACCTAACCTATTCCGTCAAAACACCCGATGGTGACCGCGTCCTTCTGAATAACGTTCAAGGCTTTGTTAAACCTGGTATGCTTGGGGCTTTAATGGGTTCCTCTGGTGCTGGCAAAACAACTTTGCTGGACGTCCTCGCGCAACGCAAAACCTCGGGCACTATTCACGGATCTGTCTTAGTCGATGGGCGTCCGCTTCCCATTTCATTCCAACGCTCAGCTGGTTACGTTGAACAACTTGATATTCACGAGCCATATGCGACTGTGCGTGAGGCTCTCGAGTTCTCAGCGCTCTTGCGCCAATCTCGCGACACATCCACCGAAGCAAAGTTGCGATACGTCGATACTATTGTTGATCTTCTGGAACTGAACGACCTGGAACATACCCTCATTGGTAGACCAGGTGCTGGCCTTTCAGTAGAGCAACGGAAGCGTCTTACCATTGGTGTTGAACTGGTGGCAAAGCCTAGTATCCTAATTTTCCTTGATGAGCCCACGTCAGGGCTTGATGGCCAAGCTGCGTATAATACTGTCCGCTTCCTTCGGAAGCTTGCAGAGGCTGGCCAAGCAATCCTCGTCACAATCCATCAACCATCGGCACTCTTATTTGCGCAATTTGATAAGCTTTTATTGCTGGCAGCTGGCGGCAAAACTGTATACTTTGGGGACATTGGCCAGAATGCAAACACAGTTAAGGAATACTTTGGTCGCCACGGCGCAATTTGCCCACCTGAAGTCAATCCGGCTGAATACATCATTGATGTGGTGTCGGCAAAGGACAGTCTTGATTGGAACCAGGTCTGGATAGACTCCCCGGAACACGACAACCTCTCCAAGGAACTGGATACTATGGTTTCCGAAGCTGCAACTCGACCTACAGCAGAAAACACTGATCCGCATGAATTCGCTACTTCGCTCTGGACGCAAACAAAGATTGTAACACATCGCATGAATGTCTCTCTTTTCCGGAACACCGAATATCTCAATAACAAATTTGCGATGCATATCAGTCTAGCGCTGCTGAATGGGTTTACGTTCTGGAAGATTGGGGACTCACTTACGGATCTGCAACAGAATCTTTTCACTGTGTTCAACTTCATCTTTGTCGCGCCGGGTGTGATCTCGCAACTGCAGCCGCTCTTTATTGACCGCCGAGACATTTTCGAGGCGCGAGAGAAGAAAAGCAAGATGTACCACTGGGCTCCCTTCGTGACAGGCCTTATAGTCTCGGAGTTTCCTTACTTGCTGGTATGCGCGCTGCTGTATTATGTTTGCTGGTACTTTACCAGTGGCCTTCCCACTTCTGCTGAGCACGCTGGCAGCGTCTTTTTCGTTGCAGTAAGTTCGCCCATTTACCTCCCGGTATTCTTTGCGCGCAACAGCTAACACTATCTCAGGTGATGTACGAGTGTCTTTACACCGCCATTGGACAGATGATTGCCGCCTACACACCGAACGCCGTGTTTGCGTCTCTGGTCAACCCGCTAGTGATCACCACTCTTGTCTCTTTCTGTGGCGTGATGATTCCCTATAGTCAAATTGTCGCCTTTTGGCGATACTGGTAAGGCATCACCGCATGACCCTCTATAATGCAGTTGAACGGATTCTGACGCCCGTTCTTTAGGATGTATTACCTCGACCCCTTCAACTACCTCATGAGTTCCCTGCTCGTATTCACTGCTTGGGATAAGCCCGTGCACTGCAAGCCCGAGGAGCTAGCTGTGTTTGATCCGGCTCCTAACCAAACTTGTGGTGAATATCTCAACGCTTACCAACGTGGCATGGGAATGGGTACGAATCTTTTGAACCCAGATGATACTCTCGGATGCCGCGTTTGCCAGTATACTACTGGTGGGGATTACCTCCGTACGCTAAACCTGAAACAAGAATACTACGGATGGAGAAATGCGGGTATTGTCGTTGTGTTTGTTGTCGGCATCTATGGGCTCGTGTTCCTCATGATGAAGCTTCGGACCAAGGCCACGAAAAAGGCCGAGGATTAAACGAGGGACAAATTTCTCTTTCTTTTCGGCTCTCCAGATTGCACTTATTTCGCTTTCGCTCAGGTCCGAATGCCCCCCCCCCGGGGGGGGGTTGTTGTTGATAGTCGTTTGGCAGTGCAGTTTTTAAGTGGCTACGAGTAGTATAGAATGGGTTAAAATATAGAGATACAGTGCTAGTGCTGTAGATATAGCTAATGTTCAGCCATTCAAGTTCCTTTTTTTCATAGCACAAAACTTAAAAGAAAAAATGAAAGAAAAAAACATTGGGCTTGTATAAATTAACCTCATAGAGTTGCTATGTTGCGAATTGAACCGATGAAAGAAATTACTGTTCGCATTTTAGAGGCTTGAGCAGAAAACACCATGGAATTGTCATCCAATACGGTCAGTCATCATAAACAAAGCTGACCCAGGCTCATGAATTCTGACGTATCAATCACATCTCCGTCAATAAAATAGGTAAAATGGACCCAATAACGAACTACTGATACCGAAGTCAACTACCCTCGAGATCCGGCAGAAAAGAATCGGAGACAACTTGGATGGGATCATTAGACATTGCGAGGCGCAATGAATTCTCAACGTTCTCCCTTTTAAACACAGGCCCAGATCCGAAACAGATACATCGAATGGCGAGTACTTTATTGTTCATCCCAATATCAGTAAATTTCCAAGTATCTTGTTTAACAAGCAACTCACATTTGACAAAAGTAGCTACGTCGAGTGTCGAGTTAAGGCTCGAACTAGATGACGGCACGGCAATATCTTTGATGTAAAAGCCCCTCCTAAAAAGCATGTCCTGCACACCATTGGCATCCATTAATCCATCCAGCTGCATCATAGCCGCAGAGTTCGACCCCGTATAGAACGCTGTGAGTTCTTCAGAAGTATAGTTACTTCCTCTTAACTGGAGTGGGGCCAAAACGGTAGCCATTTGATTGACTAAGCCGTCGTTGTGGTCTTGAAGTCCCTGACAAAAAATCGAAATGAAGGCGTTTCGCTCCGTTGAAGAAAGAAAAGTTCCAAAGATTTCTTGAACCTTCATGTTTTTTGGAGCGTTTACAAGAAGTTGGTATCCGCTTTGACAGCACACTCTAATTAGGAAGTGTGAAAATGTTCTAGATTCATCGTTACCTATGCTTGTGGGCAAGGGGTTTGGCATAGGGTTGGATAAACAGTGTATTGCAGGGTAAGAGTGAGAGATGGAGGTCGCCATAGCCGTGTTGGATGAAAAGGTTAATTGAAATGGCGATAACGATTGTTGTTCATTTAGTAATTGTGGTTGGGACTGTTCCATAGGGCTCTGGTGTTGCGTGGTGGTGTTTCCAACATTCTCCAGAGCGTTCACGCAGTTGTCACTTTGCATCGAATTTCTTGCGATAGCGTTCTTGGTGAGAGCAGGATTAGGGTGAGCACGTTGTTCGAGCTCGTCACATTCCGTCTTGGCAAGTGCCAGGCATTGCTGAACTAGTTCTCGGAGGCTCAGCGTGACACGAGAGTCACGTTTCGCGATGTTCGTTTCCAAGAGGAGACTGCTGAAAGCTAGAAATGAGTGGCTGATCTGCTCAACGCCATCTTCCAGCTGGTACACACGACTACGCAGTGTATCGATGCTTTTATCTTTCCGCTTGCGATACGTCTGCTGCGCAGAACGCAACTGCTCGCGGCGTCGCTAAATGGAATAAGTACTGCGTAAATTTGGTTATGGAGTCCTACTGACATCTTGGGGTTCCTCTATATTCGCAGTTTTCCGAGGACGTCCTCTTTGCCGACTCGTCGCGTTCGCCATTCTTCCGAGGATTTAGAATGAAGATAGAAACTTGAATGACAACAACTTAACCAGAAATTCATAGCAGCCGCTGAAGGCATAGTCCATTGAGGGAGTGGCAGTGATGGACTTATTAATCATCCCGGATAAGCGCAAATGTTTAATAATCACTAAATTTGAACCCATAATACCAGAGATCCCGAGACCTGAACACATCTTTTGGGCGTATCTCAAGTAGCATACGATCAATTAGAGCCGGAAAGAGCCTTTTCATCAGCAGTTGCACATATTCACAGCCAGTGGGGCAAAATACAGCCCAGGCTGTCAGTTTGAAATCGAGGTGCTAATGGTGAAAATATACCCGAGTGGGGATGGACGGTGTGTCGGGGGCTCATGGCAATGCATAAAAATACTAGTATTCCTCTGAAAGGTCAACTGAGCCTGTGGAATACTAGTATTTCAATTAGAGAGCTCTGGCTACTCTTCAAATGACTGAACTGGGTGAGCGATAATAACTACTCATATATAACAGGCCCTACCAACCCATCAGAATATCATAGTTTCGCAGCCTGTTCGCTCCGCAGGCTTCAGATTCTCTTCTTGTCACTGAGATATTATATAATTGAAGCGTCATGATCACCACCTGAGAAAGACTTCGAGATAATTGCTACAATACGATAGCTGCAAGCAGCATCCAAAACCGAGGAAGATAATAAATGTCTGTTGACATCAATATATACAAGGTTGTGATGCTAAAAAATGGAACAATCTCGTCTTTGATCAACCGCGGGTTCATTAGCTGAATTCGCTACCAAAGAAATTTTAATGCTGTCGAAACAAAAGAGCTAGTAAAATGGAGACACTGTGATAAGTTGATTCATCAACTGACATCGATTAATCCATACAAGCCCGGCTCTGGAAACGGAATATTGGCCTCCATAGATTTTCATATGAGTTTCAATGAAGCGATTATCTATCATGCACCCATGCTATTGCCTAAAGCAGCTCCAGTGTGCCGAAGCTGGACGGCAACTAATTCAATCGCATCAAAGACAACGGATGTCACTAATATATTATCTCGACAAGCTTTCAATAGTATGATGAGACGGCGAAGTAATCAATGATATAGCGTCTCCGTACAGCGACGACGAGTGAGTTATACGTCGTAAGAAAGAATAATGCACTAAAGACAATTAAGGTAAGTAATCGATGTTTCAAGCAAATATCTCAAGTCGATAAGTGAATTGACATCGATCATGCTACTAACTTCCAGCACATACCATTCGATTGCTGCCAATGTGATAATACACCGAGTTGATATTATGTGGTTTGAAATATATTTGGCTGGGGAAGAGAGAGTGTGGGCTTGCAAAAGAAGCACTGTCAGCCAGAGAAACGTTGAAAGGGCCTCGACTGTTGGAATCGCAAATTGACGCTCAAACTGAAGAAAGTGAACTGGGGCCAGAGCAAGGTAAGGAGCTGCAAGGCTGGAGGTCCAAATTGCAACACCAAAAATATACAACGATGAATTGGTGAACGATAAGGTGCATAGTACTGTTAAAAGTAAGAATTATCTCATTCCAGTAGTAAATTTAGGAGGTTCACAAACTATATGATAAGGTCCCAAAAACGGCGATTGCCAAAGATGCCTGGACAATGCGTGTCAAACGATACCAGGGGATATTGAATGCCATCGTACAATGAGAGCTCAACATAGAAAGTTGCATCTCCTGCTATGCGTGGGAAAAACCCTTCTCCAGTGGGATTGACAGATCAATCAAGTTGATGGGTTTTCTTATTTGTTTTCAGCTCTCCACCTTCGAACGGTTGCTGATGCCAAAACCTCGTTTGAGGGGTGATTATTTATCATGCCGAATGATGTCAATCATACGAATGCGGTATCAAGACTTAGTGGTTCCACCATGTTACACCAATGGCTTCTCAACGTCCGCTTCAAACAGGATTGCTCTTTTAAACTAATAGGCACTCAAGAATTTGTGTTAATCCCTGGACTTATTGAGCCCATTGCTGGATTGACGCCCACACATTTCCTTCACTATCATCAAATAATACAGGTCCATCCTAAATCACCCCGGCAAAACTTTCAGTTATAACCCGCAGGTGAAAACATCCAAACCTCAAACGCAGTCCCCGTAGACTGATGCGCAACTAATTTAGAAAATGTGACATAGAATCACGCCTGAATGAAGAGCAGTGTAGTTTGATAGAAGTATTAGGTGACCAGTCCCGTGTTCAAAATTATTTACAGGCTAATTAAACCTCTGCAAGGGTTGTTTGGTTGTTTCTCAAATTCGCGGACACAAATATCGACAGTATTGTACTTATAATAGCCGATAGACGTTGACCATGAATAACAGGCCTTTAATCGAGATGATTGAAATCTGTGCCCAAGAAGGAGATTTTATTAAAACCATTTGTAGTGTTGAAACATATCTACCAAGGGTATTCCTCCGTATGGCACAATTCATGTCGGTAACATCTTCATAAAACCAACCCTTCGTATGCCTCTCCGAATTCGGAGCTTGATGCGTTCAGCCAAGTGATCTGAACCTCTATAGATAAACTTAGTAAGGGCTTAATGCATACCAGATTATTAATCTAATTTCTTCTCGAGATAATCCTGCTTTGTTTCTTTTGGATGCGATTGTAATCACTTTACCCCTGAAATTTCGCTTGGTCGGGATTGATTAATAAACAGGATCATTCCCTCAAGTCTGAGCAGCTGGGGGCCTGGGGGAAATTCAGGAGTGAGATAGCAACGAGTCTTTTTGGTATACCTCCCTTGCCAAAAATGTTTGAAAGAGTTTATCTACCGGTCATTACAATCACGCTACTTGATACAAAAGGCGACAAAACAAAGCTCCACACCTAGCGATAAATTTACAGACTAGTTGATATCCGAGTCAGAGATTCAATATCCACCCTAATAAAGGGACTCGACGCATTATTTACTACAGCAGTTTCTGTAGTCGATTCTACGGATATGCACTGTATATTGGCTCTTCATTGCTAATACAAGGGAAGGACGCAAAACTGCTCTACGGAGGAAACAGATGTTTGGGTCTATGAGAAACCTTTAAGATGCGTAGAAGGTAGTACGGGGGTGGAGGCCCTCGGGGAAGTGAGCTCGTGAGGTTCACTGGCCCTTTTTTTTTTGAAAGAATGCTTTCGGCATTGCAGAGTGAGACTTCTCATTTCCTTTGTGCAGTGGGAATCTCTAAGAGGCGGACATTTATTTAGACAAAATGTACGTTACGATAACCACACCCTATCATTAAGGCGTTAAACATTTTCTATGCAAATCTTGGAAAAGTGGGATACGTTCTTTTTGACACTGTGATAATCAATGCCAATGGCAATCGGAGAGATTTATTGTCCTTTCTAGGTAAAATATAGTAAATCTCTAGTTTCGAAGTGTACCATAGTTTCCTTTGACAAATTAACATGTCCAAGTTTGTCAGCGCTACTAGATCCAAGCCGAAGCGACATTGTAGACATTGAGATCAACCCTTTTAGTAGCTCCCCCAGTTGACACCAGCCGGGCGTGAAGCGCGTCACTGTTTGGAAATATTTGAGCCGTCAGGGTAGTCTCACCTTGGCCGCCGAAGACTTCCACACTAGACCGATCAACAAAGATGGTCAACTTGACCATGTCATTATTACCAGGCGCGAGGGGCCCGCGGTAGACGCTCGCGAAAGTTGTGTCAAACGACACATCTCCAGACTGGGTGCGATCAATGAAGACCTCTTTATTAACAAAGTCGTACCCAACAAGCGTCTGCTCGGTGAAATCTGCGGAGGCTCGAACGGCGATGGCGAACTTTGAAGCCGTCGAAGCAGCAGAGAAGCTCAAGTCAAGTTTGATTGTCTCTCCTGTAGTTCCCACGTTAACGGAGCCTTGCGGGATACTTTTATATGTGTGCGAGTAGGCGGGATGCTTTTTCACAATGGAAGACCAGGCTTCCTGAGGCTGCTGAATGAGAAGGGCTTTAGAACCAATGGTCTTGAGGGACAGGTGTCGAGGGATAGACATCGCGCTGCGCCAGGGAGTGGTGGGGATGTTCGTTCCGTACTGCCAATTGTTCATCCATCCAATTTGGACGAAGTCGTGAGCAGCGAGGCCATTGTAACCAGCCGACGCATAGAAGTCCGGCCCCAGTCCATCCAGTTGGCAGTTGCATTTCCGGGATACACGCTATCGTCATCAGGTGTGAAGGTGGCCCCGTCGAATTCGCCCACGAAGTACTGGGTTCCAGAACCAACTGTGCCCGGGGACCACCAGGGTTTATTCCGCTCGTGATGACCCACTTCATGGATTTCCCTTTATCAAGGGGAAGCTGGAATAGGCCAGGGCACTCCCAAACGCCGCCTTGGGCGTTGTAAGGACCGAATTCACTCGCCAGCTTCCAGTCCTTGAGATTTTCAGAAGTGTAGATTGCGAGCTTGTGCAATGCGGCCAGAGAAGTCACGACGACCCATTTTCGCGATTCCTCATGCCAGAACACGAAGGGGTCACGGAAGTTTTGGTACTGATCTTGGTATGGGGTGGGAGGTTGGTAGATGACTGGGTTTGCGGCATCGTACGTCGTCCAGGAGATACCTTGGTCAAGACTGTATGCGATGGACTGGGCCTGTTGATTCTCCTGAATGTACTTTCCACTCGGTAGGGTCTGCGCAACAGGGTACTGTAGGGAGAAAGTGAATCAGTAATCTTGCCACTCCCACTTTAGATAATGATTTGCTGGTATGATGTACTGACGTAGGACGTGTACATGGCAACCAAAGGGGTCTTGCCATCTTTTCCAAAGCCACTGGTGTTATCCACATCGACGACCGCACTTCCACTGAAGTACATCTCGGTGACGTTGCCACCATATCCCCGAGCTAGGAGGGCAATGGGCTGCTCCTCCCAGTGGGTGAGGTCCTTGCTGGTGGCATGGCCCCAGGACATGTTGCCCCACTGAATACCGCCAGGGTTGTACTGAAAGAACAAATGGTAGGTCTCATCATGATACAAGAGACCATTGGGGTCATTCATCCAATGTTCCTTGGGCGAGAAATGATATTGGCCACGGTAGGGCTGGTCATAGTTGAAAGCATTTGCAATGGCCGCCAAAAGAGGGGCCACAAGGGCGACGGTGAGATGAACCATCGTGCGACGGCTGAGGATTCACTATGGATTGGATATAGTAAGCACTGAAGATTTCAGGACGACACGGGCATTTTTATATGAGCCCATCGCTCCAGGCCCTCAGGCACCACACATTCTCCAGATTCCAAGTTCCCCATGGGGGACACAACTGGGGACAATTGATGTTCTGTTTCTCATGCGTTAAAGGTCGTCAACATCTTGGTACATCGAGCAAACGTTCAGTTACGCGACGCACGGAGGCCGTCGCTCTGGGCCTTCTTCGGAGAAACTCAAACCTAAATACCCAGAAAATGTCAAATGGTGGGGATGACATTTCAGTTTTCCAAAGAATTAATCTCGGGGTCCTGGGGATTAGGAGTTTCTTCGGACCGTAAGTCTCAAAAAGGGGCTAGTTCTGGAAAAGATACTTTGTGGATTCCTAAGACTTCTCTGCATGACTATGTATATCTCGATGCATGATAACATTGTATCTTGTCATCAAAATCACTAGATTATTAATCAGTGCTATGTAACCGACCGTTCCTATCGTACTGCTAGATATTCGCTTAGGACGGGCATATCTCGGGACAGCCTCGGATGATCTTTCTAGGCGTCAAAAACCCCGCGTTTGTTAACGTTGAGGCTAGTGTGAGTTTAAGGGGGTTCACATCCAGGATATACCCGAGTCACACCTAATACGCGATGACTAGAGATGACTAGTAATAGGGAAATGAGATCGGAGGAAAACATGTTGGCAGATGGATGTGGAAGAATGGAAGCTCCTACTACTACTAATTGGTGAATAAGGGTGCGGGTCGCGGCAAACCGGATACCCGAGGCCGCTTGGCTTAACAACACGCGGAGTTTTTCACCGGCAACCCGATGTGCTCAATGTCGTGATTTACATTGCACCGCTCGGTCTGGAATCATCATGTGGCCGTTCTCTCATCTTCCCGCTGATTCAGTTCCCATCGCACCCCGGACGATTAGTTGGCGTCGATTGGATCCACTACCCCGCATCTCCGCATTTCTGTACTTTTAAACCCTGGAACTATGCATGGAAAGAAAGCCCCGGGATTAGCCAGTTGTGTCTAAATATGTTCTACCTTTCACATTTAGCTGTACTGAGCAGGACGTGGCTGGTCCGGTGGCTGGTCCGACTTGGCTCGGACTGCGATACAGAAACTCTTTCAAGACCGATTGAACGCCCGATGGTTGTGCTCGGCGATATCTCGCAGATATACACTATATTAGTTCGGTCTGACTTCTTGGTTATTGGCTCCAATGCTGAAGCCCGTCGGCAAAATCGTTCTAGCTGGCCAGGTGCTCATACGTTTATTGGATGCTAATCTATCGCTCTCTCTTAACCGGGAAGTATAAGACGCAGATGCGTCTCTCCTCGGACTTCTTCTTTTTCTCCTTCATCCGATTTCTGTTATTCACCTGTCCACTTTACTCCAATTCTCCACCGGCTCCATGGGTATTTTACTCAAGAATCCTCAGGGGACGGCTGGCGCATCATGGCCAGCCATTGCCATCTCGGGCTTCGTCGCCTTTGGTGGCGTTTTGTTTGGGTAAGCTTCTCAAACTACAACGGTTATGGATTACATCTGATGTTTATCTTCACGAAGATATGACACAGGCACCATCAGTGGCATTCTTGCCATGCCTCACTGGCAAGACCTTTTCTCTACCGGCTATCGGGATGCTACCGGTCATCTTAATATTACTTCTAGCCAGTCGTCTGCCATTGTCTCCATTCTCTCCGCCGGAACATTCTTTGGTTCTCTCGGTGCCGCTCCTCTGGGAGACTCAATCGGTCGTCGATGGGGCCTAATTGCTTCTAGCTGGGTTTTTATTTTCGGTGTCATATTACAGACAATTGCTACTGCGATTCCGCTGTTTCTCGCAGGTAGATTCTTTGCTGGCTTCGGCGTGGGGTTGATTTCGGCATTGAGTATGTTTTTTACCCCTTCTCGTGCATCGCCTTTCACTGACTTGTATTACTTTCACAGTTCCGCTATATCAGTCCGAGACCGCACCAAAATGGATTCGCGGATTTATTGTCGGCTCTTACCAGCTAGCCATTACCGTTGGTCTCCTACTGGCTTCCGTGGTCAACAATTCGACTCACGGCCGGAATGATACTGGCTCCTATCGTATCCCGATTGCAGTCCAGTTTGCTTGGGCTATCGTCTTGATCATCGGCATGCTACTTCTGCCCGAGACTCCTCGCTACTTGATTAAAAAGGATAACTATGAAAGAGCTGCTAAGAATCTTGCCAAGCTTCGCCGTCTCCCTGAGGATCATCCTGAAGTCAGAGGGGAGCTTGCTGAGGTCGAAGCCAACCATAAATACGAGATGGGATTGGGCCAGCCCAGCTACCTCGAATGTTTCAAAGGAAACCTTGGAAAGCGGTTGCTCACCGGTTGCGGTCTCCAAGCACTGCAGCAATTGACCGGCATTAATTTCATTTTCTACTACGGCACGCAGTTTTTCAAGACTTCCGGATTCCAGAACGAGTTCGTAATCAGCTTGATTACCAACTGTGTCAACGTGGCTTCAACTCTCCCTGGCCTCTACGCTATTGATAAATGGGGCCGCCGACCAGTTCTGCTATTAGGTGCTATCGGCATGTGTGTTTCGCAGCTGCTCGTCGCCGTACTAGGAACAACGACCACCACCCAGGATGCCGCTGGCAACATTATTGTGCTCAACTACGCGGCACAGAAAGCCGCAATCGCCTTCATTTGCATTTTCATTTTCTTCTTTGCTGCGTCATGGGGACCTATCGCTTGGTAAGAAAGTCGTAGTCCGTTTCCCACGAATAATAGCTAATTTGAGGATATAGGGTTGTTACTGGCGAAATCTTCCCTTTGAAGGTTCGAGCCAAATCACTTTCCATAACCACGGCCACTAATTGGTTATTGAACTGGGCTATCGCCTACTCTACCCCGTATCTGGTAAACTACGGTCCCGGGAATGCAAATCTGCAGTCAAAGATTTTCTTCATTTGGTTCGGATGCTGCTTTCTCTGTATTGGCTTTGTTTATTTCATGATCTACGAGACCAAGGGACTTACCCTGGAACAAGTCGATGAGCTGTACTCCGAAGTCAGTAGTGCGCGCAATTCTGTTGGCTGGAAACCGACAGTGACATTTATGGAGATTGTCGAGCAAAAGGGATCGGAGAGTCATCACCATGATGAGCGTAAGGAAGAGACAAGTTAAGCATCGTGGTTTTGAAATGTCGAATGGAGACAGAGAACATATTAATATTTATATCGGCCCTTAAGGACCTCGTGATATCAGAGGTTTTTAACAACTTGAACATATGAGAACTTGAAAATTTGAAGTGATCCCAATCAAAGGATCAGGTAGTGTAGTATCATCAAAGGGAAGCCATCCTAGACAGCAACGACCTCGGGAAGAAGGGCGATTATGGTATAAGTTGATGCCTGAGGCATCAATCAACTCTTTCAAATACGTAATCCACGGCCGAGCTGGCCACACGGCCGAGCTGGCCACCCCATCCAAAATCGCGTCTTCCTACCACCCTACCTAATTCAACCGCCTACCATGCCACCAATTCGCACTGCATCTTCACAGAAATCGGCCAATCAGGAGGGCAAGATCCTATTAGCCCTTAATGATATAAAAAATGGCCGTATCAAATCTATTCGCGCAGCAGCGAAGCTCTATGCTATACCGCGTTCTACCTTACAGACGCGTGCCTATGGCACAGTCTCACGCGCTGATACACGCCTAAATGGCTATAAATTAACTCTATACAAAGAGGATTCGCTTACTGAGTGGATTATCTCTATGGATTTGCGTGGAGCAGCGCCAAGGCCTTCTACCGTACGAGAGATGGCTAATATTCTTCTTAAAGCGCGTGGAACAACCCCCCCCATTAACTGTTGGCGTTAATTAGGTATCAACCTTTGTGAAACAGCGCGATGAGCTTCGATCGCGCTTTTCAAAGCAATATGACTATCAGCGCGCTCTTAACGAGGATCCAAAGTCTATAAAAGAGTGGTTTTTGACAGTGCAACGTGCGATTGATGAGAACAGTATCTAACCGGAGGATATCTACAACTTTGATGAGACTGGATTCGCGATAGGCCTTATATCATCGCAAAAGGTGGTTACACGAGCAGAATACTACGGTCGGCGATTAATTCTACAGCCAGGAAATCGCGAATAGGTCACTGCGATCGAAACGATATGCGCTGACGGCTATTCGCTGCCGCCCTGTATTATATTCAAAGGCCAGGTTTATATTGCTGGTTAGTTTGAATCGTCGAATCTCCCTAGAGATTGGCGAATTAAAGTATCGAATAATGGCTGGACTACCGATGAAATCGGCCTTCGCTGGCTCCAAAAGATCTTTATTCCATATACTAATTTACGTGTACGAGGACGATTTCGGCTATTGATCCTTGACGGGCACGGTAGCTATCTTACACCTTAATTCGATCGAATCTGTGCCGAAAATGATATTATACCAGTCTGCATGCCTTTACATTCGTTACACTTACTTCAACCGCTTAATGTTGGGTGCTTTGCAGTACTAAAGCGTGCCTACGGTCGCTTTGTAAGCGATTTAGCCCGTACTGGCTATAATCACATTGATAAGCTTGATTTTCTTGCAGACTATCCACGCGCAAGAGTAGAAGCTTTTCAGCCGAATATTATTCAAAGCAGCTTCGCAGCTACTGGTATTGTACCAGTTAATGCCGATAGAGTGCTTTCGCAGCTTAATATTTCTCTCCGAACGCCTTCACCACCATCAAGCCGACCAAGCAGCAGATCTAGCCAATTCACACCAAAAACGCCTAGAACAGCGATTCAGCTAGAAAAGCAAGCTTCTATGCTTAAAGAGCTTCTAAAACAGCGATCGCATAGCCCGCCTACACCGTCAAAACTCATACTTGATCAGATTATCAAGGGCGCCTATCTATCGTTACATGGCGCTGTATTACTAGCGCAGGATAATACAAACCTTCGCGCAGCGAATGAAAAGAAACGCCAAAAGCGTACTCGTTCGACTAAGCAGATCACTCGCGAAGAGGGCCTATCGATCGAAGAGGGCCTACAGCTAGTTCAACAGCTAAATGAGCCTATAGAAGCTGATGAGGTAGTATTGCATGAACAGGTCGATCTGCCTAATCAGCCGATTCAACCGGCTAGGAGGGCTCCTCCTACCTGTAGTGGATGTGGAGTGAGAGGGCATAGGATTACTTCATGTAAAAATCCTATTATCTAGTTAAATTAATGGGTGTTGGCTAAGATAATCAATTTTGAAATTTTGCAATGGGGGTGGGTGGCCAGCTCGGCCGTGTGGCCAGCTCGGCCGTGGATTACGTTAACTAACCATTGAAATTGTTAGTCATCTACTAGTAGTAATAGTTCGTATTCCATTCTCAACCCCTCTCTCTTCAACACTACGCACCCCGCCTACACTTCTTGATTCTCGCAATGCCTGAATATAATCTAGATGTTCCAGCATCTTGCCCATTTCACGTAAGACGCTTGAATGAATCAATGTATATTTTCCGAGAACACGACAACTATGGCCAATTCCCAAACATCTTCGCGAAGATATGCTCAGCTCCAAACAGCGATGGGTGAGCTTCTGCCTCCAAGGTCGAAGTGGAAAGTGTGAAAAATCGAAGCTAATGAAGTCGGCAGTTCAAAAGCCTCGGTTATAGTTCTCAGTGATGCTGGTTGCGCAACATCTATCAAGGATGCTGATTATGGTGTTTCGGGAGACCCCGAGACACCTATGTATTGGAATATCTATACAACACTCAAGCATACAATCAATCCGGGTGGCCTGTTACCCTACCTTGTTATCACCACGCACTGTCATTTCGACCATATTCTGGGTCTTGGTCTACTACCCCCTACCGACTCGGACCTGCAACACCGGAACGTTGACCAGAGAAAAGGGCCACAAACTACAGTCCTTTCCTCGGCACATAGCATGGATGATCTAAGCCCTTGGAAGCGTATATGCTGTCACTCGCTCGCCAAGAACTTTCGCGCTACAGAATGTCCATATTACTCTATTGGAATGTGGGCGTCAGATTACCAGGATGTCGTGTACTCCCCTAGCACTACTGTGAAAATACCAACGGGGATCACGATTATCCACACACCGGGACACACTCCCGACTCGCTTACCTGGTACGATAAAGATTCTCATCTCATTTGCGTTGGGGACAGCTTCTATGAGGCTTCTTCTACGGATACGCAAGAATGTGAAGTGGAAAAGACGATCCGGGCACCGATTCTCTTCGAGGAGAGAAGTCATTTGTTGAGTTGGTGGAGGAGTTTGGACAAAGTGTTGGAATTTGTAAAACAGGAAAACGTTCGATTGGCAAGCCATCACACGCAGCTTGGGGCACCGCCACGCGTGGCTATATCTGCCTCTCATGTTACGACAACCTCGCCGGATGCTGTGCGATTCCTACTATCGATTCAAACTTTTATGATTCGTATCCTCCGAGCTGAAGTGCCAACCACGCCACTTGATGCTGCCAGGCTCCCTTTCCAAGACGTCATGGTTTATGATGATGGCCCCGGATCTGCATCATCCAATGATTTTGAGTGGATTGTTTGGGCACCAAAGCGCATAATTGATGAGGGCATCGAGGAACTAAGGGGGGAATATTGAAATTATAGAGCCAGAGGGGCCACATCATTATTTCTTTCGAAGGTAACGTATTTTAGTAGTATCGTGGAACAGAATAATTCACATTTAAGAATACTATCGATGAGGAATATTTAAAAATCGATGGGAACTTGAAGTCAATGCTACAGCTTTCCAGGTGTGTATCGAAGCGTTCGCCTCGTTTACCCGTTTAGGTCAAATTGCCGCTCCTGACTGTCGATAGCGGTCACTCGCTAGTCTTCCAGTCCTACAATACTTTGCACAAGTATGAGAGAAATATCATGGCATGAAGTCATGAACAAAAGCGGATGAAAAGAGAAAGTAGAACGGGAAAGAGAGAAGGAAGCAGCAGAATAAAACACTATTTTATCCTGTATCATACGGTGTCACAGGTGTCATCAACAGCAGCGTGGTCAAACTGTCAAACTGGAGCCAATCTAGAGTCCTATTCCAAGCCAGAAATCATTTCCTAGTCCTGTAAACCAAACCTATCTATGCGATATTTACCCTGGAATGCAATCTTGAAATTGCAACGATCCATGGAATCAATGAAGCAGACCCATTTTCCATGCCACGAAACCTACGACTCCAAATGAAGCTGTAACTCCGGTAAACGCAATAAGCCCCCCAAAGTTTGTTCCATATGCCGTGGCAAAAGACTCTGCGGTCCATGGCCATTTGGCATTGATCAAACCTTCACTTATGGGACCGCATGCTATGGAACCTACCCCTCGAACAGCTGTGAAAAGACCTAGCAGCAGTCCCCCTGGAGCCGATTGATCTCTCTCTTTGACCGCACGAACGATCCCAGGCCACGTTGCACTGGCACTCCCAGCAAAGGTCCCATAAAGAACAGCAAACACGCACAAGGGTGGCAACGAGACTGAGACACCCCATAGAACGACAACACCAAAAACAGTGCAACTTGTGGCCAAAAGAATTACATTTGCGACGTGCCAGCGATCGATAAGATGTCCAATTAGCAGGAACCCAACCACCATACCGGCGTTCATGGATGTCAGAGCAACTGTTGTCTTGAGACCAGATTCTCTAAACACCTGTCTAGAATATGTGGGCAGGTAAAGGGTTGGGGCAAAATATCCCAAGCTCTGGACCAGATTTCCCAGTTGAAATATAAGAAATGTTTGTGACTTTAAGAACCTGAAGCTGATCTTTTGTGGCCTTCGGGCCTGTGTAACGGGCACTGGAATACGAGGCTTCACAAATGGTAGGAAAGGACACACAAGTACAGCCACTATCACAGCCCAAGCCCACATGGTAACACTAAAGGAAAATCGCGAGAGCGCAAGCCTGGCCACATTTGGGAATATTACGCCTGCGACGCCGCTACCCGCCTATTTTTGTCAGTATTTCTCTCATGCTGGAAGGGACAAAGCTTACCCAACAGGCCCCAAATGCTAGCCCTTTCTTCCGCACGAACCACTCGTCAATGAAAAGTAATACTGGATAATAAAGCATACAGGCTCCGATGGCGTAGACAATGCCTTGCGTCAAGAGCAGCTGCCAAACACGGGTAGCGAAGGAAGACGATATAATGCCAATAAGTACAATTACGAGACCAACAATGCAGCTCATGCGGCTGAGATGTGGCCAGCGCTGAAGGATAAAAAGACTTATAGGTGAAGCTAGATACATGATACCCTAGCATGTAGTCAGTCAACAAGTTCGCGAATTGAGGTTTGCCACCTACCAAGGCGCATGAGCCTATCAAGGACACAGTGGAAGCATCGTGGCTGAATGGTTCATTTGTAGTATAATAATCCTGAAAGACTCCGAAGGAATAAGGAAATCCTTGAGTTCGTTAATATTTGCCTCGCCCTAATATATCGTATAATGACATACCCCAAACCATCATCTCGAGCATAAAGCCTCCTACGAGGCATAGCCAAGCATCTTTGCCTCCATCGACCGGCGGTAGCGTAAATTCGCGTAGTCCCGCGGCTCGACCATCCAAATTCTCATTATGTCGAACGCTCTTAGCCCGAAGTGGCTGTAGCGCAACCTCAGACGTACCGCCCGGAGAAGAGAGATAGGTGGTTTCTGGGAAATCATAGTTAAGATCACTGCTCCGGGCAGCTAGACCGCTTGGAAGAGATTCTTCAGTCATTTCGATGGAACGAAGAACTGGAAAATCCAAGCGAGGAATCATGGCCTTTTTCTTTAGCGTGATAGCCTTCCCATTTGATACTTAGCCTTGTAAGCTTGATAGTCATCCATCTCCGTTTCCTTATAACTAGTTCTATGTTGGATAGGGAACCCGCGCAAGTTAGCTGTTTTCGGAAAATAAACACGCCGGGTCAAAACCAGGCGGGAAACCAGACCCAACAGGGCTTATACCCCAGTAAGCCATACGTGTCCCTTTTTCCTGTCTCGTCGGTGAATGAAATTGTTGCAGTGCCTATCTCAGCAGTGTTAGTGATTGATATTATAAAGTCACATCAAGCCGACCCACTTTATTACGCAGTTGCGATTGAAGTTTGCTTTCATGGACAACAAACATGCCACCCTGAAGCAAACCAACGAGATGGAAATGATTACATAATCGTCGTGTATTCGAAATAAGTTTAGCATTAATGTTGCAGAGGCTGACTATCATGCAAACCAATCAAATCTGGAAGTTCTTGGTGTTGCCTCTCCCAGGCCATCAAACGAGACAACACGCATGATCCTAGGACTTAAACTGGACCAATATAAGCCCTTAGGTCTGCGAACTTTCTTGGGAGTCTCGCAGAATATATTAAAGCTGATTGTATAATCCTTCAACTGGTTCCGTTCGTGCTTTCGGTGACAAAAGTCCGTCAGGTATTGTAACGAACTGGTGTTACCATTCGTGGATGCCTTACGCCTACGGCATCCACTTAGATTCGTTCATCTCAGCTTCCTCCTTCTTCTTCTCCTCAAGCTATTACTTTTTGTCTAACCGCTACTACTTCATTGCATCGTATACTACACCGTACGTTGATCTGTGTGTATTTGAGCATCCCCACCCCTGCAGTCTCCAAGATACGATGCCACTCATAGTGTCGACTTCCAAGGTTGTAGTTTCCCGTGTATTTTCTATCTAGACCGCCAGAAATCCATTTACTAGTACTATCGGCAATCCCACCATAGATGTGAAACATCCTATCCTAGAGGATGAGTAGAGTTTAGGTACCAGGTTGCTTGTAATTATATATAGTACGTTTGATCTACACCACTAACTACTTAACTACTAGTAGTGTCAACTATCAGTTGAAATCTCTACGCCCAGTCTACCTAGAAGTAATATAGTAGAAATCTGTCATGGTAAACTTGAACGCGAAGCAGTCTGAGCCAGGCTCACGAGTATTTTCTACACCTTAATTACGCCCCTAGGCTGGCAGAGGTCTTGACAAAGTCCATTGAGCATGATATCACGTGTGCGCTAAACCTGATGGATCATGACTACGGCAGTCGATCTCAATTGCATCTGTAAATTTGCGCATACACTTTACGGTATCTCTGGCTCGTAGATGGGAGACCTCATACCAGCGGGCAATGCTTTGAAACCTTTGCCCTATATAAAGTGATGCAAGGTGATGCTGGCAGCTTCCAATACACCAACTTCATTCATTCTATTGTTGGGCTTGAATTTTGGGCATCTTGACTCGTATCGTAACTAGTAATGACCAAATCGTTAACGAAGCCAACTCTATTGAAATCTTTCCACATACAACCTGGCTTGAGTAGCCATCGTGATAAAGTGAACATGATTATCCAATATACCGGGCTTTTTTCATTCGCTCTCTTACGTAAAGCAATCACAATTGCGCAAAATTTTGGAACTAGACTGGAGTATTGATCCCACCGCCGGGAGAGTGAATGCTGTCAAATTAAGAGAAATATGTTTGCGCAGTGGTTACGACTTAACTTTTCTTACTATTGTAGCGCCAAACCTTTGGTTGAAGGAGAGCCTGGAGAGAATTGCTACCAGTGCCCGGTATATCCCCCAAGGGAGTACGAAGACGGTAGACATGGGAAATCCACCGGTGTGCATCAAATACGAGAGGGATATATTTATTTGATTACTTCATTCGAATCTCAGTAACTTAATAGAGTTGGCTGCTCCTTTTCGAAAAGTTTGATAAAACTGCCGATAACTCCAAGGACCCATTAAACTCATTGGGAAACTTCTGAGTATCTGGAACGTTTTCTCCTTTCCATTCGTATTACGTGCCGATCGAGAATGAGGCAAAAATTTCGGAGTTGGCGCTCCGGGAGTGGGGCCTGCCAAAAAGGTTCCTAAATTTGCTGGGGTTCGGGATGGAAGCCCGCGAATGGGCTTATTACCCCACAACCCCGGAAATTTATCAAACCCATGGAGTACAATATATAAGAAGGAAATCCTAGCTGCCTCAGTCTACATCCAACTTTCTTCCACTCGTCCATGCAAAACCAGACCTCCAAAACTGCAATGGCGTCGCGACTTGAATCTGATATCGCTTGCAAGGAAAAGGAAATCATGCAAAAATTGGATGGCAAACAGTTCGGAAATGCTGATGATGTTGATGAGAATGTTGCAGACTTCATTGAAGAGGATTATGCGACCCACGAAAAAAAGCCTTGTTCGAAAACTCGACATGACGCTGATGCCCACCATCTTCGTTCTCTATTTACTCAATTATTTGGATAGAAACAACATTGCGTATGTCAATATTCCACCCCTTACCGTTGCTTATATTTTGCTGATTGCCGCTATCTAAAGACAAGCCAAACTGGATGATATCGAAACCGATTTGGCATTGAAAGATAATGACTATAATATCGCCGTCTCGATTCTGAGCATTGGGTAGGATTTTGTGGTACACTCCTCTCTTTGAATAGCCAATTAACATTGTGTCTAGTTATATTTTGATGCAAGTTCCCAGCAACATGCTTCTCACTCGTGTCAGACCTTCACTTTACATTCCACTTTGGGTTTGTATCTGGTCGTGTCTCTCAGCAGCGACGGCCGCAGTCCAGAGCTTTGCTGGCCTGGCTGCTATTCGCTTCTTTCTCGGTATATGTGAAGCGCCATTTTTCCCTGGTGTATTCTATTTGCTCTCATGCTGGTATACCAAAAAAGAGTTGGCTCTTCGATATGCTGTTTTATACTCAGGCCTCGTGCTCGCGACTGCATTCTCGGGCCTTTTAGCAGCAGGAATTTTCGCCGGCCTTGAAAACGCCTTGGGGCTGCCAGGATGGAGGTGGCTATTTATTATAGAAGGCGGAGCAAGCTTAATTGCGGGCCTTGCATCATTTTTCCTTCTTCCCGATTTTGTTGAGTCAGAGACAGGAAGCACAAAATGGCTATTGAACGAAACAGAACGACGAGTATCCATCGACCGAATGAAGAGAGATGCTATATCCAACCAGGACATAAATCATTCTCTTATCCATGGCCTCAAGCTTGCTGCTATGGATCCAAAAACTTGGCTTTTTGTAAGTGATTTGTGGCTGAATTTCAGAGCTATCCTCGCTAGTCCAATTGAAAAGTCCTTCATGATTGCTAATTCGATAATAGGCTGTGATGCTATGTGCGAATCAAACTGCTTATGGTTTCAACTATTTCTACCCAACAATTGTTGAGGGTTTCGAACTTGGCTCTCGGACAATTACGCTTGTCTGCACCGCGCCTCCGTACATTGTCGGTGCTGTGGTGTCCTATTTCGTGGCTTGGTCTAGCGATCGGAAAGGTGAAAGAGGATGGCACATTGGCTTACCAATTGTGGTTGCTATCGTGGGATTTATCATCAGTGTCGCAGTGCTGAACCATGCGGCGCGGTATTGTGCCTCGTTTCTGTACATTTGCGGCATCTTTGGGGCTAATGCAACCCTTTATGGATGGGCGGCAACCACAGTGAGCGATACACCAGAAAAGAAGGCTTGCGCCACTGCCATGATCAACGTGATTGGGCAATTCGGAAGCATTTGGAGTCCGTATTTCTTTGATTCTGGGGATGCGCCTCGCTATACCAAGGCAATGCTGCTTCTCATGGCGTTCTGTGCACTTCAATTCGTGCTATGCTTTGTGATGAAAATGATATTGCGCCGGGAAAACAAGAAGATCCTCGCTCAATTCGATGGAAGCGGACGAGCTCCCAACCTGTACATACTTTAAAAGGGTTCCGGGTAACCCACTCGGCAAGCGAGATGGGCGCTCCGAAAAATAGCTGTGCATACTAAATGGCGGAGATGACAGCAAGATCAGGCAACAAGTTCGTTTTCATTTTATTTCACCTTCAAGTTCATTCGAATTTCTTTTAGTTGAAACTGTCGGTGACACATCCAATGTACCGCTGTATATCAATTTCAAACTTGGTAGGGTTGGAATTTAAAACCTACCCTCGTGCATTCCAGTTCTCATGCCAAGGTAGTCCAATGAATGACCTCGGGAATAATATCAGAATTGAACCCCCACGAGTCAGAAAAAATATAGTATCTCTTAAAGTCAATAAGTGAAAGAGTTTCTTCGGATTCCAAGATTCCAAGGTTCCCTAAAAGTCCTATTAGTAAAATCACCTAAAAACCTGCCAGTTAGTCTCTAGGTCCAAAATACACGGGAATGCAGTCAGGACGACCGTTGTTTGAAAGGATATGGCCAGGGGCGCTGAATCGAGTGTGGGGCCACGAAGTCACATCGGGTGATTTATACAACGGAATTGTGTTTGATTTAGCCAGGGAGAATGCTTTCCCTCTGGCTATCAATCGATCATTCGTCAGATTCGAAGCAATTGGCAAACGTCGTTGTATTCCACTTGGATATTACTAATATCTGGGCACCGGGCTCTTCTCACCCGTTTGATGTAATCAGGCGGGGTCTTTAATGACCCCGAATGTAGCATCATGCTGAGATTTATATGCACTTAATATTTCGAAATGTCCCTTCTTCCGTATCAGGGACCCTTTCAGACATTGGATGATAATGAGTATATCTTTGGAAAGCGGGCATGTTGGGAGCTCACATGGGCGGATAAAATTACAATATACCATAGAATGCCGTAGCTCGGTAGATCAAACTATACCTTTACACAAAATAAATATAAAACTGTTATATCAATGTTCAAAAATGGCGTAAAATATTGAAAATCTAGGGTTGAGGCGAAATGGTCAAATAAATAGGACTACTGCTTATTTTCAATCTCTTGTTGCAAATCCCGTAGATATCCGTGTCTTCATATGCTCAGCAAGCCGCCATGTCGACGAGATTTCTGTCAATGCAGTCTCGAGTGAAGAGTGGTCATTTTCAGCCCTAAAAGCCCCCATAGCCCTAGTAGCCTGAACAACTCCATATATGAGGACGATGGGTGAATACTTCAGTCCGTACTGATACCGTATATTCCGCACGATCGCAAATATTTCATCAGCGGAGGAAAGACAGATATCTCGAGATCTCTGGCTGATGTCGATTGTATTAGCTGAGAAGCCCTGGTCGAAATTGAGAGCGATACGAGCGCTATGGAATAACACCCTGGCACATTTGTTAGTTTTGTGACATTCGGGCCAAGGTTCATACGCAACAACATACAGGAGTGCAGCGAGGCTCGGTTTCAAAGGGCAAGCCATGGAATCCCATCTGTTGAAGCTAGCCCAACGTGGCAGTCGGGCTTGCCATCCATGCAACTCGATATTCAGAGAGTCAAGGATTTGCCGGCGATCGCTGCTATTAATTTCAGACTGCGAATTGAACAAGGTCCTGAACATCCTTTCAATGATCCTTGAAAGCTTGATTTGTTCTTTGACATAAGGTATCATAGATATATTACCCTTTTCATCGTCATCAAACCCAACAGAACGCCATGGTTTCGTGGTCGGTGAATCCCTAACCGATCATCAGCTCCTGTCAATTACGACGTATTTCGAAGCGTTACTGACGTCTGTGTTTGTAGATTTTCAACCTCTCCATCATCGTAGTCAAGGTGTACTGGCCTCCCAAGGATAAGGCTGATAAGTTTATCTGAAATGTAACAGCCCCAATAAATACGCCGGCGAATTTCCAAATCCTCGAGTGTTGTAAGGGAAAAATCACATGAGATCCAGGATTTAGGGTCTTTTTGGAAGCCGAGATCTTGGGCCATTCGAAACCCGATTCCTGTATAATTCTTTTAGTATCGAATAATGTCGAATATTTCTTTAGGAGATCAACCTGAGTAAGCCCATCCCTTGGAGGGGTTGCCTCGTCCAATTTCATAAAATGCCAAGCAAAGAAATGTTTGAACAGTGATGATTGATGGCCTTGTGAGACCTGTCACTAGAGCAATGCTCTCAGCTGCACCATAAAACTGCTCACTTGTGGTCCGAGCAGCAGAGTCATCTGAAAGCAGGGAGCCTAGTGCGCATATTGACAAAAGAAGCGCCGGGGACCAATATTTGCCTGGATTGCGACGGTTGAAGTGATCTCGCAAGAATGCATCACGATAAACAAACATAAGGTGAGGGTACTGCCATTTGAAAAATAACATCAAGGAATCAGAGACAACATCGGCATCAATATCGATTCCAAAATGATCTAAAACGTGATCAACGGTTGGTAATGATTGGACTTGTGACGCGGATGGTCCACTATCGGGGATGCTTGCTTCGGTACCGGATTCGAGACGGTAGATGCTAGTCGGCCCATAGTATGAAAGTGATCCTTCAGCTCCTGGCTGTAGTGTTAAAATGTTAAAATTCCCGATATCCGCCAAATCAGAGACATCCTGCTTCGATTGTCTGGGCGACACAGGGCTCAAAGATACGAAGGACCGGAGCAAAGCGTCTCGCTCCATGTGTCCCAAATGCTGAAGTTTGATGATGAAGTCCTCCAGCCAAGTTATGCGACTTTGCAGTAAGACGACATGATCATATGAGGCTGGCCGTCTTTTATGGTCCACTTCCCGATACTCGCATTGGATTGTAGCCTTAAAACAATTATGGCAGGGTTCTGTTCGCGAACATTTCAGCTGAGAGGGGTATGAGTTAGAGTACTTCGCTCGTAGGGAGGGTAAGGAAGCATTTATTATCCAAATTGCAGACGTTGGCAGCTTTACCTTTTTGAACTGGCACCTCTTACACCTTCGAATTTTGATTAGCATGGGGATCACCCTGTACTTGAATCTTACTACTTACGACAATCGATGCATGACTAATTATGTTCAAAATATTCAAAAAAGCATTGTTTGCACGTGCCACTTAGTATCGAACAGACCAGCGCTAAAAGTGTCCAGCATGAGGTGTCAAAAGGGTACAATGTGGGTTGCATGAGGCGAAGTAGTGGCGACGGCTGCGGAAGAGGTGATATTCCGACCTCAGATTTGGCATAGCCTCGGACTTTCTTCCCCGACACTTCATTTAGGCTGATGTGGCCATAATCGACCTGACCAACTAGAGGGTTAATTTGGATCGCTATGGACTTCCATCTCCGAAGCTCCATAGTTACTTCATTTCTTCAATGTAAGTATAGAATCAACGAGCTTTTTTTTTCTTAGCGTCGGGCAGCTGTCTCCGAGTATGATCTGTATCTAAACCTAAAGATGGAATGTTTGTAAATACTGGAATTGAGGAAGAACCCGAAAGTGCTACTAGGTCTATAAATTAGTTCCTACGTTCTTTCGTTTTATCACTACCTTCTTCGTTGTTTCAATCAAAATTTCGAGAAAAGGTTTCTCACTTGTGTCAATCACGATACTCTATTCACCATGGCTCCAGTGAGCGTATCCTCCACGCGTGTCGAAGAGTCCACCATCCACTCAAAGCACGAGATTCAGATTCCCCGGTCATCAATTGAGAAGTTCGAAATATACCGCCGCCTCGTTCCTCTCGTGTCCGAACAAAATATTATCCATGTCAACGCAGCATTTATGCCACCTTCCAATCTGATTGTGCGTGATGCAATAGATCAATTTTGCAACCAAGGTCTACATCACCAATCACCTAAGGCCAAATGGAAGAGCGATGTTGAAGAGCTGCGAGGGCTGGTTGCGAAATATCTCAAAACAAAGCCATCGTCCCTTGCTTTCACACGAGACACCACCGAGGCGATGGGCTCTTTCATGAACAGTCTCAACTTTCGTCCCGGGGACAATGTAGTCATTTTGGACTGCGAGCATCCAAACCAAGCATATGGATGGCTCTCGCTTCGCAAAGCTGGACTTGAAGTGAGGCAAGTGCCTACAATGCAAGATGGCAACGTGGCTGCTAACGCTGCAACTTTCGCTCCGTACGTGGACGAACGAACATGTGCAATCGGCCTTAGCTCAATCATGTTCCACAACGGGCAATGGAATGATATTGCCGATGTCGTTGCAGCCTTCAAGCCGCAAGGGATCCATATCCTTGCAGACTTGACTCAACAGGTTGGTTTCACGGATTTGGACATCCATGAATTAGGGGTCTCTGCCGCAGCATTCAGCTTGCACAAAGGATTCAACACACCCACGGGGCTAGCTGTTATGTACGTGAGTGATGAGTTTCTCATGGCAGTTGACCCTGTGCCACCCATCGTTGGCTACGGCTCCATATCCACTCCTTCTGAAGATTTCCAAGTTCCATCTGGTCCAATTTCCTTTCATCCGACTGCTCAAAGATATGAGCATGCAAACATGTGCTTAATTGGTGCTGTTGCTGCAAAGGCCTTTCTTCAATTACATCTGGATGTTATGAATCCCGGAAACATCCAGGGCCATCTGTACAGGCTTGGTGATTTGCTTCGTTCGGGGTGTGAGCGACTTGGAGTGGATATTCTCGGACCTGTCGATCAACAGCATCACGCTCCTCATTTGTATACCCTGAAACTGTACAATCCCGAATGGTGTGAATTTTTCAAGGCCAATAACGTGGTAGTGTCCACTTTTCGCTGGGGAGTGAGAGTCTCTTTTGGATTTTACAACAATGAGACAGATGTGAAACGGTTTCTTAATATCATCAAACGAGGGTTCGAGGAAGGGATTTTAGAAGACTAGCTCAATCAGGACAAGTCAAAATAAAAATGAGATTGTTTTTTTGCTGAATATCTAAGCGCAAATTGCGACATATTTCCCTTTTTACTGGACCCGCGGCAGCCCATGGAGACCAGGACGTCGCGGGATATGAGACTACCCACCCAATCGCATTAGATAAGTGATTAATCATGCGAGGGGCCTTTATACCCTCCGCAGAAGGACCTGCTATTCGTTCGCGGGCTATTACCTTCCAGGGTTCATATGTGAGTTTGTGTAAGGGCCGGTTATGTTCTTAATCGACAGCTTAAATTTTGAAATCGTCTCTATTTAGAGGTTTAGTATGTCTAGCATCTCTCCGTTACCATTCTGCGTCGCAATATCTGAAGCTGTTTGTCCTTTGTTATCTTTGAGAGCGAGGCAACTTCCATGTACAACTAGCACTCTTGCCAACGAAACGTTGCCGGAGGCTACAGCCCCATGAAGAGGGGTTTGTTGAAAGAAGTCTTGAGCATTCAAATCTGCCCCGTAATCAATGAGAAGCTTTGTGATCGATTCACAATTTTTCGAAACAGCTAAGTGCAATGGACGTTCCCAAAACCCATTCTTGATTTCGAGATCGGCCCCCCACTCAATGAACAATCTTGCCATGCGATAATCTTGATTTTGAACGGCAAGATGGAGTGCAGTGTGGCAGATACAGTAAGACGACCTATCGATATGACCGCTTACATTGATATTAATTCCTCGGTCGAGTAGGAAGCTTGCTAGGGCCAAATGACGATTGACGGCAGCTCTATGTAGCGCGGTATCTCCACGGTAAGACACTATGTTGATATTTGCTCCGTGGTCAAGAAGGATTTTGGCAATTCTTTCATTTGCAGCGACATGAAGAGGGGCAGCGGAGTCCCATTCGCTTTGGCCAGGAAAGCGATACGCACAATCGACGTTTGCACGCATTGAAACCAGCAATCTCACACTTTCTTCACTTCCTTTCATGGAGCACCAGACCAGAGCCGAGCTGCCAGACTGGTCGATGTTCCGTTTGTATAGATTTCGAAGAAGAAGACGATAAAGCACAGTATTTGCTCTCATGAGTGCAGAAATGTCCTTCTCTGTTTTCAACTGGCCGCCAATCAGCCATATTATTTCGGCGGGAAGGGTCACGAGAGACAATTTGGTCATCGTGGAAATGAGAACAAGTGCCGTATCTCTAGATTGCCAACGATGATTCAATTATCAATACCCCTCGGCGTGACCGGGGAATTTTATCGGCTAGTGCGTGACTCGTCCCTGGGTCGAGTAGAAACCACAGGAATCGCCATTGGCTGTCATTGCGGCAATAATTCCAAGTTCGTCAAATCAGAGTGCCAGGGGTAGACTGCGACAAGCCCCTCATATTCTACCTGTGGACTTGAATGTTGCAAATAAGTCCATAAATAAAGGGTATTGACATACTTAGTCCCAATAAGGAAAAGCTTCGAAATCTTTGTATACGAGTTTTAGGGTATCTCTACCCATCGCACAGCCTGGGACACGATCGGCAATGTCCGGAGACGCAACTCCGAAATTATTCGGCTACATACGAAAATCGGGCTAGTGCCATTAGACCTGTGCAGACCCATTGGCAGACCCGCCCATAACCCGCCGTAGCGGAGCCGCTAGTAATAACAGGAATATTTAGGCTTTTCTTGGCAGTATGAATCTTGTATCAGTACGGAGTACTACTACCATTATTACTCAACTGTGGCAACTGAGCTGGCAAGACTATACATGTGGCCCTAGGCCTTGAATAGTACACTCACTTACGGATCCTCGACGGTAATAGAAAAATATCTGATAGATTTGAAAAGTCATGATATTCTCCTATTCCTACGTAAACCCTCATATCATCGGGGAAATACAATCTAAAAAGCAACAACGGGGTTAAGTCGTTAACTCATCCCAGGGGGAAGATAGTCCAGCTCGAAGGCTGGATAAATAATACTGCAAATAATATGACGTTATGTGTCCTCGCAACGCTAACCATCAAGATGTAAGCTAGAACTGCATGCACATGAGTTACTGTATTGTTGTCTTTAAAAAAGGGATGCACACATACTTCACCCTTCGCAGTCCTAGAAAAGTCTATTTAGCTACCCCAAAGCACGCTGGTAAAACGTTCAACAAAGGTCCTCTTGACTTCCACGTCTTCTTCATCACCATACAGCTTACTCCACTGCATTTGCAGGCGGAATGAGCGACTCTACCCCTGGAGCACTGATTGCTAGCATTGAATAAGTATCATGATCGGCTCGTTGACGCCTGCGATAGTACTAACTGTTATGAAGAGAATATATTATAGACTACGGTACCGTCTTTGTTATTTTTGTATGTAATGCACTTGGCTTTATCGCGGCTGCATTCTTCATCGGCGCTTTGTCTCAAAAAGCCGGAACTGCGAAAGTTTTGATAATCGCTCAAGCCTTGTTGATTCTGGGATATGCGGTCATTATTATCACCCCGCCGTTTCCTGCTGTGGCTGCATCGTAAGAAAGTCTCCTACTGATCTTTATAGTGTCGCTAATTTGGAGTCCAGATTCTTCGTTCTCGGCGTTAGTGCGGCGATAAATCTTGCGATCGCACAAGTTTTCTGCTCAAATTTACCAAACAATACAGGAGTTCTCGGAGGCTATCAGGCCTCATATGGAATCGGTGGAATCAGCGGTCCTTTGATTGCCACCACGTTCATATCCTCAGGAAAGATATGGTCGCGATTCTACGTTATTGAATTAGGACTCGCGGCGTTCAATCTCGTCTTCTGCGCCTGGGCCTTTTAGAACTACAAACTTAAATCAGTTTCTGACTTTTCACCTGCGACTGATGAACGATTCAACGATGGCCGTCATGAGTCGAAAACACGTCGGTTTAGCCAAAGAAAATTGCAGTCTTTCAAGCTACTCATCTCAAACAAACCGACAACTTTAGGCGCATGCTTTATTTTTGCCTATCAAGGTGCAGAGGTTGCAATCTCTGGCTGGGTTATCTCTTTCCTAGTCCAATTCCGCCACGGTGATCCAAATAAAGTTGGATTCGTGACAGCTGGTTTCTGGGGTGGCATAACGCTGGGTAAGCCTGCAGGATCCGAGGAACTGATCACTACTTATTTTGAAACAGGGCGCTGCACACTATCATTTGTAGGCCATCGAATTGGGGAACGGCTGTTTATATTCATCGTCACTGCTGGAGTATGTTGATACTACTACTACTAGTAGTATTTCATCCTCTCATTTTTCTCTATAGCCGTATCGCTGATGTCTCCCCATTCTATTGTTCTCGAACTTCTCATCTGGTTTGCGCCATCAATAGTAGGCAACTCGGTCGCCGTGGCCTTCTCCGGACTAATACTGGGTCCCGTGTATCCCTGTGCGACGCATATCTTCCAACGTCTCATACCTCGAAAAATGCCAATTTCGTCGCTGTCCCTCATTGGGTCTGTCGGAAGCTCTGGTGGTGCTATAGCTCCGTTCATGACCGGGATGATTGCGCAGCGTGCTGGCACATTTGTACTCCATCCGATCTGCATTGGGCTGTTTGTTTGCCTTGGGGCACCTGGTGGCTTCTTCCGGGGCCGGAGAAGAGATCGGAATGATCTTTCAAACTTGAATATTGGAATAAATTCCAAGGTTATATAAGGCCTGGAGGAACCTCGGGATATTATCCTATTTTTTAATCCAAGGCCGCGGGGTTTGGGTGGGAGGGGTTGATCTGTCAGTTGCTGTGCACTGGCAGTCATGAGTGCACGTTAATAGTAAATAATTAGGTATACCATGACCCAGGTGTGTGCGCTGACAGCTACTGCACCAGATAGATACATTCAGGTTTATATCTACCAAATGGTACTAGAAGTAGGTAGGTAGTAGATAATCAATTTCGCTATATTAATTTTCCTGACCTCTTCTCTATTATATATATATTGGTAACTGTAATGGGTTGGTTACTTGTCACAGTGATCACATGTGAAGTTCCATGTCTACCTAGGTACGCTACGTCAACAGGACTAGGTCCCGAAGGGGCAGTATTACCGTTACCTTAGATCTCAACCAATAACCAAATTGGAAGTTGGAATGATTCATACATCCAAAGGCTCGAAGACAGAAACAGTGGGAATATTAATTTTAATCAACCTGATTTTTTTTTTTCTTTCGTTGTAGTAGTATGAGTGCCTGGTTGTTGAAGATGATAGTTTAATGCAGGTCGCTCGGAGAAAAGTGTTCGCAGTAATGAGAGGTTCAAGTTCGCAGGACTGGTTGGCCGGCAGATACTACTAATAAATACCTAGGTATTTAAAATTAATTATAACTATAATTATTTTCTATTCTTCATTACCAATATCCAGTATATCCTACTATACGGCGCTGATATCCCACATGTAGTGTCAAGTCAGCTGACTGCACAGCACTGACCTTCGACAACTCACCTTCTCCTCTTTCTCTCCTCCACCCATCGCTGTCAGGTCCCGCACGTTTCCGAGATGACCTTCAATTTGACTTCCGGTGCCCTGGACTAAGAGCGGGGCCCACTGGCTCTGGATCTGGCACTGGGTACACTGGACTAGGCCTGACCCTGACAGGAACTGGGAACTGGAACTGGAACTGGGAACTGGGAACTGGGAACCACCGCCATGACGCTGTCCTTGACTGGGCTAGCCCCATCACTGGCCCTCAGCCTAACTTCTATCAGTACCACCACCACCACCACTTCGGCCTCATACACCCCCGCCACCCCCTTCCCCCCCTCCATCTCCTTCCACAATGGCCGGGTGGCTCGGTTGGTTCTTTACGTTCACCTTTCAGGTCGTTCCCCGCGGCCTGTATTGGTTGATCACCTTCACAACCATCACCCTGCCTACTTGGCTCTTCACCCTCTTCTCAATGAGCCTAACCTTCACCATGAATTTCACCACCCTCATGCTGATCTTTCTCGCCGTCGTCTCCACTGTGAGCTGGTTCATTCGATACCGCTTCCTCAACATGTACAGCCGTTTACCTCCCGAGCCCCAACGCAAAGAAGCCCAGATCGACCTCTTCCCCGATATCCAAGAAGGCGACTCCAAACCCGGCCTCGCCAACTACCTTGATGAATTCCTCAGCGCCATCAAGGTGTTCGGTTACCTCGAACGACCTGTCTTTCACGAATTGACCCGGACAATGCAGACAAGAAAGCTGATCGCCGGCGAAACACTCATGTTGGAGGAGGAAAAAGGCTTTTGTTTGGTGGTGGACGGCCTTGTGCAGATCTTCGTCAAGTCCACCCGCGAGAGCAAAAACGGATCGGAAGAAACCTTGCATTTGGACGATGACAGCTCCGACGAGGAGGACAACAATACCAATGGCCGACAGGGCTACCAGCTGCTTACAGAAGTGAAGAATGGTGCCTCGATGTCCTCTCTATTCTCCATCTTGCAACTGTTCACCGAGGATATCCAATTGCACAAATCGCACAACTCCAGCTCCAGCGCGTCGAGCGTCAGCGGCCATGGAAATCACCGCGCCCCCGACTCCATGCCGGTGAGTCCACGCGTCGAAATGATGGATAGCCCACAATCCACCGTAAGAGATGATCTAAGCGACACAACCATCATGGACGGCCACCCAGAGCCTTTCGCTCCAGTGCCACCTTTGCATTTGGACGATAGACATGATACCCCAAACCGAACACCACAACCACCCCCAAGACGACGCCGCAAATCAGTTCACCCAGATATCGTCGCCAGAGCGACTGTAGACACCACCATCGCCATCATCCCAGCCAGTGCGTTCCGCCGTCTGACTCGGGTCTACCCACGCGCCACTGCACATATCGTACAAGTGATTCTCACCCGCCTCCAGCGAGTCACATTTGCTACCGCCCACTCGTATCTCGGGTTGACGACCGAAGTGCTCAGTGTCGAACGGCAAATATCAAAGTACACCACCTGGGATCTTCCGAATGATCTCAGAGGTGGGGCGCTCGACCGACTGAAAGACAAGTTCATGCGCGAAAGGGATCGCTTGGGCCCGGAGGAGGTGGTCAAAGGAATCGCGCTCCATAATCCGTTCGCTGGACGTAGACGACGCTCAAGCAGCTCGCTTAGGAAGGATGTTGTGTTGCAATCGCGCATGACCAGCGATCAAAGGCCCATCCTACCGACCCGCCAGTCAAGCGTGTACAACGGAGACAGTACGGGTGTAAGCCCTGGTGACTTACTATCCACCATTCAGCTCTCTCGATTCGGTCCTCGCCATGAGCTCATGGGACCACGCTTTGGAACCCCCGTGGCTGAACGTGAGCGTGCGCCATTCCGACCAGCAGGAATTGATGGCAGACCTTCCCCGTTCCAGCGGAAGGACTCGATTGATGAGGACACTATCTTCCGTGAATCTATCCTGGACTGCATGATGAAGGGTATTGGATTGACTGAAAGTACGCGGGATTCGTTGCGGAAAGGTAGTCATGTCTCGGGTGACGCTTCTCCCAGGCTACTGTCTTATGATTCCCGCCGACAAAAGGCCGTCTTCTCCAATGCCTTTGGCTTCATCGATCCCTACGAGGGCTCTGGAGATGGCGAGACCGAGTCTATGATGTCTATGTCGGTGACAAGTGCAGGCGGGACATCACCCGTCGTCAACCTGCGTGAAGAGCTGCGACACGACATTGAAGTCGTATACTTCCCCCAGGGCTCTGTGTTGGTGGAACAGGGCGAGCGCCCTCCGGGTCTATACTATGTGATTGATGGCTTCTTGGATGTGGGCATTCCCGTAAATGAACGAGGTGATGATCTTGTCGGGTCTTCGCGTCCTTCGGCCTCGTCAGCCCAGGAAGAGCTGTTCCCGAAACTGAGACGTACGACCACTGGTTCCTCGCGCGCATCTGGTGCGACGGGGGCCAGTGATTCGCGTCGCAAGGGACAATCCCGCAAATCCCTGTACTTGATCAAACCAGGCGGCATGCATGGCTATGTTGGTGCGCTCGCATCTTACCGATCCTATACCGATGTTGTTGCCAAGACCGATGTCTACGTTGGATTTCTCCCACGGGCGTCTCTCGAACGGATTGCAGACCGCTACCCCATTGCTTTATTGACCCTAGCTAAGCGGATAACTAGCCTACTACCCCGTCTACTTCTTCATATTGACTTTGCACTTGAGTGGGTGCAAGTTGGCGCCGGACAAGTCATTTATCACCAAGGCGACGAGAGCGATGCAATTTATCTCGTCCTGAATGGCCGACTGAGGTCCGTCCTCGAAGGCCAAAATGGCAAAATGACCGTCACCGGGGAGTATGGCCAGGGAGAAAGTGTTGGCGAGCTGGAGGTTATGACCGAATCTACTCGACCCGCCACTCTACATGCGATCCGAGAGACGGAGCTGGCCAAGTTCCCCCGCTCTCTCTTCAACAGCCTGGCGCAAGAACATCCTGGAATCACGATCCAAGTTTCAAAACTCATCGCCCAGCGCATGCGTGACTTGGTTGAGCACCCCCTGTCCGAAAAGGGTCTTGAACAAGGCCAGGCTAGCGGGGTGCAGACAGCTACCTCCACCATGAATCTCCGGACTGTTGCCATTGTCCCTGTTACGGTCGGGACTCCTGTTGTCGAGTTCGGACAACGTCTGCTTCACGCACTGCACCAGATTGGTGTGACCCGAGGCGTCACTTCGTTGAATCAAGCCGCTATTCTGAACCACTTGGGTCGGCACGCTTTCAGCAAGATGGGAAAGCTCAAGTTATCACAATACCTTGCTGACTTGGAGGAGAAGTATGGACTGGTGCTGTACATCGCCGATACCAATGTCAACGCGCCCTGGACGCAAACTTGTATCTCGCAAGCAGATTCCATCCTCCTGGTCGGTCTCGCCGAGTCCTCTCCTAGAATTGGCGAATATGAGCGATTCCTCCTCGGCATGAAGACTACTGCCCGCAAGGAGCTGGTCCTCCTCCACGTGGAGCGGTACTGCCCTCCCGGACTAACCCGGCGCTGGCTTAAGAACCGAGTCTGGATCAATGGCGGGCACCACCATATCCAGATGGCATTCCGGCTCTCCAACGAGCCCTCGCACCCTCAAACCAAGAAATTCGGCACCGTCCTCAAGCAACGCGTTCAGATCCTGCAGGCAGAGATCCAAAAGTACACTTCACGCCGCATTAACCAAACACCACTATACTCTCCCCAAACGCCATTCAAAGGCGACTTCCACCGTCTCGCCCGTCGTCTCTGCGGTAAATCCGTCGGCCTAGTTCTAGGCGGCGGTGGAGCTCGCGGTATCTCCCAAGTCGGCGTGATTAAAGCCCTCGAAGAAGCCGGTATCCCGATCGACATCATTGGAGGCACATCGATCGGCTCTTTCATCGGTGCCCTCTACGCCCGCGACGCAGACGTTGTCCCCATGTACGGCCGCGCGAAGAAATTCTCCGGCCGAATGGGCAGTATGTGGCGATTTGCACTGGATCTCACATACCCGACAGTATCATACACAACAGGCCACGAATTCAACCGAGGAATCTTCAAAACATTCGGCGACAGCCAAATAGAAGATTTCTGGCTCGAATTCTACTGCAACACAACAAACATCTCCCGGTCAAGGCCTGAATACCATTCCTCCGGCTATGTATGGCGCTACGTCCGAGCCTCGATGTCATTGGCCGGTCTCATCCCACCGATCTGCGACGAAGGGAGCATGTTACTGGACGGTGGCTACATCGACAATCTAACAGTCGCCCACATGAAATCTCTCGGCGCAGACGTAATTTTCGCCGTGGACGTCGGTTCAATAGACGACAATACGCCCCAAGGCTACGGTGACTCATTAAGCGGATTCTGGTCGATTCTCAATCGCTGGAATCCATTCTCAGGCTGTCCGAATCCGCCGACTCTTTCCGAGATCCAGGCCCGTCTCGCTTATGTCTCTAGTATTGAGAATCTTGAGCGCGCGAAGAATACATCTGGTTGCCTTTATATGAGGCCGCCGATTGATCCGTACGGGACGCTTGATTTTGGCAAATTCGATGAGATTTATCAGCTTGGGTATGCCTATGGGAAAGAGTTTTTGGATAGGCTTAAGAATGAGGGGTCGTTGCCTATTCATGAGGAGACGGAGGAGAAGAGGAAGTTGCAGCGGACTATGGCGCCTAGACGGGCTAGTATTTGAGGGGATTTGCTAGATGAGTTTGCTTGGGGGTTGTGGTCGATTTGGATTTCCCTCTCATAGAATAGATAGAAATGAAATGAACTTGTAAATATCATAATCTCATGAATACCAATCAGCTTCCGCTAAATACTTATCCGTCGACGAAGACTGCGCCACATGATGCGACGTAGGTATCCATCTCAAGCCTCATGGGAACTACAGCCAGAGGTACCTAGTCAGCAGGCATCGGGCAATAACCCTAAAGGTCCGAGTCAACACACAGGTAACATCTGACCAATGCTAGACCTTACGCAAACACTTATCACTCGGCAGTTTCCATGTTCGTACCTTGGTTGGATCTATGGGATCGCCTCGATTCGCGATTTGCTGGCCATTGACGTCATAGTAAGAGATTTAATATAAACAAACTCAAATCGAACCACATTGCGTAATTCCTGTTTCTGGAACTTATAAGAAGACCGGAGGATAGAGATAATCTAATGAAATAAACTCGAATTATCCCGACTCTCGAAGAAATATTTTTATCGATATCACTATATCAAGGCCCTAGTCGTGTACCGATAACTAGTATATTCAGAGTCGATCTTGAATACGTGCAACTTCAACCTAACTCGAACTTCCAGCTAACTCCAAGCCAACTCGTACTTCAAACCCAACACAATGAACGTCCCGGATAGCGTGAAACAACACCTCCCGTCGGAACAAGGAGATGGGACAGGGATAAATCAACTTAGCCCCGCTGAGAAAGAAGAGAAACAATCCTACAAAGCCTGGGCTCAAAATGCATACAACTCACAATACGAATCCTGGATGCCATGGATAGAAGATCAATATTTGCGATGGTTCGGAAAGGGTGATAATAAAGCTTCCTACGTGACTAAGGGTATGTTCCATTTGTGAAAATTCCAGTTGAATGTTCTCTTTTTCTATCGACGTATGCTAACTACTGGGCCCTGCTATGAATAGACTCCTTATCCAAAACAAAAGTCACCGGCATCGATCAAGTTGACCAGGTTCAAGATGATACGTCGAATCTGGTTGGAAATCAGATTGGGGATAAGGGTCTTTTGAGACCGGTTGGTCAGTTTGTTTCAAAGGAGGGGATTAATCGGGCTGAACGGGGTGGGAAGGATGAGAGAGGGGAGTATTTGGTTGGTCAGGGAACGAAGGCTGGGGGCAATGGGGGTGGATTGATTGGTTCCATTGGGAGTGGTGTTTCTGGCGGTGTTGAGGGGGTTAAGGGGGTTCTTGGTGGTGGTGGGAAGTAGTTACGTGGAGTTTGAGACGTGCGATTGATGTGCACGATGGTGAACCTCCGGATAGCCGTGCTATCTTCTATTTCATGTTTGTCTTCCTTATTTGCACAAAGTGATGCTGTGCTATCATGAAATACATTCAAGTTGCAGTTCCTCGTCCGGGCGCTGTGGAATAAGGGATAAAACCGTATCATTGGAAGAATAGAAAGTTACCTGGTCTGACAATGCCGCGCTTTCGAATACAGGGGGGGGTTTGCACCAGACTTCGCTCAGGTGGTCTAAGGTCAGGTTTTGAGGTGTGATGTCGAGGAGTGTAATAAGAAACTTGGTGAGAATGGGAGATTTATTTTCGGTTATGAAATATCCTCGTGATGTGCTGGTAGATAGTCATCTATTTTGTGTTTGAATCACGCTTCAATTTTAGCAGTTTCGTTCAGCACCATAATCCGTGAACAGGCGATTTTGAGATGACTCTCCCCCGATGAGACCAGGCTGTACAGGTTTAATGGACTTCATCTTTTGGATCATTCTAGCAACCTCCTAGTTAGCGATTTCTCCTTGGGTGTGACATGATAGGTCGTTCCCGCACTCACCCAGCGGTTGACCTTGGACAAACTTGAAACTCATCAGACCCAAACAGAGATGAGATGGAGTTTATGGATGGATGCAATATGCTTCGAGAGCATAGAAAATGATCAAAAATATTGCGGATGGTTTTTGACCTCAAATGCGGGATAGACCCGTGGATCTGGAATGGTCATCATGGAAGCAAGAAGACGGAGCATGTTTGCTTCGTGATTCATGCCATTCCTATCACCCTTCAAGACCAAGGTTTTCGAAAGTCGCACCACCATCCTACTGCGTAGCCGGTAGAGAAGGAGCAGAGTCGAGCGGGGCTATCGGATCAGAATCTGTGACGGGATAGTGAACTTTACCATCGCGTGGAAAAGTTCAATCGGGGGTTTGACTGCTTGGCGTGGCGTAGGGATGTTAAAAAGAAATTACCAATAGCTGATATCGTGGATTAACATACATTAGTGAATTAGTCGTTGATTTTCACGTCATGACAATAAGCTATTGGCAATGAATGCCGGGAGTATTCATATTGGCAGGTCCTCGAATGGTTGCATGGGTTTATCAGATGGGCACACCCGACAACAACATAACAACAACAATGAAAGATGAAGATATGAAGAGGGAGAAGAGAGAGGAGAGAGGAGAAGAGAGGGAAGGTATCGACAAAGGAAGGGCAGGCACGATGACGCGGATGCCTGAGGTTGTACCTACTAGGGCTGCCTGAGGTGGGGCAGTCACGCTTCATTCATTCACCTTTGAAACTTTTCCCACAGTGTGTTTTCGGCTTAGATTCAATTGGTTCTAGGCTGAAGCACCAAACTCTCATTGCCAAGCCTCTGATCTTGAGCCAGATAGCTGTATGGCTACTACTACATAGACCGCCGTAGCGACATGCCATGTCTATGAGCATGATAGGCAATTATTTAATGGAATGAACTAGTGGCAATTACCACACAGAACCAGACAAGTAGGAAAATAGTCATGTATCCACTCTTCTAACAGTTCACATGCATGGATTTGTCTAGGAGATCATCCCTGGAAGGAATATACGTTCGAGATTTGCCCGCCTACTTCTTAAGGAAGCGTAAGAAAAGGCACACTCCAATATACACCATAAGAGCGAAGGGTTGGGCATACACGAGATTTTGAAGTGTAGATAATGGTAAAAAAGCGGTACAAAGGTTTGAGCTTTCGAGCAAAGTCCGAATAGAACTCCGTGTCGGTGGCACTAGGTCCTGAATCAAGAGGGAGTTCAGGGTCATCAAAAATAGCCCAGTGAAAGGAGTAACGTAGTGGAAATTGGCCAGAATATCAAGGATTCCATCAATGGGACTCAGGGAAGTCTGAAAGGAGACACCAGCGATTGTCAATAATAGGATGATGCACTCGAAGATACAAACAGTGACAGAAAAAATCGTGTTGCAACCAAGAGTTCTTCTCTGGTGCTTCCAATCTGTATTGGGAGCATGAGGATCATCGACCTCATCTGCAATGACGACCTAGCCGCCAGAATGTGAATCTCGTGGTGTCTGGCCTTGGGCTTCCGAGATTTCAATTTCAGATGGCCTAGAATCGGTTGTTCGGCTTCGATTTGGATCTTGAATATCTTCCAGATACACCTCCTTAGCGCAGAATAGACATGCAATGCGGAATGGGAACTCACTATCAGCAAAGTATCCCGCCAATGTGAAGAATGGAGCTGCAAGAAGAACCAGGGCCACAACCTGTCCGAAGCCACGATTACTGGTATCTTCGCCGTAGGGTTTCTCAAAGCCTTCCAGAGCAGGCCGATATAGTGCTTTGACGAGACGTATCAAACCCCAAATGAAAGCTACCAGCAGCCAGCCAACCTAATTCGAATAAGACTCGATATAATAGAATTGCTGTAACAGCTCTTACCTCAAATAGAACGGATGTCCAGAAATCCAAGAGAAATCTCGATTCGAGAAAGAGAGCGAAAAGAGGATAATAGTAGAGTGTACGTCTCAGGCTATGCGGAGACCCGGTTTCACAGCTTTCATAGACAGTTAGAAGTCTGCGCCGTGCGTGAGAACTCAAAAAGGATCGAACTCTGCCAATCCCATTAACAGAAACCCCTTTATACATTTTCAACGCGCGTGAGATAAATCCGATCAATATCAGAAGCTCTGATAATACCATTGATACGAAGGCTGAATTTGTACTTGATGATACACGCAGATGGCAAACCGTATAGCTGTTGATCCTGGGATGCCTCTCATCCTTGTGACCTTCGTCAAGGGCCCAAGAATAATTTCCTGTGAACCCCAAGGCCACAGCTAGCAATGTAGCTAATAGTCCCATAGTGCAGAGTCGCCACCCACGCTCAAAAGCATGACTCGAAAGATGATGCCGTAAGACGGTCAAGCACGAAAGATGGGTGAGACTCGAAAACCAAGCCAAATCAACAAGAACCAACCAATGATAGGTCGATAAACCACATGGCAATTGTAAGAAGCCGCTGAAAAGGATCGCGATTCCAGTTATAAACTGAAGATCGCTCATACTAGAAAAAGACTTGGAAGAATGTCAATATCTACATTCAAATTCCAGGGCCTTGAGCGCTAATCACCTTGATGAAGGAAGTTTCGAAGCGAGAGATGGAGTGACGGCTTTGCGTGCGGGCCGAAAATTTCATTTTGAAATGGTGGCGGATGAAAGTTAACACTAGCACGTCGACTGGATTCGGACGAAATGAATGTTGTGGTTGTGAAGGTAACGAATCGTTGCCAATTTCTTCGAACGGATCGCAGGTGGGTTGGTATGTGGCAAAATAGTAAACGATAATTACCAAGACAGCAATCAATGATGTACCCACAAAGTTGGCGACGACCTATAATGATCAGTATATCCAGAAATTTGGGCTTAAGATGTAGAGCCGCGCACCCCAATCCCTGTTATGTCGCTATTTGAGGACCAAGTCGGGTTCATATCTGAACAGTTGCAGTCACAGGATGGCATAGTGATACCTCACAGGAAGCAAGGCGGTTATGAATAATGAATGTTGTTGAAGGTACTTTCACAATTCACTCCGACGACCCGAAAAGACAGAAATAAACGAGGCCGATCGAGGTGAGTCGAACTCGAAGGGAAGGTAGACGGGGAAAAGGATCATGGTCCGGTTGCGTAAAGGGAGAGCGGATGCGAGAAGAAGCAAGTACGGGAGGCTGCATCGTATAGGTCACGCTCACAAACCAACTCTCCCGTTGACTGGTCGGTAAGAAAAAGGAAGGAAGTCTTTCCAGGTGTCGCCTCATGTGCTGCTTGCGCCCCGCATAAGTTGGCTATTTTTGTGTGAAGTATGATTGGTTCTTATTGTGCCAAGAGAAAACCCAGGCGAAAGCTGAATCAAGCACCAGTTGGTATTTAGATCCTTTAGCAAAGGAATATTGGGCACGGGGATGACTCACGTGGGTTGGGAATGGTGGTTTGTTAGCCGTTTCCTTACTGGGTGTAAACCAGCACTTTAGTGTCGCTGTATGGTCGGAAACTTGCAAGTGTGAAGCTTTAGCACAAGAATGCTACGTTTGCCGACATCTGGGAAATTTTGGAGGGCTGTTAAATGGACCGCCCTTTTTGCTAAATGGACCATGGGCCCTTCTGAATCCAGATTAGTATTTAATCACCATTGAAGCTACTTGTTCTCTTATCAAGTACCCACCTAGCTATACCTCGACGCCACTCATTTTGATATCTTCCAAAGTAGAGCTGCTGCTCCCACTAGGGCCACCCCAGCAATCATCAGCGAAGTTATACCTCTAGGAGCTGCCTTGGTGACGTTCGCCAAGTTGCATTCCATGATAGGCAATGGGAGATACTCCAACCAGGGACCGCCCCGAGAGAAACTAGCATACAGTTGAGCTTTGAGCTTATCGCTGACCCAGGGCACGATACTCTTTGCTGCGAACTTGAGAACCCAAGTATCCTGCGCTTCGTAGCGAGTGATCTGACCAGAGAGATCGACGACAGTCTCCGCTCTAGCTTTCTGACCAGCCACATAGCTGTCAAAAATTTCGTTCAATTGTTCGAGAGATGGAATTGGGTATTCTTTCAGCAAGGGTACCAGACCATTTGTCAAACGAGCAATACCTTCATATGCCAAATTGCCGCCCAGTCCAGGATTTACTGTGGCCTATCGGAAGAAATAATCAGGAACTGCAATGAAATGACTCGGAAGCTCTCCAAACGAACCTTGTGCACTGCATCCCCCATTAGAACCACTCGATTGTGGCTCCAGTGTTTGACCACGCCTTCTTCCAGGGGCACCATTGTAGCTTTGACTCGAGCATCCCAGAGATCCTTAATGATATATCCTGGGCCGAGTCCCACGAGGCTCCCGCCGGCGATGAGGTCCTTGAATCGATTTGAGCTTTTACCGGATGAGTCCATGTCGAGACAATATGGAAAATAAATATGATTTCGCAGCTGTCGGCAGTATCCATTGCGCTTCTGGCCCCCCTTATCTGCTGGCAGGCTATTGTTTTCTCCACGTCAGCTTCCTTAATCAGGAATAGTCTCGGATGAGGCCACAAGCGAATGCACAAGGCTATTATTCATATTTGTGCACGGATTGACTCTGATTATCCACGAAATGTGCGATAAGTGAACCTGCCCTCAACCAGACCGCGTTTTGCCGCAGTCTCACAGGGTGTTTTTCAAGCATATAGAATACTACTTCCGCAAATATTGTCTGTGGGGCGCCTCTATGCCAGAGGGTGGGAATTACCTGTTCTCATCCTGCTTTTTCCAAGGTTATCTAGTCTAATGCAGAGTACTTATCCTGCTTACCCGTAGCCGCGCGATGCTAACCTTGGAATGTGGCGCTTGGCCATTTTTTACCGAAGCCACGGCACCAAAATAATACAGACCGCGTTTAAGCCAGATACTTGTATCGATTTGCATTTGTTTTCAAAATTAAAGTGCTCACCTGTCATTGGTGACTCTAATAGCTTTAGGAAACTCAAGTTCGAGATTCGAGGTTTAAACGTCGCTAAATCGCAGATATATTTTTCGTGGTCGGCCCCGGACAATTTGCTGTTATGTACCTAGGTATCCATTGAAAACTAAACACAACCTTGGAACTTGAACCTAAATTTGCTTTCATAAAGAACCTTGAAACTTTGGAAGCTTCATCAATCCCAAACATGGATTTTGAGGAGAGCTGAATACGTGAGAAGCTCACGGACCTGCGGCCACAGGTTTTTGTTGCGAAGCCTTGACAGGATTCGGACTTTCAAAAATCTCCGATAATTCCTCCAGAGTATGGTTCTTCGTCTCAACCGAAACAAAATAACTCACAGTCGCTTCAAAAAGATCCCAAAACAATAAACACAATATACGTATACCAACCAATCTTTTGCAAAGCGACCGGAAAGCAGAATTGATTAAGAAGGGTGAAGCCATGAGCAATGGAAAAGGTCAGCCCAACCCCCTTCCCTCGTGTCTCGTAGGAAAGTGCTTCAACTGGATACAGCGCCTGCAAGGGCGTCATTCCAAAATTGTAGCAGAATCCAAAGACAAAAATGAAGGCGATTCCGGCAGACGCGGCGGAACTGGCGTGGGTATGTGCGAAGAGCCCAGATCCGATCGTGATGCAGGCGAAGCAGATTGAACATGCGACTGCTGTCCAGATAATTGTGGGTCGACGGCCCATTCTTTCGATCTGGCTTGCGCCGAGGTATGATGCCACGGTGGAAACGACGGTATAGCCCAGATTGACGTTCAAGACTTGCTCCGAGTCCGTGATACCGGTAGTAAGAAGCATTGCTGGGAGATAGTACGTGACAACTGCGTTACCGGAACATTGCCCCCCAGATTCCGGTGATGAGAGCGTTGATAAATCGCCATCTTCCTGCTTTGGTCTTGTAAAAGTCGCTGAAGTCCCACCAGCGTTTGTCGGATCCGGAAAGGGAGATGAATTCTCGATATTCTTGCAGCTGGAGTTGCACGAGTGGATGATCGGGGTTTCCCTCGCCATGATAGAAGGCCAAAAATTCCAGTGCTTTGTCTTCTTGACCGTGCGAAAAAAGCCATCGCGGCGATTCAGGGAAGAATAGGACGGCAAGGAGAACGATTCCTGGACAAATCATTTGACACCATAGAGGGATCTGCCAAGCTTTATTGCCTCCATATCCAGCAGACCCTCGAGTAACGCCAGCGGCGATGAGCGAGCCGACTGCATACGTGCAGTTGTAGAAGGCCATGATAATACCGCGATATGCAGGAGGACAGACCTCAGCACACCAGATGGAGCTCGTTGATCGAATAATGTTGACTCCGAGTCCGAGAAAAAAATCGACCGGCGACAAACTGAGGCACGCCGTGGGAAAGCGCAGAGACAAAGGTGGACGCAACCACAATAACACACCCGATAAATGTTCCCCATTTTCTTCCGCGGATGTCACATGCCGGTCCACTGAGTGGGAGAGAGCAGATTGCACCGACGGTGTACATGGCGGAGATGTATCCGATTTTTGAACCGTTCTTCTCAACTCCGAATTGTTCTCGGAAGGAGTCCAATGCAGGAAGTGATCCAAAGATGGACCCATCATACCCTGCACATCACGATATGAGCAAATAACTTCCTGATAGCCGTGAAGATAATTTATTACTTACCATTCATTGTCGAACAGAGGAACGCAATCAAGCAAAAACCATACAACTTCCTCAGATTCGGTGACCATGGCGATGGCTTCTCAGATTGAAGAGCCTCAAGCAAAGCCTCGCGACTTGGCATGCCCTCATCATGGCTCGTCGTTTTCTCCAAAGGAACCTTTGCGCTGCGTGTCTCTTCTTCTCGTGGATGTGAAGAGCCCATTGCGGTGAAGATTCGATTTCAAATGAATATTCAGTAATCTTCGACACAACTTCCTTTGGTGACCTGGCGACAAGCATGGAATATGTATGCCGTCTAATCTAATCAGCGGATAATCCGGGGGAGCTTGCATGTCACCAACCGGCAATGCTGTCCTGCTAGATCGGACCCACTGTTACAGTGAGTCGTATCCAAATAGCCACAAATGGCTAGCCCTGGCGCTACCTCGGGCGGGGAAAGGCCGTCGCTCGGGCGAAGGAATCGTCCGAGGCTTGGAGGTGTATTAGAAACATCAGAGGCGCTTCTTGGCTGGTTCAAAATATACCTGGAATTTGATCTTGGTCGTGTATCTGCGTAAAAGGTTTTATAGAATTCGGCCTCCAAATGTGCTACCGACATACCAACACCGACCCAGAATAGCGAGGCAAGATTGGAGCCATTTTCTCGTAGCTCTTCCCGGGTCGGGTATTTCGGCGCCCTTCGCAATCGCAAAGACGACTCAAGTAGTGGTGGCATCTAGCCCTGGACGTCTCCAAAATTCTTCATCCTCTTGTAGTGCTAGTACGACGAATATTTTCATAGCCCAGTACGGTGACTGAGGTGAATTGTGTTAGTTGCACATGAATGTGTTCGGACAATCGTCTTCGATATCCAAGGTCTCGTCCGTGGAGGATGTTCACAAAGACTGCTCATAGTCTGAGGACCACTAGTGTCTGGAGTCGGTGGTGAAAGAGTAGCATGACAAAACTTGTCCCCAAATTGGCACGTCCTTGCGAAGGGAAGCGTGAAGCGATCGGAGCGTTCGTTGTTCCTTCTCCTGACGGCAACGTGACATCCAGCCCCCTCGGCATTTCCCCGGCCTTCACCCCCACACTCTCTCACACTCAGATAAGGTCCATGCGCGCGGAGGCTTTAGTCCGAGTGTGATCCCCTTCCTCCGCTACTTACCCACAGTACTAGTATGGAATCCTCCGATGCCCGAGATGCCCCGATGCAGCAGGGAGCCGACGCAGAGACACCCGCTTGCCAGACATGTCGAAGCCGGAAGCTGCGTTGTACGAGAGAGCTACCAACTTGCTCTCGCTGTGCCCGTCTTGGTGAGATTGTGACCCACAAGGACACTGATCTTGACGCTAACCCGAGAAAGGCGTGGAATGCGTGTACGACTATCATAGAAACAAACCGGGTGTCAAGATAGGGATTATTCAGACGTTGACTCAGAGAGTTGGTACGAGACCCGGATGGACCCTTGTGTGTAAATACTGAATAAGCCTGGTCTAGAATCACTGGAAGCAGAGCTGGATGCCGTCAGATCACAACAAGAAAGACTCAATGTGGCTCCGACTACAGAGTATGGGGCCCCTGATGCGAACATACTCCGCGGCGTGGTATCGTCCCTGATGGAAGAGTGGTGGAGCAACAACTCTCGGCAAAATGATACCCGTCCAGGTAGTTTAATCGAAGGCATCCAAATCGACGAAACATCTCAGCCAAGAACACCTACTGCGGCCCCAGATAATAGAACCTCCCACAAGAGAAGGCGTCAAGAATCACCGAGCCACCGAGAGCTCAGCGGACAATCAGCATATCTGCCGTCCGACAACTTGATCAATGCGGTTCTTGATGCATACTTCTCTGCTGTGCATCCTTTCATTCCAATCATTCATGAGATGCTCTTCCGGTCACGCCTGCGAGACCCCGCTGAGCGACCGAAGTTGATCGTTGTATTGCATGCCATGATGGTGTGTGCCCTTCGCTATGTTGCTAACGAGAGATTAGCAAAGGAATGGATTGCTCAACTTCCCGATGCTCTCCACAGATCACGGGAATACGTTCTTTTGTCAAATATGAATGAAATCACTGTGGAAAATATACAGGCCCTGATCATAATCGCCTTTGTACATATTGGGGACGGAAATGCGAAAAAAGGCCTGGCCAACCATTGGGACACTGAGCAGAGCGGTCGTGCTTTTAGGTCTCAACCGCGAGCCTGATGAAACACAACCTGGAGAGGCCTGTCTGAAGCCATTGCAGTGTCTACCACCTGCAAGGGTTTGGACTGAAGCGGAAGAACGAAGAAGAGTATTTTGGAATGTGTTTTTGCTAGATCGGTGAGGTCGTCCGGCATTCCCACCTTGGCTATTTCTGACCTGTCGCCAGCTTCTGTTCCATTACGACTGGGTAGGTTAACCATGAAATATTTTCCCAGCTTTTAATCTGACGCCAGTTATTTGCAGGTGGAACATAAACCTGTCAAGCCATGACGTTCAGGTCCGATTGCCAAGTGATGGGCTATACTGGGTAAAGGAAGAGCCTGTGACCACCCCGTTCTTTAATATCTGGGACTCTTCTAAAGCCAAACTGGGAAAGTCCGTCTCCTTTATTGCTGGACACTTTGCATCTCTGGCCGATAAGGAAAAGGAGGCTCCACTTACTGGTCCAAATTCCGAACGAGTGTCGCCCGCTGTCCAAGCCCCCGAAGCTAGAGCTGTTGATGTTTCGACAATCGGATCCTTTGCATATTGTATAGAAGCGACCGAGGCTTTGAACAGGGTGGTTAAATTCTTCCTTCAGCGACCAGTTGATCTCCAAAATAGGCAGGAATTCAGCTCTTGGTTGACACGCTTCAAAGAATTAGATCTTCAATTGATTCAGTGAGTACAACAGTCTCCCATGCATAGATGACAAAAAGGGCCGAGCGCAGCTGACATATCTCAAGCTGGAAGATGTTTCTCCCACGTCGATGGAAGGATTCCAATATATCGAGAGAGCCGGCCTTTGTTCACATGGATCCTAATCTGACCCTCGCACATATCACCCACAATACATCCATGATTCTACTCCATCAGAGCATTGCCTATCCGCGAGCGCATATTCTGGAGAAGCTTCAGTTGGCTAGCACAGCAAGCGCCGAGACTTGTCAGCTGGCAGCCCTGGAAACTGCTAATATCGTACAAAAGTACCTACAGTACACTCCATTTGTGGGCCTTGTCAGCCCTCATTTCTCGTTCTGCACCTTCATCAGTGCTCATGCTATACTAGGTGAGCTTTTTCAATCGACAGCACAGGCCTTATCTAACAGTCAACCCACAGTGCACTCGAATATTCACAAAACAGAGCTCCCGGATACTTACAAGATCCTTTTGTCAAGCCTACAACAAATGTCCGACCGATGGACTTCAATGAATCCCGAACTCAAAATGGACGACAACATCAAGAACTTTGCCGGCGGTCTACTTGATCAGCTGCAAGTGTCTCAAGAAGCATCAGCATCTCTATCGTTTGATTACATCGCCGAGGTGAATCGTGCTCTAGGGGTTGAGGTTCCCGCACGCAGCCCAGACAACAGTCAATGGATAGAGGAGCGTCGCGCCCAACAACGTCACAGTATCATTCCAGTCACCGGCAATCGATCACATTACATTCGCAATGACCGAGAAATGGGAGGCTCCAGTCATGATAGTGGTTCGCTAGGCTCCAGGTACATACGCTGCCTAAACACGTCATGTTTCCTTGCTAACACCATCTCAACAGCACGCAAACACCGATTTCAAGGTCCGTTCAAAATGGCAGAACGCCAGGTCAAAGCCAAATACAGTCCAACACGGCATTTTCGTATATGAGAACACCTCACGCAAGAGCCGATATGGAACTTGGGGATCTCTTTCCCACGCACCGGCAAATGCAACCACTGGCAGATGGCATTGATGGGTTTGCACCGCTTTATACCTTCCTTTCGGATCCTCAATATATTGACATGGATCGTATTATCAGCTTCCAAGACTCATTTGTGAATTAAGCACCGCTTGGCAGAAAATAAAGTGGAACGCGTCGAATTTAAATATGAAACACATTGAAAAGAAACAAGGTGGGCGATAAGGAGAAGAAGAAAAAATGAGACTGCTGTAAGCACACACTACCATGATCCATGGGCTAGCCAGCGTCCTTCGGCCCCTAGCATGTTACATTTTATAGTCGCTCGGCCAATGCCGCTGTACACTCGGGCCTCGGGGGAGATATCCACCCGAGATGCCTTCGACCAAAAGGGTCGCGACGTTAAAGCCCGCTCCGGTTTAAATAACAATTGCAATGTCACTCTCAGCAAAGAACCTCAGGTATTGATTCACTCTGCTTAGGCATGGCACCGGGAATTATCAATTCTCCCCCGAGGAGCGCAGACGTGGAAATGGGCGCCGCTTCAATTCTCGCTTCCAGAAAGCCAGTTTCTGGTACAGCTAGCAGCGCTAATGATATCGCCACAATTCTCGCCCCGCTATACAAAGAAAGCAATCTGGTCAAGATTCTCAATGCTGCGGAAAGGTACTTGGCTGAAAATGTGAGTGTGCAGACAAATTAAATCACTTCTGACGCTGGTACTGACTCATCCCGTAGGATCCCCCCAAACGCTTCCCCGAAACCGTGCCCCAAACCGGTCCACAAAAGGGAATATACCAGTCCAGGGACGCCGAATTCTGGACATGTGGATTTTTTCCTGGAAACATCTATTGTGTCCTCGAGAGGCTCAGAAAATATCCGGGATCGAGCGTGTCTAAAGCATGCCTGCCAGGGGACGTTCCACGGGATTTCCCACTCAGCCTTATTGAGCACGTCACAGATCTATGTCAAAAGTGGTCTGCTCCGCTACATGCTATGTCGAAAAGAACAGACACTCATGATCTCGGATTCATTGTTCAGCCTGCCCTCCGACGGGACTGGGAACTCTTCGGAAATAAACAAAGCCTAATTTCGTTGCTCACTGCAGCCGAAAGTCTTGCCAGTCGATATGATGAGCGCGTTGGGGCCATTCGCAGCTGGGACAGTTTCAAAAATGCGCACCACAACATCACCAGTATGGACGAGGATTTCCTGGTCATTATTGATAGTCTCTGCAGTAAGAAGGTATATCCTTGGGCGATATTACTTCACATAAAGCTAATGAGAGTCTAGATCTCGACCTTTTATTCTATGCCGGAAACTACAAAAGGTCCCCTCGCCTGATTGAGATCGCATCTAAGCACGCCGAAACCCTCCTATCTACACACCTTCGAATAGAGTCCGTCGAACCCGGAAAAAGAATGTTCTCAACCTACCATGCTGCGAATCTCTCGCCGAGGGATAATGGGAAAGTGAAGAGAAAGCTCACAGCGCAAGGCTATGACGATAACTCAACCTGGGCACGCGGGCAAGCATGGGCCATTCTAGGGTACGCCCAAACTTTTGCTTGGACAAGGGACCCAAGCTTTTTGGAGGCTGCATTAGGCTTGGCGGACTTCTTCATCTACCGTTTGGAATCGTCTCCGAACGTCGTCGAGGAGAATGGTGTAGGGCGATATGTTCCTTTGTGGGACTTTGATGCCCCAATAAAGCACACAAATATTAACGGCTCCGATGCTCCATTAAGAGATGTTTCTGCTGGAATGATTGCCGCAAATGGGATGACTATCCTCTACGGCCTACTTCAGGGAGCTGGGGGGGGATGAACTAGCAAAGCGGTACTTGGATTATTCCCTTGCCATTGCCAAGGACACGGTTGCTCTGGCTTATAATAACGATGAGATGGGCATGAGCTTTGACTCGGAGACAGGAAAGATAAATACCTACAGGATGGGAACTGTCGAGGGGAGGTCCTTTGATGCAATATTGGAAAGGTCAACAGCGAACTTTAATCAGGATCATGCGGATCGGACATGGGACCACGGATTGGTCTACGCAGATTACTATTTTTTGGAGCTGGGCAATAGATTTCTAGACATGGGTCTTGTCTGAGCAGGAACTACCAATGAAGCAGAAATTTGAACATGGAATTAATCCAACATGGAAACCAATATATTTGAATTGTTATGAATCAGAGGACCATCAGGCCTATATTTCAGAATCGGGTCGCGTTAAATAGGTGATAGAACTGAATCTTGCATCGATCTGGGCAAATCTGAAGAGTATATTCTCCCAGCGCGAGCTCTAGGCATTGTTATTTCCATGTGTGAGTGTCTCATATGCCACAAAAAGCCCATTCTCCTTAGCCGGTCGCTGCTTGAACGTAAGATTCCCAGTCTGAGGCATATCAATACCCAGCCTGAATGCGAGCGCATTATATCCCACTTCAGTGATAGGCCCCAAAGTGAGACTCAGCCTCCCTCCACAAAGCCAAGAAGGTACCGACTCCCCATTCACGAATTGTGAGTGGAACTCAAGTCCATAACGAAGTCGCGTCCCTAAATCTGTCTTGTAAAGATCTGAACCTTGGATTCTGGAGGTCTCGGCAACATGCGCCATGGATGCAAATGAGTAGCCTGTGTGCTCAAGATCACGACATGTCTCCTGCGCTTGGCCGTCCTCCTGGAAGGTGGTCTCGTTGAACCACCAGGCGATGATTGCGTCGGGGGAGGAGCTTTGTCCTCTGGCCGCGACGGGATACTTACCGTCGCTTGTCATGTAGACTGTTGCTGGGACTCGTTTCAGAAACCATCCCATTGCAGTATTGTACGTGTCGGCGTCTTCTAGAAAGACTGACATGAGAATTGCAGCCTCTGTCATGACTAGAGGGTAATGGTTAGTCCTTAGTCCTTGCTATCTGAAGACTGTGTCTTACCTAGCTCCCAGTTTGCAACATTGTGATCCGTTCCATTCACTGTAAGCGGCATATAAACATCACGGAGCATCGTCTCGAACTGATTGATGCTGTCGGATGACCATCCCGCATCTGTGTAGCGAATGAGCTCTGCAGCCCTGGCCCACACCGAGCCAACCCATCCAGACTGTAACGGCGCATTGGAGTTATTATGGCCTTGGATCGTCGATGAATACGCATCCATGATTTTGATAGCTTGTTGAGCATATCCACTGGAGCCACCGATTGCCCAAGCTAACGCATTTCCATACGCAGCGATCGAATCACTGCGTTCCACGGTACATCCGACATCAGGATTTGAATATGAGCCACACTCTACTATAACATGCGGCGATGGATCCGTGGGATTTGCGATACCATCGTCGGCAAGAAGAGCCGCGTAAGCATCTTTCCAGGGCTGCTGGCCGTTCTTCACTTTCTCGCGAATAAAGTCCAGTTGAGATTGACTGATCATCGCCCCTGGGTGCACCCACTTCGAAGGAGCCGAGGCAGTCACTGTTGGCGGACTATCGCCATAGCAGGATTGTATAAACCCCAGAAGGGGAATAGTGGAAATAAGGATATTTTGGAACAACATCATGGTAGATTGAAGAGTGTAGAATAAATCACAATGCTGCCAGAAGTGATCTAAGAACAAGAACCACACGTCACCTTAGTAGCCCTGGTAAATTATTTGTCCTGCTCAATAAATAGCACTAATCTCTTGGGAGGAGTCGTTTATCAAATTTGTGTTTCAGATTTATGATGCAACATTCGCATCGATCTGTTGCGGAGTCGCGGGAGAAGGAATCGCCCGACAAACGCGCCTCGGACGAATGAATCTTCCAACCTTCGATCGCCTCGGCAGGTCCATCCAGGAAAGATGCGTCATGAGCAGGATTCAATTCGCCGGAGCGCCATGGCCCTCACGACTGAGAGAAGTCTTTATTTAATATTTCATTGCTGCCGAAAAGTTTGAGAACACCGACGGCGCGAAAGGCCTCGCTTACCATCAACTCGAAACGTGACAGCCAATCATGACCACAACTGCCCTTCGCTTTGTTCGCGGCATTGCCCTCGTCGCAGCTTTGGCGCAACCCCTGCTCGCCAAAGACATTTATCTGGACTGTGGGTCCGCTACATCAGGCGATGGAAGCAGATCGCGTCCATTTTCGACACTGACCAGTGCTAATAACGCTGTTTTGAGCCCCGGAGACTCGCTGAATGTCAAATCGGGGACTATTTGTGCCGGAACATTGTCGCCAAAGGGTAGTGGCACCCAGGACAGTCCCATTACCTTGACAAGCTACGGAGGCGGGCCACTGCCTATCATCAATGGCTCCGGGGCGGCGGAGGCAGTGAGTCTGACGAATCAGGATTACTGGGATATCTCAAATATTGCAATCATCAATCCTGCATCCTCTATCGCTTGGAGGCGTGGCATCGTTGGGACTTCAAGTGATGGGACGGTCCACCACGGCCTCTATATCCACGACATTACTGTCTACAATGTCGCCGGGCAAACAAACAAAGCGACCCAGTCCGCTGCATTTATTGCTTCTGGTGGCATCCTTGTGAATGGAACCGAGAACCTCAGTCGCTATGATGACGTGCAAATTTACAACAATACCATCTATGATTGCGGCGGTGGTGGTATCAAAGTCCGCGTTGGTCAAATGGACAACCGTGGCAAAGGCACACACGTTTGGGGCAACAAAATATCGTACGTCGGTGGTGACGGCGTTGTTGTCTCATATGGCGAGTCACCCATCATCGAACGGAACAAAGCTGGGTTTCTTGGTCATGGCAAATACCCATGGACTGGGGGAAACTTCGCTGGTATCTGGGTGCTTGGGTGTCAAGACGCAGTCATGCGATTCAATGTCGTTCACGATTCACTCATGTCAGATATAGACAGTGAGGCATTTGACTGTGACTGGGGTAATGAAGGCACATGTACAGTCGAGTATAACTACAGCCATGACAACGCAGGGGGCATATTCCTGAATTGTGATGGCTGTGGAACTCCAGGCGGCGCACGACAGATTGTTCGATACAATGTGTTCCAGAATGACTGTCGAATGTACAGCAATGGTGATAACGTGCAGCTGGACTTTTACAACAATGTCGTCTACTGTCCACAGAAAGATTTCGAAATCGCAGTTCCCCCTCACACAAATATGTCTAACAATATTTGGGTGGGAACCGCAAACTCGACTCTGCCGAAAGGAGACGGGATTGAATGGAACGCGAACATGTTTCAGACAGTGCCGAAACCAGTGGAAACCGCCGGCAGCACGGGAGATCCTCGATTTTTAAGTCCCGGTAAGGGTCAAGATACTCTCGAGTCGGCAGATGGGTATAGGCTTCAGAAGGGGAGTCCTGCATTGCACCTGGGTGTTGTAATCACTGATAACGGAGGTCGAGACTTTTGGAATAACCAGGTCTCCCAATCGAAGCGACCGAACACCGGTGCCTATAATGGCAGGGGGGGTTTAACTAAGAGCAGACAGCCGGTGGATCACTTAGCCTGGATCTAGTTAACGGCCAGGGCGAGTCAAGCAGGTTGTTATGTTCAGAACGAAATCGATGTATTTCCTTGAGCCCGAGGGGGGCAAACAAAATAAAGAAAAGAGAGAATATCTCATAACTTAAATCTACTTGCAAATTCTTGTCAGGGTAACTATTCTAACACCGTGAGGGAAACCGAAATGGTATCGAGAATACAAGGGAGTACTACTAGTATTAGAAGGGGAAATGAATTCGGCCCCTTAGCGGGATGACTACCAGAGTCTCCACCACGTCGACACGCCGTTGCTTCATTAGCGGTGCAAAACTCCTTCATCTTCCAACTTCGGAATCGCAAGCTGATGTGTCCATTCATTATACTTCATGATTGGCCGTCGTGGTTCATCTTGTCCGTAAATATCCCCATTCTGCTTTGTCCAAGTATAGCTTATTCCGCTGAGCTGGATCCTTGCTCCAGAAGTCTATCCCCTGCTGTTTAGTCGAGCTGAGCAAGGCTTCCAAGATATCCTTCAGTCTCGCATAATCGCATTTGAAAATCCATCCAATCTCTGTGGTTTTGTGAAAGTACTTTTCAGCGCCAGGAACATAATTATCTTTCACTTCGAACCGCATGCCACTGTTCGCGATGATGTCGCGGGTGACGTTAAATAGCTGTCCTTGGAGAGTCTCCGGGTCTGTTTCAACGAAGATACCTGTGTGGTATCGCTTCGATGTGTCCAGAGGATCGTAGGCTACTGTGTCGAACTCTGGTGTGAATACTTTTTATCGCGCGGGTGCTGAAGGAGGGCTACACTGCGGGCTGCGGAGTCCTCGCTTGTCAGACATGTTTTTGATCAAGGCAGAGTACATGAAGTATTGAAAAACCGGATGGTAAAAATATGGCACTTTCAGTCAGTGCGTAGCAGCATGTACTGAGTGTATATACGAAGATTTAAACTTGAATGGGTTGAATAAGAAGGTAGTAGAAACTTGAACAGATGCCCGGGCGTCACAAAGGCGAGATGAAGCGGGTGACTAACGGAGACACGACGCGGAGCGGACCGAACTTCGCCGAACAGCGCCAAACAACATATCTAAGGAATCAAATTTAACCTGGAATATCTCATCAACGACTTCATTCTCCTTGAATTTTTGCAGAGCAGTTATTCTTCATTCATTCATTTAATCAACCTCTCATTTCAGGGGTGATTGGATTAATTCTTTGCTTGAGCACTGGCATTCCTGAAATCTGTACGAGATTGAATTTTATCCGGTAGCTCTACAGATATATATTTTCGCCATAACCTCCGAGTCTTGAAAAATTCAAAATAGGCCCGAGGGGATTAAGAAATATTCAAACATACTACCTAGAAAATTACTAGCACGCACTTTACTAGATAGTAATCATTTGTAGGGATTTTATTAAAAAGTGAATGTTGTTGCCCAGGTGAGATATTTCAATTTCAATTTTATGGTACCTTAACTATGGCGGTTCTAAGATTGTTCTACTTCTACACTGGTTGCGGTGTCGCGTGTACTTGAACTGCGTGAACAGTCATAATCCATTCAAATAAAACTTGAATATAGTGAATACAGAATCATAATCTGCCTTCTGACATGAATAAATTAAGTATCATAAAAATGGTATTAAACAGAAAAGGGTTGACAAAAGAAAAATAGGGAGAAATGAGGTCTCCCAAAACCCAACCATAAATCCAATCCACCCACCGGCACCCACTGGCAATCAATCAATCGATCAATACCACATGCCATCGCATAAAACATTATATGCATAGAAAAATAAAACATCATCATCTCCGAGTCCTCAGGATCATACCAAACCGAGAACCAACTTAACTTCAGCTGGAAATGGAAATGGAAGATAAAATTCGGATTAAAGGAATAGATCAAAAGATCCTCCTAAAGAAACAATCCACCAAATGGGTAAAAAGACAATACCCCAGCAAGAGAAAATTACCCAAATATCTCGAGCCCGAAGACATCGCCGTCCACGTGTGGGAAAGATCCCACGGACTTTCATTCACCCATTTAAACAACTGCTGCAGGCGCAGGACCTACTGGGGCATCTAGCGGAGCGCGGGTACCATCGTCCTTCTCCTGTACGACGGGTGCCGGGGCATTTCCTTTGCGGTAGGCCCATAGGGCAGCGACTTGGAGGAACATGCCGAAGAAGGTGAAGATACTGGAGATGCATGTTAGCTGGGGGTTTATTTGATGGGGTTTATTTTGTGTTTGTGGAGGATAGGGAGTAGACTGGACTTGGGGTTGAGGTGGAGACGATGAGGATGGAGGAACGGGGTTTGTGCGACGATACGTACAAGGCGAGGAAAATAAACGACTCGTTGGCCTTCTTCCGGCCGCAGGTTACACCAGGTGGGGAGCTGAGGTAGCACGAGTGCTGGTTGTAGTCTTGGGCGGCGAAGATGAAGGCGGTTAACCAGCTGGTGTAGTGTTTATTAGTTCTGTTTCCAATGAAGATGGATGTTTGTGGGAGAAGAAGAGTGGGAGCGTACAGGTAGGAGAAAATGACGTCGATGAGGAGGACGAATTTGCTAAGTGCTGTCGGGAGGAATGGGGAGATAAATGCTGGGATAAAGAAGACGACCGAAAGGACGGACTGAAAATAGTTAGAAAGCTGCTAGTGAAGGATGAGCGGATCTTTTGGCAGTGCTCACGATGACTTCTTGATAGAGAAGGTGTTGTCCATGTGGACCGCGGCTAATGAAGAACGAAGTCAGGCCCATAACGATTACTGCGCTGGACCATTGAAGTGTGCGGGTTGCCAGCTGGACGGGGCGGGCAATAGCTGTTGAGAAGATCATGATGCTGGTGTTAATCGAAATTCGAGACAAAATGTTGATACGAATGAGCGAAGGCACTATTAGCCTGTAACAGCAAGTGGTGGGATATCGAAATACAAGCGAAAGACGGGATGAAAAGCGAAAGAGTCGGGTACGGGTACAGCAGGAACGCACTTTATATCTGTTTCCAATGACCAGAATAACCCGGTTCAGCCGGTGAAAAGCAAAACAAAGCAGAGCAAGCCCGTCGACAGCTCACCATGAGACACAAACATCACTAGCGCCGAGTCAAAATGGCCGAATCCATACGCCAGGGCTATTCCAGGCCCAGTAGGGATGGAGGATTTGCAGCTAGTTCGTTGTTGGGTAATTGGGCTGCTTCCCCAGATGCATCATGATGGCCTCTGCATGAAGTCAGTTTGGGTCAAATCATGTGGTGCAGGGGTACAGGGGGAGGCGGATTTGGCATCTGGATTCGGAGCGACGCATGAGTTTTGGTGGTTGATTGTGTTCCTTGCTTTTTTTGTGCGGAGTACTGCATGTCTACATTCTTGAATTAATTTCAAGGAACTAGGGTGATAAGAAGTGACGTGGGGAGGGCATGTATGCTGTGTAGTACCATAACGATTTGCTTTTCAGAATCAACAACGCAGAAGAAGACCATGGCTGTTCCATCGAGTAAGGTCTAGTTCTGCCATTCGATCTCGTGATCGATGGTAGCAGAGTTGAAAAGTAATTACTTGGGTTCCCCGAAAGTGGCATGTCATGTCCTCGTGCAAATGAGCTAATGTACATGAATCCCAACATTAAATGGTAAAACTTCAAGTTGGACTTGGCTGACAGCTCACGGGACTTTCGGTACACACCCGAAGCTAGTTCACCACAAACCGCCGCAGCAAGTATAAAAATCTCACTCATTCTGCTTCGACGGATGGTCCGATTGATGTGATGAGAGGACCAACGGTGCGTATGGCCGGCCAATCATGTCCCTACAAACAGCAAAAATCACACCACCCTCGCTGGACTGAAGATGTATGCATCGTGCCAGTGCGTGAGATTAGTGTCAAAGGGGCATGTCATTAAGCACAAAAACACGGCCGACCTAGCTAGTTCTGCAGAGTCATTCAATAGCGGGGTTCTCCCTGCAGAGAAAGAAAAACAAAATATATGCGGGATCGACAGTGGCTTTGGGCCCGAGGGAATAGGCCAATTAAATCGAAGTACATAACGAACTGCGCTCTGGGCCAGACTGCCGCTAAATATGAATATAATCCAGGCCCTTATTATCCCTTGCGGGGTTGAGCCTCGCATCTCAACTCTCAACGCTCTTGCACCGAGTAGACCCGGGAAATGAATTGAGACAAACAACAACTGGTATACATTATATGTAGTATACGGATTATAATTTCTGCCATTGTAAATCTTTATTTCAAAGAGGGGGAGTCTTAGTAGCCTTGCAATGATATATGGTCTCGTATGTGGGATGATATGCCGTAGTGATACAATGCGCGCAGATCGTGACGCAAGAGCTTAGTTCATGGAAACAACCACCGTGAACCCATTTTATGTAGAGCAGTCATCAAAGGTATGCAGAAAAGACTTCGCGCCATGTGCCGTTATATGAACGATAGAATGCCCACTTGGAAGCAAGCAAATTGACCCCTTCCCACCCTAAGTTACTTCTATCCAAGGACAAATAAAGTAATCCAAGCAAAACAACAAACAGAAATAAACAGAAATAAACTCGAATGTCTTGGATCCCCAGCTTGAGCGGAGATGAGGCTGAGACCAGTATGCAAGGGAGTCGGGAAGTATACACAGTTTCAAGTTCAACCCTTCAACCCGGAACATACTACTACTAACATCTACATGAAAGAAATTTCAAGAGGAACTCTCGAAAAGCTCTTGAGAATAAACAATTTTATTGTATTTAACCTTGTTAATCGGCCAATTCAATTCAAAACAAGCCAAATAAATGCCTACCTGTTAATCTTAATTCCGTGCAACAGACTCCATAGCGCCTGATCTGCTCCGATCTGCTCCGCTCTGCTCTACCCTAGTGCGACTACGATGCCAGTGCGGTATAGCATCGCATCTCCAGCCCAGTCCAGTCCACACTCTCTTTCTCAAGTCAAATTCAAGTCAACCCAATTCACCACGTAACGTTACCAAGATCATGCTCCTGTAGATAAAACAATTAGCCCAAACTCATCCATCACCAATTCCCCCCCCCCCCCTACGCATAACTCACCTTGATATACTCGCTTCCCTTCTCCAGATACTCCTGTCTAGAAACAGAAGACTTCGCAAAACCCGCATTCGAATCAGCCTGAGCTTCACCAGCCCACTGAGCCGCACCCTTCCAAGCATCAAGAACAGGATCCTTAGCCCTGCGCACCTTCAACTCCGCATCAAGCGAAATAACACCCCGCAACTCATTCCGCAATCTCTCATCAAAGCCCTGGAAAAGCGTATTGCCACCCGTAAGAAACACATCCCGCAATAATCGGCTCTGATCTTGCACGCCCGAGAATCGCTGATTGACGATATCAGCTGCGATCTCGACCAGGCCGGACTGATCGACGCCTGCAATGGATGGTTTGAAGACAACCTCGGGAACACGGATACGTTCCACGTTAAGGTGCATTTGATGCGCTTCACGCTGAGATTCCGGGTCAAATGGCCATGGTCCGCGAAGGAAAGCGTGAACGAGAGATTTTGTCCAGTCGGTTTGGGCGGCGAGAGTGTGGTTTTCGGTGAATTCAGGGTCGTAGGTTAGGAGTTCTGTTTCCAAACCGTTGAGGACTGCGCCTAGATCTTCTTCTTCTTCGTCGTCGGATTGTTCGTCTTTGGCTACGGTGCGGTAGACGCCCCAGTCGTCGTCGTTGGCGCCGAAGTCGTCCTCGTCGTTGCCGCGGCGGCGCTTTTTAGGGCCGTCCGATGCGAGGTTTGCGAGGGTTTTCATGCGTTGTTGGCTTGCGAGGGATTTGCGGTTGCCGAGATCTGCTTTCATGCGGTCGCGGTCTTTGATTTTTTGGAGGATTATCTGTTGATTTAGAGGGTTAGAAAACGTGTGTTTGAAAAGAGTAACAGGGCACTTCTTGGTGCGAGAGAGAGAGGGGTTAATTACCTGTCGGTTTGTTCGTCGCTCGTCGATCCAGTTTTCAAAGTCATTCTCTCGCTTCTCGCGGTCCAGTCGCTCTTCTTCTTCACGACGAGCCTTTTCTTTCTCCTTTTCTGCCTTCGCGCGGGCACGGGCATCCACATTAGACTTCATCAGACGCTGGTGTCGCTTCTCCTTCAGACCCGCCTCGTCTAGTTCCTCATCAGGCGTGTCCAGAAGGGGGAAAGTCATTTCTTCAGGCTGCTGTTCCTCCTCCTCGATACCGAGATCGCGATTACGGGAGCGTTTGATAGATTTCTCCAGCTCGCGAACCATTCGCTCAAGCTGAGCTTCATCTTTGACATCTTCCGACTCGAGAATGCGACGGATCTCCTTCTTTGTCTCGGAGGCTAGACGTTCCTGGATACTCTTCCAGTACTCCAATTCCTGCTCCTTCTTGACCAATTTCTCCAAACGCATTTTGGCGGCTTGTTCTTGTAGACGACGACCACTTTCTTTCTTGCGCTCCGCGATGCGCGCAAGTTCCTCTTCCGATTTCTCTACCACGATGTGCTCTGTGAAGGGGTACTGGATTACATGGTCGCGGGCTTCTAGTCCGGTCCAATCGAGATACCCGCCGAGCTCGCGGTCGAAGTCTTCAGAGACATAGCAGTGTTTATGGACCAGGTCTTCCATCTGGTGGTCGGATACCTTGGCTGGGAAGGTTGGGTACTTGAGCTTCAGCAGCTTGGCGAGGTACTCTGCGTTATTGAGACCGCCCCAGTTGAGACGGGTGCAGTTGTTGAGGAGCGGTTTCGAGTTCAACACGGGGATAACGTGGGTGGAGGTGTGGGAGGAGGAAACGACTAAACCGTCTGTCCCCTTGTTGTAGCGGTAGGCGAAGAGTGAGTCGATGCCGTAGGTGACGGATGGGGCGTTGTAGCATTCGAACAAGATCTCATTCATCACTGCGTTGTTTGTTAGCTGAGTATACGGCAGAGACGGGGGCCCTGGGATTCTAGGGGAGGCAGGTCATACTCCTTCTGGGGTATGCGAGGTTGGCGATTGGCTCTGTCATAAGAATTGGACGGTCGACGCCGCCGTTCGAGCCGTCCACGCCCATCTTGAGGAAGATGTAATCCAGGACACCCTCCATCACGTCCCAATTGCTGACGACGCTGGAGCCCGGGTCAAAGGCGCCTTTGAGCTGGCCGCGAGTCGTCGCATCGAGGTAGGCGTCGTATCCGACGAATTGACATTGACGTGCGAGCTTGCGATCGCGGTATCGGCTCATGACGGGGGAAGGAGGAAGCGGGGAGTCTTGTCGAAGGACCAACCGGCTTTGACGAGGTGGGAGCCTGGAATGTCCGCTGTCAGTATGGAGGATGCAGTTAGAGCCAAGGTGCATTTGAAGCTCGCTCACCATTGTCAATGACGATGGCGCTGTTGGGGTTGGCCTGGCTTTGCGCAAAGCCATCGAGTTGTGGAGCTTGGTAACCCTTGAAGGGAAAGTCTGGCACGCTGTGTGTCTGTGGCGGAGGCTTTTCTCGCGCCTCTCAGACGAATTGACGGCTAAGCGCGAGGGTAGAACGGTTTGTACCGAGGTGATGGTCATGGTGGCGCGCTGTGATGCGCTGGATTGCGCGGGTGTTGACCAGGAGTGGGGATTGGAGTCGACTGGCGGTTAAAGGGAGTTCATGGCCAGGGCCAGGTCGACAGGTGGAGGAAGGAAGTGTTCAGCAGGAGTAAAGCGGGGTGGAGTGGAATGGAAGTTGGAGAGATGAAAGGGCGGAGGAAGTTGGAGGTTGGAGGTTGCCCACGGTTTGCGGCGAGAGCGCCAAGGCGGAGGAGAGAAAGAAGGAGAGACGCAGTGGAAGAGAGGATAACAGTGATAATAGAGGATATTAGGGATGGATATAGTAAATATATTAATATACTGACTACTTTAATCATTACTATTAGTATACTATCACTGCGATACACTCAAATGCTGAGAATTATTCATTATCATTTCATTTCTCGTGACATAAAATAGACTCCGGCAGTCTAAGTTGGGTTCTTCAGGTTATCCGTGGCTATAAAGATCAGTATATGGGAGTGGATATAGCTGCTAGGTAGTAGAAGATGGTGACATACCTTCAAGATGGAACAGCACATTAGATTGGTAGTTCTTGAACATCTGGGCAACCAGTTCAACATTCATGTTTTGGATATTGACCTCCTAGTGGTTGTTAGTGCATACATAGACCACACACTCCGTAGAAATAAAGAAACAAACCTGTAGACCCTTGTTCATCACCATAACAGCCTCATTCAATTTCTCCTGTTTCCAGGTCAGCTTCAGCCACCTCCAACCAAGCTGATTCAGTCTATATTGGGCAGACAAACCACATTGGTGATGATCCGCGACAGCAGCACCGACTGCTGGTGCTCGTGGGGGCTTTCCTAAGGAGTGTCAGCTTGGAGGGGAATCTGCAGGCTGTATTTCAGCAAAGACTGACCATGCTGGAGGAAATGTGAAGTGAAGAAGTATCAAGAGTAATGTGAATGTAAAAGTAAAGTTGAATGTTGTTGAAGCGGGCGACTCGCGTTTCCCCGAGTCACATGACGCTATACAAGGGCAGCCCAGCAGTTCAACTTTCCTCCTTCATTTACCATTGACAGCTTCAAATTCAACTTCATCTACTTCACTTACGCTTCCTCTCCTCCCACCTCAGCCTTACCTACCCTACTCTATCACCCTAATCTACACCACCATGCCACCCCCGCCAATCCCGCCAACGACGAAGCCCACCAGGCCCTCCTCAATGAACTAGACATCGGCATCCTCCCCAAACCCTTCCGAAACGCGCACTGGAAACCCTCCCAACGCCGCAACAAGAATCTCAAACAAATCATCTCCGAAAATACCCGCAAAGAAGCCTCCGTCCTAGCCACCCAAGCCAACTCCGGCGCAACAACCCCCCTTCACAACCGGCACCGACGGTTCCCAAACTCCCGCCGAAGCTGCCACACCGGGTAACAAAGCGCCCAATCTGGCACAAGCATCGCAGAATCTCTCAACAATGGTCCTGGAGAAGAATGCACGCGCTTACGCGACGGGACCGACTGTTACATATACGAATATCGAGTCGGCGCCGTCTCTGAGTGCGGCGCACCAGCGTCACTATTGTGATTTGACGGGATTGCCGGGTCCGTATACGGATCCGAAGACTAGGTTGCGGTATCATAATAGGGAGCTTTTTGGCGTTATTCGGTCGCTCGCGCAGGGGGTTCCGGAGAGTTATCTTGAGGCTAGGGGGGCTCATACGGTGTTGAAATAGATGGAGAAGAGCAGGAGAGCAGAGCTGTGGAAGTCCTTTTCATTGCTGCTTGCTCTTTCTACTCAAGTACATATGATAATTTGAAGGTGAGTTTAGGTGCTCCAATTGGGCTTGTCGATTATATTCACTCATTCTAACTGCAGTATAGTACTGTCTCTAGCGCAATGACAGCTGCATCTCAGCTGCATCTTTGCATGTCCGACCAACACAGTCAAGCCCTTTCCATCCCACCTGCCCCTCTCAGGACAGGCTCAAGAAAGCGCTCCGGCTTATTCGTGACCGTTTCTGTTCTCCGCCTTGTGCCAGGATGCACTCGACTACTACCGACGCCCCAGGGGAGGGGGTGTCAGTTACAGCAACTTTCTGGGAGGCTGTCGTCGCGGCGTGACTATCTAGGGTGTTGGGGATGGGGATTAAGCTATATCGGGGGAATGTGAAATGAAATCCTTGCTCTCGTGAATCATGAATCGGCAAGGAGGACGGAGCTGTGGACAGCGTGGGCATGAATGAACAGGAATTGTATCGAGGCAGCATCTCATTAGGCTGGTAGTTCAAGACAATTCCAATGCCAGTGCCAGTGCCCTTGCTGGTTCTTATGACCAAGACCAAAGAGCATCAGCATGTTCCTTTGTTTGCGTAGATTCGAGTTTAGCTGAGAGAAAGGATGAGAAGAGAAGAAGAAGTAAAAGTGCAGAGGAAGAAAAGGCTTGCATCGCCGCTTAAACGGGGCAGGACTCACCGCCCGAAAATCCCGGCAGAATCGGCCAAAAACAGAAAGACGCGAGCGACTCAACCTGCCCTGCTTCATTTTACTCTGCATTTCTCTCCTACACAAACTCTCTCTCTCTCCTCGGTTCTCTTTGTCTTGTTCTCTCTTTTACCGTCGACTTCTCTCACAATGCCCAGCATGTGGTTATCCGAAAATCAGAGTATGTTTACACTCACACCCTCCCCAAACCCACGCCAGGAACAGGCCCTACAAACAGACACCTTGAACAAATGCGCTAACACACCACAGAGATCGGAGTCGTCTTCTGCTCTGCAGGTTCGTGAATTGCCTACTCTCGCGACGACAGCACTATCAGCGCAACAACCAGACCCGAATACACCTAACCATCGCATCGAGTATAGGTGGCCTATTCCTCTTCGGCGGCGTCCTCATGTTCTTTGACCGATCACTGTACGTCTACTCTCAAACAACCATACCTACACATTCCTTGCAACAGCAAAGCAAAGACCAGAACAGAAATGAATACTAACCCATCCCTCTCTCAGTCTCGCAATGGGCAACGTGCGTACCTCACCCACCATCAACCCAACTCATCCACCACCACACCACCACTAACAAACAACAGATTCTCTTCCTAATCGGCCTAACCCTAATAATCGGCGTCCAAAAAACAATCGTCTTCTTCTCGCGCCCGGCAAAATTAAAAGGAACCGCCGCCTTCACCGTCGGAATCATCCTCATCCTCCTCCGCTGGCCACTGACAGGCTTCCTGATCGAGCTGTATGGCCTCTTCATTCTTTTCGGCGACTTCCTCGTCACAATTGGGCAATTTGCCGGAAACATCCCTGTTATCGGCCCTTATATCCAGCGCGGATTGGAAATTCTTGCTGGTGGGAGGAGTAATCAGGAGTTGCCTGTTTAATGGGATGAGGGAAGGAAGAGAGGGAGACGGGGATAGGGACGGAAGAAAATCGGCTTGCTGGATGGATGGCTTGCTTCTACATCGCGCTCCGCTGGGAAGTTGAGGCTGGCCTGTTCTGTTTCGCTGTTCTCCTTGTTCCATTCCATTCCTCTCTGCCACGAAGATACGGGCACTTTGATGTAATTTACTAATGACCCTCGATCAGGCGGAATCGGAATTGTTCCTATTCTATTCGCGTCGGATTGGCATCTTATACATACCTAATAGTTATAGAGTAATAGAACTCCTCATGAATTGACGTTCTAAGCAGAGCAGCAGAACAGAGCTGGCATTGGAATGGTCTGGAATAGGTTTGTACGGATCGCATATACATATTTCAAAGTCACTAGTAGTTTTAGACCGAACACTCCGCATACTCTCAACGACATCCAGTAGTAGTAAGTTGCGACGCAAGACTAAAGCAAAATACAATGCCCGCAGCTGGAGCCTTAGTACCCACATCCACATCCAGTAAAAGCAAAGAGAAAACGAAATTCATGCTCCTTTATTTCAAGTTCCTATTCTCACAGGTCCCATCACATCACATTACAACCAAACGACGCGATGTGATGCGATGCGATGCGATGCGATATGATGACATGATGCCGCGCATCGATCGAGCCACAGTCAAAGCTCCAGCCCCAGCACAGCGACCACCATATCTATCATATCATATCATATCATATCAAAAATGGATAGATGATCCGATCCGATCCGATCCGGCAGCATAAACACCAAACCGTTATCTACACCCGCAGCGCAGTGCTGCGACATTCCGTCCATTCTTTCCATGCCAGGCCAGGCCAGGCAGTTTATTGCGGGTTGTTGATGTAATCGACCAAGTTCTCCACGACAGTCGCAGCGTTGGTGGTCTGAGCACCCTCGCCGTGGTGGGCGATCATAGTGCAGGCGGAAGCGCGGACGACGATGGCGCCGGTCTTGCCCTGAGAGAAGGGGGGTGTTAGCGGGGTATTCATTGCATGCCATGACATTGATCGCGTCGATCATGTAAGAGGGTTATATAGGATTCTGTCCTCCATGCATACCTTCTTGCCGTACAGACTGCGCTCGTCAGCCTTGATGGTAACGAACTTCTCGCCACCGATGGAGAAACCGTTGGCGAAGGCGTTGTCGGCGGAGGTGAAGGCCGCGGCCAGGGTGTTGATGTCATCCTGGGAGAGCTGTGGGGAGGGAGTATGAGTTAGAAAAGATGATTTTGAATTGTTGCTTAAGCTACAGCTCGCCGAGCTGAGCCGGGCCGAGCTTAGCTAGCATAGCAGAGCAGAGCATAGCTAGGGTTGAATCTCACCTCGAACCCGGGGGAACCAGCCTCCAGGCCGGAGAAGTCAGCGGCAAGAATACCGGCCTTGTCGAATTGACCCGAGCCCATAAGGCTAGATGGAGTTAGCGGGGTTGAACCAGATCAAGTTTTGCGTGGCATCGTGGGATAAATTCGTGGGGGAAAGGAGGGGTTGAGGTATGATGGAATGGAATGGTGGAATGGTATGTAATGTACCTGGAGTCGACGTAGCCTGGAAGAGGTTGTTAGAATCAGGAGGTCGCCGAGTAAAGCAGAGTAGAACTGAATAGACATACCTTGCCAGATAGCAGAGTGAGCGCCCATGGTGAAAATGTGGTGGAGAAGAGAGAGAGAAGAGAAAGAGTTGAAGAGGTTCAAGTTGGAGGTGAAGTGAAGTGGGGGGAAGAGTGCGTTGGCGGTAAACAAGCCCCGCCGCGAAACGGTGAAAAGGAGGTGGGGGGAGAATCAGTGGAATTTTGGTGGTGAGGTGGTTATTTAAATGATTAAAACAGATCGGAAGAGAGATATGTATTTTATGGAATTTATTGGGATTATTCTATGCTGTTTTCACCAAGTTCTGCCATGCCCTAATTACTGGCAGTGTACTACAGTGTGTGTAGTGTATACTGTAACACACTATATCTACTCTTCTGCACATGCACGGCCCTGACAGGAGCTATTGCTGTCCTCATTCCGCCCTCTCACTGGCCAGTATGCCTGCTTGTCATACTTTACCTTCTTCAACATGACTTCTAGGCCGGCATTTATGCTGAAACACTTTGATCCTGCCCTGCTAGAAGTGGAAACCGAGAAGATCGTTGATCAATAGACAATATACCACCAAACCATATATCAGGCCCAGCACTCTTCCTTTTCTGTTTCAGTTCAAGTTCCTACTACGACTGTGACTCCTTAACAGCCTCTAACACAACAAGATCAGCAAACCTCCGCCCAATATCAAAAATCTGCCCCGAATTCTGCATCCCATCCGCCCACCGCCGTGGAATTGCATCTACGCCATAAAACACCCCAGCCAACGCTCCATAAATTGCTCCCGCGGTATCTGAATCTCCGCCAAGATTCACAACCGCAAGTGCTCCCTTTTCCCAGCTGTTGAACTTGAAAAAGCCCCAGAGCGCGACCTCCAGCGTGTCAACGACCCACCCGCTACTTTTGATGTCTCCGCTTTCTTTCGCCCTCCAGTCCGCAAGCCTCTTGTACGGAATCATTCGGACTCGAAGGGCGGATGAAAACTTGAAACTGGCAAATGCTTCGCATAGCTGTTCTTTAGATTGTCCTGCGTTGATAGAATTAGTTATATGTTTACCAGCGACCGAATGTGATGTGATATCATCACGTAATGGGCCAGGGGGGGGATAAAGTAGCGGTGACAACCAAAATGCCCAGATAAATAACCCGAAAGAAAAAAAAACCATCAAACTCACCCCTCATAGCCCGACAAATAACCTCAGTAAAAGCATCACAAGCCTCCAAACAAGCAATAGCAGGATGCGTAATCTGACTCTGAGCCCTGGCAACTTTCCTAGCAAATTTCGAATCTTTCCACAGCGCCACCCCGATCGGAGCAATGCGCATTAAACTGCCATTCCCCGATTTATCGTCGCGGTCGAGCAAGTCGTTGACTTTACGCTGAGTCTTGGCAGTATCTTCCGATGAGTCTTTCCATGTTCCGATTGCCTCTCGCGTCGAGATCCCCATGTCCCATGCATAATCTGTTGTGCTGAATCGGCCCTTTCGCATCCATTGTATGTAGTATTTTATGCTTAGCTCATGGTCGTATTTTCCGTTTGAGTCTATTATTGATTGGGCTAGGGCGAGGGTCATTGCTCCGTCGTCGGAGTAGGAGCTGTAGTAGAGTTAGTCGAGGGGTTGGATTGGTATGCGCTTTCATGTTGGGTCATGTAGCTCGTCTTCCACGCTGTTTCTGTCCTTTTTGGAATGTATGGGATGGATGGATGTCTTGCCCACCTGGACAGGTGCTGGTTGACTTGACTTACCCCGCTGGCTGATCAAACGGATAAACATATTCAAGATCAGAGATCAGTTTGAAAGAACCCTTCTCTTTGAATTGTACCGGTCCACCCAGTGCATCGGCGACACAGGTCCCCCATATAGCGCCGAGAGCGCGCGATTTCAGTGAAAGTTCCATACTTGGATGCTGAAGTTGGGGTGGAATGGTGATGTTGAATGTGCTTATGTCGGCAATTTGGATGTGGCTATGTATATCTTGGCGGGGCTAGCGGTTGGAGCTCGTATTCCGCTGACAAGGATTCAGCCTCGTCGCGGAGTAGAAATTGTTAATGAGGACGATGTAAGCTTATAGTATGATGCTCATGTTGGGCTCTTTGGAGGTAGGGCCCCGTATTTTCTGCATCAACTTGAAGGCAGCAGGGTTCGCAGAGCCGCGAGATCTACGGCGAATACTACACACGAGGGACTCGAATGTCGCTGCCTGCAACTTTGCTCGAGAGGTTCTATCGATGGGCATGACGTTGCTAGTCGGGAAATACTCGTAATAGGACAAAGAAATTGAAAATCCTAGAAATGGGAATACATTGAGATGGGGACTTTAGATCTAGGTCTTCCGACGGACTGACCCATACTGATCCGTACTTCAAGTTAAAACAACACCGTAACTCCGTAGAACTGCTTGGACTTCGATTCTTTTAGAATCTCCAGGATTTTCTCGATCGGAAGGTATTGCCTTGTCATCATTCAAGAAGGGACGTTCAACTCTTGCCATGTTCGCGTCTTCTTCGCATCTTTGAACTCCACCTTGGCCTGGGGCTAACCTTTATCCTGCAACATCACGGAAGAGTCTCGATTTGGAACGCCGTTGGGTTTGAATAAAAGACGTGAAAGATGATCTGAGGACCACATCTGCCGGTTGCCGACGCGGAGGATTTAATAGGCTCGGGCGTTAATTTGCTGGATAGATTGCATAGTGGATGCGAATGTCCTAATGAAAATTTGGCGATTGATTAATCAAATCAGCATGCTAGCGTTGCACCAGCACTTAATCATCGTTAAACCAGTGCTCCATAGGCTCATCTTATTCGTGGGTTAATTGATCCTGATTGAAGACAATAAAGCTGACCCAGCTCATGGTGTAGTATAAGACATGAATTCTCCACTGAGACACCATCGGGTTTTTCAATACGACAACTCGTATCAAAGAGAATACGCGATTGGAATGGAGCAACCTTGGCATCACACGACCGATCCAAATAACCACAGCGAATCAACAGCCCCAACAGCCGACCCTCAGCTATGCGCAACAACACTCAGCGGGATCTGTCTGTGCACACTCCCTGAGCGCCCCCAGCAAAATCACACCGGCTAAGGGCCTGGCCAATACACATCCGAGCCGCCTTGTCGCATCGACCCCTGCCCTTTCGAGACAAATCTTTGGGGGTCTCAGTTTCGGGCTGAAACACGCCCCTCTACGCCGGGCGGCGCCCTACTGGTCCTTGGAACGTGGAACGAAGCTAATCAACCCGCAACTCACACGTTCATTCGCCCCGAACCAAATAAGCATCGGACGCCCCGATCCTCGTGTCGGTCTTTTGGGCGATGTTTTGCCCGGTCGTGCATTGGTCTGGCCCCGTGGCGTTGCGGCCCCTTATGTCTGAGCCTGACCCTTTGCCCATGTTTTCACGCTTGTCAAGCGGTGAATTGAATCTTAGCTGAATCCGTTTAGCTAGATGAGATTGGCCCCCGAAATTCGACCCTAACTGCGCTAAGGTCTTGCTCTGAGCCTGTCCCACGACGTGTTGCTATTTTTTCTCTACTGGCCCCCTTTTTATTTCTTCCAATAGCTGAATGGCCCGTTTCGCATTGGCCGTCGGCCCGGCCTGAATGCTTTGCGCAGCACATTTGACACACGTTCTCTGACTGTCGTTGGCTAGCTTTGCTTCAGTTGGAGGGGATTAATTGGTCGCGGGCCACACGGTGTCTCATGTACAGACCTTGGCGTAATGGAGGCTCCACCACCGAGACTATGGACTTTGTCTGGTGCCACTCCTTCTGGTCCTAGTTCACTTCATTCAATTAATCCATTAAATTTATTAAAAAGAGGCTGGCCCCTCTCCCATCTGGTTTTCGGTTCTGTTTGGCACTGAGGCCTTCTGGAAGGCCGTCCTTTCCTTTCGATCTGTGATCATTTTCGAGTCGACCTTTTCACCTTTCCTTCTTTTTCGACTTCTCTCGACATCTTCACCTTTGCATATCTGCAAACGAGTATCTTGGCTGGATCCACATTATCACGAGACAATATGCCTGGGGCTATGACGATGGTCAAATCTCGCACTGCGCCTACCGAAGAGGCCATTTCATTCCCGGTTTTGACATACAGCGATGCCGCGCCGCGATCCGATCTTTGCGATATCGATGAAAGAGCCAAGCATCAAGAGAATCAACAAAGTCTCGCCCAGTTCGAATTCCCTCGGCCCAGTTCTGGAGATGGACGATCAAGAAGAAAGCCGCCTCCGGGTACCGTTGCGACCTTTGACTTTCGAGTAACAGCGCCCCCAGATGAAGTGGTTCCTTCACACGCCATGTTGGACCGCAGTCCTATCGGAGTTGGCATTGCACTGGGTAGTCCAGGCATGGTTGATTCGAAGGATAATCTACCCCCACCGCGTTTCAATACGTCCATCTTTACGGAGCAGCAAAAGGGACAGTCGCAGCAGTCACAGCCACTCCGGAAGGCAAGCAAATGGAAGAAGATTGGAGGGTTATTCAGGGCCAAAAGTGCACTTGCATCTCCGACACGGCCAAGACCACCTCCAATGACCTTGCCAAATCATGCCGCTGCGATGGATAAACAGACAAGCCAGAAAGCCGGAACTGAGGAATGGCCGCGCATCGAGTCCGATCCCAAGTATGCAACGACTAAAGCTGCTTCAACTACGCCGTCGCGCAGCCGCAAGTTTTCTTTATCCAATAAGAAGTCCCCAAAGGAAAGCAATGGAGATCTCGGACCTCGATTGGAGATTGATATTCCCGACGTCCAAATGGAAAGGTACAGTGTGATGTTCAGCAATGTGATGAATAAGAATCAGAGACCCTCTCTGCTGGCCAGGAGGAGTAAAACACTTGACAGCGTCCAAGTTCCACATAACTCGGTAAGTACTAGCCACATCATCGGGATGCAGTGCATCAAGAGAGCCTTTGCTAACCGTGATATCAGGACTTCCTCGCTGCCAAAGTACCACCGGTTCCTCAACGCCGAGCAACTTCACCAGCACGTTCGAGCTTTACATTGTTTCCCACTTCACAACCGTCAAAGGCTGCTCAAGTCCTCGGGACTCAGAACTTCTCTCGTGGCCCAAGCCCTTTGCTTCGATCGAATACACTCCTGCAGAGAGTCCATCCCAAGCATCCCCGATGGAACCCCCCTCGACCAATCCCTAATAATACTAGCGTTTCATCGTTCGAATCCTTGCCCATCGCCAATGTCTTTCAACGTTCACATACCCCGCGCTCATCTACGGCATCTTCTCGCTATGACGACAAACCATTGCCTGCTATTAAGCCCGAGCCGGAGACCCAGCCTTCATCCGAAGAGACAACAGCGTCAATAGTAACACAGATAATGACGCAGAATCCTGTTGCCATGCCATCGAAGCCCCAATCCCGATCCCGATCTCAATCCCCAGCACCGGCCCCGGCCCCGGCACCAAGGACTCAACAGATCCCCAGACAAAGGTCTTCGCCGCTCAAAAATGAGAGATCTTTACAGCAAGAGAATCCTAGAGTTAACCGGCCAAACCTGACGATTAAAACTGCTTCGACACCAATCCCACAACCCCCCGCGAAAGACCTCCCCGTTCGATCTTCCTCAATCCCAGTTCCCGGCCAGCAAATTCCCAAATTGATCACGGACCAGCCCACTATAACAATGTCTCCATCCCCACTCTCGTCCGGTCCAATGTCAGCAGTCTCTCCTCGACAGTCATCCCAACCTGCGCGTATACCTCTATCGAATGGCGGGAAAATGATCAAAACAGGGAGTGGGAAAACCCCAACTATAGAAGTCTCGACCGCCAGGTCGGTTTCTGTTTCGAAAGGGAGAAGGCAAATGCTCGTGCCCATCGGATCGCGAGCTGATCATTTTGATTCGAATGAGCGGCTCGTGGAGAGGAAGACTTTGACGCCGAGGATTACCGAGGTAACCTCTGGACACCGGCCTGCGAAATCTCAACAACTTCAAATTGAGTCGCTGTGAGATTAGACTCTGCATCACCATTCATTCCACATTCTTTCATCTTCATCTTTCATCTTTCATCTCGGAGCGTTGCTCTTGCATTCGGGGCGGTTTATAGGCTATTCTTAATTCTTCTTGGACATATTCTTCAATTATATTCATTTGTCTTCATGTCACCCAGCATCCTTCCCACTTCCTCCAACTACTATATTTGACCCGTAGACGCAGCTTATAGTTACTAGTAGAATGCTTCAAGTTCGAATAGTCCCCACTCATTGGAAATCAGCTTGGGGAAAGTGCCCAAACGGTGCCCGCAGGTGGACCTCTCGGAACCCCCCGAGGTAGAAGCGGGCGCCAATCAAAACCCTCAAAACCAGCAACTATTCACAGCACTCGGAAGCTCCGAATAGCGCGGAAGGGTCCGAGACGAATATTATTTGAATAAAGGCCAACCGCATCTCCTCCATCACAGTTCTTCTACTCAATACACTATCTCACTATCTCACACACCAGAAATTTCTCCTGCACAATGTCTGGAGAAATTCCGCTCACAGAATACCTCTTCAGGAGGCTTCGCTCCACCGGCCTACGCGCTGTCCACGGCGTTCCTGGCGACTACAACCTCACACTTCTCGACCATGTCATTCCGTCCGGACTAGAGTGGGTAGGAAACTGCAATGAGCTAAATGCAGCCTACGCGGCCGACGGATACGCCCGTATCAAAGGCATCGGCGCAATCGTTACAACCTTCGGCGTGGGTGAATTATCCGCAATCAACGCCATTGCGGGCTCATACGCGGAAATGGCACCTGTTGTACACATCGTCGGTACGCCGGTTCGCGCGTTGCAGGAAAAGGGCGTGAAACTTCATCATACGTTTTGTTCCGGGTCTAAGCGTGACTATGAACTTTTTGCTGAGATGTATGCCAAGGTTACTGTTGCGCAGGCTGATCTTGTTGATATTGAGCATGCGCCGGGTGAAATTGATCGTGTCATTCGGGAATGTATTCTTCAGTCGAGGCCTGTCTATATTCAGCTTCCGATGGACTTGGTGGATGCGAAGGTTCCAGTTTCTTTGCTGGATCAGGAGTTGGATCTGAAGCCTGCGGTGAATGATGTCGCGCTACAATCGGGTGTTTGTGATATTCTTGTTCATCGGATCATGGGTGCAAAGCAGCCATTGATTCTGGTTGATGGTGGTACCTCGCGGTATGGGCTCTCGAAATTGACAGAGGCTTTGGTCAAGGTGACCAACTTCCCGACCACTACGACTCCATTCGGGAAGGGCATTATGGATGAGACCTTGCCTAATTTCCATGGAATCTATGCAACAGTCGGCGATCACGATTATACTTCCTATGTCAATAGCTGTGATCTGATTATCAACATCGGGCCTGTCCACAGTAACGTGAATACCTACTACTTCGCCACCGTCCCCGACAAGACGGTAACAATTACCATCGAGCGGGACTCAATCCAAGTCGGAGAGCGCATTTGGAAGATCTCCCCAGCATCCGTCCTTGACCAGGTCATCTCGACATTAACGAAGGAAGGAGTCCCCAAGATTGAAACTTACCCTACCCTACCAAATATGCAGCAAACACTCGCAACCCTCCCTACCAACAACTCACCCGCCGATCGGTTCGCGCAGACCAATTTCTGGCGCCGCATGTCGCGCTTTCTGCGATCGGGCGATATCATCCTGACAGAGACCGGCACACCAAGCATGGGCGGTCGCGATTTCATTCTCCCTCAAAATACAACAATCATCAACTCCGCCGTATGGCTATCGATTGGATTCATGTTACCGGCTACACAAGGAGCTGCTTTAGCGCAGCGTCATCTTTCTGCCTCCGAGTCTCAACGTCCAGCTGCCCAGGGCCGAACAATTCTTTTCCAAGGAGATGGGAGTTTCCAAATGACCGCGCAAGAATTGAGTACTATTATTCGCAACAGGCTCGATGTCATTATCTTCCTCATTAATAATAACGGATACACCATCGAACGACTTATTCACGGACCGGAGGAACACTATAATGATGTTGCTTCGTGGAGATATCTTGAAGCCCCTTCTTTCTTTGGGGCTGAGGCTACCTCGACTTCTTATCCGATTTTTAAGGCGAAGGTTAGCACTTGGGGAGAACTTGATCGGATTATGGACGATCGTGAGTTTCATTCTGGGAAGGGATTGAGAATGGTGGAGGTCATGATGGAGATGCAGGATTGTAATGATACGTTGAGGTTGTTGTTGGATATTTACAAGACTAAGAAAGGTTGAAGAAGTGTATGTCAAATTTAATTTCCGACACATACACTCTTCATGCACCTAGATATCCTCACAGCAATCGAGATATTCAAAAAATAGATAATTTCTCAAACTATGTGCCCTCCCCATTCTGAAAAGTGTCTGTCTATAGAGTCGGATGAAGGTCGGCCCGAGGCTCGGAAGCTTCCGGGCTTCACGCAGGGGAACACACATCCAAGATTCTTTAATTTCTCATGCAATAACAGTCAACATGCCGCCTGTTCGGACAGGGCCGAGATTATCATCAGCCAGTCGGAGGGACTTGAATAAGGTTATTTCCGCGTGAGCAAATCCAACATTTGATGTGGCGTTGAGCTGATAGGCTCTGGCCCGCTAACATTATGCCCACAGATGCACGAACTGCAAGACGAAAAAGGTCAAATGCAGTGGAAACTACCCATGTGATAGGTGCGAGAAGCGCGATCTGGTTTGCAGTTTTCCAGCTTCGGAGCAACAGCGGCTATACTCTGCAGCGTAAGTCTACAAGACTATAACTTTGTCCTTCTCGGAGGCATACGCTTATGCTGGCAATAGAAGAATCCAGGAGCTGGAAGCTCGGCTGGCCCTGCATGAGTCTCCAAATGTATTCGACGGGTCCTCTTTGTCCAGTCCCACTGGTCTCAGAGGCACTGCTGCTTCATCTACTCCTCTCAGCTCTGCCCCACAGCCTGAAGCATTACTATCAGCTCAACGTGGGTGCTCGCAAGATACATACTAGGTGCTAGTATTTATACCCATGCTGACGCACAGCCCAGGTATTACCGCTGAACGTGACATCGGATCAAGTCAGGACTTTGGGGATCGGGTGCAAAGTCTTTTCGAACGACGGTCCCTACAGTCCACAGAAAATCGGCCATCATCCACCAGGTCGACACGTGCAGCGTTGTTCCCAGAAAGTAGGCCTCTAATCACCCTCCGCAAGGAACCCGGGGGCGACGAAAACTTTCTGGTCCTTCCATCGGAAGAGATAGCCTTCGAATTGCTCGAGGCGATCATGCTTTATTTCTATGAGCCCCAGCATTTATTTGACGCACGGGATGTGTCCGATCGCATATCCGGGCTCTTTGAAAATCAACAGGAGCAGCTTCAAACCCCAAATATATGGACACTGCAAACCTTGCTTGTATTAGCGGTGGGAAGATTATTGCGAGGCGAGTCAGATGTTGCTGGAAAGCCACCGGGATCGCAATTCTTTAGTTTCGTTGAAAGGAATCTGCCAAGCCCGACTGAGCTACGAAAACAAGGATTGGCAGGTATAGAGGTTTTGGTCTTGATGGTTATCTACCTGCAGAACATCGATCATAAAAATGATGCCTCTATCTATGTGAGAAATCTTGCTCTATTTGTTGATCTATATTGATGTTCGTCAGGTTGGACTTGCATTTCGACTAGCTATTATGCATGGTCTTCATCGGAAACACACCACGCAGCGACTCCGGCGATCGGAAGCCACGAATGCCAATCGTCTATGGTGGACAATTCAGATGCTCGAGAAACGACTGATGATTGCGACGGGGTCTCCCCTTATTTTGGATGATACGTTCAGCGATGCAATGCCTCCAGCCGACTCGCCGGGGTTTCCAAGCCCTTCCTCCATGCAGATCAACATCCAAATCGCCCAAATACAGGGCAGGATTTATTCTGTAATCTATAGCAACGAGTCGCGCGCAAAGGAAATATTTCTTGCAGATGTCCAGGAAATAATTTCTGCTCTGACACGATTAGCGCATCAAATCTGTCATGCATCTTCACTCGGGGCTTCCGTACTGGGCCACCAGACGTCGAGGAGAGAACAGCGGACAAGCATATCGCTTTATACTGTTCTCTACACTGTATGTATATTTTAAAGAAACCTGATTCCATTAGCTAACTTGGGTCTCCAGACCATAATGCTTACCTTGCGGCCAGTCATGCTGCATCTCACAAAGTCGATACTCAACGGCGAAACAACCTTTGCGCAAACAACGAAAGACTTCCAACAACTATCATGCACTTGCATAGAAGCAGCTCGAAGAAGCCTCGAGCTTATGATAGTCTCACGAAAAGAAGATATGATTGGTGTGTTCGTACATTCAGCTACATGAAAACAAGGCTGATCTTTTGAAAAAGCAAAATTCGGTTTCTTCGATCTAGACACCATTTTCTCCGCCGGGTTTATCATGCTCCTCGCTGCAATTATCGAATCAACAAATAACGAAGGCCAACGAATTCCTCTCCTGAGACCGAGCCCAGGAATATCCGAAGCAATACACTTGCTGGATTATGTTGGAAGCTTCAACAACCAAGCTGCTATCCAGAGACGCGACCAGATCCAAAAATTGCATGACCGCATCCCGTCACTCATGAGTCAATCTCGCTCCTCGGAGGGGCCTGCTACAAATGATGAATCTCTCCACGCTGGACTATCTGCGCAAAATCTCCCTGGTCCGATTTACTCCGTCGGGAATAACATTGATGACAGTCAAGCAGCCCAACCCTTCGATTTCATGGGAAATACAGGCATGGAAGGCTGTGCCGTAGGCTCCTTGCCTATTGAATTTCCAGATGACCCCCAGGCAATGTATTCATTGTATCACCCGGAAGACTTTACTTTGACTGGGGGAGACATTGCTGATTTTGAAGAGCTGCAACGTCATCTATTCGGAAATGATGACTGACTGACACGCACCGCGATGAATTGAAATATTTGAATGACCTCGGGACGGGTTTGAATGAATTATTATCATGTCAATATTTAGCTGGATACCTATGACTAGGGGGAACCTTGGAAATCGATTGTTTTCAAGTTCGACCTTCCAGGTTTCTACGAGTCCTAAGAACAGGGCTTTGGATCTATATATATAATGAGTCGGAGGTCCCTAGTCAGCGATACCTGAAAAAAGCCCCACCCCATGTCCATAGCACTTCCCCACTTGGGCAGGTACAGCCCTGGAGTGATTCACGAATCCAAATTCTGCGGTCGATAGTCGATTCGGCTCTCTATACTCGGTAGCGAAGGTTCTTGGCAGATTAGCGGATCAATCCTCAAGTCCGATATCAATTGAGTCAAAATGCAATGAGTCATCCCCGTAGGATAGCACGTCAGCAACAGCAGAAATAAAACCAACACTGCAACATATCTACCATCTATAGATTCAGGCACGTCCAAGGTTATCCAGAGATTCGAGTCTCAATTGATATCTCAAAATGATCTCCGCATATTCACAAGATCAATTATCCAAATATCTGACTTACATCGCCCTACCAACCCAATACGAAAAATACATCGAAAACCCATCTTCGTTCCCAAAAACCGACGAAGCACTGACAGCACTATTCCGATGTCAAATAACCAGATTTGCATACGATAATCTCTCGGTGCACTATTCCGCGACGAATCTCGCAAACATCGAGCCTCAGAGCATTTACGCGAAGTTTTTGGGGCCTCAGGGTACTGAACCCACCGGGCGCGGGGGGTATTGTCTTGAATGCAGTATTCTTTTCCATCATGTCTTGCTTGGACTGGGATTTTCGGTCTATCTCACTGGTGTGAGGAATCGGGCGCGCATTGATGGGATTCCGCAGGGGAATTCAAGGGATGGTAAGCGGGGAGGAGCGAAGTTGTGCTAGATCCAGATCCATTGAACCGAAGCACCCCGCTAATTCGGTCGCAGGACACATATTGTGAATATCATTCAACTTCCTGACGGGCAGGAGTATCATGCCGACGCTGCGTTCGGTGGAGATGGACCTACCAGGCCCCTGCCCTTGATCTCGGGCAAAGTGTGGCCGAACCTTGGTGCGCAGGAGGTTCGACTGGTTTACGGTAATATGCCGAAACAGCAGCGACCGGAGCAAAAGGTTTGGATGTATCAGTATCGGAATGGCGCGGAAAAGGAGTGGAATACTTTCTACAGTTTTGTGGAGTTTGAATTCTTTCAGGATGACTTTGAGGTGATCAATCGATATACTAGCTGGGAAGCGCGGGAAAGGGGTAATTTTTGGATTGTCAAGTTTCTGCGCAACGGGGAAACTGCCGGTCTTCCTGTTCTTGATGGCGAAGCGCTCAATGAGAGACCGGAAGATGCCTACGTGGTGGGAAAAATTATGTTTGTTAATGATGTGGTGAAGATTAATTTTGGCGGCAGGACGAGGGTGATTGATGAGTTTAAAACGGAGGAAGAGCGGGTCAACGGGTTGAAGAAATGGTTTGGTATTTCTCGACTCGATTAGAGGGGGTATGTTATACATCTTCGCTAGCTTGTTTGCTTATACATAGACCAGTCCAGTCCAAGGTAGTTTAGACCAGATTGCAGGTGCCTGAAGAATACAAATCTCCGAATGTAACCTTACCGCGTGAGAAGAATGGGTGATCTGATAGGCTGGATTTGATAGTCCCTTGGCCATGATTTGGCGGGGCTGATAACCTAACATAACATAACTAGGTCACTCTGCACCGCGGGGTTGCAATTTATTCTCTTCAAAGTAATCGCAAGTATGAATATCGCCGCAGATGAGAGACTGGACTTCACAGCCGTGACGAATCGCGGAGAAAATGGGTCCGGGTTATCGGGCCAAGAAGAGAAACTATTCAAGGTTCTGCACGATGTTGTTCAGCCCCGGGATGCGATAACGCCAGATGGAGCTGCAGAACAGATCAACGAGTATCTTCGTAGCCACCCAAATCGCTCAGGGGAAAGGGAAGAAGATACTGAAGTCGTCGGGGATTTCCTGGGTTCTTTGTGGTCACTATTGACCTCCGTTGTGGAGTATACTCCTTACAACCATCCCGGCCAAGACCGACTCATCGCTACGATGCAATCATTGATCAAAAGAACTGAAGGATCCTATGCAATTTGGGGGGTATGTTTCCCAAAGGCAAAGGTTAAACTCGACGGTCAGCTACTAATCCGATCCAGCAATCTGCACTACAAGTCTGGCCCGACCTACCCTTACTAGGACCCTGTGTGCGAGAGAAAATGGAACTGGGCTGGTAAGTAGTATGAAAATAATGAAAAGAAAGAGTACGAAAGAATAATACTAACTATCCCAGCAACCCCCTCCTTCAACAAACCATACCATGAAATGCCGGGCGCAAAAGAATGGATCAACACAAACTCTTTCACAGCCCGATTAATCGGCGCGAAGATCGTAAACTGGGAAACTTTTCCAATCTGGGCCCTACGCGAAGCATTCGAAGAGCCCTTTCGCAGCGTGGCGGAAAACGATATCCACGCCCTCGTCGCGGCACAGTGGATTTTTCATGCTGGGAAGCTGATATACGAGCTTAGTGTTGAAGAGTCTCTTGTTGAGAACCCGAGGATTACGAAGGGGGGGTTCGCTGTTTGATGGAGAGAGCGGGTTTAATATCAAGCGGTGGGCGTTTTGGAAGAAGAGCGCGGGGGAATTGAGTGCTGAAACTTCGGATGAGGTTAAAGGAATTGCTTCTGCTGTCGTTGAGAAGATGTCTGAGATCGAAGGGAAGTAGTGGGCACATGAATGATTTTTGTATTTACATTGGATAGGCGTGTACATATTGTTCTCTAGTGTGTATGGCTCTATTTATGCTTTGCTAGGAGCACTTGGTGCTTCAACTGCCTGTGTCGTACCAGTTCCCACATCAACTTCCACATTCGACAATGACCACTGCATGCCGATGTAGGAATCACTGAACAGCTTCACATTCACGCGAGCCATACCTGCCGTTGTAACGGAGGAGGATTCAGCGAGGGCAGCACCGGGGAATTTGACCAGCGAGCGCACGCTGATTGACCCATTGCTCTTATCCTTGCTCGACCCTTGAGCACCTCGGCTGGGGCCTGCACCTGGGCGGCCCTTGCCGTGATATTGCTTGGATGGCCACGAGACTCGCTTCAGACCAAGAAGCTCGCCATCGGTTCCATCGGGACGGGCATTGCACACAATCAAGAAGAAACCCTCGGTTTGAGGCTTCGGGAAGCGAGGGGCGTAGATACGGAACTCGGAGTGCGTAGGGGCGTTGTGACGGGTCAGATTGACACTCATGCCCTTGGAAGAAATGCCAGCCACGGAAATGGAAATATGGGGCAGATGCGAGGTAGCTTTGGGGAATTGTGCCGGGAGGTCAAGTCTCTTCACCATGCCAAAGACCGAGGACGAAGGCTGCGAAGATAGTGCGACCAAGGAAGATGGAAGGCCTTTGGGTGGTTTCTCGACAGTGATACCTGGTAGAATGGATAGAGGGTGATCCTCGGGCCAGCGGGCAGACTTGATGCATTGAAGCAGGGTGATCAGCATGTGGCAGGCTGGAATGTATCCGAGCTCGGCCATGACATCAATAGATGCTTGAATAATACGAATACCCTGGTCCAAGACGGAGGTCTGATCTCCCACATAATCCGAGATGGGCAAGTCGATTCGCGACATGTATGCCTGAAGTAGCAGGAAGGCTTTGACATGCGGGTCCCACATTGGCACATCACCCATCGCTTCGATGGACAAGGGGAGATTCTGGGCTAGCTCAGCGTTGATAAGATCCTCATTGTGTCGGACAGGGAGTTCGTCGAATTCCGTGGCAGAGCACATCCAGCTGAGGACGTCCTGGAAGGTCGGATCGCGCTTGGCGTGGGACATCAAGTAACGGACAGTCTTATGCGAGAGGTAGTAGTAACTCATGATCTTGCCGAATGGCGTGGAATTGACTTCGCCGGTCGCAGAGTCGACCAGAACACAAGAAGATTCGGCGAGGTCATTGAGGGACTTGTCGACGAGTTCAATCATAAAGTCTTGCGCAACAGCCTGAGCGGCCATGGTATTTTGTTCCTCGGCAGAAATCTCAAGACCATAATAGGAGGGATTCTTGTGCAGTCGGCGGAAGAAGAATGTCCAAGTCAGGTAATCGAGAGCATCCTGCTTAGTTCCGATCGTGCCAGCAGATACCTCGGCGCCCAAGTGGTTATCCAACACCTTGTGTAGAGTCGACTCGACGGGGAAGCCAGTGTGTAGGAAATGTTTGTAGAACGCCTTCTTAGAGTCTTGGGTGAAGATGCGTGCAATGCCGGAATTATCGAATTGAGGGCGACCAGCACGACCAAGCATCTGCAGGACATCGGTCAGGTCCATGTCACGGTATCCTTCGATCTTAGCATCAAAGAATTGGGTTCCCTTGACGACAACAAGATGCGCGGGCAAGTTGACGCCCCACGCAAGAGTACTGGTAGCCACCAGAATTTGAATCTTGTTATTGGCGAACAATTCTTCGGCCAGCTGTCGATCAGACTCGACTAGACCGGCATGATGCAGGCCGATACCAAAACTGAGTGCTTCCCTTAGAGCATCATCCTTGACGCGTGCAAGGTTCAGCTCTAGGTCATCTTCGGACATCCGCACAAAGCGACGAGGGTTATCCTCCATACCGCAGTAATTGATCAAGTCCTTCGCAGTGAGACGAGTCTGCCGACGGGATGCAACAAAGACAATAACGGGCTTCTCGGGGGAGTGGTTCTTGATCGCAAGGAATGTAGGGCGATTCATGGACTGCATGAGTGGGCAGAAGCCACGCTGCTCGGGAAAGCCGTCGATGAAAATCTCAAGGGGAACTGGACGGACAGAGTGGCGGAAATTGTAGAGACCCTCCTTAACGCCGAGCCAGTTTGCGAGATCACTGGCGTTAGCGCAAGCCGTAGACATACCCATGAGACGGACGGAGCCCTTGGACTGCGACGCGATGTAGTTCATACGGGACACAATGATTTCCAGAATAGGGCCACGATCACCACCTAACAGATGGATCTCGTCAATGATAACGAGACTGACCTTCCGGACATAATCACGAGTCTGCCAGCTACGGGAGATACCGTCCCATTTCTCAGGGGTGGTAATAATGATGTCTGCATCGCGGATAGTGCGGGTGTCGGGGGTGTTATCACCAGTCAACTCAACCAGCTTCAGCCCCATCGGACCAGTGAGACGTTTGCGCCAGTCTTGTACACGCTCACGAACAAGCGCTTTCATAGGTGCGATATAAACGACCTTCGACCCTGGCTTCTCGCGGAATGCCCACCACATTGCCAGTTCGGCTGCCACAGTCTTTCCACTACCAGTTGGTGATCCCAGAAGAACATTGGCAGGGGTGTGGTAGAGCAGGTGGAAGATCTGCGTCTGCATAGGATTGAAGAAGTGGAACCGTTGAGCGTACAGCTCCTCGAGTATGGGATTGCGAAGAGCAGACACCGGCAGAGGCTGAAGATTCAACAAATCGGTGTATACACTCTCCGTATCCGGGCGGATGAGATGCTGGAACGAGACCGGGCTGACGGTTTCTGCACCGAGCCAGCGATCGGAAATAAGGCGAACGTAGATCTGACTGGGCAGCGGATCGGATAGTGGAATAGTGAAGTTCAATTCGTGATCATCGTAAAGCTTCTTGCGGCTCAGGATGAAGTACTCATGGTGGTAGATCTCGGAAGTCTCCGAGTTTTCAACCCAAACCCAGAACGACTCGGAAGTTCCATGGTGGCGATCATTCCATGAAAATTCGGGATAGATGGAAAGGCGGATGCGAAGCACATCTCGGTTCAGCGGGGCGATCTCAGTTTCCACACTGAGCGTGGGGAAGTTATCCAGAAGCTTTCCGATGGTTTTTCCCATTTTTTGGTTGTGTACAAGCTGACCAATCTCGGCGGTATCCATCTCCTTCATCGACTCTATCGATGATGATGGGAGGCGATCCTCCAGGTTACGGAGGATAGGCTGTGGAAGGTCGAATTGGCGGAATGGGTGATCGAAGGGCCAGATTTGCTTCTCGATCGACTTGCACAGGAAAGGAGAACCTGGCATTGGTAGCCCCATCGACGGTTCAATGCGATCATGAAGAGGGCTCGGCAGATACGGGCAGAGTTTTGAGAGACATATCCCATATCCGATACCAGAGCAAAGTCTTCCAGCTTGGCGCGAGAAATGTGAGCTTGGAGGAGCAGATTTGTCTTTGCATGGGGAGAATCATTGCCGCCTTCGACTTCGGTCTGGGCCACATCATCGCGAAGCCGTTGCAGCTCTTTTGATTCGGAGTCGCGGGACTGGATATTGTCGAATTCACCACTCATACTGATCATCTTGAGAACATCTGCCTCGCCAGCGCGAGCACGCATCATTGTGTTGAAGATTTCCACACTGCTCTGCAGAACATAGTACTGGCTGGCGATGCGACCGACATCCTTCGCTTTCAGGTCCTCGGTCTTCTCGTTGAAGATGATCATTTGACACTTCTGCAACGTTTGCGCAGCTTGGATAATTAACTGTCGTCGTCGCTGAACGAGCATGGGATCATCACGAAGCTCTGCGAACTCGATGCCGTAGTTGCGAGGTTCACGCTTCATGCGGACAAAGAGGTAGGAATATCCGAGCCACTGCACGGCTTCGGGGACGGAGGTGACAGTTCCAAGTGAGATTTCGGCATTTAAGTTATCAACTAGTCGACTTGAGAAACGAGACTCAATGGGTTGCTGGGCTGTAACTGCCGAAAGATAATGGGTGAGCTTATCGTGGGTAGTGCAGATGAAGCCAATACCGGTATCCTGGAACTGAGGACGACCCGCACGACCAAAAATCTGCAGCACGTCAAGAATGCTCAGGTCGACGAATTTTCCCTCCTGGGCGTTGTAAAGTTGGGTTCCTTTGATCACGACCGCAGCCGCCGGAAGGTTAACACCCCATGCAAGGGTCGCAGTACAGCAGAGAACCTTGATCAAGCCCTCCGAGAACATGCGCTCCATCAGATTGCGATCACTTCGACTCATACCAGCATGGTGGGCTCCAAATCCGCCAGCGAAAAGGTCGCGCAGCTCGCGTGCACGGGCGTGCTTCATGTCTCGCAATGCGTTGGAATAATTCTCGTGGTCATGGCAACTGAACAGGTCTTCGCAGCCTTCTTCAGCCGCGAGCTGCTTCAGCATGCGAGCAGTCATCACAGTATCCTTGCGAGAGTGCACGAATACCATTACTTGATGACCACGTTCGAGCATGTCTCGAACCTTTTCATAAGAGACAGCATCAATATTCTCTCTAGATTGCTTGCTGCCTGGCTTTCCCTTGACACCGATGAAATGCTGCTCAAGAGGGACAGGTCGAAATGATGCATCGAAAAAGAAGAGTCCGGCCATCTTGTTGACTTTTAAGAAATCGGCGACATCGACGTAGTTGGGCAGGGTAGCGGACAGACCCACAATGCGAATCAGGGACTGGGTGCTTTCCACTTGACGCTGTGTTCTCGCAACCAAGGATTCGATGACAGCACCACGCTCGTCGTGCAGCATGTGGACCTCATCGATAATGAGCAGCCGCACCTTTTGAACCAGCTCAGTGTCACCTGTGCTTTTCCGGGTTACCACATCCCATTTCTCAGGGGTGGTCACGATGATCTGAGTATCGACAATTTCACGCTTAGTTAGCTGCATGTCACCAGTCAATTCACGGACATGAACTCCCAGCCAAGCGAGACGTTTCCCAAGCTTCTCTGTGATTTCTGCCGCGAGGGCTTTCATAGGAGCCACATAGACAATCTTGAAGTCGTCAACCTGCACCGTGTATTCGGTAGCATCCGGCTCTTCCAGCGGGTTAGGGGCGGTGTTCTTTCCGATGGCGTTCAAGATAGTCAACATCGCTGCGTCTGTTTTACCGGCACCAGTCGGTGCGCAAATAAGCATGTTCTCGCTGGTCTTGTATGCGACATCGTAGAGCAGACTTTGCATACGATTAAGTGTTTTGTAACCTTTGAAGGTCCCGCGACAAAGGCCATCCAGATCAGATATCTGGATCAGCTTCTGGTTTTTGGCTAACGATCCAACCTTGCTAGCGGGAATCTCAAATTCGGTGTACTTAGGCTCCTCGTGCTGCTTGCTACCGACGGGGAGGCCGTATTTCCTGCCATTTGCAGAGAGTGTATTTCCGGAGGCGCTTGACTTGAAGACGTGCGGATATGTCGGCTCCGAGCGGGTCTGAGCGGCCATGAGAGGGGCGTTCTTATGATCGTAATCCCGCTGCCACACAGCTTCCTCCCTCTCAGCCCGCGTGAGCAGCTTTCCCTTGGCTAGTCCATCTGTTTGTGACTCCACACGGTGTGGTTTGTCCGACAAGATCTCTGCACGGTTGGCGATAAGCTCAATGACCAGGTCCAGGTCGTCGAAGCCCACGATCTCGGCCAGAGACATCTGTAATTCCGCATCATCACTGTCTGCGGCTAAAGTAGCCACGATCTGCTGGGAGAGTTCCGTAGGATCCATGGTCGAGTTACGAGCTGCCAACTCCTGACATTTGCCTTCCAGCCATGACCGATTGTACGAGGACGAGTGGGGAGGGTAGGAGAGGGAAACATCGTTCAGGTCGTTTAAATCGTCGAGATCGTCAGTTGTTTCTTCATCGGAGCTAATGACATCCCATACATCGTCAACAGTTCCCGGGAGGAATAGTCATCGTCAAGATCCAGCTCGATATCACTTCCATAGCTCGTTGAATCGCGGGGCAGGTCTTTGGGGAGTTTCAGATCGGCAATGGCCTGGCGCATGGCGGCTAGTTGGGATAGCCATTGGTCTGTGGCCGATGAGGGAGTATCAAGATCCATGATTCCGTATCTCAAGCAGAGAGCGGGCCAAGAGTTTGAAAGTGTGAACGTGAGGAAGTGTAAATATGCCAATATGCAATGATAGGAATGTTGTAGAGCCTCGGCGGGTCCCAGGGCGGTGAGGAGCCGGTCATCAGGGCGGTGAATTGTCTGCCCGTCAAACCGGGCGGTAGGCGGAATTGCCAACGTCGTCCCGTGCGGTGGCCTCCTCAGGAGACCAAAGCTCACTTCGCCTCAACCTGTTCATTTGCCCCTCGCCCAACTTTGGCTGATTTTAGCACAGCTACTCCTTAATTCCAACCTTTCAGACGGGTTTTCTTACTATTTATCGACTTCTTCTTTCCGATCAACCTCATTCACCATCCCGCCATCATGAAGATCCTCTATATCGGAGTGCGTTTCGAAGGCAGCGAGAGTTGGTTTCTCCATCGTGTCATCATGTGCTGATTTTGGATCCTTCTGCAGGTTTTTCGGAACGGTCTTAACCCGAATCGTGGAGCAAATGACAAGAAACGTGATACCATGCTGCTCTGCGGCGACAAAGATCTCTCGACGTGAGTACATCCGCACACCGTATTTGCCATAGGCCAAGCGCTAACCCCCAACAGCATCCACTGGAGCAAGCGATCTGCGTATGCATCTATCCCTCCTCCGAACCTTTTGTGGAAAAGCCCTGACTAACAAATCGTCGCCAGAGCCGAGACGGTCATGAATATCGACCTCCACGGCGTCGCCGAAGGCACCCAACCTGGTCAACGCCATGACATGGATCACCTGGGATACATCTTTCACGGTTACAGCCGGGTTAAAGGGATATCTGCTGTTATTGTCACCGATGGGGAATATCCTTCTCTTGTTGCTCACCAGCTTCTTTCCAAGATCATGGACGACTTTCTCACAAAGTACCCTCGTGCCGCTGTCGACCCTTCTCCAACCGAGAACTCATACCCATTATCCTCGCCGATTAAGGAATGGATTGAGAAATACGACAATCCCGAAAATGCCGATAGTATCACAAAAATCCAGCAGGAGCTTGACAGTACCAAGATTGTTCTGCACAAAACTGTACCGTTCCCCGCCCCTAGATATTGTATTCCTATACTCACCTTTACAGATCGAATCTGTTCTCCAGCGAGGCGAGAGTCTCGATCAACTGATGTCAAAATCTGCCGATTTGAGCGATCACTCGAAACAGTTTTATCAGCAATCCCGAAAACAAAACGACTGCTGTATCGTGATGTAGTGGAAGAGGCCTCTTCATCGCGAATCAATAACTTCGGACCCTAACTACGAACATGCTGTCTTACTCTCTCACTAAATCAATTACGGTATCCACTGAGCCTTTTCTTCCAACAATGATGACCGTTACCGCGATGTCAAATTTTATTGGACTCAATCCGTTGATGTAATCAAATCATTCGATGCTTGCGTGCACATTTCTTAGTTCTGGATCTGTCTTAATTATGTTCCCCGCCGGTATGTGACGATTTGCCTTTGAAATGTGAACTCAAGCAGCGTGTTTATTCAATCGGAAACGATATTTACTTTTATGCTCATAATGTACACTTTGCTCATTTCTAAAGTTGCCTCAATCTTTTACTCCAGATCCCATCTTTCGAGAAATTCCAGTAGTATTATACAAGCACTAGTCACGGGTAGCTTGCGATATATTAGGGCTAGTAAGACCTTGTTCCAAGGTTCCATGACCCCTTGTCACCCGGTTCGTGCCTCCCGCTCAGAGGCGCTGCACGCTGTGACAGTACAGAAGGGGTTAAAGAGTACAGAGAAATTGACTTTGCAACGCAAAAAAAGAGCGAACAGACGCTCTAATAGCGCTAAACCAGCATGACGGTATTTCTCCTCTAACAACCCCCCCTATGCTCTCTGCACTGAATGGATGGCTTTGAACCTTTTCCTTTTAAACGCCACGGCACTGATCCAATTATTGATAAACATAAAGCAGAATAGAGCGCCAATAATACCGAGGGCTACCAGAGGTCCAAGGATAGAGAAAACAGTAAACCCGTACGATGCTGACTGAAACGCGTGGTTTCCAACCAGTGCATCAGTCCCAAGGCCAACCTGCATAGCTCCTAAAACAACGGCGATATAGACCGTGATAGCGGTCAGCCAGGCAAGGTTCTCTTGGAAGAAATCGCCATATCGAGTCCACTGCCAGTGTGACATGTAACCCCGTAGAGGCGTTAGGTAACGGACATTATATATCTTGTTCAACCTACTGAGACGAAGCTCGCCGTAGTTGAAACGGTTGTCGATCTTGCGGTGTAAATTATTCGCAGCGAGAACTTCCTCGACCAGGGTCATCCAGTCCGACCATGTTACTTCTGGGGGTATCAACTGTTTGGCTTGGGCAATGACGAAATCGCTCTTGTGAGAGATCAAGCCGGCGTATGAGTAGAGGAATCCAAGTGCCGACCCCCACAGCCTTTCGTGGACACATGAGGCATGGTCGGTCGAGTCTTCGGATGAATATTCAGCCAAGCTGCTGGTTTGACTGCGGATGCAGCATGGGGGACAGGACAGGTTTTCAGCCCAAAAGTCAGGAGCAAGAAGAAATCTTGGGATTGGTTTGACGAATATACGACCTATAGTCCAGACGAGATGCATGTCCATTCGTTCCGTGATGAATATATCTCGCGAAAGAACGAGCTGATGGTGCAGCGGGCGTGGTGGCATCGGACGACCGGCAATCCACAACCATGGAAGAATGTCATGAAGTCTCTTCAAATCCAGTTCCTTCTCAATACAGGACGTGATGTCTGTGTTGGAAGCAGCTAAGTCACCAGACGTGGTGCGGTACGACGCCGGAAGGAGTGGGCGAAGGGAACTATGATCGGATGTGCCAAGGGCATCACGCTCCAAGGGTTTGACAAGGAACGGACAAGTCTGCGCAGAGCCGTTAGTTCACCATTTCTCGGTCACAGCACTATTTCCAGCGCCAGTTTATCATGGTACTGTATGGGTAAGGCACGGTACACTGACTTGCTTCTGTTGGCCCTCCGTGTGGTCCCCGTGCTCATTGTGGTTAGAATCTCGCATCTTGCCCGAGCCATTCATTTCGGGGGCGGGCATGGAGTATAACAGCGATCCATAAACGTGGCACCCTGCCTTCTGCCCCTTATGCGAAAGGAGGAGATATTTGCACGTATTTTGGCCCCATCACGTGCATCCAACGTGATGAGATGTGTCTCGGGAATGCTCAAACAAGCGGCTAAGGCTGGCGGCTAGCTGAAGTACCCTGTACCGATGGCAACCCCTGGTAGAAACAACAGCTCCTCCTACTCACAATCGCACCTCTTAAGTGTGTGGTGGTTTTGAACATCAGAACCTCGGAAACCCGTCCCCGGTACCATGGATGGGTTGGCTAGCAACAGCCGTTTAAGGTTTTGGGTTGCGGTTACCGCGACCACTACCGTGGTTATCCTTACTGTCTATCTTCTCCGCATCCGCCCCATTATTCGCAGGATAAGTCGTCGAAGAAAGTCAGATCGCCTTGACGGCCTTCACGTTATTTCCGAGCCCGAAAATGCGGAGGATGTCACTTTTGAGTAAGGGCCCGTCCTTCCAGTTACACTGCGTTCATCGCTAACGTCTTTAGAATTGTCGCCGTACATGGCCTCGGCGCGGATTCAGAGCACACATGGACGGCTGCTGCTGTGGAATCGCCTGATTCGAAAAAGAAAGACCATAGGCGCGTCCACTTACTAAAAGACCTTCTCAAAAATGACTTCCCCCACGCAAGAATCTCGGCATTCGCTCACAACTCGGACTGGTTGATCGATGCCCCGGTTACAACAGCGCAACAAATCGGCCACCGGTTGCTCGATGACTTGGTGCACCATCGGTCCAAACATCGGGTGAGAACTGCTGAATCTCAAAAGCACGATGAGGCTAATAGATAATGTAGCGTGTTCCCATCATATTCATCGGCCACAGCTTCGGGGGTATCGTCATAAAAGAGGTACGCCAGAAAACCATTGCCGCCCACAGAGACCTAACCACCGCTGCAGGCCTTGTGTAAGTCTGGGGATACAGCGAGAGACACAATCGACAGCACTTCCGGCATCATCTTTCTCGGGACACCTCACCAAGGGTCCCTTTTGTCAACTCCGGGAGCTATTCTAGCCTTGGCGACCGGGATTTTGGGTTCCGAAACCGGGCTTCTCATCTCTCTGACCAGTCATCGGATGGAGCTGGTCGACCTGGATGTAAACTTTGTTCGGTGTATAAAGGAGAAAGAGCAACGAACGCGGAAGACTGAGATTGTAGCTTTCTGCGAAAAGAAATCTACATATTTCGCTGGAATATCGGTCGGGAGGGTAGGTTCCGGTGTCCATCTGTTGAATCCTCAGGTTCTGACATCCTCAGATTGTCTCTGCGGACTCAGCCCGTGGCGGTCATGCCCCTGAAACTGTATACATTGACACAGATCACTCGGGACTGAATAAATGCAGAAGTTCCAACGACGAATTGTATATTCAACTCCGACAAAGTTTGCTTAAATTGAGCAAGTATGTCAGTTAACTCGACCACAAGATTCAAAGGGCTAACCAAGAAAGGAACATGACCTCGACACTCAACAGTAACCAGAACTTTGTTATAAACAAACTCCGCACCGTTGAAGAAGCCCCGTTCAACTCTAGTGCGAATCAGCACGACCCGATCTGTCTAAAAGAAACGCGTCGTGAGCTACTGCAGGATATTGATCAATGGGCCAAGGGCCCAATAACCGGCAAACATATATACTGGCTCGAAGGAAAGGCCGGAACTGGCAAGTCAACAATTGCTCGGACCGTGGCTGGCACGCTTAACGAGCGTGGTCTTCTTGGAGCCAGTTTCTTCTTCAAAAGAAATGAATCTGGTCGTGCTAATGCTGGGTATCTCTTCTCAACCATTGCTGCCCAGCTTGCGCGGAGACTGCCCGCCGCTGCCGAGCACATGCGAAATGCCATTGAATGTGAACCCGAGATCGCTACCATGGCATTTCAAGCACAGTTAAGAGAACTAGTCGTGAGGCCGATGCTCAAGACTATCCCGGCTGGAATTAACAGGACCATGACCGTTGTAATCGATGCACTCGACGAATGCGACAGACCCGACGACATCATAACGGTTATCAAGTTACTGCTACAGACCGACCTTCTGACCGTAGCTCCTTTGAAATTCTTCATCACTAGTCGAGATAAGTTTCCTATTCGGACTGATCGCCAGGGGGGCCAATGCCGATCCATCCAGTTTCTTGTTGACAAGATTCCAACATCAATTGTTGAGCGGGACATCGCAAACTTTCTGAGCATTCGATTGGATGATATCCGGGAGAAGTTCGACATGACATCCAGTTGGCCAGATCAACGACAGTTCCAGACGCTGCTGAAGAAATCCGTTCCGCTATTCATTTTTGCTGCCACTGCCTGCCGCTTTATTGAGGACCGCCGCCAAAGTGGCGGAGTACAGGGTCGCCTGCAGAAAATATTGCAAAACGAGCACCATGGGCAGTTCAATCAAATATACCTGCCTATTTTGAATCAAATGATTTCAGAACTTTCAGACTCTGCAACTCGAGAGGCACTTAGGGAATTTAACTTGATTGTTGGTTCGATAGTCACTCTCGCAGATCCTCTGGGAGCTGCACCACTGGCGAGGCTCTTGGGTATTACCACGGACTGTGTCGATGATAGATTATCCCTACTGCATTCCGTTCTGGACATTCCACGCGATGCCTTTAGTCCTGTGAGAATATTTCATGAATCGTTCCGTGACTTCCTCGTTCAAGTTGACTCCGTGGACGGTCAGAAATTCCAGATTGATGAGACGGCTACCCACAAGATACTTGCAGACAGATGCATTTGGCTACTCGACGAAGGCGGCGTCTTAAAAAAAGACATTTGTGACCTTAGAGAAGCGGGAAAATTGCGTACTACCATTGACCAGGAAGTTATTGACGATAACCTGCCATCAGAGGCTCAATATGCCTGCCTTTATTGGGTACATCACGTCAAAGGTAGCGCGGTAATGTTGAGTTATGGGCACCGAGTGCTCCAATTTCTCCAAAATCACCTGCTCCACTGGTTTGAGGCCCTTAGCCTGTTGGGAAAGATCTCGGAGAGTATCAACCTTTTAGGCGAATTACAGGTTCTGTTTAGTGTAAGTCACTTTCTTCACCACGCATCTACTTCCCAATTCATGGTTGGTAACTGGAATATATAGGCCGACCACAATTCTTCAATCTCCGACTTTCTGTATGATGCAAAACGCTTTATTCTTCAAAATCGCCAAATGGCCGATCATGCACCTCTCCAGCTTTATTCCTCAGGATTAGTATTCGCACCAAAAACATCGGTTGTACGAAGAAACTTCCAAGGAGAATTTCCTAGTTGGGTGTGTCAGCTACCGGAAGTCCTGGATGGCTGGAGTTCAGTGTTGCAAAATCTCGACGGCCATTCAAAATCAATTGGATCGGTTGCCTTTTCACCGAACGGGCTGATTCTAGCATCAGCCGCCTATGAACAGACAGTACGGCTCTGGGACACTTCAACAGGAACTTTGAAACAGGCTCTGAAGAGCTCATACAGAATGAAGTCGGTCGCTTTCTCGCCCGATGGGCTGATACTTGGAGCTGGGAGCTGCGATGCCGTGGTATTATGGTTCTGGGAAATCGCAACAGGTGTTTTGCAACGCACTCTCGAGGCGCCAAGTCGCGAGGGCTGGTCGGCTTCTGTTAACTCAATTGCCTTCGCTGATCAACGGATACTGGCATCTGGCTGCAATGATGGAATTCGAATCTGGGATACTGCGACGGGCGCTCTGCAACACATTATTGATGGCCACTCCCATTGCGTCAATCAAGTAGTCTTCTCATCTGACGACTGCCATATGCTGGCATCTGCCTCCGCCGACAAGACAGTACGGCTCTGGGACACTAGAACGGGAGCTCTGAAACAGATCCTTGAGGGTCATTCAGATGACGTGCGATCAGTGGCATTCTCCCCTTGTGGCCACATAGTAGCTTCCGGTTCTGAAGATAAGACAGTGCGACTCTGGGACGCTGTGAGCGGTACCCTGAAATCGACCTTTGACCACCCATCTTTCGTCGATTCAGTATCATTTTCGGCGGATGGCCGAACATTGGCATCTAGTTGCGGCGAGAAGGACGTCCAGCTCTGGGATACTAATACTTGTTCTCTTCAGCATACTCTGAGGGGCAATGCCAGCCACGTTAAATCGGTGGTCTTCTCGCCTGACAGCCAGATGCTAGCATCTTCCGCTATGGGCAATACGGTACAACTCTGGGACGCGGGAATAACCGAGTATTCCCAGCAAAGTCTCTCGAGAGATCATGTCTTCCTCCTTTGCTACTGCCTTTCCCCCTAACGGCCAGACATTGGCATCGGCATGGGTATCTCCCTTTGGTCACAAGACGATACAGCTCTGGGATATGGCAAAAGGCAAGTTAATTTGGAGTTGCACTAGAGTTGAAAGGAAAACATTGGCATTCGAACTATATTTCTCCCCTAATAGTCAGATGCTAGTGTCTGTCTTTCGGGATGACAGGATGGAGCTCTGGGATCTTAAAACTGGTACAGCTACCCTACGAGCTACTCTCAATGCCTATTGCGACGCAGACTACACAATACAATTCTCACCCAATAATGAGACAATCGCATGCTGTACGGATGAGAAGACAATTGGGATCTATGATACGAAAATGGGGACTCTACAGCGCACCCTGGAGGGTCATTCGAGTCAAGTCATCTCAGTGGCATTCTCGCCCAATAGCCAGATTTTAGCATCGGCTTCTAAAGACAAGTCGGTGCGGCTCTGGGATATTGCAACAGGAGCCCTCAATATCATAATCAATGGGTGTTCATACTTCAGAGGCTCTTTAGCATTTTCGCCTACTGGCCAGGTTTTGCTATCTAGTTCCGTTGACAATACGACTCAGCTATGGGATGCTGCAAGTGGTGCTTTGAAATGCACTATTGATGACCTATCTGGAACCGGAGGCAAAACAGCCGTGTCACATGCAAAGGCCCTGTCACATAATGGTCAAATGCTGGCATGCTGCTTTGATAACACAATACGACTGTGGGATGCTGAAACAGCCACTTTGCGGCAGACTTGGACTTTCGTGGGATTTTTGCAATTTTTAGAGTTTTCACTGGATGACCTGTCCTTGAAGACGGATTTGGGTTCCTTCGATATTGAATCTAAGTGTGGTACAGGTTCATCTCGTGCGGAGCGGAAGTTGGCAGTCTCTCTCCAGGATGAGCAGTGGGTAGCATTGAACGGTGAACGCGTACTGTTTCTCCCCGCTGAAGCTCGGACAGACCAATGGGTAGCTCGGGACCGAAAGATTGCGCTAGGACTGAGTTTTGGCGAATTTCTTTTTATGGAATTCAATGGACAGTCCAGCTATCAATGACTTCCGCATCCAGTTCAACTTTTTAGCATATCCCAATGTGCCCTGATGAAAGGAATACCGCAGTTTTAAAGTATCTCATTTCGATACTGAAACTGCAGTACTATCAATATGATGTCCAAATTTTCATCCAGAATAAATAATACGCCGAAATGTATAGAATTAAGTGTTAAGAAATCTTTGTCATCGTAGTCACAATTAAACTATAGAGTCGTTGATGCGTGCTTAGACACTCGCTGCCTCAGGCATCAAATATTCTCCCCAGCCGTTCCTTCCAGATGATCCTCCTGAGGTTGACTCTCCTTCTCTTCAACCTGATCGAGGCACTGTTCCTCCAAGTTCGCGACAATCGTCCACTTTCACGAACTTTCCAACGAACCCACACGCCGCAGGGTAAGGTGACAACAACGGTTTCTTGCCTCTTCACTCCCAATTTCGATAAAGCAAATTTTGTCACTGTAAGAGGGCGAGGTAACAAGGTTGGAGGGTTGCGGCCATTGGAACAACACGGCGAAAATGCATAGCCCTGAGAGACATGCCGCCCACCTGAACACTGTTGGTGTTTTGGGACTTCTGGTGTGGGATATGGAATCAACGGGAAGAGTGCCGTTGCCATTTCTTCACGAATCAATATGCGATCGCTCAATACTTTCTAAACGCCCAGTATGAGTTGCATACTAATGCGAAGCTCTTCACAGGATCCCGAGGTCGATGGGCCTAAACGTGGGACTGCGAGCACAGAAATATCGGAAAGGGGTCTCGACCTGGATCACCCATACACACAGGGTCGACAAAATGCCATCAAGAACCTTGAAGAGATCCTTTTGAGGCCTGGACCTGGAAGATTGAGTGAATGCTAGCTATCGGGCGGTACCTTATGACGAGTGTTGTTTGTAGGAGAACATGAGATTGCAACGTCCTCTACTCTTAATCCGCATCACGCCGACGAGGTGTATCGTTGAGTTGAGACAATGTTTCTATGTTTTTACAGATGTCCAGAAAATGGAAAAGACATCTCTTGAGAATTGCCACCGGCGCATACGACTCGGAGCAGAGAATAAATTCATCCTAGTGCAAAGCACAAAACTCATCGTAAAATAGCAGAAATCGCAGAAACAGCACGAAGTAGAACAAAAAGCATGTAGGCAACATTGAAACCTCCACGCCTATCACTTGGTTGTTCCCCGGCAAAACAGAACTGGTCTTCAACATCTCCGAACCCGGTTGTCACTCCCCCCCTCCGGCCAGGATCAGGGTAGTGAAGTTATCTCTCACCACAGACATGGTCGACATTGCTTTTCCGGGGACCCAGGACGATTCGGATTCGGTTCACTTGGATGCCTTGGTACTGGTCGGCTTCTTGGTATCCTTCTTGGGTGGCTGGGTCTTCTTGGCTGAAGCTGCGCTGGTGGACGCTGCGCCGGTAGGGAACACCTATATACTCCGTATCAGTATCCAGACTGCCTCTGGGGAAATTCGATCAAAAACTTACCACCGGGTCGGGGACTGGGCTCAGAACCAGACTACCCTCGTCATTCAGGCGGGCATTCCGCTCCCATTCCACGCCGTTCTTGTTGAATCGAGCCAGTCTGATCTGCTCAGAGGTCCCGGTCATGAACAACGGATTATTCTTGGTATTTAGGTCTTCCTTGATCCTCATGGCGAGGGGAGACGCCATGGCCGCGAGGAAGGCCTTTCCTTCGTCATCTTTGAACATCTCCGCAAAGGGGACTTGCTTGATCTGTCGTGCTTTGTTAGCTTGTTTGTTGCCTTTCAAGAGTCCGAAATGGATGCATGTGTTGATTGGTTTGGCAATCTGGCTGAGCCACAGCAACAGGTAAGAGCTGGTATGGGAAAGACGTACCTGCGGTGCTTCCTCAGACATCCTGACACAGAACGGAGCTAGTAGTGGGTAGATGATTTGGAGTAATAGGAATGAGGAGAGGTAGTAGTGAGGAGTGGAGGAGGAAGTAGAAGAAGACGAGACGGCAGTCACGTCACGCTGGGAGGGTTCGTTTGCCCGCCTCAGGCAGCAACATGAACCATTCACAAAAATCAGTTTCACCGGATGTGTGCCTTGTCTTATTGAGGTAGGATACCAGGCATTACAGTGCGTATCAAGGTTTAGTAGTTATACAAGGTGGTCGTTGTTTTAGTCTTCAGCCATTTATATCCAGTCTTTACTTACTGAATATACTCGTGGGAATTCCCAGGCGGCTGAAGTTATCATACCATGTGCCCAATAATGCGGAGGATTTACAGAACATATCTTCGAGAATTACTCCCGGTATTCGCCTAGCCGGGGTAGGCAATAGATTTATCTCAGTGAGTATGACCGAACTCATCCTAAATCTGCAAACAGTACACGAAGAAAACAGGGAATATTGAAACAAAAGGCATTTTCTCCCCAACGCCCGGCAGTTGTTTCGAGGTCTTTCCTAGCCGAGCTTGGGTGATCTTAAGATTGGCCGGATTGTTGTTGGCGTCCTTCTTGGAGTTCGCGCCACCAAGCTGATCCTTCCAGCCGTGGTGGCCTCAATCGAGTGTCTGGATAGTCCACGTCGGTCTTGGAGATTGGAAAGTGATAACAAACATTGCCGAAGTCAGTTCCAAGAAAAGACAATTCTTACGTGCTGTTTTGTCGTGGACGGATTTCATAAGATCGCAGGATCCGCTGACGTTGAGGCTCTGCTGTATCATTCTCCACAGTGGAGAATTGTCATGGGCGAGTTGAACACTCGGTTGGCAAAGGAGTTGACGACCTCAAGTCCACAGTAGGAAGTAGTGTGTTCTGTTAGTTCAATGATCAGATTCCAAGAGTAACACCCAGGGCAAGGGTTCTCCTGACAATGGCCAACTTCAAGTTAAAGAGGAAATTCAGGCTCTGGGGTGGGTCAGATTTTCGTCGTAGGGTTTGGCAAGAGCATTTCTCTCTGAAATCTACTGTTTCACGTTATAATAATAAAGATTAATCATTTTGGCCAGAAAGTTGCGGGGTTCGAACGCGCAGCCTCGCCGTCGCCGTCGCCAGGAAAACTGGGATAGCTTCAGTTCCTTCCCGATTAGGAAGTACATCCCAAGATTTGGATAACGCCCTCATCTAAATCTTCAAAAAGGATGACAAGTGTGTGAAATAAAATGAAAAAAAAGATATCATTATACCTCGACAGCCCTTTGGGAATGCCTTTTGACCACCCGCCCACCTGGATCCCCACCCGCCAGTCAGTGCCAGGCCGCAACACTGGTGGCGGCTCCCCAAGATAAGGGAGCTTCGGTGAGAGTGGCTTAGCCACTGCACCACCTGAGGTGAGGACATTGACAGTACTGCTGAGTTTGCAAATATATAGGATCTGTTGGACGTCATTCTCAAAGTTGTTTGCTCTTAGAAGGCCGGGCCCCGGGCTGCTCGCGGGCGTCCATGGATATCCAGCAGAGCCCTCCCCAGGTGGTAATTATTCAAAGACCAACCCTCCGTCGCTTTGTTCATGGATGCAGCAACTCCTGTACACCAAAGTTCTGGTGTGCCTTAGAGCTCAATAAAGGTGCTACTACTCTTCCTTTTGATGCAAGGTGAAATGCAAAACCGATAGAGGAGGAGACTACCGCACACTGTTGTTCTCAATCCCTATTCAGGAGAGTATTCAAATGAACAACAATTCTCCTGGCTCTCCATTTTCCCTCTACCCCTATATAATTCAGTATCACATTCAGGCCCAGAGTATTAAGGTATAGTGGCTATAATACACACTACATCCCAGACATCTGCTATTGGCAGTATGGCCCCTAGGGCCTGAGGCATTCTATGATAACAGAGTCTTTATCTGGCGTTGATGTGACTAGATTTGTACCTGCGCATTGTACGACCCAAAAAGGGAGAAATATAAATGGAAGATATAGGTGATTTTGGAGTCCGGCTCTGGATTTTAAAGGCCAGCCCCTAGATTCTATAGTGACGGTCAAAATGAAGGGCTGGGATGTAAAGGGCGCATTTTTAAAGAAATTTGACGGATATAGGGAATATATGCACTGGAAGGATTTCCTCAACTCCACAGCGGGATCATGCTTGCAATCGTCGTATCATGCAAAGTAAGCAGAGATTGTATCTATTGAAGACAATTATTGTTATTATACATAATTCATGGTATTTCGCACACAGCGTTAAACGCCCAAGGATCATCCACCAAGAGTTGCAAGGCGAATGGCTTTCTCAACATCGCGCTTTCGGAACGCTGGTCCGCGACCGAGACAGATAGGGCCGAAGGAAAGATCTACGACAATGTCAGTGAATTCATGGAAAATAGGACACAAAGAACCATTGATCTCGGCACTACTCACATTTAGTGAAGCTCGCTGCGTTGAGCTGCGGAGCCGAATTGAGCGGAGCGGAATTGAATCGGGGACTGGAGAGGGGCGAACTCGGGTCCTGGATACGAATCCCTCGATGCTCTAGCAGCCTTTGCACACCACTCGCATCCATCCACTCGTCAGCACCCGATTCATTGACAATTTGCCACGTTCGAGAGGAAACGGTGAGTTGTTCAGGAGAGTAGCTGCTCTTCCTTGAACTGAGAACTTTTGTACTCAACTCGACTGTGTCTCCCATTTCGTCGTGCATGTTGGCGAAGAATCCGAAGATGAAGCGGTCGCGCTCGTCGATGGTCAATCGTTTGCCGAAGATTGCTTTAACCCTCGGATCGTCTGCAGATGATCTCGTTAATAGATGGTAACCAGTCTCACAGCATTGTCGGACCAGACGGTGAGAGAGCGTCCAGCGCCCTTGATTTAAGAGGCTGTCGGGCAATGCTATGGTCGGGAAATTCAAGGTGGGACTAGGGCTGGATGAGAAGTGGATATCCGGAGACGACGAGACTATTCCGAACGGTAGAATTGCTTGTTCTTGGAAGGGTGGCGTGGGGGGTAGTTGTGAAAATCCAGGCCATTGAGCCGCGAGGTCCGACGAAGACTGGAAAGCGTCACCGATTATTGGCCACGAATCAAGTTGCGTTGTGAGCGGATTGTGATTTGAGATTATAGCCTGTGTATCGCTGAGCGTGGGAGACGTCGATCCCGATAGGTCCGCCGGGGCTGCAGGTACTTGTTCGGCCTCGTCGCAGCCACTTTTGGCAAGCGACACGCATTGCTGTGTAATTTTTTGCAGAGCAGCTGTGACACGAGGCTGATTTTGGAGAATCCCAGCCTCTAACAGAAGATCACTAAAGGAAAGGAACGACACGCTGAGCTCTTCGATGCCCGACTCGAGTTCCTGTACGCGAGATTGCAGATTGACGATCGTGGTATCTTTTCTCTTGCGATATACTTGCTGCGCGACGCGAAGCTGCTTTCGACGTCTCTGGATTCCTAGAGTCAGTTCCAACTTGCTCTGTAACTAGTTGTTCGGGATGTACGGAGTACCCACCTCGGGACCTTGCTGATTGTCCGTCTCAGCTCGTGGCCGGCCTCTCTTGCGAGGAGCGGGCGCGTCAGTCATTGCTTCGACCATCGTGTATTGCTTTTAAGGCCTTTTCTTTATCTTGAAGACATGCAGTGATGTAATGGATAATCCGAGAACGCGAAAAGGACGTGACGGGGTTGCTCTACTCATCGGGGTCGGGGCGTCGGGACTGTTGAATAATCAAAAAGAATCGGTGGGTCGCCTGCGCCCAAAGTTTACGGCTTTGAGATTTGCTAGAGTTGGAGATAATGGGCTCTCATGCTCCACCGTCCGAACGTCATCATCAACTCATCATCAAGACCGAGCGCGCCGCAACGAGGAATATAATTTATATAAATCGAACCATCGACCTCAGCTTACTCCATTATTCTCTATCTCCAGTGCTCCGAAATACCGTCATCAGCAGCGTACAGCGTACGGCCCTCGCAACATGTCTTCTTTCACTCAGCCGATGCCAGTAGTTGCCTGCGGCAGAATACCCGCGATGGGGAAATCAATCTCCCATCACCTGCTGCCTGAATATGAAGGTTCTTAATATACATTCCTGAAATAAACAAAGTATGGTGCTAATGCTTCTCAGTCATCCACTTCATCCTATCATATGAGGCTGCAGAGGCTGAGCTCCCGCATCTGCTTGTCGGTCGCGATCCTCAGTCTCGGAGCCCCAATGAGATCGGAACCCACGATTACAGCAGGCCTCCTCGCGCAGTAATCTTCGGTCGCGGCTATGAGCCTCAGCAGGTTGAAGAGCTTAAGGAGAAATTCGTGGGTGTTGCTAAAGAACCTGTTGTTTGGGCGAGGGGAACCCAGCGGATTTGCCTACCGGGGCCGCTGGGCCTGACTATGCTCAGAAAATCGCGGCGGATATGAAGAAGGTGCTTAGTAAATGGAGGGACGAGGGAGGAAAGGATGAGGAAATTTTGGTGTACTAGTTGTTTTGTCGGGGAGAAATTATCTGATGCATTGCTTTTTGCCAGTTCGAATCTCACAAACACAAAATTTAAGGGACGAAATCAAGGATATTTGTAAATGGTCTTGGACTTGGCTAGTAGTTGGCTCCCTGGGCATCGATCTTTTGGCGGTCGATGAATTTCTTCAGGTCGAGGCATAGAATGAGAATAGGAGATTGAGCATCCAAATGTTTACACCAAAATCCATACATCAAAGCTGATGTTTCATCCGCGACATGGGATGTACCATCATTGTTCACTTTATCCTTCGCTAGTTCCAGTGAATAATTCCACTCCTCGGAGTATTGTATTTATTCCTAAACTATATCTGTGAATAGCAGGGGGAAGGAAGGATGTATATTAATAAATTCGTGCAGAATAGTGACGGCAACATCGAGAGATTCGCGAATATACGCACCTGGGCAAGTAAGATTCAAATTCCCACCTGAGATATAACTGCGACATAGGAATGGCTTCGCCTGAGTGATTGCCTTGATCTTCAACTTGAGGCCGGGGTACAGCAATTGCGGCCCCTCGGCCAGCGTATAGAACCTTGGAATGCACGGTTCTGAAATAAATATCAGCGATTCGTCGGTATTTACACATCTAGGGAATAATGATCAGCGCGTTAAGAGAAAACCTAGGCTAGATTTGGTAAGAAAAATTCTCCCTATCAATGGAACTTTGTGCACGCGGCCACATGGTAGTTTGGTGGCTATGGGTAGCAATCAGCTCAGGAAGGCCGGCCCTCATAGACCTTATATTTAGCGCATACCTAGGTAAGGATAACCCCCCATGAGTGCTAAAGACCATGGTGTTGTCTGAAAAACTGCTCCGTCCGCTGTCCACAATCGGCGCGGAAGTACATAGTAAAACGGAGATACTATATCAAGGACATCGCTCCTTTGATTGCATCGGTTGTTTACCCATTTCGCAATGCTACGAAATTGGCCAATGCCTGCGACTAAGCCTGGCATTACCGTAACAATAATATCGCATCGCTAAAACATAATTACTAGTAGCGATACATGATCAACTTCAATTTCTTCCGTGATCAAAATCAGGCTATACCCCTTAGCTTTCCTGCCTAATCTCAAATTGTGTCGAGTGGGCCAAGATGACTAGGATTGTCCTAATGAGTTGCATGATGTTTATTGGCTGCGAGCAAGTGGATCGTGTCCTGTCGCCTATGTCTGCCTGGACCCTCGATACACTAGATCCAAAGCAGACTAGGCCAATTCTCACGGCATGATGCTATATAATCTTTTGTGTTCTTCTCAATGGGATATACAAGATCCAATTCATAATATAAATCAAGCAATACTGACAATCCTCCTATTTATACCCAACATGACTTCTTCACTGCCTTCAGTGCCTGTGAAGCACAAGGATTTCGTCCAATATATCCGGTCCCACCAGAAGACACCCATCGAGGAACTCGTTAAGCCTTACAACGAGTACGATGCTTCGGCGCGGAAGATTTATGCCCAAGACCCAGCACACAATTTGCTGAAGGACAACCATGCTAACATCGTCCCTCTTTACGACGCCATTACTGGCTCTACAGATATTTGTGTTCGCGCGAGAAATCTGAGTTCAGAAACACCTGAACGCAAGGAGAAGTACATCCTACCTCTCTCCACCGAGAAGCGCCGAGCCGATGGCTCACCTGCTGTTGTTCCCACGCTCGAGGAGTTTCAAAACAATTTCGCTCTTTTCACCGAAGGTGCATTGGGCGATCTCGACTGGAGTAATGTGATTGCTGCTGGCAGTGCTGTTGTGACATCTCTCTTGCCTGTGCCAGATCAGTATCGAAATTCCAAGAGAGGCCTCCGTCAATACTACCACGATGAATTTGCGCCGGCGTCGGATGTAGATTTGTTCTTGTATGGCTTGACCGAGGAGCAAGCCATTGAGAAGATCAAGCACATCGAAGACAAGATCCGCAACACGATCTTATATGAAACAACAACCATCCGCACAAAGAACACCATCACGATCGCATCCCAATACCCCAACCGCCATGTCCAAATAGTCCTTCGAATCTATCGCTCGGTTGCCGAAATCCTCACCGGATTCGATGTGGATTGTTCCTGCGCAGCCTATGATGGCCAACAAGTTTATGCATCTCCTCGGGCCATTGCGGCGTACATCACGCAGACAAATCAAGTAGATCTCACGCGAAGATCTCCTTCGTATGAAAACCGACTGTCCAAATACTCCCACCGTGGGTTCGAGGTGTTTTGGTCGCAACTTGACCGGTCAAAGGTCGATCCGGTATGAATACATAACACTAAAAGCAAAGAGGATTTGACTAGTGATGCTGACTCGAAACTAGACTATCTTCGAAAGAAGCTTTATGCGAACCGAAGGACTCGCACGGCTTTTGGTCCTGGAGAAACTCCCAAAGTCAGGCGACCGCGACGATTATCTGAGAAAGAGACGCGAAGAGCGAGGGAGGCCGGCTCTCAGTCTGTATTTACAGCGTCGCCAAGGCAAGGAGTTGCGAGGTAATATTAAAGACGACTGGGAAGATGAAGTTCCGGAATGGCAAGAAGAGGACCAAATTTCGGACTACCATACATTTGTAAGTCCTTCCACTCCTGCCTATGTCTTTGAAGTTAATCTAAAATTCCAATAGACCATTCCTTACGGTCGGAGATTCAATGCACGGAAGATCGAGAAGCTTCTCTACACGAAAGATTTGCTTCTTAACGCCCAATGGAATCAGAAGAAGGATCGCACAGTTTATCTTCATCGCCACCCTGCTTTCTTCGGTGAAGCCGAACATGTCATTGGAGATTGCTGCGGATCTTGCCCCGAGCCAGTGACCGACGAAGAACGGAAGGTGGCAGAGGAGGAAAGCAAGATCTATATTTCTGGCAACATCACCTTCATCAAAGATAATCCCGGTCGTCAGGAAATTGGCAGTTTCAACCCAATTACCGAGACCGACTGGACAGGTATGACCCAGAAATTGGCGTTTTTTAAAACGAGATACTGACTCTAGACCACAGAAATGGCGTATATTGGTCGGACCGAGTTGCTCTGCCAGGCAATCATCTCGCATGACCTGGAATCCGTGAAGAACTTCCTTGATCAGGAGGACGCGGATCCAGATCGCCGAGATTACACTGGGCGCACTCCCCTGCAATTGGCCTGCATGACCTCCACTCCAGAGATTGTCCAATGTCTTGTTGATCACGGCGCGAGACTTATTGCTCGGATGGCGGATGGTCAGACCGCATTGCATCTTGCTGCTGCGAGGGGTGCAAATGAGATTGTTCGCATTCTACTCACCAAGAGCAACCAGAACCAGGAGACAGAAGACCAGAAAGCTGCGAATGCGAGGACCACTCCCATGGAAATCGACAGTGAGAATGATGACGACGATGCCGTAGATGAAGATGACGCATCCCAGACATCTGCCTCGTATGTCAAGGTGGACAAAGGCGAAACGGACGAAGCTGGACCAACCTACGACACAATCGAAGAGAATGATCTAGATCCGGACATCTACGACATCAACGTGCCCGCCTGGGATAATTTAGCATCGCCCCTCCATCTGGCAATCCTTCATGGGCATGTGAAAACTGTCGAAGAGCTCGTTACATCTTTTGGCGCCGATGTTCTGTTGCCAATCAAGATCACGTCTGAGTACGACAAGCGACCGAGAGGCGCAATCATGACTTTGGTGCTGGTACTATCCCTCCCCTTGGATAGCGCCAGAGAAATGTCAAAGACGTTGTTGAAGCTCGGTGCTTCGCCTGCCCAAGCCGACATGTTCCACCAGACTGCACTTCAGTATATCGCTCAGTCCGACCATAACGACCTTCTTGACATCTACCAAGAGCATGACGGACCAGGAATGCAGCGAGCAATCAGCCACCTCTCAGTCCACGGCACCCGTTACGCTGTTTCAAACTCTACTTTCGCCTCGGCTTTGGTGAACGCCCTGTGTGCCAAAAACGAGATTGGAGCCAAGAAGCTTCTCGAACTAGGTGCCAAGCCTAGTAATGATCTGGCGGATTGGTTGAAGGCTGTGAAATCTCAGGTGCCTCATGCAGTGCGATGTGGTCGAGAAGCCAGCCTTGCGGAAGACCAGCCCAAGCAGCCTATTGTCTACGCCATCCAAAACGATCTACCAATGGTTGCTATTGATCTCCTGCAACGTGGCGTCGATCCCAACACGATGAAAAAACAAAGATACGATCGTGAAGAAACACTTCTAGATTGCACAAATGGATATCTGAAAGAGTTGCAGGATTCTCTGAAGAAAGAAGATGTTTCATGGCACCGCACATATGGTGCTCCAGATCCCGTCACTTTTGACCAGGACGATCGCTCATACTTCACGGAATTCGAAGAGGGTAGCTACAAACTATTCGCGGCGAAAGTCCAGCTAGAGAGGGCAAAGGAAAACAACAAGAAGGCTGAACAGAAGGAAAAGGAAGCGGAAGACAAGGCAAAATCGTCCGGAGATAAGCCAGGAGAGGCAGAGAGGAGAGAAGCAATCACGAAGATGATCGATGAATATGAGCTGCTAAAATCCAAGTTATTATCGCGAGACGCAAAGACTTGGGAAGAGCTTCACCCAGGGGAAACACGGGAGCCTGCGCCTGAAGCTCATCGAAACTGGAGATATAGCACGAAGAAACCCTCTGCGAAGGCATTCAAGATCAAGTTCTTCAGTTCACTTTCAGGTCTTTCTGATATTGTGCAGGAAGGATATGTGAAACTGTATGTACACAAGGCCATATATACCCGTGGGTATTTAGAAATCACTACTAACCTATGAAAATAGCTTTGAGGCTGCATGGAGTGGAGATCTGGACACTATCAAATCTCTCACACTCAGAATGTGGGGACCGGCTGAAGACCAACTACCCTTGCATATTTCCAGAACAGATTCCTTAGGGCTCAACTGTCTTCAAATTTCCATCTTCCGAGGCCACCTTCGCATTGCAAAGGCCATATTGCAAATACTTCGAACTCAGTATAAGGTGAAGGAGGATGTCACTCATCAACACTTTGAGATGGACATCGACTCAGACAACGAATCTGCCGATGGCGAGGGTCTGAATATTGTCGGCCGTGCTGTGGATGACAAATTCACATATGACAATGTCGGAGAAGTCGCGAGCAAAGTCGAGAGCGAAATTTCACCACTTCAAGCATTGGAGCAACACTGCCCTGTCCAACTATTTTTGGATCAGGAACTTCTCCCAAGTGATACTTTCCGCCTTTTTGGTATGAATCATTGGAGTAGTCCGCATCATCTAATGGTGAACACCCTTTTCAAATATGCAATTTTTAAGAACGATCTTCGTCTGCTGGAGTGGCTTTTAAATGCCGGCCACGAATGTGTGAGGAGTGATCCTTCCAGCAAGACGCCATTCACTCTTGACCAAAGTGAACTTCAGCTCGCAATGTCCCTAGGACATACTGATTGCCTCGCCATGCTTATTAAAAGTACTGCTGTTGGCCTTCCGCTCATGAAGCTGAGTGAGGAGTCTGGGATTGATGCCTGCGAGGAGCCCCAGTATTACCAGGGCTTGTCAATTCGAGGGCACAAGCGCAAAGACTGGGCAGATTCTGGACGGCCAGATAACTCCAGCAAAACTGAGAGCCCCAGTCGCCCGCCTCTCCTTATTTCCGCCTTGCGAGGGAGCTTAGCTAGTACTGAGTGGTTTCTTGGCACAGCGCCCAGTCGTTACTATCTGGAATACGTTCATGCGCACTTGGAAGACGAGAATGTCAAAAGAGTTGCCGAGTCTACGCTGGGTCTTGACGCAACTGTTCTCAAATGGCTCCAATCCCGAAGTGAGTTTCAAGTTTGCGATCCGAGGCAAACATATACATTGTACTAACTTCGGCAATAGATAACCTTGTTCTTCACTGCGCAGTGATGGCGCCAACCTCTGAAGAGTCAGAGCAACTGGTTCAGTATCTCGTTGACCGCCACCCGGAATGCTTGGAAGTACGATCCTCGGAGGGCCACACGCCGCTCGCACTAGCGATGTCACTTCAGAAAGTTAATTTTGCACGGGTTCTGATCAAAGCCGGCGCTAACCAAGCCACCCGTGATAACCAAAAACGCAACATCCTTCACTTAGCAGTATGCTCCATTTCGGACACAGCGAGAAGGGTGCCGGAGAGAATCCGTCAATTGGTGGACTTAATGGACGAAGAACTTGTATCTGACATGCTCATACAACGTGCGGGTGAAAGCGCACAGACCCCCTTCGCTCGATGGCTCAGTAAATATCCCTTTGACCTCTCTGCCGACGCCAGGGACAAGGACGAGACTCGCTCGATCACACAAATCTTTTTAGATATGGGGAAAGCTGGCAATCAAAAGTTCTTGGAATTGCTAGATGGTACAGGCAACACGCCTGTCCATGAGTGTGTGAAGCGAGGCTTCCCTCAAGTGCTAGAACCAATCTTGGACCAACGATCAGACCTTCTCTACCGAGAGAATGCAACCGGCAGCACGCCACTTAACATGGCTGTGGATGCCTGGGTTAATGCGACGACTCGCAATGTTCCCCAGATTTCCGTCACGTCGAATCGGCATTCCCAGCGGCATAGCCCGTGGCAAAATATCACCGCTCATCGACCAGAGCACTTTATAAAGAACAAAGACAGGAGGACAAAGGTACAGATCATGCTTGATGTCTGTCAGAAGAGCGCACGGCAGACTGTTCAGAAAAGAAAGCTTGTGACCCTTTTCGAAGCTAATGAAGTCGCCAAACGACTGGCTACGAGGAAAAGTGATAGCGAAGAGAATGGCCATAGGGTAAACCGATATGGTAGGCGCATCGGCCGGGAAATCCACAAATATCGGGAAGACGAGGACATAAATCTCGATGAAGTTGCTCTATGGGTGGGAATGGCTTCGAACTGGGATTAGTTTCTAGGTTTGAATGGTTGTTACATCTCTAGCTTTCATGTTCAGCTATTCTTACCAGCTGGGCTGTTAAAATCCATATATTATAGATCAATATCACACCGTATAAATCAGTTTCTTCCTATATAAGTCTTCCTTAAGAGCAGCGACGCCACCCAAGATATTCTCTAACCCGCCTCCCTGAATTTCGATCCGGATCGGTCGCAACCTTCCACTTTAAAAATGTTTTTCTATCACTTTATAAAATGATACCATGAAGTCCTCGTCGGTCTTTGACGGCTCCTACGTCCTCCTGATTTTGACTCCTATGATCGTGAATCTGCGCCCGAAGCATGTGTATGCCATGTTCCATTTGTTTATGACCCTTGCCGATGGCGGAAGTTGCCTTGGTGGCCTTGGTATGTCTTCGACTGGCATCAAAGCCGCATAGATGTATGCCAATGTCTGTTTTGTGAGACTTTCTGCCTCTGTAAACCGCCGGTTGCAGAATTGTGCCGTCTGGGTCCTCGCGACACAATCCAGATCATTCGAAATTCCATTTCGGTTACCCAATGCTTGTATTTTCTGGATCGCTTGAGGATCTTTGTAATCGATCGCCTCATCAGCTCCTAGGGATATTATCCAGGGGATATTTTCTCGTAAGCAGGTCGCAATTACTTTCAATCCCGATCTGTGGAGTTGTTCAGCAGATGCAGCCTGAAAATTCCCGGTCGCACTTTGAGGCGCTCTTACAACTTCGCCAGCTGCGCGGCGATAGCCCCAAACTAAGCTTGGAACACAACACGCGCAGCGTGTTACAAGTTAACCTTAGGTTCCAGGCACGGATGGTCTGCCGCTAAAAGGTGACTGTTGACTAAACCGAATCGGGTGTCGGTTTTATTTTCCGGCATCAACAGCTCCGACTCCCGGATAGATACCTATCTATCCCTGTGCTTCATCCAAGGCCCGAGCTGGAATGACGATACGATAGATCGTATGACCTCATTTCCCCGCTATCCTTGATTCCGAATTATGACGGGTGTCCATTTATTCAAAACTGCAAGGATAACCCTGCATAGAGAAGCGGTGTAATGGGATTGCCGGTGGCCGTGGGGGGGGATTCTGATAACCCATCTCACACCTTTTATTGACCATTGATCCCACCTGAGAGTTCGAAATTCTCAAAAATAACATCAAACTTACTAGGGAGAGACGAAAGGAGATGGAAGATGTAGATGGGAGATCTATGCTGTGTGAAGTCCACGCTATATCTACCAATCTAATAATGACAAACGGCTTGCAATGGGTGCAATGGCTGATAGAACCCAGCGGAAACCCATGCAATGCGGGTAAGGATATAGATCCTGGTTCTGCGTGCATGATACATGAAGTGTGAACTGGCGATGACGATAGGTCTGAGGCCTACAGCCTCGGTTAACCTTGCCAAGGTGAACTTGAAAAGCTCCCACAGGCTTCAAATTTCAATCTCGATCTTCCAAATTTCAAGTCGCGGATCCAACCTTGGAACATCAACAGAAATATCGAAATCATGACAATGGAAGAGCCAACCTATGATTCTAGGTATGCACCACTTCAATGAACCTCAACATGAACTAACGGAGGTCCCAGCCGCCCGATGCCGGTCATCGATCTCATCTCTCAATACGAATTGAAGGTCCCTGGCATCACCGGAAAGACCATCGTCACCGTCCGCATATCCTATGCTCCCAATGGGTCAACTCCTCCCCACAGACATGGTGGCTGTGCTGTGACGGGGTATGTGGTGTCGGGCACAGTATTGAACAAAATGAATGACGCGCCGATGAAGGTGATTGAATCGGGCGGGGCCTGGTATGAGGCTCCCGGCTGCCACCATAGGATCAGCGACAATGCAAGCAAGACAGAGGAAGCTGTTATACTGGCTACCATGATAGTTGACACCGATGCTTTGGAGAAGGATGGAATGGCCGCGCTTATGCAAATTGACCCAGAATATCTCTGAGTCACTTCGCCACGGAGGGTGGGAAATGAAGTCGGTCTAGATCGAAGTATGAATAGTTCGAATTAAATGAAGCATGTGAAAATGGTATTATTCGTCTGGAAGGCGTTCGAGTCGGAGTTGTGTTCGGATATGTGCAGCACAGGCTAGCCTTGAAGGACATGATCTGAGCCCGTCGACGAGTAGGGGCCTAGTTATCGGCCGGCTGTACGTACTAGTATGTGATATTCTACTTAGCTTGCACCCTTGGAAAGTCTCATATCCCGAGGTCAAGTTCAAATTGAATTTGGACTCGGAGTGTCCACCTGCGAGCCCCGGAGTCGCTGATATAGTAGAATTAAGCCCTGGAGGAAGGCGAAAATCGATTCCCTGGACCTAGGAATGGCTCTTCAAGCTTGGAGATTGAAGACGATTAGCTTTAATGAAATAGAACGGGAATGTATGGAAAAGCGACTCGGACCTAGGGGAGAAAGGAATAACTTGGGAAGAAAGCCATCGATTTTCGGAAAGTAGAGTTGCCAGCTCTTACGGCCTCGGATTTCAGTTTCGCACATATCACGAATTTAGGGGTATACATTCAATTACAACCAAGAAGAGGTAGAGCTTCCAGCGCCAAGTCAATAGCAGTACGCGTCTCTTGATCGCTTGAGCCAGTGAAGTCTCAGGGTAGGGAGGATCTTGCCACAATAGGTCAGTTGGATCTACCCACGAGATACCATTTTTATCAAGAGCACGTCAATCTTGATGCTTCGTTTCTGTCTCTTGTCACTCACGGCATTCACTCTCTACTCCGCCTAGATCCAGGCGTAAAATGTATATACAGGCTACGGATTGGTGCAGTGATAGTCATACTCCTGCGCAGGAAAAATAACTTTAATCGATTGGGTCGAAACACCATGCTTCATGCCATCTGATCCACCAACAGCATACAATGTCAATGACCCAATGGCTGTATGTCATCATCTGTGGATCTACTGATGTATAATTTCAGCACGGCAAAAGAACGCGCAAGACAACGCATACGCAGCTTTCGTAATGCATTACCCTGTATCAAGCGCTCTACGGATTAGATATGTAGGAATAGACCCTTGGAAATGGCCCTATCGGTATTCAAAGATATTCATGCAATCCCCGGGAGGCATAAGTCAAAAACAGCCCCGTACCTGAAGGGAAGATGGGTAAGTTGATTCACTGAGCCATAAATAAGCCGGGCTAAGCTCCATGCGGTTCTAGTCTGCGGCCCCAGACCATCTCGCCCCCAGCCGTTGCGATGGATGATTTTTTTGGGTCGTATCATGCGCTCCTTATTACTCGACAATGATGATATCCACATCTCATAATTGAATGTCTGTCTCTAGTGAACTTGGAACAAAAAAAGCTCTGTAATTCGAAATTCAGCCCTATTGGATAAAGAAAAATAAACAATTGGGATCGCTCAACTCTCGATTGCTTCCTCGTCATCTTATGGAGAGACCCACATAAGATCTTCGCGCCGCGTGTCTCGAGCATGTCCAGTTCCGGCCCCAAGTCGAGAAGCTGTCGATCGCACGGACTCGATCTCCATACTTGCATCAGACTTCCTCCACTGTATCCGACCATTTTAATAACATACGCGCTATTCTTATTCCCCGCGATTGGTTTACTTTGCGCATCTCAACGAATGAATGCCCTATTCTGTTTCACTTCGGCCGGAGCTACCATCACCACTCTTTCATCTCGGTCGGCTCGTCTCTTGAGAGATCTTTATTTAGCACCAGGTAACACCGATTATACCATAGATGTAGGGTATCCAAAATTAGCAAAGAGGACATTCGGGAAACAAAGATCCACAAGCTTCGTAAGTGGCCACAGATCACAATCGTTCCAGTTGTACTCCGTACTCCAGTCTAGAATTCCCGGGCCAAATGTCGATCGTTTCAACAACATTCTAATTCTATGTGTAGATGCCTTCCTCGAAGGGAAGCTGGCTTACGACAACTTCACCAAATGTTGTGACTTGCGATGGATCATCATCGCGAGAGACCATGACGTGACAAGGCTCGCTGATGTGCTTCTTTCAAGTTGTTGAAGAAAGTAGGATGTCATGGGTGTGTATAAAGGCTGGAAGAGACCACCATCATGGCTTCCATCCAACACACTATCAATCATTCTTTCCAATATAACAACATCATCACAATTCCACCGTCACAATGAAGGTTTCCGCAGTCATGACTACTCTGATGGCCGCCTGCCTGGTCGCTGGCGCTCCTCCTGCTCCAGGTACTTCATTCTCTTTCTAATATTGGACAGTGCCGTGATTGCTAACTCATTTCGCTTCTTAGTGCCCACTGATCTCTCTTCCATCCCGCCGCCGCCACCTCCCAGCGGCACCGAGCTGCCCCCTCCTAAGGGAACAGGTGACGGCCAGAAGCGTGACCAACTTCCTACTGGCACTGAGCTGCCCCCACCACCACCTACCGGCACTGAACTGCCACCCCCAAGCTCGGATGTCCCTCTTCCTCCCAAGCCCACCGATGATGGGAACGAGAAGCGTGATGAGGAGCCCAAGGGAACTGATACCCCCCCTCCTCCTCCATCTGGATCCGCTCCTCCCCCTCCCCCTCCATCGGGCAGTGCTCCCCCTCCCAAGCCCACCGATGATGGGAACGAGAAGCGCGACAACGAGCCTAAGGGTACCGATGTCCCTCCTCCTCCTTCCTCTGGATCTGTTCCGCCTCCTCCCCCAACTGGTACTGCTCCCCCTCCTAAGCCCACCGATGCTTAAATCGAAGAAGGACTTCTGGGAATGTCTAGATCTTGATTTGTCATGACCTTTGTCGACGCAGGAAAGTCGGATAATCGGTTTTGTTAGATATCGGATTCTTGTGTTAGATTTAGATGCGGTGAAATATTAGGGTGGCTGGTTTTCCTTCTAATTCACTACCCTCAGACGGTAAGTATTTATACTACTCAAACGCCTCAATACACTCGTTACTTAGACCTCAAATTTCGAAATAAACTTAACAAAGTAGATGTAACTGAAAATGGGAATTTGTTTGCTTCAAGCCTCCGTCGCCTGCTTCAAAGCATTGGCCCCTCTGTCTATAACCACATCGCTCTTCCAGGTTTTGAAGTCTCGTGTAGGAAGATTTAGCGCGAACATTCGATCAATTTCCATAGGCGACCTGTCTTTCATTTCAGGGATGGTAAACCAGGTTATGATGTAGCCAATAGCTGCAAATGCCGCCATGACGAATCCAGTCTTGCCGCGTAGGTTACCAGAATCCGGATTGTAGATGTATGGAAGGATGATGGAAAACACTCCAGTAGCTACTCCGCTAACAAACCAACCCACTCCTTGGGACTTTGAACGTAGTGTGAGCTCTGAAGTCTCGGCGGCAACAACGTGGGATGCTGGCCAAATTCCTAGGCCGCACACCATAGTTATAACCATCATGCTGACGGCAGTGTACCTACAGACCGGTTAGATTGAAAGAGAATTGTTTTTGTATGAGACATACCAGATAGTTACTACCCCGGTAAAGCACCCAGCGATTCCTAGAGCCAGCCACAAAACAAAGGCCGCGCCCAATGTCCATAGAATGAGAATGCGTCTTCCGAGTGCATTCAGTGTGAAAAGACTGACGCCATTCGCAATCAAACCTAGCCCAATTCCCAGAATAAGAAAGATCAAGCTGTTCGTCGCACTCATGCCGACCATTTGCATGAAATAGGACGCGCTGGCTAAAAGTTGTAGTCCGAAAAACTGCGGCAGAGCGCTTGCAAAACATACGATGAACGTCCTGCGGCGATTTGCTCGCCCTTTAAAGCAGTCGGAGTATGTCTGTGTTTCGCGTTCCTCCTCCTCTGCTTTAATTGAGGTTTGCAAATCCTCAATTGTCTTTGCAGAGTCCATATCTCCCGTATCAAGCTTACACTGCATTTTCAATGCTTTCTCGAATTGTTCCCCGTCTTAAAAGCCATGTCGGACTTTCAGGGAGAATCCAGGAGAGGAAAAAAGGCACCGCTGAAAATGCCCACTGTGATGCAAAACATATTCTGTACGATTCGGCTCCGGGATGTTTGAGCGAAGTATACACCACGATCGAGCCTATCAACTGACCCAGAAGCGTAAAGATCGGTAGAAAGGCGATGATCGGTCCACGAAGCACGATAGGAAGTACTTCTGACATGTACGTTTGAATCATACAGAGAAGCATCCCGATAGTGACTCCTTGCAGTAATTTCCCGGTAAGAAATAGACCTCTTCGAGAGTCCATGTTCGGATGGAGATCACAAAGATATATAACTACTCCCGCAACGGCTGAGAGGAAGGACCCTGTTGCTAGCGACAGTCTGCGACCACCTCGATCCTGGTAGTAGCCCCCGATAATAGCCCCGACCATCATTCCAATGGGACTTGCCGCATTCCAGAGTGAAAGCCATTCGGACGGAATAATATATTTACCGTTCAGCTCAGCACCAAAGCGATGCCTAGTAGTAGCAATCGTCAGCCTAGGTATGATCTGGTGTGTTGACAGGCAACGTACTGAAAGGCTGGCATCGAAGATACATTTGCCACAATAACCAAATCATATCCATATAGTAGTATTGCGGAGCTCAGTGCAAGATTGTATCCAACTACTTTGGGCCATTTCTTCAGGGAGTGCCACAGTGGGACATACCCCTGACTAGATGTGTTGGTATCGGGAGAAGATACATCTTCAACAAATTCCTCAGAACGCTTGGGTGTGGACTCTTGCATGATTATTTGATCACACTCTGTAAGTTGAAGACAATGTCGCGGTGGGCCGGAGTTGAATTATAATCAAATTGCGCCCGCGCAGACAGGGAGGGGTGAGCGAGGCACCGCGGCTCCATCCCTTCGGTTGGCGTTACATGAGCTTGGACATGATGCAAGCGACTCTCTAAGCGAGCACTCGGACGGAAGAAAACAAACTCCGCCAAGTACCCTCAAGTTTGAGGAATAAGCTGCTGATGTATTCGCACCGGGGAGCTCTGCTGCCGATCACTACGCCAATCAGGTTTCGAAATAGGCTTCCCCGCACGAATGCCAAGTGGGTTCCACAGACCATGATTCGTGTTAGATACGCCCTGGATCATGGCAAACGCAGGGTTTTCGGGGCTGGGTCAGAATTGGGATATATCTGCAATTCAGTAGGCTGTACTGTATATTGCTTCACGGTCCAACGTCAGCTGATCGGTCATACTATTGGTCGAAATCGACATTGGTCATTCTTCAATAGAGCATATTCTTATTTTGGAACTATGAATGAGAAGGTATGTATTTGATCTTCTGCGGTCTTGTTTTCTTCGAACAACGACAGATGCGTAATAGCTGGTGCTGTCCATGATCAAGGGTGAGCGTCATCGCGTGCCAATGGCGCTATCTCCACCGGCGATCGAGCCTCTCTCATCCGCTCCAACTTAGCTAAATGCTTTCTGGTACTGCTTATCTCGGTCTCTAGCTCACATGCCGATGCAATTCGATATTTCAAGGCGAGTATTGCGGCCGAGATCATGAGCAAAGCGATACCAACAAGGTACGACCACTGCCCAACCTGCTGCTCCGATTCTTGGTTTGACCCTCCGGGCCCATCGTTGTGAATCCACCACTCTATCCAGACAATAAACGCGATAGTAGTAAATGGGCTGATTATCATGCTGAACACCAACCCGAATAGGATAAGGCAATCGAAAGTGACGCGGATTGAGGCCTTGATGAAGCAGATAGTTAAGGCTGGACGGACTTTGCTCCAGATCGAAGCAGCTTTCCCTGATGGTCGCTCCATTCCTTTCTCCAAGGAGAGCTCGTTGGTTGATTTTGACAATGCATCACGAAGGTCACCCTTGAAACTGTTCCACATTTTCCTCCGTTCCCGCCAGATGACGATAATCTGAGCGGACGGGATGTTTGAGCGATAGGGTAGCCATTTGAACGTGAGATGAACAAAGTTGAGGATAACAGATAGACCAACTAAGCTGTAGATGTATCGCTTTGAATATATCACCCTGTTGATGAATTTGTTCGGGTTGTCAAGCTCTGAATCTCTAGTTGCAACCCAAGACTCTAAGCTGGTAGGTTGCCGCAGAATCTGACTAGAATTGAAACAGGGATTGAAGCAGAGGTCTCCGAGCTCATTCCATCGGGATATATTTGAGAAGGTCCCCCATACACTCTCATTCCAAGATGAAGTTCGCCAGGATGCCTGCCAACCATCACTAGAAGTTTCATCGAATGGCGGTAGATCGGGATAGCAAAACATGTATTGGGTCGGAGTTTTGGACTTTTGTTTCGAGTATACCAAAGCACAAATACCACCGGCCAGCATGAGAAGGTTCCATAAGCAAAACAGAAGAGCACGGGCTCTTTGATGGCCAGAAAAGTATCGTGACCAGCACATCAGGGGTAAGAAGACGAGGTAGCCCGTAACGACGATGGCAAGCACAGCATCGCCATCAAGCTCAAGCGCGCCTGGGGAGATCGACAAAATATTCGTGCCCGTCACTATTTGAGGAAAGCTTTGTTGGAGCGTTGTATTCTCTGCGACATAAGGAATCGTGACATCGGATAACTGCTGGAACTTTTGTGGGCTCGACACGAGAATAAAAGATTGGATAGAGGCAGTTCCTGCGTAGGTCGCTGCGGCCCCCAAAAACACATCGCTCAACCATCCAGTCCATCGCGTCAAGATTGAGACCGCAAGAAGGGCGTAGAATAAATATCGTGGACACGAGTCATAGATAGTGCTGATTGGGTAGAAGCAGACAGCCTCTTGGGCCACGAACAAGGGGCTGCTAGTGTTCATCTGGAGATAAGCATGGTCGTGAGCATCCTGCCAGTGTTGCGGCGGTACCAAGTGAAGAATTTGAAGGATTCGCTTGTTTCCAGGCACTCGAATTTCTAACTTTTCGCCTGCCACGGCGGTCTATAATTGCTGCCTCGGAGAATGTGGATACTCGACGAGGTGTCGACGTCATATACTCCCCGCTGCCCCTTTGGGTGTAGGAATGCACCTTACATAATCAATAGACCACTACTGGTGATGGATGCTTGAATATCTAACGTTACAAACAAACTATTTAAACTATTTAATATCAATTTGTGAGAAGTATTTCGTGAACATTTCCAGCTGCAAACTTGGGGCAGCCTTTTCTACTATTGAAAGGCCCAAAAGCAAGGCATCACCCGCTCTACAATAAAATGAGAAAACGATATTCGCGGGAGAATTTATGATACGCGAAAATGTTGGGGCAAGTTTGAATCCCCATGCCTTTGTTGGTAGTCCAATTCAAATTTATGGCTTTTGGTGAGGCAAGCTAGTTATTGTTGTATTTTTCGATTACTTGCTGGAGTTGGCGATCGTCTCGGTAGCGTCCCAGAGTGTCTGCTTTCCAGGTCTCCCAGTCAAAGTCCTCAGTGTACCCTATGGTGGCTAGGAGTCCGTCAAATAGCCCGAGGAATCTGTTCCAATTACAAAAATCGTAGCCACAACAGAATCGGAACCTGTGGATGATCCGGCTATTCCTGACGATCATTACAAGATCCGAATGCCGACTAGCTTGAAAACATTCAGCAAAAAGCTTTCCGTCTTCGCCAATACAATTCTCGCCCGCGTAAAAATCAGCAACAGGTAGTAAAACAATCGGTGAATTGAATACTCCTGACTTTGAATTGGTTTGTGCCCACCCCCAGTCAATGATTCCAGTGATGTTAAATTTATTATCGACAAGTATCTGGTCTCCCTTCTCGTCCGTATGTTTCAAGTAAAACCTCTCGTCATCGAGGTGACTGAGAGAACAGACCTTTAGGGTGATATCGAGAAGGAAACAGTGAATCAAAAAGGCATCAACCGCCCGATCAGCGTACAACTCATGTCTGCTTATCAGATCCAAGATCAAGATATTTACGGTGAAATATTGCTTTGTCGAGGGGAAAGGACCGAGCGCATTCATCTGGGAACTATAATAGTCTGCTAAAGACTCTCGAGCGAATGGTCCGATATTATACAGCCCAGGATCAAACATAGAGCCAGTCATAGGAAACAGATGTACTACCTTCAGCTCTATATATACCTAGGTATATATCTGCAAGCTGACTGGTTACCTTCTTCCTTTGCTCAGGAGCGGCAAGTGACCAGCAAGGAATTCTCAGGCAACTTTTCCGTGAAAATTTATCTAACACCAACAGGATTCTTTTCGGAGAAGTTATAGTCGAAGACATTTGGCACTGGGATTGAAGTCCCACTCAAAAACCGTAGGGTTGAGACTTCGCTGCGCAGGATATAGTCTTGTAGCTCTGCTAGCGGGGAAGTAACATTGGATCTCCGAATTCGCACCAACCAACTGATTCCATCATCAAATAATAACTCAATATGAAAATTCATCCCTCCCATAACTGAGCTCCGCGTTGATCTGTCATACTGAAGACTTTGTGGTATGGAACAACGTAAAACTCCTCGAAGAGATGAGGCTTGAGATATGAGCGCAGAGACATTTATTTTATCTATGAGGTTGGTAATCTCATCTTTTAACTCACCTCCCATTGCGGAGAGGTGTGGTAACTTGGTCCCAAATGTTTCACACATAGATGACGATTACACAAAATGCATTCGCCATGTGTGCGAATGGAGGCTTTGTTGCAATCTTCAAAGTCACATAGCCACAACATCGTTTAATGAGTAAAGTTTCGCGCGATCCGGGCTTCTATTTACGTGTCTAGCCTTTATGAATGATCACGAGTGTATTTTACTGGTGCTTCAAAAAGAGACCTGCACTCCGCACACCGCCAATTAGGACAGGATGACTGCGTCCATTTTATTCCCTCCCGATTAACCGGGTTTTGGTACTGGTCACCTTATATCGAACCAAGGTAGAATGCGATGGTAGCCATTGAAACGTGGTGGTCTTTGCGTAAGGATTGCGAAGTCTATTCATAATTGGGGAATATTGACATTAGTTGATAGATTATGTTTAGCGAAGTCATGAGAGAACTTTCATCACTAGAGCACGGTCACAACTGGTAACTTGCGTTTTCGATATTGCAGATTGTCGCCCGGGACATTGGTTCATGACGCTGAAAGATCTTCTGTGAACATTGCAGGCCCTAGCTGCATATCCTCCGTTAAACAGTACCAAGGTCCCTGCGGCCCGTCTAGCTTGCTCCAGAAGGTCACAGTAAACGAAGGGGATTGTCCATGGTCCGCCCGAGAAGCACCATCCAAACTGAAATCATGAATGCGAAGCTGCCTCGGGGGTGGGTGACCCTGCTCGAGAGCTGCCTGTGGAGTTGAGTCCAGATATAATTGTTCAATCTCTTTCATTCGAAAAGAGATCGAGTTGTAAGGTTTCGTGGTTTTTAGCAACTCGGGTTGGGCAATGCGACTTCGCAGATTGAGCCCGTGTCGCTCAATATGTGACCAACTCGACCTCCAAGCAACAGAATGCAAGGGGAAGGCCATTCCGAAATCCAAACTGAAGGCTTTGGACAAATCGTCGGTGGATCGCGTAGCGTCGGAGGATAAATTGGATAGTCGCGTCGTAACAGCCGAGTCGTATGCTGAGCGGTTGGTGGCCCAGTCCATGGGGAAACACTCTTGTTGATAGCTGCCAATCTGGCAGTCGAAGCCGAACGACATAATTTTGACGGCGTCGGCTGCTCGATGTTCACTTTCAGTCCACGTCCGCTCTTTGAAGCGAACTAAGTCGTCGAATCTGGAGTTCCATTGCGCGCGATCATATGTCACAAGCTCTTGGATGGTGGATAATTGCGCGTCAGAGCGTCCTTTTTGCTTTGAGAGTGAGTCATATTGCTGGAATTGCAAGCTTGCGGAAGCAATCAAGTCAAGAAGGGCGGCCCTGGCTTCTTCAATCGACTCAAAACTTTCGGGTAAAATGACCTTTCCTTCGGCGTCGACTGGATTTAGTAAAAAGGTGGTACCCGTGTCTACGTTCCATTGGAAAGAATTGATGTTAAAGAGTGAAAGGAGTGGCCCGATTTCCGTTTCCATGAAGTTAGCCTCGTGTGAATCGTATTGTTTGCCCCAGGGCCGGTTTAGTTGCTTGCGACTAGTTTGGCGCCAGGAATTCAAAAGGTTGATCCCACTTCTTATATGCGATGCAGCAGCCTCGAGGTTTCCCTGGAAGTATTCAAAGCATATGAAAAGAATATTCACGATAGCAACTAGTTGGATGTTATCAGGATCTGTCGTGAGCTTTTCTATCAGGTAGCGAATAGCTTTATTATATAACTTGGTCGGTAGCCCCGGTGTTAATGCATTTCCGCGTAAAGGCTGGAGCTTATCCGCTGCGGCTTGTTCATGGAGACTGCCGAGGGCTGCAATTGCTTGGCGAATGGTAGGCTCGGCAAGACTGAGATGCAGAACACTGCCCTGAAAGAACGTTTGTTGAAAGCTGCCGGCAAGTTGTGGAGCGGTGCGGAGAAAAAAGAGTTCCAAAGCTTTCGCAGTAGTGGAATCGACCTCCGGTGATGGGGCCAGGGTTCTCGGTAGCGGTACAATGACGGCAGAGGATGATTTAGGCGTGCCATAAGCGCAGGTCCGCCCGCCGAGGAGGCATCTATGTCAATCAGCTGATGAAATTCTAATTTTGGCCTGGGACTGAGGTCAATCAGACAGACAAGGCCAGGGCGTCTAGACTTGATGATGACAACCGGGGATTAAGGGTAATGAACGATACCGGGCGCAGACGGGCTTCTCCTCGTCACATTTAACGTGACGAGCCCTGTGGAAAGATTCAGCGGCGAGTTAGGTGATATGCTGGCAGTAATAACGAACTTGCATGTAAGGCAGCCAGAACGGACTTTCGGCTTGCTCGCACGCTGTCGAGACATCGAGTTGGGTTTATTCACGTCTCGCGATGTTCTTTCATTGTTGAAGAGCTACGGACAACGCGGGGAGGAGAGGCTTGGCTGATAAGTCAGCGTGGAATGCAGCACCGCCCCCAAAATGCAGAATGTAAGTGTCAAAAGAGGTTCTCAAAATGTTTTCTCATGACGAGAAGATTGCCATTTGAGTTGGATATTTTCAATCGTGAAGAAATAAAATTAATTCTGCCGATTTGTATTTGTGAGGGGTATGCGCAGCGTAGATCAGGAGCTCTGGAGTGGCTTAAGCCTCATACGGGATCGGCCATTGGATTGGCGGGGCTAATGAGGCTGTGCCAAATAACACACACCCGGAGGAAATCAGCTTTCCCCCCGCAAATGGCCCCGTCTATCAAGTTCAAATCGTTCTGCAGCTTTTTTGGCCCGAATCCGACCAGCAGGAAGCTGCCGCAGATGCAGTCGGAGTTGTTTATTTGGTCACGTCGTTCACCGATTCCGAAGATAAGCAATTTTCCAAAGTTAGGGGCGAATTACCACTGCCCGAGATGTGTGCCGTGCCATTTCAGCAGGGTAGTAGCACTGGAGGTTTGTGTGAGCAAGATATATCGACGAATTCCCCTGAAAGATTCATCATGTTGAATGGAGTCCAGCCCATTGGCATTGTCAATTAACCTGGCAAAGAGAATACTTGGGGTACTACTCAGGTAGGGGGGATTGTAGGACAAAGTGCGTAATTGGGCCCAGCTATCCTGGTGGGCGTTAGTACATACTTTCAAGAAAAAAACATTCAAACCAGACCACAGACGAGCGATGGTGTGACAATGGTCTTGGATGAGGGCTCTATTGATCGGAATCTTGGTTTCTGAGCTTGTGCTTTGCATAAAATTGTATAACGTCATGGATAATTCGAGAAGATCGCTGCTCTTACAAATCAAAGTGGGGAGCTTCCATGATAAAGAAGCGGTGCAAGCTGGCATTCACCCCCGCAAAACAGACCATCACAACTCAGCATAATGAAAGAAGCTGTAATCGACAAGGACACGGGGGTGACAATTCGCGATGTCACCATTCCTGTTCCCCAGCCAGGACAAGTCTTGATCAAAGTGATTGTTTCAGGAACCAATCCCAAAGATTGGAAATTGCCAGTTTGGCTGTCGGACGCCCCGCCAGCCAACCAAGGAGATGATATTGCCGGGTTTGTTGAGGCTGTGGGGAGGGAGTCTCCAAGTTCAGAAAAGGAGACAAGGTGGCCGCTTTCCATGAGATGATGACCCCCGCAGGAAGCTATGCGGAATATGCGATCGCCTGGGAGCACACAACCTTCCACATTCCGGAGAAAACCAGCTTTGAAGGTATGAGTTTCACCGAGGAGTATGCTTCGGCGATAATTGACTTGAAGTTTGAACAGAGGCTGCCTCTATTCCCCTTGCCGCAATGACATCCGCCCTGGGATTGTTTCAAAGATTAAGTTTGCCCGTTCCGTGGCATCCTGCGACTGAGGCGTTACCCCTGGTTGTGTATGGCGGTGCATCGGCGGTTGGGGCCTTTGCAATCAAGCTGGCTCAACTCTCAAATATCCATCCGATCATCGCCGTGGCCGGTAAAGGCGCACCATTTGTGGAAACTCTCATTGACAGATCCAAGGGGGACACCATAATCGACTACCGCGAAGGTGACAACGCCGTCCGCGAGAAAGTCCGAAGTTCTGCCGGCGGTCTTCCAATCCACCATGCCTTCGACGCGGTTTCCGAGAAGGGGTCATATCAGAACCTGGGCGAGGCCCTCACTGCGCCCGCAAAGATCACGGTCGTTTTACCCGGTAAAGACTATAGCGATCTTCCAAAGGGAGTTGAGGCCATAACCACGAATGTTGGAGCGGTTCACCAGTCCCCAGAACCGGGACAGACAGTGGGCGACATCGAGTTTGGTGCTGCATTTTTCGCATTTTTCGGAAGAGGTTTGGCACAGGGATGGTTCACGGGTCATCCCGTCGAGGTGCGACCTCGTGGGTTGGCTGGTCTCGAAGGCGCATTGACAGACTTGCGGGAGGGGAAGGCTTCGGCAGTCAAGTATGTAGTGCGCGTCGGCGACACGCCAAATCTGTAGGAACTATTTCAAAGCTTGTCACTTGAGCTCGGCGGACTCCGTCGGAAACGCGCCAGAGGGTAACAGTCTGGCTGCAGGAACGAATCGACCGTTGGAACTAGCTTCTGCAGGTTAGTCTGAAGGAAGATAATTAAATAAAAATTAAATAAATGAATAAATAAAATTATCGGGACGTAATAGAATTGAGAATGTCTCCGGGATACGGAACTATGGAACAATCAACGGGATGCCATTATTCATCTGTGTATAGTGAAAATGCCACTTTAATCTACTTCTGCGAACCACTCGGACAGGGGATTTTCGCACGTGGAAGACACGGTGGGAAAATCCTCCGACGTCCGAAATCTTATCGCTTTAGCGAGGGAACTAGCAGATCGCGTAGTGGGGTTCGTCCGAAAGAGATCTGGTCACCCGCTTTGCAAGTGTATAATGTTGCATATCGCGAGCTTAGTGCGCGACGATCGGCATGCTGCTGCATTCTCGCGAACGGCGTGGGTTTCCTATTCGGCATGATTGGGCTGGGTGATCAGCGCCCTACGCGAGAAGCATGGAAGACGCGCCCAAGAATATAAATCCTCCGATCGGCATGCCTGTCATGTCTCTTCCCAGGAACAAAATTCGTCGACCAATCCCGTCGTGGTCATTACTCGCGAATCATGGTTGGGTTTGCTACGTTTGTCAAGGCATTGCCCCTTGTGGCAGCCAGCGCCCTCGCTGGCGTCACCTATCCCCCCATTCCTGAGGATCTCACCACTCCTGTTCAGCAACGCCTCGCCGTGTATGGTCCCAATGGTGAGTACACCCCAAAACTTGGTCAGCTACAAGTGGAATAGAGTCTAACGATCTTCTAGCTGTCTCTGTCGGATGGAATACATACGAGCAGCTGAACCAAAGCTGCGTGGTCTATGGCACATCCGCAGACAAGTTGTCTCAACGTTCATGCTCAACTTCATCGACAACATATACGACATCGAGGACTTGGTCGAATTTCGCGATCCTCAATGGCCTAGCGCCGGCGACGACCTACTATTACAAGATCGTATCCACCAACTCTACCGTCGATCACTTCCTCAGCCCGCGCACACCTGGTGATAAGACGTCTTTCACCATGAACGTTGTCATTGACTTGGGCGTCTACGGCAAAGATGGATTCACTGTTGACAGCAAAAAGAAGGACACAATCCCTGTCATCGAGCCTGAGCTCAACCACACCACGATCGGCCGTCTCGCCCAGACTGTTGACGACTACGAGATTGTCATTCATCCCGGTGATTTTGGCTACTCGGACGACTGGTATCTGAAGTTCAAGAACATCCTGCAAGGAAAGGAGGCATACCAGGCGATTCTGGAGCAGTTCTACGACCAACTCGCGCCCATTGCAGGTCGCAAGCTCTACATGGCGAGCCCCGGGAACCACGAAGCTGACTGCTCGGAGATTCCATACCTTCTGGAACTATGCCCTGAGGGTCAGAAGAACTTCACCGACTTCATGCACCGCTTCGAGAACACTATGCCTGTTGCTTTTGCCTCATCCTCATCCAACAAGACCGCCCAGCAGCTGGCAGCCAAGGCGCGAAAGCTATCCAACCCCCCCATTCTGGTATTCTTTCGATTATGGCACGGCCCATGTCGTTATGATCAACACTGAAACCGACTTCCCGGACGCGCCTGATGGCACTGATGGGTCCGCCAAGCTCGACAGCGGTCCTTTTGGAAAATCCGGACAGCAACTCGAGTTCCTGAAGGCGGATCTCGCCAGCGTCGATCGCACCGTCACCCCCTGGGTTGTCGTCGCAGGACACCGCCCATGGTACTCAACCGGTTCTGGAAACACTTGCGATTCATGCCAGGCCGCATTTGAGAGTATCTTCTACAAATATGGTGTGGATTTGGGTGTCTTCGGTCACGTTCACAATTCCCAGCGCTTCCTCCCAGTCGTCAACGGCACCGCGGATCCAAATGGAATGAAGAACCCCAAGGCTCCGATGTACATCATCGCAGGAGGTGCTGGAAATATTGAGGGACTAAGCAGCGTTGGTTCCAAGCCTGATTACACCGAGTTTGCCTATGCCGATGATTACAGCTATGCTTCGATCACCTTTGTTGATGAGCAGAACTTGAAGGTGGATTTCATTAGCTCCTCAAGCGGTGATATTCTGGATTCAAGTACTCTTTACAAGGAGCACAATGTTCAATTTGTGCAGCAGTAGATATTTTTCATTACCCCGACCGTCTGCATGGGCAGAAAATAGCTCCTGTTGGTATCGGTGGTTATGCACATCGAGGATCATGTACAGCTTCAGTCCCGAGAAATAAGAAATTCACATTACAACATTACACCACCATAGTCTATGGGGGTAGGTTCTTCTATTATTTCAAATCGTAAAACTTGCGTATTTGGGAGAAGTGCAAATAATATTTACTCCGCAGAATTGATGCGCAGCGCTCTTTGTCAGTTCCATGGCGTTGTATGTGCGGGTATCACATTTGTGAATATCATGATTCTTTGCTTGGTATAGTATGAATTGATCAATCGTGTTTGGGACTTTTTGCGAAGACCGCAGTAACTACTATTGTCATGAAGAACAAAGCGAAATGAAACAAATCAGCGATTCGCAACCAGCAGACGCCGGGAATTCCCACCATGGCCCAATTTTTGTGTAAGTTTATCTCTCACCGCATTGGAAACAGTATTTAAGCTGTCATCCCACGGCACTTGGTTCACACTCCACGACTTCTTCCAGGCCATACCCAAACCAGACGTCGCGAGATGCTTTAGCCGCAGCTCCCACCCTTTTGTCATTTGGTGGCCATGTTTCCGCGATAGAACCAAAGCCTGATGTTGATTAATTCCCAAGACTATATAATTTGGGTTTGCAGATAACTAGCAAACGGCCAAAAGTGATGGCGCATGGAATAGTCATCCGAGAATGTTAGTGGTCTGGCTGTCAAAGTAGGTTATAGTACAACCAACTCAAAGATTGTTTCCTAGTCTCGCCTCCAAAATCGCCTTTGCAATTTTCGATGTGATCCATCGAATAGCATTGTTGAAATACTAGTATTCAAAACACAAATCCTAGCTAGCAGATTAGGAAGGTGCCCGCCTGGTTGTGGGTGTAAACGTTCTGCGCAGGTCTCATTTTCTTCTCCATACCGTCTCCAAACAACATCCGAAACCTCATTTACCAAGAAGAATCTCCTTTTTTGCTCTCCGATTTCCTCAAATTTCAAAGTATGGCGAATGCAGCAGAACTTGTAAGTGGATTTCTCCTCCTGTAATAGTTGCCATGGCATGACTCACGTATTGTTCACAACTTTAAATACTAACTGAATATCTTGCAGGAGATCTTTTCAAGCAACTGAAGAGCCCCAATGCAAACCGCGAGAATGTTCTGCTCATCGGCCAGGATGCTCTGACCAAGGCTAAGGAGCATTTAGAGCTCCTTACCACGGCGTCGGCTAATGCAGAGGAGATCCTAGAAGCCGAGATCGTCGTACTTAGCCTCCAGGCCATTGTTGATCTTTGCGCTCTTTGAATATTCCGTGTGTGTGAGGTGCCATGGAATTTCGCACCCCACCACTACTGGCGTTTTACACTATCCTCGAATTCTTGATGAAAAACACTGAGCTCAGGTCTCTGGATACATGACTCGAAGAGGCGGAAAAAAAGGGGAGATAATGTTGTCCCTGGTTGTCAAAGAAGCAGTGTCGGAGCCGAGAGGAGATTTGCAGGAACAGCTCACTAGACGCTACAAGTTATTCCCTTAGCCCCTCTTCATGTCTAACTTAAATTCAACTAGACTTTTTCCTCAAGAGAAAAGACCTCAACACTTGTATTTATTGAGCATTGGGCATGACGCAGTATATGGCTGAGAATTCAAATTAGGAAGGCACGCCTCTGATCTCAGAGTGCCTACCCAAGTTTATGTGGGCTTCCCTTTCCACTTTCTTCTTCGCCCCATCCCTAGGCCAGATTCCACAGCCTGTTATTCTTCACATCAACATAGTTTCCCCGACTTTCGAAGAGATGACTGGTACACTCGAACTAGTGAGTGAACTGCTCTCTCTATGCCACTATGACAAGGCTTACCAATGCCCAAAATACTAACTGGATATATGTATAGCGCACGATTGTGGAAGCCCTATTCCATGAACTTGAGTCAGAAGACGTCAAATACGAGCATGTGTTGATTATGGGGCAAGAAGCCCTTGCCCTGGCCAAAGATCGGGCTGGTGAGCTTACCGTGGCATCGGCAGCCACGGAAGCTATCCTGGAGGCCGAGACCATGGTCTTGTGCCTGCAATCCATCGTCGACTTTTGTGCCCTGCAACTATTGCTTTCCTAAATGGTATGGCGGAAATGAAACTCGCCCCGACAGAGGATATCACCTTGGTCAGGAACTCAACCCTTGACCTGATTCCCGCAGCCTCGCGGTTGAAATTAGCTGACACAATTCGCGATGTGCTCGCTAGGCTGAATAACGTGCACGACCCCGCCGGAGATGGTTTAGACCGCGTCGTTGGCGATGTCGATGATGGTGCCCTCTCCGTGAACAGATTAAGGCGCAGAGAAGGAATTGCGAAAAGAGCAGTGAGGGGCAGGGGACGATAACGGCGGGAGGAGAGTGAAAATCAAAGATCCATCACAGAAGAGAATATTATTTATACTTATAAGAGACAGATCAGAGATAAGTAGTAATCTAGTTTAGTCATACAGCTATTTAATATAGCTTATACCCTAAGATTAGATATAGAGAGAGAGTAGTAAAGAGTTCTTTAGTTATACAAGGAATTTCAGTAGTTATATTAGTAGTATTAGAGAAAGAGAGAATAGTCTATAGGTTGAAGATATATATTCAGGAGTATATTTTAGATCTATCAAAATATAGGGCTAACTAGCTAAAAGTAGACCTTCCTAGTTGTACCCTATTAAAAATAATTCTTAGAACTAGCTATTTAGAGTTAGCTTATATAAGTACTAGAAGTAACTAAAGAGGCTAAAATTAAAACACAACAGAGGAAATTAGTTAACTTAGAACTTGTGAAAATTTGAGTCTGATCGTACGAAAAAAAGTGCTTACAGTCAGGTTGAGAAAGTAAAGTACAGTGGGGTCGAGTAAGTCTAATTCTGCCCATACTTAAGAAATCCTGACCGCCCAGCAGTCAGGCCCGCTGCTCCAGGTCCTTCAGGATAGTGAACCATTGCTTCGTGTATGGGGACAACCGTATGTCCGGGGTATCGCGGTCGACTACTCTTTCGGTTTCTTCTATGTTTCCACAGTGGTGTCTACTGCCTCGATCGTGTTCGGGGTCTCCCAGGGCCTCATGCGTCTCCATACTTCCCATCCGATCTTTTCCCAGTCGGCTCGATCGTAGGCCTCTCTAGCCTTGGTGGTAGATTTGTTCCCTTGCATGGCTTTAGAAAGAATAAGCTTTTTTGGTAGGAAGACTGTGGTTCTGGACTGCGCAACCTACTATCAAGATGTCATAATACAAATGGCGCAACCTCCAAATTTCGCCTTCTGCAAAAGCTAAATACTTAGGAGCTAAGCCGGCCATGCCGATTAGCCACCAAGAGCCAATTAGCACTAGAAAAAGCAATATGGTGAGGCCTAACCATCGGTTAAGAATAGTTGCCTCCTTTCATGCTTAGCATTCATAGGTTAGCTGATTCGAACCAGCAGTACAAAAATTATGCTTATATAGATGAACTTGACTTATAGGAGATTTAGTAGTGACGTCAGTTTAACACTCATCAGTTTACCATCCGCCACATAATCCTCCGGATAATAAATCTTGGTTTGGTTTTAAGTTTATGATGAGTATTTCAAATATGGATCTAGACCTGGCTCTAACAATCACTACAGATAAACTTCACACTTTTGCGGTTAACTAACTTATTTTATGCAGATAGAGCGGTTCTATATAATCCGTAATAAGGTACTGTATTATATTTAAAGGTGCTAGTTATTCTATTTCAATTTTGAAAAATCTCTAATTTCCTCTGCTTTACTTCTTCCTTTTAATTCAATTAATCTGTCAAAGCAAGAGACAACCATATTTTTATCTTCTTTTCCTTTCGAAACATTTTATATCAAACATGAAGCTCTCCTTCTTTATCTACGCACTTATGTTTTCAATAGTTTCCGGTATTGATTTTCCAAGGTGCAGGAGGCCGAGTTCCGAATGTATTATTGCATGTCCTCATAACCAATGCAGACCGGGCTATGTTTGCTGTGTAACCGACTGTGTGAGTACATGCTGTACACAGAACAAGCCCCTATTAATTCACTATATATAAGCTAATAAGACATGGACTTAGGGAGGGCGAATCTGCGAACCAATTGAACCAAGATAGCCAGCCTTGTTGCAAACAGAAAGGCACAATTGTGCATCGAGAGGTTCTTGATATTAGTGAATTCTGTTTTGGCATGTTTAAAACAAATGGGGCTCTAGGAGACCGTAGCAGAGGCCTTTCTACCATTTATTTCTAAAACAATTGATCATTGTGGAATTACTTGAAGCGTGGGTAATGAGGAGAGTAATTTTCTACTGCCGTGTCAGCTATCATTTTTGCAGGATCTGGTTCGCAAGAATTATTCAGAAAAACATCCTGATAATCAGTATGGATAGGCCCACCAGCCCATCCAACCCTTGCATTCCAAGGTTAACGGAGCGATCTTCACTTTATGAGCCCTCTATATGGTTCTAGGTGGATACTGCAATTGAGTAGCAGACATCTCTCGGCGGCAGCTCATCGTATTCCGCCACTTTCGTAGCGAATGGGGGAAATTTGAGTTGATCCGACTGCACCTAGTCCATGGTACAATGCTGGGATGTGAGTGACGTCACAGGCCTCCGTTTTAAAACGCATTTGACGAAGTACGAAATCATCCATTCATCCATTTGTACAGTGGCATGCACCAAAATATCCAACAACTTCATGCTTCTTTGGGGCTCCATATTGTCTGCTTGCCCCCAGTGACTTCCAATTCAATCAATCCCTTCTCACCATTTCATCACTTCCTATCAGTATTCAAGCATCCTACTGTCCTTAAGGTCAAAACAAATTTCAAAGTGTTTCTGCCGTGAGCAGAGAGATTATAGACTAAATGGATTGATTGCAGTTTAACAATAATAATCATTTCAAGTCTCTGCCATATAATTTTCACAAAAAATAAAGCTTCGTCTGGCTTTGTGATCTAGACCCGGCTCTTAACAGAACCGCGGATCATACTTCGCATTTTTCATGTGATCCTGACAGTGAATCAATCATAGGACACATGAATAAATCATTCTAAGGATTTAGTTTGACAATAGTAATTGATGGATGTTGTCTATATTCTCTAACCATGGTACCTATTAGAGTTAGGTCTTCCTCAGAAAAACTATCTATCCCATTTGTAACGTATGTGCTAGTAGCTTTCAGTACGTAAATCTAGATGAGGCGATCTGGAATGGGTTTCCGGAAACATGAAAATAATAGCAGGATATCGTACGATTTCGGGAGACGGTTAATACATTGCCACCCGCAACCTGTCTGGACGGTTGTTATCCCGTTGGTAGCGTCAGCGGAATTATCGGAGACTAGCTCTGGAGCTTTTTTATGAACAAGTAGGCTGTGAGATTAAAAAGTCGATTCCGGTGTCAAAATGGATTTAATTCAGCTGCCTCTCAACAGCACAACAAAGTGAAGAGTCAAATCCTACATACTGTCTAAGCCATAAACCATCTCTAATTTCTTTCTTTCATTCTACCGTCGAACTGGGCGCAAACCAAAACACTTGACTACAGAAACTACAACATCTATTCAACAACATGATGCTCAACCTGGCCATCGTGGTCTTTGCTCTCTGCGTTGCTGTCAGCACCCTCTCCTATGACGCATGCACGACTACTATCGTGTGCCCTCCGGCCCAAGGTCCTATGTGCGGCGACTCGTTCTTTTGCCGTGTCGGCCAGATCTGCTGCCCCAATATGGATTTTCACTGCGCGGATCCCGACAAGGTCGGCGAGCAGTGCCCTCACTAAATGGTTAAAGAAGCGGAGCAATTGTATCTGGTGGAGAGACTGAGTAGTTAGTGTTGACCGTGTTGTTACAAGATCTGGGGCACTTCCAGTTTTATTGTTTCTGCAAATTTGTTGGAGCGCAGTAGTATGTGCAGACCAGAAGGAAGATTGATGGTTAGTTACACGCCGCAATTTTACTAAGCCCCTCAGCCTAACTAATTAACTAATGCGACTCGCTCAATAAAAGATCTGCGCTAAGGACTTGGCGGTGGGGCTGGGAAAGAGTGTATATTGGTCAAGGCGATTTCGAGAATGAGTGTACCATGTACTTCTTTGATTAATTACTGCCACACCCCTACAGGCGCCTCTTCAATTCCCCTCCTCGGGCTGGCCTGTCTTGGTTTAAGGCTGTAGGGTTATACCTGCGGGTAAGTGCAAGATTCTGCTCCCGCATTACTTCGCTGTCTTGAAGTTTATTTGCCTTTGACACTGGCTAAGATTCGATTTATTGCCATCGAGCGTACACAAGCTGGGAGGGGTGTTATGAGCGGTACAATCACGAGTATGAGGGACCAGGCTCGATATATATGTATGGGACTCTGGATGCTCTTTATCGCCGGGAAATTTGAGCTGTCTGCTTTGAGAACTGGGCCTGTCTAATTGCGACCGAATTTAATTCATCCAACCTGACGTCACTTCTTTCTGCAAGGAACTATTGCCTCCGTTATTCTCGGGATCACGTAGTAGCTTAGAACATAGATGGCTGAATTTCTCCAGCTACTTCCGTTTCGTTCAAGTTTAGTAAAACGCCATCAACACCTGAGAATATTCAAAGGACTTTTTAAACAGACTCCTAGTAGTATATTTCACGAGTGTGAGAAACAGGTCCCGGCATATTCCAACAACTTTCACGTCTCGTTATCTCTTAACAATTGATATATCCTCTTTACGGCCTACTAGTACGGTTACTCATTTCTTGCTCTGTTATCAGTTAGCTGGGGTGTAGGGTAAGTATAGAGCACGAACCAATTACTCACCGGCAGCTGTTTACATTCACTGCATCAGAAAGGCGCGATTCTCAAAGCTTCAGGCATCCATATCACCTCTCCTTCTGTCCTTGATACGCGACACCCTCCATACCTGCCAGCACATCCTTCTACCAATTTTTGACTGATTACTGCTAAACTATCACCATCATGGATTCCGGAAATAATGTCCTCGGGCCCGAAGTGCTCGAGGCGATAGCCCAAGGGCTGGTAAGTCTCAATATCCTCAATCGAACCTCCCTAATAGTGCAGATTCTAATACTTTGTCCAACATCAGCTCAACCAGATGGCACAACTACGAGTGAATCGCCCAATTTGCAAAGAAACGAAACAGAAATGGTTAGAATACTTCGCTCGGGTCACGGATGAAGTTCAATCCCTACATGATACCCTGATCCAGGCCGAGCAGACGGCAGATGGTCCCACCGAATGGATTGAGACAATCCGGCTGGACGTTGAGATTCAGGATATCCATTTCAGGTATCTTGGCAGGCTGGTGAAAGATGGCCCCAAAGTGGCTTAGAGGCCTCGTGAGCCCCTGTGAAACCCCCAATGAAGTAGCCATTTCTTCGTGATGTAGCATAATGGTCTCCTCTTTTTATTCTTCTTACCACCCATATGATATGAGTTCATGCCTTTTTCTTGTATCTCCGCATTCGGAGTCTATGTCTCAGCGGTATTGAGCCTTGTTTGAGATTCAAATACCATCAATACTTACAAAACACAAGAAGCCAGACAATGGGATATCTTTTATTCGCTATTGGGGCATTCAATTCAGCAAGAAGGAGATGAGATGTTTGTAGAATGCGGAGGCTGTTGTCCGGGCCAGCACTACTTCTCATGGCAATCCTGCGCCGATCTGAGTAGCACCGGGGACAACTTCAGATTGAGAAACAATGCTTCGCCTTGGCCACGTACAACAGATTTGGCGCTTTCGGATTTGGGACCTGGACTCCCCACCGCTTCAAACTACGAAATGAGCTGTATCCCGTAGCACGCAATGGAGTAGAGGATCGAACGTTCAAGTCAAAGCTTTTCACCAGCACCCCAGAAAGGCCTTTGATGCAGGCGAGCTGGCGATACCAGGGCAATTCAATTGTCAGCTCCAAAGGCCACTGCACAATGAGGCAACCATTCTTTGACTCGCATATTTCCATTTACCAGATACACGTCTTTGTTGCGTAAACCAAACTTCCCTTTCGCATCTTCCATCGCCCCCTGTGCCGCGGAATACCACAGAATGTCCGAACAATACTTTCTCTCCATGAGCGACCATTTCATCGCATGTACGGAGATAGTCGCTCAGATGGTAAGTCTGAAGTTATACTTCCAAGTATTCCCGTCACTTGAATCTAATGAACCATCACACCTAAGGCCCGTTTTATGAACGTTTTGAACTCCGCATCGCTTCTTCCTCCCGAGTCCCGACCTGCACTAGATTCTCTCGCCTTGATAATAGCGGCACGAGCTGAACAGCAGCTCGCAAATATGCGTCAGATGATCCATTTACCACAGGAAATTACCATTGCCCTGGAGGGAGTGGCGAAGCAGTTTACTGATACTGTTTCGCAACGATGCGATGTGAGTGAACGGGATTTAAAGGCTTTGGCCTCGCTTCGGCGGCCGGATTGAATGGTGATGGAAACATGGAACTTCCATTTGGAGACAGTTGATCGTTAGTTAACGTCGTGGACACTATGTGGGATTTGTATGACGATGGATGAGCGTCCTGCACTTCGGAGGTTCTTAGATTGAGCACTTGCATTATGTGCTACATCTCGTTCTGAACAACCGATTATCCCAGCAATAATATTAGCATGGCCATGCTTCCTATTCACTTTGTTCATAGACTAGCTCATCATCATTATGATATCCCGCTTTCCCTGCTCCGCAAGGGGCGGTTGCTTGCAATTTAATAGTTTTCTCCCCGATGAACCATAACCACAAGCATGCATGAAATTTGGGATGGAACAAACTAGCCACAATTCACCGTCAAAATATAATCTACTCTACCCAATCTCAATTCTTTCCAATCTGACACCCCCCGCAACCCCATTTTTCCGATCGCCATAAACACCCGCAACCCACCGACATCCACCGACGATCATTCTGCATTTCCGAATGTGAAAGGAGATTGCAGATCCAAATCGGGACGGACCACTCGATCGGTATGACATCACAGGATGCGAACCTCTTTTCATTTCTTTTTTCTGATATTTTACGCGACGTGTTTTCGCGACGGCATCCATCTCCATACACTGCACTGCACTGCACTACACCACTGCCATACATACGCTAAGTCCAAAACCAACACAATGTCCAAAAGAACCCTAGACGCCTTCTTCAAACCTCCCCCCAAACGAACAAAACCCGACACCACCACCACCACCACAACCACCAACGAAGAAAATACCCCATCCCAATCCCAATCGCCAGACAACCACTCAACCTACCCCCACCCAATTGCGCAATTGCCAACACATCTCGAAAAAGCCCTATCAGAATGCACCGAACCTGCATCTCATCGCGAAGGCAAAATCATGAACAACCAACCCGATCTAGACTGCGTCTATTACCAACCATTTATCCCGCGCCGCATCGCTAATGAATTATTTCGCGTGCTGAGGGCTGAATTACCTTTCTATCGGGTTGTGTATTTTGCAAAGAGGGGTGGTGTTGATGTTCAAATTAAGACGCCGAGGTTTACGACTGTTTTTGGGGTTGATGAGGGGTGTTTTTTTGCTGATGCAGACACAACCTCGAATCTCAATATCAACTCCGACTCGAATTCAAAATATAAAACCTCCCACCTAACCCTCCGCAAAGCACCCACCACCACCACCAACACCAGCAGCACAGTACCAAAATATACCTACCCACCCCGCCCAATCCCCTCACTCCTGCAATCCCTGAAAAAAGCCGTCGAATACACCACAAAAGAAACCTACAATTTTGTCTTGGTAAATTACTACGCCACCGGCGAAGATAGTATCGCCTTCCACTCGGATGATGAGCGATTTCTTGGATTCGAGCCGGCTATTGCTTCTTTGTCGCTTGGGGGTGAGAGGGAGTTTTTACTGAAACATAAGCCGGTCCCTTCAGAGACAGCAGCGACTGGCTCTGCGGATCGGGGTGGTGCTAGTGCTGCTGTTGGTACAACGATTAAACTCCCCCTCAGCTCTGGAGATATGATTCTCATGCGTGGAAGGACACAGGCGAATTGGTTACATAGTATTCCGAAACGGAAAGGGAGGGGAGTAGCTGGTGTTGGGGGACGAATTAATATTACGTTTCGGAGGGCGGTTGTGCCTGCTGGTACGGAGAATTATTATCATTATAATGTTGGGACTGGCGGGGTTTGGGGGTGGGATGAGGTTAGGAGGGAGATGGTTGAGAGAGGAGCTGGAAGCGAGAATAGAAAACCGTTATGATGTCTTATGACGGATTTAGCACGAGGTGGCTTGAGACATTGTCTTGCTACGGGGTACGCCGAGTCCGTGGACGATTCGATTATGAGTACGGAGTACTCATTTACAAGAACTCGTTTAGCCGAGGGTCATACGAGAGTCTCCCGTGGATTGGGGTGCATGCCAAGGGCTGGGCGGTTTCTAGACTCGCGACTAAGTGGATATGATATCAAGTGGATATAATGACCAGAGACGAAGACTGAGACTGTTGGCAACTCAAACATCAATTCATTTACAGCAACACCCTCAATATGCGAACTATGGCCCACCAACTCCATGTACAAATATAGCAAAGAATAGTCACATCAAGTTGAGTCAAGTCGAGTCGGGTCGATCTAACCCGACTCAGCTCAACTCAGAATCGGGGAATAGAATCGAAGAGAATAGTCATGCGGTGATCGTGACGGTCGCGGCCACCTCCCGCGAGAAGAAGGAAAATAGTTGAATACAAAGTAGTGAATACAGGAAAAGGGCGGGGGTGGGTGACGGTGCGGCGGAATGGGATAACCCAGTCTCAGCTGGGGGGTCAGCTGGGTGTCAGCTTGGTGTCAGCCCCCGGCTAAGGGGACATGATGACTTCTTCGCCATAGACGTTTTTATAGCACTCGAATGTGTCGGGGCAGCTGGAGGAAGAAGAACAGATTAGCAAGTGATTGGTTAAGTGGGAGGGCCTAGGCCTAGGCCCAGGTCACGCAGCAAACTCACAAAATAGGCTCCTTGCCAAAGATAATATGCCAACTATACTCCATAATGTTGGAAGTCACCTCGTCAGGCAAATCATTATTCAACACCCAATCGAGCATACGCTTATAATCACTGCGAGGACGCTGCAACACCTGCTCCCGGGAGACCGCAAACTGCGAACAGCACGGCGCACCGATCTGTTTGGGGACATTGCTGTTGCCGAACAATTCCTTCCAGGCGGTGGCGTAGTGCTTCTCGCCTGTGTTACCGGGCTTCGCGGGCTGGCGGAAAGGTTGCATTTCGGCCGGACATCCAGGGGAAGTTTGACAGCGCAGACTGACGTATCCCTCGGATAACACCCATTCGCGCTGTAGCGCCCGCACCGAGTCCACGTTGCTGTAATCCATGGTGTCGGTGTGCCAGGCGGCGGGCCAGCCGTCGCGGTGCGGGTGAAGGAAGACCATGATCGCTGGGAGGTCGTCGTAGTGCTCGACGAGGTATTGGAGGTAGGGTTGGGCTTCGCGGCCCTTGTTGGAGCGAGTGTGGGCGTTGACGTTGACGTCGTCGACAGTGTAGATGAAGTTGCGCCATCTAGTTGGGTTGGGTTAGCAGGTGCGGAGCAGTGTGGTGCAGGGGGGGGGGGGTATGTTTCATCCGAACGGATTCAACCATTCAGGAGTAGGCTGGAGATGACTTACTCGGCCAATTCGGCGGACACCCAGGCGGTATCCTCGTCGCGCAACTTGCCCATCACAATAATACCATCATTGGGGACCTCGATGGGGGTGTTTTGGTAAGTCACGCCATTGGTGCGGTCGGTTCCAATCCCCCATTTGCGACGAGCGGTCGTGGTAGTCTGGGTGTGTGGGCGCAGAGCGGAGCGGAACGATGTGGTGTCAAAATGCCAGAAGGAGGCGGGACTGCGCGAGGGGTGATAACGATTGTTGAGGAGGACCAGGGCGAAGAAGATGAGCACGGCGGCAGAACCGACACGAATTGCGAGTCTCATGGCATTCCGTGGCCAGACGGACTGGACTGGTGTGGGTGGGAGGAGGAGGGGGGAGGGGGAGGGGGAGGGAGGTGAAGAGGGAAGAAAAAGAGGGAGTTGCAAAGTTGAAGTTCCAGCGGAAGAGAAAGCCCGTGAGCAAAACACTAAGGACTAGCACGCCAGCAAAGAACACCTGGACTCTGGAATAAAATGAAGCGGAAAAATCCCAATCCCACATATGAAATGACATCCAATCAAATCAGAACAAAATGAGAATCCAGAGTGGAGCAGGGAGAATCACCCGAGTGGGCCAGCCCGGGACTGTATACAGACGAGTATACGAGGAGTATACTGTATACCCAGTATACTGTAGTATACGATGCTATAGTATACTATATTGTATAATAGCACAGAGTACGAAGTACTTTGTCACTATACTATAGCATACGATGCGATAGTAGTATACTACATAAAGTAACTCATGTTATCCAACTGAATGTCTCATCAACCCCTGAGAAGTGGAACTCATATTGACTTTGGCGCTTGGCGGGACTGCGTGAGATTGGCAGATTGCGGTGGGGCGATCCTGCAAGGGTCCATTGGATAGAAGAAGTGCTGATGCAGGCAGTATGAGTATACTATAGAATTGTGCGACTAGTCTACGGAGTAGTATAGTATCCTATCTATACTATAGTATACTGGAGAGGGAGAGTACTGCTATACTATCCTATAGTATAGAGTATATTGTTTTAACCCTTGCTATTCCCTATGTAAGTACTCCCTCCCACTCGGCCCGAGCATCGGCCGAACCAAACATGAACAGAGTTCCGGTACGGAACTCTCCGATACTCCAGAGGTTCGTGTCTACTAATACGAGTACTAATACGAGAAGTAATACGAGTAGTACTATGTATACAACAGACAATAGTATTGTCTTCGTATTATTACTCCCTAGATCCATTGTCTAGATGGTCTAGATGGTTGCATTGTTGTATTAGCACAGTAGCACCATGCTGACTAATGCCAAGTCCTGATTCGCCGCAGAATATCAGGGTAGTGCAAATGGGAAGGTGCGATGGACTGTATACTACTACTAGTAGTACAGCAAGAGCAGAGGCACTTCCCGAAATGGAAACCACAACACACTCTGCCTAGTTAAGCAGGAACGACACAGTACTAGTATTACATAATACATAATATCTATAGTAGACCTCCCCTTTCCCTTTCACTTTCACCTTCTCATCCTTCGAATCTGCGACTCTGTGACTCTGCGGCTATATGAACTACCTCGAGCAGCCCGTTCTATATTCATGCTAGTCCCTGTCTCATTCAGCCTTGGAAGTTTCTGCTTCATATCCTGTCGGCCACACGTGGACATCTGCATATATATATCTGTATGCCGACGAGATTCCTGGGAATTCGGAATATACTATACCTAGGTATTCCCTCTCTTGCAACTTGCGAGTGACATCCGAGTGTGGATCAGACTGCTCCGGCGAAGACAGGATTCCCATCTATGTTTGATCCGCTATTGCGGATCATCGTGGTGTCAAATGAAAGCTGAGGCGCCACCTTGCATTCCTCGCCGACTATTACACAGCACACTGGAATTTTCTCGTCCCCCCCAACTTGAACGCACAATGGTCTCCGAGATGCGAACTATAAAAAGCAAATTGATACCTAGGTACAAGTATCATAGGCTCGAAAGGTTTGGCAAGGTTCAAGCATCCGCTTGCCTTTTTTGCGAACGTAGCATCCTTACATTCATCCCTACGGTATTATGGACTGGAGAGCGAATACATATTTACCCCCAGAATTCTTTGCCTGGTGGCTCCGGAATGCTTCATAAATAACAGATAAGACAGGTAGCCCCGCCCGTAGGATTCCTGAGTTTTCTCACACCCTAATGCCGCTTTTTATCGCCTATAACTGAAAATACTTCTCCTACACCATCGACATGGCTTTCCAAAGAGCTTCATGGGGCTCCTTACTCATGATTGCCTTTGCTGTCTTAATCCCCTCGGCTACATGCGCAAGTGATCCTCTCAAAACATCTCTGAAACCAAAATATACATTCGATCAACTCTGGGATCTTGAAAAGACCTTCTGGGATTCATTTCTTTACCCAGCCAATGTGAAACAGACAGAGGGAAACTCATCATCCGTCTTTGCACCAAATGTACGGGGACCTCTACCCTATAAGCCAGCTATGCTCGCAGAAGATACTGACACTGGAGAACGTAGGTCCAAGGCCGTGTCGACATTACGCGTACCTTCGACGGCGATGAGCTAAACCGCGAATACATATTCGGCCTGTTTTCAGACCCAGAACACGTCAGTCTTGTCGGTGTTCCAATCGCATACAATATCACACAATTCAGCGCCAATGAAAACATCGCATCCGCAACAACCATTGTGACTTTCAACGCTACAACCTTCGGCATTGTCGTCCCCGTCACGATCGACACGTGGATCATGTGGGACACGGACGGCAAGATCACGCAATATGACGCGGTTTTCCGTTACTTCGAATACTGGTAGACTTCATCATTGGAAATGTCGCGACGAAGATCAACGCTACCTCATCGGACCAGGCGGTCGGCTATGTTTCGGACCTACTGGCCAAGACTATCTGTGCTACACATGAGCAGTATTGCACCGGGTCAGACCAGCAATATACGGATACAGCGGCTTGTTATGACTTTCTGACTAAGGATGTGCGATTTGGAAAGAGCTATGAGTTAGGGAGGAATACGATGCTTTGTCGTGAGGTTCATGAGCATATGGTGCACTACAGACCTGATATTCATTGTGCTCATATTGGACCCTCCGGTGGTGGATACTGTGTGGATGATATGACCTACACGCAGACTGTTTTGCAGAGTTACTTTAATGAGTCGTGGATTCCGTTTGGATATGAAGGAAATCAACGAATGGGGCGTTAGTGTATGCATAAGAGTCTTTAGGATGGATAGAGAAGGGATATCCATCCTGCAATTCATTATATTCCATGTTTCTCAGGGCCTATGAATAGTACAGCAAGAATGCCGGAAACTTCACATATTAACCCAACAGCCCAAGTCTCCGTCTTTCAACCAGTTCTTTCAAGTTGCTGGATCCAACCTCCCGACAACGGACCAAGAGTACATCTAATATCATACGCCGCAGACCACAGAGAGTAAGTTTGCGCGAAATTGGAGACATTACTACCCTGCGCACCGCTTTTCTTCAACTTGAACAATACACAATTGACTTCGGCAATATATACAGGAATCGTTGCCGACATAGAAGCACCGATGGTAACCAACATAAGAACCAAAAGAATATTGGCCTCTGTGGAACTTTTGTCAACAAACCTCATACACACAAAGACTGGACAGCTTATCAGAAAACCAGCTTTTGCTGCCAAATCGCCTAGGGCGGTGTTATCCCAGTGACACAGGACTTGGGGATAAAAAATAAAGAGTGACTAGCGCCTTCATCGACTGGACGGACAATAAAGGAAAACCGCATGTACCGTCTGCGGAGCGTGATTTCAACATACAGGTCACATACAAGCTACTGATGGAGTGAACACTACTCAACGGTCCAAGGGGGATTTTCTGTCCCCCGAGCAGACCATGGATGGATTCCAAATATCGCTTCAATTTGACCTCAATGAACGTCCTGTAGGACTATTCATCAAAGAAAGAAGTTGCAAAGGTAAAGCTCATTCGGTGACAAAGAATTTGGAATCAGGTCCCCACAAGACATCCCTTCCGGGTCGGGATCGGGATATAGGCTTTGGTTTTCGACTTGAAGTCCACCTGGCCCCTTATTTGTATCTCCAACGCATATCCTATGCATGGGGAAGAAATTTGAATCCGCAGCTGAGCTATCATTTGTTTGGCACGATGCCACATATTCAGAAGTGATCATCTCCCAGTATGCGTCAAGCTGTTCGTCGGCTAGAAAAGCAGGACTGGAACCGAGCTGTATATTTGGTGTGCAGTGCGAAATTATTTCGCTCGGCACCCTAACCATCTCCAGATCTCTATCCCTGTATGTCGGAGAGACTATGTGTGAATCGGGACTTCCTGTCTCGGGGCTTGAAATTGTTGACCAGTCATTTGAGGATGGGGTGGTGCCCCCGCGTTCGATTTCACGGCTGTGATAACAGTATGTGGACTGCGATGATGATATATTTGTTAGATCAGTTCTTGTGCCGGATTCTAACTGGATAGTGAATTTGGGTACCTTAGCCAAGCATTGTTGAGGGTTGTTACTTAAATGTAAGGATGCATCTTCCTGTGTGGGTGGATTCTCTTGGCATTGTATACCGCTCTTTGAGGGTATATTCCTGCGAGATGGAAAACAAGGAAGATTGACAGGAGAGAGACTGGTATCTTGATGCGACTTTGCACTTTGCTTGTGCTGCGTCGAGCGATATTCCTTTCTGCTGGACCCTGTGATCCTTGTTTGCATCGCAGGATTCGTGATCGGCCATCGTTGTGATGATTGAATTTGATCCTTCCCATGTATTTGATTGCCCAAGAACTTGAAGGTACTGGGAAACCCGGTGCATATCTTACCGCGCTTGGTACAGCGCTGGCAGGCAGGTTTGAGGCCATCGCACTGCGATGAATGAGTCAATACCATCAGGGACCGGTGTGATAATGGTGCACTCACTTTCACTTTTCGTCGACGACATTCGTGACAGCAGTAGCTCCTCGGTCCCGAGGAGACCATCTTGGCTATAGTGTGTATTGGAAGAGTGTACTGGCTTGAGCTGTTTCCTCCCGAAGCTCCTCGAGAGTCAAGAGTCAAGAGTCAAGACTGCCACAGGCCTGGTGGAAGTCTATCAATCTCTGATTGATAAGACCGAGTCATGTGCACGGTGGCGCGCTAGCCAGGGCTGCCTTGGCATTCGGTGCTTAATTCCGCACTTCGCCAGGCCTCCCATATTTCGTGTCCAGTACGGAGTCACGTCTGGAATTGTTTGGCGTTTGGAGTGGTTAAGGCCATGTCGAGGTCCACTTTAGCTCGGTTCGTTGCCGATTCTGCAGAGTTGATGGTCGGGTGGAGCCGAATCATAGAACAATGTGCTCACTCTACCGGTTTTTAGTTGCCCCCCCCCATCCGGATCTTCTTATGTTTATGCTGGATCATGGAGAATAATACGGTTATAGGGCTTCGGGGGCTTCTCCGTGTCAGCTTCAACGCTTAATTTGATGTTGTTGCCTAATGGGCAATCTCAATGACGGGTTGGCACTCGATAACACAAGCAGCTTCAGAACGACACATTTATACACATATCCTAGTCCATCTTGTCAAATTGATTCATTCCCGAAGTCATACATTTCAAGAGAGCCAAGCGACCAAATTGGCTGTAGGCAGCCACGCGTCCACGCTTTGTCCAGGGGCCTCGTACGACTATGCCAAGCCTCCCAAGGAATTACTAGCATTTCTTGAAGACGATCGGGAGATCATATAACCGCTCTCCCGATTTTGTCTTTATCTCCGAATTCTTCATGTCAAAACCTTCTCAACGGGAACTGTTTCGGAACCCCACTGGAACCATCTCGGTCCCGCGGCCTCCGTCCTCGCTCCACTTAGTGAATCGCAACCTCTGATTCGTCAAGGACAATATTCGATCAACATCGTCGGCCGAACTGTCTTATGTCAATTTTCGATCCCCTGTGGAAACAGGGGCTCTCTCTTCGAATTGGCTAGGCGACGCTGTTGATGGAGCTAAGAAGCAAGATACCCCGTATCAAATGAACGTTTGGGACATGACCGAGAAAATATCACATTCGACATGGAAGTACTGGGATCATCTCGATCGACTGCGTGGCACGACATCGACATTTGTGATACCTCGAAGAGCTTTAAAACAGTACAGCCTTAGGTCATTGAACCGAAGTGCGCCCGTTCAAAATTTGAGTCAAAGATATTGGTCAGAGACTAGGCAGAAGTTACAGTTTGTTGAGAGATTTCCGAAACGATATTGATGTTTAGTTTTCGTTCCTCGCCCGTTGAGCAAACCAGCTTTTCAGAGTCTTTATTATATACGGAGTCTCGCGACATGGATATCAAAATAGCCACCGACCCTAACTAACTCCATCCCAAATGAAACCCAACCTTGGCCGACCTCGGGAACTGAATATAATCAAAAGAGATAGAGGATATCCAAACCAAAGAAAGTGAATAACCCTAGAAAGTTAGCAACTCACACCACCTACGCAGGAAGAATATTTATGTCAAAATTCTCTTCCGCCCCCGCAACCCTTCCAACAACACACCTCGTACTACCGAGCAAACTCCCCGCAAACCCCCGATGAACCGTCCCTAAATGATTCATAAAAACATCCAAACTCCCAAACGCAAGAGCAGATCGATCATTCTCAAAACAACAAAACATACACCCGAATGTCCCGATCCTGGACGCATCGCCATTATTTCGTGTCTTACGTGCAATATGGGACTTTGCAAGAAACGACCACCGGTATCGGATTTTACTGGCTGCATGTGTATAGACCTTTTGGTCGAAGCTCGCGTCATTGGAACCGTTGCCTCGCGATTGAGATTGGGAGTTCGAGTGCGAATCTGTTGATGCCATGGGCATTTCGAAGAAACAGCTTACACATTTCCATTTCGGAACAAGACTGTAGTACCCAATAGGTACCGAGTGGACTTTGAATCCCTCGAAACCGGAGTTTTGCTTCCAGGCGCCTTTGCAGAATCCAGCGTAGTCGTTGCTTCGACTTGGTGGCCAGAGCGCAACGGTGGTTGACAAGGGTAGGATGATTACATCGCTCCGGTTCGAGCTGCCGCTATCGAGAGACACATCACTGTGGATGGATGGTGTTGGTGGTGCTCTGGGTACGCCGAGGTTGGGGTTGGATATGTGTTGCGTAGGGGGTGGTGTCTTCAAGCCGGGGCGATATCCGGGGACCGGTGCCTGTTGCGGTTGTTGTTGTTGTTGCTGCTGCTGTTGGTTATGATGATGATGCTGCTGTGGAAGGTTTTGATATTGCTGCATATGGCTGGGACTATAGTTATAGTCATATGTATGACCATGGTGTTCCTGTTGTCCGTGAATGAGGTCATAATCTTCTCTTTCTTGTTCTTTCTCTTCGATGACTGATATCCAGGGATTCTCGCTCAGCACATTCTGCTCAACTGGTGCCTCAAGCTCGGAGGGCCTTCTCTGTGGAATTTGACGTGCGCCGCTGGGCTCTACATAGGAGCTCTGCGGTGGGGAGGGGAGCCCTGTCGGTACTCCTGAAGGTAACCCTGAAAAAGCTGCAATGTCGGATCGATCATCTCGCTCGCTTCGATCGCTGGATTCCACGGAGGATCTGCGTCGGTCCCGAAGCCAATTAAATGTTGAACTGATCGAGCTGAACCTTCTATCGCCTCTGTCCCGGGGACTTCCTGCATCAACTGAGGGGCGATGACTAGCCGAGGTGATTTCCGGCGGCGAGCTAGATATACTACCAGTAAAAACTCGGCCAGGTATTTGACCTGGCGGTGGTTGACCCGGCGAGTAGTAGAAACCTGCAGGATATGAATGCTGTTCGGTAGGTGCTTGGCTGGACGACAGTGTGTTGATAACACCAATATATTGAGCGAGACCCGAGTGTGGTTCGATAATAGGTAGGCCCGGCGCAACGGGCGACATCATTTGCCATGGTATTGGGGCTGTTTGTGCTAAGCGCTGATATAGTTCGTGCATGGCGGAGATGGTTCTGGCACGACTCAGATCGGAGATGTTGAGGAGGGCGAAAATGTCGAGGTGGGCACCGTCTTCGCGGAGGTGCGTGAGCAGTGTTATCTGCAGCCCGATGAGGATATCCTTCATCGTAGCTTGGGCGATTTCATCGCCGACTTCGAACCGTTGGCCGAGGCGACCGACGTGTCCGTTCCACTGGGTTAGAATATCGACTCTGCTCCGCTGCAGCGAATTCTCCAGGTCAATGGCGGTGGAAGAGGCTGCCTGGGGGTGAGGGGTTCGGCGTTCGCGCCATTTCTTTCTGACCTCCTGGAAGACAGCGCTGCCATCGTGGTAGGCGGAGATGACTGTCATATAGATGTAAGCTTGAAGCCGGGTAGCCGAATGGGAGAAGTATTCCTTACCAGCAGCCACACACGCGACAACAGCAATTACCTCCACTCCAGACATCGCGGGGAGTGGAGAGCTTGTTGGGATGGTTTGGGTGATAGAATAGTGTTCCAAGAGTTGGCAGTGTGGTGTTGAAGGAGATTAGCGATAGTTGAAGATGGGGGCCGACGGGGAAGGATGGAAAGGATGAAGGATAAAGAGGGGAAATGGAGGAACGAGTCCAAGCTTCGGACAAGCAGAGAAGAAGAAATGCCCAGGCATTGCGGTTTGGCCCAGGTTCAGTCAGCACGAATAAAATGAATCATTTAACCCGGGTGAGGGGCGCCAATGAAGACGAGCGCTTGCAGTGAGGCTGAGTCTTGGCTCGCTTAATCCATGCGTGATGCAGTGAGCAGAAAGCGTTGCAGGCAACTATAATTCTGTTAAAATAGGGATGATTGCTAAGATATAGCTTTATGCATTATCCGATTCCTGTCACTATAGGTATCTCGTGTCAATATAGTTACTGTGGATCGACTCCACCGCATCCGCCATGGTGTCAGATGGGATCCGGCTCAATATGTCCAGGTACACCAAGTGGGTACATCGAGGCGAACAGTTGACACCTGGGCAGCTTCGGGGTGTCAGGTTAATTTTGGGTTGAGTGGACATGCGAACTATCCCTCAGTGAATGTCCCAAGCCGTAAAATTGAAGATCATGGCCAACCCCCTCGCGGGATATCTCGCCTGTCATCGTGTGCTCGGACATATTTCGCCACGTGATATCAGCCAAGACCCTTGAAAAAAAATCTCCGAATGGATAAATGCTGTCTGCGGAAAAGATGAGGCGGCGTCGAGGAGCAAAATGCAACCCACATGATTAACTCCAAAATGCTCAGTGCCATCGTCACAATTGAGCGTGTAGAGTGGCACTTCTTTAGGTGGGCTCGACTCAGGACTGCCAATGTATGCAGTTTTTTGCAATGACCCCTGTCGAACATTTGAAAAGGCTTATTCTTGTTTCACCAACGTTGGGGATTATCAAGGGCCAACTATAAATCGCTTATTTTCGGTCCCGTTCTCTAGTCTAGTTCATATGATCAGCTGAACATGTCATACTATATATAACTCATTATTATCATAGTATCTAGGTAGGTAGTACCTAGTAATAGTTACCAGCCCTGGAGTAGATGACAAGTCGGGAATCGGATAGTTACTAATAGCAGCCCTAGAGTACTACTAGGTACTAGCACCCGAGCATCACTGGCAGTATCCGACATAAAAACCCGACCGGGGCAAACTTAGCCTTCCAATTCCAAGTTGAATGTTCCGAGATTGGAGTTCCAGAGTCCTTCACTCTCAATTTGGGAGTGATTACGGTGTCCTGACCTCTTCAAGTCGCTTTCCAGATATATCGAAGGCGTGGTTGAAAATTGAGGAAAATTGGAACTTGAACCTTGGAACATTTTCAACCCCCCTATTAGTAGCACCTAGGTATAATGACCAGTTGATAACAGTACTAGTAGTACAGTAGTATTGCGTTGGGATTAGTAGTAGTATTTTTATGCAGTCAAAGTAGTCCCATGCTGGAATGTGGTAAAGACGTCAAGGGATGGAGGCTTGTATGTTTTTCATCCCAAGTAAAGGAATGTATATTCATGTACAGTCTAGTAGTGGCCCACCGACTACCAAATCAATCAGCGATATCAATTATTATTTCCACCCCTCGAGGCCGTGTGTCATATTCCATTCTCCTAGGCTTCACTCGCTGTGAGCATAGGATTTGGTTGTTGGGCCTTCCCACTTATGCCGTCCACGAACAACCCAATCAATACAGGCGAATAACATTACAAAACCAAGCACGGGTCCGGCGTAATTCATGTTCTCTGCCGTAACTGGCAGCGTCGCGGGGAAGGGCAGGAAGATAGAGAAATACGTAGCGAACAGAATCGCAACAAGATTGACAGGAAGACCTAATTTGCCCAGGCTAAAGGTTCCCTGGGGGATATCCTGGGGTGCCGTGAAGCGCTTCCAGACAAGGAGGCTGAGAGGAATGAGGTAGGAAATATAAAGGCCGAGCGTGCTGAGTGAGAGAATGGCGTTAAAGGCAGCAGTGGATCCAATCTGAATGAACGATAGAGCGAAGATGCATGATGCAACCAGGAACAAAGCTCGGAGGGGGATCTTATAGGATGGGTCAACAACGGCAAAGAAGTCGGAGAAGGGAAGTCCATTGTCTCGAGCGAAAGCCCAGGTGAGACGCGTGACAGAAGCGAGGCCGTTGAAGAGGGCGATCCACCCGGGCATCATACCCATTCCCATAAGAACGAAGGTGGCTGCCTTGGATCCGGTAGCTTGATACGCGATTGTGATGATTGGGTAGCCCGTTGCGCTGGTGAGGGCTTCGGTGTAGTCGCCCATGCAGTAGAGGGTAGCTATCAGGTAGCAGAATGCGAGAGTTCCGTTGATTAAGGTACCGTATATCATGGATCGGGGAACTACGATTTTGGCGTTTTTGACCTCCTCAGCCATATGGATCACGCCGTCGACACCTGTTGCCATGGATTAGATTTGTTGAATTGTCTGATAGTGAACGAACCTACCGGACAGGGGAGTGATGACTCCAAGGAGGCCAATAGAGTATACAACTCCAGAATCCTTCCAGCCACTCAAGCCCTCGACAAATGTATTCCAGACAAACGAGTCGGGGTTTCGAGGGGCAAGGATAACGAAGACAGCGATAGTGACGGGCAGGAAGACAACATGCATGATACCTGCAGCGACCTCGATGCCTCCCATAACCCGACGAGCAAATATATTTATGACAATAGGAATGATTGCGACTGCCCACATGAGCAAAGTACCACGCCACCTTTGAAGTTCATACTCAGGATGTGCCAGCACGATCATGCCTTGAATTTCGGTTCCGATGAAGTATGGCGCGATACAGACAAGAGCGGACCAAGAAAAGACAGTAACCCAACCTGGAAATTTGAGAATTTTGCTATACAAACGGGAACTTGGAAATGCATGTACTCACCTTGGAAGAAGCTGATGAAACGGCGACCACGAGATGCGAGGAAATAGCTCCAGTGATATTGAGCACCTGCAGTTGGGTGTCTGTTCATTATAGGGTTAGCAGGGGGAAACGACACCAAGACTGTGCACGTACATAGAGGCAAGCTCTGCTAAAGAACACGCGATAGCCATGTTGCCAATAGTGCTCAGGATAATACCATATACAATCACGGCAGGGCCACCATTGTAAAGACCGGCGAGCAAACTACCACCGGCAGATTCCCACGTTGCAAGCAGAGTAGCAGAAAATGCAATCGAAGAGAAGAAATTCAGATATCTCTGTTGAACTATTAGAGCCTGGAAATGTCATTTGAATCCTAAATACTAACCTCCAGTTGTTGTTTTTGGCGAAATGTAACGCCCTCATAGGCGTTATTCCCACTGCCTACTGGTCCTGTTCGCACAGCGCTCTCGCTCTTCATTTCGATCTCTTCTTGCATTTTATCCTGCATGATTAAACGCAACTGAGTACGGCAAAGTCAAAGGGAGAAAAAAAGCCGAAGGAAAATAAACCCCAATCAGCATGAGGACGGCAAGAAGTACTCGGGGATAACTCTCGCCCCCCCTCTTTTTTATAAACAGGGGCTAGACAGGGACCTTTACAGCAATGAATGCGAAACTAGTATTCAGAACCAATGCTGCCAGCTTCTGCGCCGCGCTGGAACTGTTCCATTTAGCTTCGGCGCAGACCCTTGTCGTTCGAATTGCAGTAGCCGGACTGGTGCTGTTTAGTGCTGGATCTGGAATACTCCGAACCAGATCCCCGCTCCGTAACAAATTTTAATAGCACGGCCAAGCCTCCGCGCTGTGTTGTTGGCTACTAGCCTTGGCTAGTAGAATGCTCGGCATAATTTAGAGGCCCGCAGACGCGGCCTTCTGGATCCTGCGTGCATATCGCCCGGCCGATCTCGGGTCTGTGCCAAACGATATGGACAATGCTATTGATGGAAACATATCGGGCCAACTTAATTTGTCTCTAGTCATTGGACCAAGTGTACTCCATCCTGAACAAGGTTCACATCCTGTTGGTTTCACATCCTCCAGGATTCGTATCCCTGCACATACAGAGAGAGATCTAGACACATACGGTGGTGCCACACCAAATAAACAGCCACCTCGCGCGGCTCCCACAGGGATCACTGGCCAGACGGAAAGAAAAGGAAGGGCTGTAAATTGACCCCAGAAACAAATTTTTCCGTAGTATCAGGGATACGATGAAGGAGGCTTTTATTATGTGGTGGCACCCGTCTTTGCAAATTTTGAAAACTTTGAAGTCAAAGGGATGGTGCCATGGCCGACCGAAAGAATGCCTTCTTGACGGTGTCAAGCGATAATCGTGGTGCTATTATCACCGTGACCTCGGTCGCTTTTCTTATTGTGGCTATAATATTTGTGCTAGCCAAGTTCGGTTCAGCGATTTACTTCAAGCAGCGAAGATCAGCAGTGAACATTCCGATCTGGATCGCTCTAATCCTTGCCTTTGTTCAAGTCATCATCTTGCAAAAGGCCGTTGACCATGGACTTGGGAAACACCAAGACCGGCTCAGTGAAGGCGAGATTCAATCCTGGAGCAAGTTCGCTTTCACTGGCCATATTCTGCATATCCTTGTCTTGACACTCACGAAATTGTCGTCTATCCTGTTGATTTGGAAGTTGACACCAAATAAGAGCCTCCGCCGCACCTGTGCTATCGCCTCTGGGGTAGTTGTCGGGTGGGCGATATTTGCAGTGATGAGCATAGCTTTCCAGTGTGAAATGCCTGATACGTGGTTATACTCACCAGAGCGATGCGCCGGAGAGGTGAGTAGTCATCCAAGAAACCGGCGACTATTACTTACCATCTCATCTGTCAGGGAGCTTTATTCTACCCGATCGCAATCTTCAACATCCTCACAGAGATTGCAATTCTTGTCCTGCCTTTCATTATGATGCGCAATGTGCAGATGGCCTGTCACAAGCGGATCAAGATCCTGTCCTCCTTTACTTCACGCATAAGGTATCTTCGCATGACTTCCATGAATCCCCCCTTGAATTCAATAGCTAACCCTATACCCCACTGCAGTATCGTCGTCCTTGGTATCGCTCATCTAGCCCTCCTACCTTCATTCGTCCACTCAAACGATGTCTCTTGTTCGTGACATCCTGGTCCCCTGTCAACTGTCATCACTGGCTTCTTTGATTCATCTAACACTCGCGTAGGGTCAACTGTCGACTGGGAAATAGTCGGCCAGACAATGATGCTTACATCCATCATAATTGCCTGTATCCCAACTCTCTACCACATATTCGCCGGCCTACACTCTGGTCTGACCACGACGGAGATCCCCGACGCAATCGGCCTCGAGGGCCCGCGGACAAAAGGTAGCGCATATATGAATCAATCTTGGTCCGGGGCAAGCCAATCACAATCTCAATCACGGTCGCGGTCACGGTCGCATGGAAGGCCGAGGAAAAATGGCCGGTCAATGTTTGATGGGTGGGAGGTGAGAACCGGGTGATTACTGAGGTTTCTTCGGGTCAGGACCCGAATCAGAATTATCACCCTGGTAGACACTCCGATTCGAGCGAGGCACAGAGAGCACGAGACATTTGACACACGATCATCCTGGAAGGGGGGCGGTGTTGAGAACGGTGGATGTTACGGTGGAGATTGAAGAGCAAGATCAGTACCATCGGGACCAACTTTGAGGACATATACTTTATAAAATAGAGTGCTGATAGAGGGAGGCCATGAACTTGAAGCAGACCAAAGCCGATACTCCGATCGTACATATTACGTCCGACGGAGGCGTTCATATCTGAAATAGCTTTTAAAATTTCTGGGTCGAGGATGTCTCGATCAATTGATCTTCAATGGGGGCCAAAGCTTGAACCGTTTTTTTTTGTTAGCATGATGCTCCTTGGGGCCAGCCCCCGCGAAGGGTTGAAAGTTAAATTCAACTTTCTTGTATGAGAGTCCGCCCTACTTCCAATCTTGTAATTTGAATAAAGTCAATTTCCAAATAACCAAACTCGTAATTTCGCCCCGATGCCCTTCGTATACTAGACTTTGGTAGATGTACGGAGATTGAGAATCAAGTACTAGCATAACGTATCGAGGCTGTGCTAGTATTACCCGTTTCATCATCCAGAAACTGGTACGCTAGCATGTAGGCAGAACTAGATACGGGGCTTGATGTGCTAATGTAAATTATCTGTAGCCTTAGAATCCACGCTGAATACCCTTGTAGCTTGGCCTCGGTTTAACCGAGCAAGACACTAACTAGCAGGGATTCCAAGACTCATCGGAACGCCACTATTCTCTGCCAGTACTTTTGTCCTAGACGTAGCCTCGCCTAAAAGAAAAGTGCGCTTAGCGTCCCGGCCCATTAACCTTTTTCCGTTAACGGTCTTGGCTTTGAGGAGCCCAAATCCTCGCTAAGGATATTAAATACTTGAAGTATCCCTAAATCTCGAATAGCGTCCTGTAGGGTGTGATTGCCACGTATTTCGACTGTCTCGTATTCCTCCTTGGCCATACCACATCAATTTGGTATAAGCCCCTGGTGACAAGTGGCGATGTTCAAAGATGTCGGATAATCCGGGCGTCGTCTACCTGTGAGAAACATGTCCAGGCGTGCATGGCCATACTGGTGCCGGCTAAAAGCCCATTATCCGATGTAGAATTCATGTTTCATCCGAGAGGTTCGAGAATAGCTTTTCTCTACTGCAGTAGAGCGGTGACTTGGGTTATATTAGGACAATTTCGCAATCGCGTGGCCCCATATTGAGGATGTCATTGCCCCTTTATATGCGAATTCCCCGTCTGCGATATCAAAGAGTAGATAAGTTTTGTTCATTTACAAGCTGAGACTCACTCAAGTCTGTGCGTGATTTTCTAAAGAGCACTGCCATCGCCCTAGATTGGATGGGGACTTTTCATAAACTTCCTCACCCCTGGTTAAGTATTCAAGGATTTAATAGATATATACCGCGTTCTGTCGTGAAGTCAACTAAACTTATTTAGTTTGTCGGCTTTGCCTTGGGTTTAGCCCTAGCGAGTTACGAGGCCGAAAATGTCACGGATCATAGCCTCGGCAGGGTAGCTATTTGCAGCACGATGCGGAAGGATGTGTGATTGTAAACTTACGGGTCATGAAGAATTAAAACTACGAAATACCGGTGTGGGACTCTAATGCATTCCAACTACTTGTTTCAAAATGTGCAGAGCAGTTAATAATATTCATATCCATTAGTTTACTGTATCATAGGGCGCCAATGCAGGTATCAAAAAAATAAAAACAAATAAAAAATAAAGGAAAAATGAGGCATTAAGCATGAAATCAGAGACAAACCGGCAGGAAAACAAAATCGAATGCACTCCGCTGCTGCACTAGCAGCATCCCCCCTTCCGGCGAGCCTGAACGACCTGCACCTCCTCGGTCTCGATATTCGGCGTCGCCAGTCCAAGCCAACTCCTCCTCTTATCGCCAATCCCCAGTCGAAAGCTCCCCTCAACACTAGGCGTCGGCATGCCAAATACCCCATCCATGCTTGGAGTGACAGCAGCCAGCGCAGCAGCCTCCGCATCCCGTCGATTTCGCTGCTCAACCAGCTTCCGCGTAATAACACGGAAGACTTCTTCAATCCCTTCACCATCTTTCGCACTAATCTCATGACAACAGTCCCATCCAATTTCCTGGCCCCAGAATGCTGAGCTCCGCTTACTATCGGGGCTTTGTAGCGCACAAACACCCACAGAAGTCGATATCCCGATGGCACTCGTACTCCCTGCCGAAGCAGAAATACTCCCAGGCCAGGGCCAGGGCCAGGACCTCCAGCCCCGCCCCCACCACCGCCAAAGACGCCAGACCCAAATCCAAGTCCGGCATTGTTGATTCCCATGGCGGTGGCGGGCGGCGTGGATGCTTGTGTTGGGTAGAGTTGCTCGGCGACATAGGCGATAGTTCGTTCGAAGGGGATGCGACGACAACTCGGATCCTCGGAGACAATGTCGGATTTCGTTCCCACGACGTGTATCACGAGGGGTTGCTGATCTTCCACACCGCTACCTGCTCCGCCTCCACCGCTTTCATTGCCGAGGTTGCGCCGTAGTTCGCGGAGCCAGCCGGCCATTTCTTGGAAGGAGGTTTCGTCTGTGATGTCGTAGCAGAGGAGACAGGCGTGTGCCCCGCGATAGTACAGTCGCGAGATACTTCTGAATCGCTCTTGGCCGGCTGTGTCCCATATTTGTAGACGAACGGTTGTGTCGGAGGGGGTATCGAGGACGCGTTTTGTTACGAAGGAGGCGCCAACGGTGGAGGTAGTTGTTGAGGGGTCAAATGCGTTGCGGACGTAGCGTTGCACGAGGGAGGTTTTGCCGACTCCTAAATGGGTGAGGTAGTATGTAAGCTGATCTGTATGCAGGGTCTGATTTGTTCTGCTTTGGAGGGGTACGGTACCCTGTGCGCCGAGGACGACGATCTTGGCCTCGAGGGAGGAACTCATCGTGTGTGGGGGGGGTTTGAGCATGTCGGATTAATATGGATTCAGAGATAGCAGTAGGCAGGAGATACTAGATAAGTAAGGAAATAACGACCTCGGGACAGAGTGGAAGAGTTGAGAGAAAAAATGAGTCAAGGGGAACAAAGGAAGACAAGAAAATTCGCTAAAAACAGGATGAGATAGGTTCACGGGATCAGCTGAGCCGATCACTTGCGTCAGCCTTGCGCCACTTGATTATTATTTAGTGTCTGAGTACGATAGCCCTGGAGAGCAAGGGGTAGAGTTAAATGATTAAGTGTAAAGCAAGTGAGATTGCAGCCCTGTGGAGACCTGCATGAACTACTCTTAAGTATGGGGAAATAGTTCCACTTTGTCAAATGGGATGGTACACAACTTGAATAAATATACACAGTTGTTGAACAGGAGTTTCTTCTGTTCTATTCATTTGTTTATTTACTGCTTAAAGTCTTTCATTGTTAAACTTCTTCATTCTTTGGTTGGTTCTGTTCTTTGGATTTTGTATTATTGTGATTTACGTCACTGACGGCGGTAAATGTGTAGAAGTGTAGAATTGCTGTACGAATAGCTAGGAACATGCCTTCATTAGACATGAATCAAGAGATAAAGATAAATGGGTATATAGAAATCCAATCTGGTCTGGCCTGGTATGATCTGATCTGATCCCCATTTCCCCAGACTAAGAACAATCTTATCATTTGGCAACACCGCGATCGCGTTGCATCGCATCGCAGTTGTAAAAGCAGTAATGAAATCATCCCCCATCTACTGCGACTGGGACTGAGAGTACTCCTCAGTGAACTGGCTACTCTCCCCCTGCTGCTTGGCATGGCCCTGCTGCGAAGAGTTGGACGAAGCGGAGTGACCCTTCTCGGCATCATCACCACCTCCACCGCCGAATCCATACTCCAAAGCCTTCTGCTCTACCTCCTCGTCCGACAGCTTGGGAAGCTCCTTAGCCGCGCGCACGTAGGACATGTTTTCGCAATAGCCCTTGGCAAAGATGAGATCGATCTCCTCCAGACTGCGACCGGCGGTCTCGGGGTAGAAGAAGATCATCGGCGGGATGAAGACGGCGTTCATGACGGCAAAGAAGAGATATGTGCGCCAGCTGATGTGTTCGATCATAACGGGGGTGATCATGACAACGGTAAAGTTGAAAAGCCAATTGGAACATGTTGAGACGGCGTTTGCCTTGGCGCGGGTTCGAATAGGTGAGATCTCGGCTGGGTATAACCAGGGAAGAGGGAGAATTGAAGCACCGAAGAAGGACATGTAGAGGAACAGTCCGAAGACGGCACCCTTGGCTGGTCCGGGGGTTCCAGGAATCAAACAGCCGAAGACAATGATCATTGAGACCATTTGTCCTGTCATTCCTCCAATGAAGAGCTTACGTCGGCCGATCTTCTCAATGAAGAACCAGGAGAATGTTGCAAAAATCGCGTACACGATCATGTTTACACCACCGATGAGAAGGGACATGAACTCGGTTTGGTTGAGAGATTGCTTCAGGAGCACTGGCAGATAGTAGATGACTGCGTTGCAGCCAGAAAGCTGTTGGGCGATCTGAGACGATGATCCGATCAGCATGCGACGGAAATGTTGTGTCTTGCCGCCGGTAAATAGGTCGGAGTATCCAGCTCCGTCGGAGACGCCGGCACTGAGTGATGTTAGCTTGTTCCCTCTTGGTAAGTGATATCTTCAGAGGGTACATACGCTTCGATAGACTCGATGACAAGTTGCTTCTGCAGCTGAGTCTCGTGGTCGTCAATTTCCTTGCCGGCCAGCGCGGCCAACACGTACTCTCCTTCTTCGACCTTGCCCTTGGAGATGAGGAAACGGGGAGAGTCGGGCAGGTAATACATCCCGACGATGATGATGGCGCCAAAGACAACCTGGAAGGCAATGGGGAATCTCCAAGCAAGGTCGGGTGGACCGTAGGAAGCACCGAAGTCAATCCAGTAAGCGATCATAGTACCGATGGCAATGGTACCTCCCTCAATACAGATGAGTAGGCCACGGTTGCTAGTGCGCGAGCACTCGGCTTGGTAGGTGGGAATAGTGGAAGTGTTCATGCCATTTCCAATACCGGTGATGACACGGCCGAAGAAGAACTGCAAGAGAGGAATGTGGCCGACAAAAGATGTGACCTGAATAATGACACCGATAATCATAATAGCCGCACCGCCAATAACCATCTTGCGACGACCCAACTTGTCTGCAGTAAATAAGGCGAACATGGCTCCGAAGAGACAGCCCAGCTCGTAGACTGCAGTGATGAGGGCTTGCATTGTGTTGTCGCCCTGCGCAGCTGTGAAGACATCGGTGAAAGCGGTTGATGAGATAATTCCAGACATGACACCTTGGTCATAACCGAAGAGTCTGATCATATTAGACATGACTGGCAAAATGTGGTAGAAGAGGGAGCACATACAGGAAGCCCATCGTCGCAATGGTCGACACTGTCTGCGACAGTGGCCGCCCACTCATGCCAATATAGGAGGGTGCCATGTTTTGTATCAGTCGAGCCGGTGTATGATGACAGTATGTTTACTCGAGGCAGTATACTGGAGAGTTGATGTTCAACCCCGTACGTGGATAAGGGAGAGAATGGAGACACGCGGAGAGAAGAAGAAGAAGAGAGGAGACAAGCCGCGGGGGTAGGAAGGGGATATTTGAATCCCGGGACATTTTACGAAAGTGGCAAAGAGATGCAATCGTGGGGCATAACTTACTTCCCCGTGTCTCTGGTCTCGCACAATGCGTGCAGCCAGCAGCCAGCAGCGAGGAGAGACTAGGACAGAACCAGCACCAAGGACGCCGTCCAGACGGTACGAGTACTCATACACTGGAACACTACGAGTACGGAGCCCAACACGATCCACTTGTCTGAGCCGGTGGCTCCGCTAGGTGGAGCCAAGATCCCGGATGCATCAATTATCTTCGATTAAGCATTTTCCATCACCCCCACCCGGGCTTGTGCGGTTTGCGTCCCTGATGACATCAGGTTTGGTGGAGCGAGTCGAAATTTAAAGTGGACGCAAGAAATGGCTCAGTTGTGATTGGTATTGTCGGTGTTTTCCTGGCCTTGCCTGCTTAGTTGGGCCAAATGAGATTGAGGAGGAGGAAATAATTAAGACATATAAAAACAACATAGTTTCATTATTAATGTTTGAGGCAAGGGGCTCGACTGAGAACCAATAAGCAGAGAAATTGGTTTGAAGCATTTACCAAAATCGGATAATCAAAACAACATTACAGTATTAGTACGCAGTCTACGATCTACCGGGCTGATGGTTTGGATTGTCAATTCGCCTTGCGCCCGAGTCGGCGGATTTTGTTTGTTTTCGAATCCATCAGGCAGGTATGTCGAGGTATGCCATCGTGCAGTGTGGTAGTTACACATACAGTACACAATCTCACTGTACAACATTATTGTATGTATAGCTTTGAGGCCTCACTCTTGCCCTAATCGACCTTGTGCATGCACGATCTCTTGGCCCCGGCACAACGGCCTCGGACTCGGACTACAACTATCGGGATGCCGTCACCGCGTCCCGAATCAAGCGGTACGGTGGATGACGATGCAAGAATGCAGCCGTGTTGGAACTAGCGAGCGGATCAGTGGGGCTAAGGGCGGGGACATGCGTGGAGCTCGGGCTTCTTCACAGACAGAATGTGCATTCCTTGCTCACAAAAATAGTGGCAGGCCAGATCAATTGTACGAGTATTGTTGGAATAAAAAAAATACAAAAAGGGGTGGATGGCAAACACAAAGTACGTGAGTGGCTGGGGTGATTTTTATCTGGATATTTTGATTGCAACTTTATCTTAGTTTTATTCCACATTCTGGATGCTAGTTTTCAGTTTTGGAGGCAGAGCGGAGCTTAGCCTAGTCTGGGCCGTAACCCCGAATGCATTTTGTAGCGTATGGTTAGTGACCTAAATCCCTTTGTCCGTCTCTGTACACTCGTAAACATGATTCCAATTTTCAATTTTCTACATCCTTCGTGGTGGCTTATAGTTTGATATTTGGCTTTTTTTCATCCAGGGTAGACCTGCCCAACTTCAGGGTATCTGGTCGGTACTCTCACCCACAAACTTGAATGTTTTCGCCCTCAAACTAGTTCGAGTAACCGGTTCTAGGATTAGATACTGCCAAGCCGTCAACTAAAGCATCTCGCCCCATGTCATGTCTCAAGACCTGACCATGAAAACTCTGGCCCAACGGGCGACCAGAATCAGACTCCGCCATAATTGAGGTGCCACAACTGGGCCGTGGAATCCTTCGAGAAGCATTTAGGACGATCAGTGAGTGGATGAGGTTACGGAACAGCACGGAGATTGTATGTAATTCTACTCTCCCACGCCCACAACCACATTTAAAACATTGAGTAGACCGACTTACGGACAACGCCCGAGTTAGTCAACGATGAGTACAAGGATGTTTGTTTTGCCGTGGTCTAGTATCGACGAGGAAGGTCGATTGGGTTCTCGGAGTATCGCTCGGACTTTTATTCAGCAGCCATTGCGTGTCATTGTTGACCCTCGGGTAGTCTCATCAGAATGAGGTTTGCCCCATCTTGCGTGCATTCTGGCACGGTCACCCTCCGCTTTCCCCAAACATTGCCTTCTCCATCCCCATCTTCCGAGCTGGAGTGAAGAGGGGAGAGGGGAAGATTCTGTGACGCGATAGTCTAGCCTAAATAAGATCAATATCATCAGTGCCCTGTTTTTGCTAGCGCCACGTCATGCCGAAAGCTGATGAGTAGCGGGTCGCCATTCGCTAGTATGTAGCTGGAAAAGCTACAATACGGCGAGAGTTCTCGGTTCTATTGCTATAGGTTACCAGTTTGTTATGAACTCTCAATACGACGTCGGTTGATAGTTTGGTGATGGTTCGTCTAGCTCGGCTGTGACGTACGTGGATCAGTCGCGTCCGCGGTTCAGCTTCATCCAGTATACATGTATATGATGACCCCGCGTGATTTAAGGCAATCTTCGCATGTGTCGTTGGAAATACTTCAGACTATTCTATCTAATAGAGAAACACCAATACCTGAGCTAGCAGCGTATATAGACCGTACATGAGGATTCAGCAAGGCGGACACGCGGTAGCACTCGGAAGCCCCGGCATCGTCGGATAAGAAATGATAGGGTTGTCTTTTGAGTCCATTGGCTATAGCAGTTGATTTCAAGGCGGTCCCGACTATTCAAACTTGGTATGGGGATATTCCGGGGTGTTTGTTCTGGAATTTCGTTCCCAGGAAAGCCTCGAGTTCAACAAAGCTTAACGCGGGATCGGCGGTGGCGTCGCCAAGCATTCTTTCCCGCGATCGATCTGCTCCCTACCGTGGTAAGTGTTTTGCTACGTTTCTTTTGGGATCATTTGGACTGTCATATTCTACAAAATGAAGCGAATTCCCCCGTGTGCTAGTTGCCAAAATACTCTGGTTGGGGGGATTACAATCGTCGTGGAGTCCCCAGTGCAGCCCCAGAAAAGGGGCTGTTCGTGTCGCGATCGTCGCCCTTCGGGCGTGCATTCTCGCCTCGCTTTACCTTCCCAAGGGATGCCTCTAGGGATACGATTGACCTCGCGTTCGCTTCTAGAATTGCGATGTCTCGCTTGTCCTGCCTTCTTTCAACATTCCTAGAACGCCCTGTCTCCCGCACACGTTAATACTAATTCTAGCTGTACTAGCGAGCCTGTCTACAACCGATTATCGATGATCGGCGGTGGGTGTTGTTGATCACTCTCTCCGAAAACAAACAATAAGCCCGATGTTACTGGATGGCCTATGCCCATCATTTAACCAACCGTCGGTAATCTGTTTATTTTTGTACTGTATTAGAGCATCGTCTCCACTTTGTGTTTTCAATCTACGCGATGCGCTATTTTGACGCTGACTTGGGCGTGATCCATTTGCTAGAATTATACTCAGAATCATTGGAAGAAAATTTACGCAATATGTGTTTTCTTCCGAGTTTGAACATCACTCATATTAATACTAGATGGTACCTCACCTACTGAATGGAGCTGAGTAAATTCGCGGCCATTATTTAGAATAGTAACCCTTGAGTATCCTCCTTATGATATAGATAGAATAGATGAAGCACCTCCAATGTGGTGTTGATATTACCACGGGCTCAATTTGTATACATCTCGGGCGACAAATATCGAATATCTATAACCACAAATTGAATGTACACCCGCGCGAGAAGTATGAAGCTCTTCGTTCACTCTTGGGGCAAGGAGAACGGCAATTGTTCCAATCAATGAAAGTTAGCAGGCAGTTTCCAAGTGCCCAGTTAAAACATCCTTCTCATAGTTGTATACAGAAAGTCCTTTATGCCCGCCTTCATTTAGAACAAGTGCCAGCCCAACCTCCTCCTTTGCTGCCGTAAACATATCCCGGTCGTCGGCGGCCATAACACTGCCGAAAACCAAATCCATTTCCTCAAGCGTTTTATTCTTGGTCTCAGGAACGAAAAACTAAATAAAAAGCGCACCAATTAGTAGCCAAATGGCGAAGAACAGATACATCCCCCAGCCTATCCCCTCAATCATTGGTGGGACAATAAGAGCAATAATAAAATTGTTCATCCAGTTAGAAGAGGCACCAATCGAAGTTCCTTTGGCACGAATTGAAAGGGGAGATATCTCTAATTTGGAGAAATCAGGTTAGCGTCCGTCCCAGCAAAAGAAATAGTATATTCAAATAGTATGAGGGCGCTGCGCTAATTGCATACCGGCGATTAAAACCCAGCTGGCAGGGCCCCATGAGTAACCGAAGTTGGCAATATATATCCAGATAAAGGCCACTGCAGCCCATCCAGCAGCAGCACGTTGTTCCCAGTCATGCTGACACTTGGCAACAATGACGGCAACAATGATCATGGAGCAGAACATGCCAAAAGATCCAGTCAGCAGGATCGGCTTCCGTCCAACCTTATCTATTATCATAATGGCAGGTATCGTCGCCAGGACGTTGATTATGCCGACGACCCCTGTAGCAAGAAGAGAAACAGTACCAGAAGTCAATCCAAGGCTTTGAAATATTGATGACGCGTAGTAGATGATGGAGTCAACTCCACTCCATTGCTGGAAGAACATGATGAGGCCGGCAATTGCCACACGCTTAAAGTTGTCTTTGGTGCGGAAGTTCCTAGTATATTGCGCAAGCTCGTGTCGCCACACGCTTTGACCGGACTCTGCAAGGTTAGAAAACTTTCTCGCGAATACTCGCTGTTCGAAAAGCACTTCCGACTTGATTTCCAAGAACTCGCAACGAAGAATTATTTCATCCTCTGGGAGACCACGTAGCGAGGTAAGTGTTTTCAGCGCCTCCTCTTCGCGGCCTTTCCTAACCAACATCCGAGGAGAGAGAGGGGGGAAGAAAGGAGCACCCAGGACTAGGATTATGGCAGGGATTCCCTGAATAATCGAGGGGGTACGCCACGCCCAGTCAGACTGATTACCTCCAGTGCCACCAATGTAGTTTGTTCCATAGCCAATCCAGTAAGCGATCATGATGCCGATGGTAGTTGATAGCTGCTGCAGGGCGACCAATAGTCCCCGCATCTCAGGAGGAGCAAGTTCTGCATTGTAAAGCGGCCTACGGGAATTAGCGATGAGTTCGAAAGAAAACGCTTGAATTGTGGGAAAGGTTGTTTTTGATACATACCCAACCGCACTCAGTGTACCAGCGCCAATGCCAGTAATAAAGCGCCCGGCAAAGAGGTAAGAGCCGTTACGTTCACTAGCAGAGAGGAAGGATCCAAAAACTACCCAAAGAGCTCCGCTTCCGAAGACAAGGCCCCAATCCAACCTCTCAGTTGCAAAATAGAGGTCAGCCATCCTGTCGCTCCTGAAGAACCGACGATATCTGGAAATTGTGCCTTGAAGCTATTCATCACTAAGGCTTGCGAAATGACGCCTTGCTGATATCCATATTCAAACCCCCCAAAGCTAGAGATTGTCAATAATCTCTCCAATGAATACTCGCACTTCAACAGAGCTTACGAAGCAAACAAGGCGATCAAAAACACTTTTTTGTTTCTGAACAGGCCTGAAATACCGGTCGTCTTGGCCCTTTGCAATCGCAGTTCAGCAACCGTGGGCTCCCCGGCGGGTGCATTGGAAGTGTTGTGTACATGCATCGTAAAGGTTGCACTGGGTACTTCGAATCAAATCCCGGATGTGACAGCTCTCCACCTGGGCAGTAATATTATCAAAAGTACCTTAGATGGATGACGAACCTCAAGTTGAAGCTCACGATAAGCCTGAAAGGAGATCGATAAAACCTCGGGCTTGGAATATCAGCTTGAGCCTTGGCGAATACTGCCCAGGTCGCCATCCCTACATATTTAAATACTATTTAATACCTCACATACAGTAGTACTACGGTATTAAGGGCTTAGATTAGTATTCATAGAGTATTTGCCTACTAACGGGTGCCTAGTAGGTGATAAAATAAGCAAGGCAGGAACGCGTAGATACATATATATTACCACCACCACCACTATATTTTCCTCCTTCTTCAAGTCCTTGTTTACCCTTGGCCTTTTGTCCTACAATATGCTGTAATAGAAATGAATAACCTCACTAACCTACAGCACTAACCTACAGTCTTTCACTATTGCAATTGCAACGCGTTTTGGCCTTGGCCCTTTGGCACCGCAACGCGTTGTGGCCCTGGTGTTTTGGCCCTAGTGTTTTGGTCCAGTAGTAGTAAGTAGTACAAGTAGCTGAGTAGTACTATATTATTAATACTTCTACACCTACAGAATACCCTAAATACCTACTAAGTAGGCAAATAACGTATTTGAAAAAATGCTTGGAAAAACTCCGCATGTTAGTGAATACCGCATTTATAGCGTATGTATAAGGTATTGAAATATGCCCTGGGGGCGGGATGGTGCTAGTAGTACCAAATTGAGCCTTCGAACGTATTGCGATCTGCATATATATATATTTACAAACCACCTGGGCAAGGAACAATCTACCAGTACTAGGTATGTAGTAGGTATTTAACATACCTTGGAAAGAACTTGAAAGACTATCAAATGCCGGGATAAAGGAGGCTTAGGCATCGTTGGCCAACCGCTCTCCGCTCGCGCCCAGACTCGGACTTACCAGCCCCGCGTTTTCACTTGTCCTCTTGCAATGGCCCAGAGCGGGGAGTTTCGAACGGGGAGTTTCGGCTTTTGAATGAGGCCGTACGGCTCAGGTGCCCGTAGGCGGGAATCCACCAGCAGGTCTAATTCCAGATGGCATGTTAATACCGAGGCGAAGCTCGAATCCCGAAATGAAAATGAGATAAAGAAACATTAATGACTATGACATCTTCGTCTGGTACTTGGTAGAGCAGTTCCAAAATTGGAGAATGTTTCAATCTCGCTATCCCGTAAAAGCATATTGTACAGCACAAGGCCACGTGTCGCGAACTCATTCCATCTGCCCAGTTCTTCTGTTAGCAATAGTAAATGTTTGTGGAGGAAGGTAGTTATGCTGGGAAGAAAGAGTAAAGATGCGGCTTATTTTCTAGGTAGATACATGCACATTTGCTTCAGAATGGGGAAGCATGAGAGAATGGATCGAATAATGGATAGGATAAAATATCATTTATTCTGCATAGCGTCTGATACAGATTGCTAATGTGTTTGGTTTTGCTGAAGAGCGATCTTAGGTGGCAAGTATTTTATCTCTTGCCTATATACAAAACTAAGATCATCGCGCAGAATATGAACGTATGCGGGAAAACGATATGGATAGAATATCATAAGACTGGGTCTATTCTAACGCAGATCATTGCTTTGTCCAACTTGTCCTATCAGACCCGCCTTCATTATCATACCGAAGAGATCAAGATCTTTCTTGGCATCTTCAGCGGTTGTTTTTGCTGGCTTACCATCGACAACGAATGAATAGAGCTCCTTCATCTCTAGGGTGTAGGCGTCCTCATAAGTCTTCCGAACCAACGACTCCCGGAAAGATCCATCCGCCAACCTTTCGCGGATGTGCATAGTAGTAGGTAGCTCTTGACATAAGGAAAGTCAAAGCAAACCTTTACGGTTTTATGATCCCCAAAAACCTCAATTGAGGTTCAATATATTTCCAAGGACCTCGGGATCGGCAGCTTACTTAGGTATGTATTTGCATCTAATAGAGAGCAAAAATGGAAGCCCCGTTATCTACCTTTCCCAACCTCTCTGCGATTTCACGAACGAACCTTAGAGCCAGTTCCAGAATGCCTATCCTGGATCTTTAGATATTTAGACACTAACATATCTTTGACCCTTCTTGCACTATCCGTACTCCCTGATAGAGATGCCCCTGTCGACCTTCAAAACCAGAAACGTAGAATAACCTGGGTGCCAGCTCCAGCTGATCATCTTGACCAGGCTGGCGTCTGCTTTCTTCCACTGCAGGTAAAGCGTATGGCCAAAATTTCCGATCAACCCATCGAATCCAAGGCTCGTCAACACATTCGTTCTTACCCATCCAGCGGGCCCGTGGCTCCGTCGGGTAATCAAATGCAGGGTCCGGATCGTCATTTTCTGAGTATCCATTGTTCAACTTGTAGCAGCTTTGATCGGGGAAAGTGACACTCTCTCGGGCCTTGCCACATTTTTTTACCAAGGCGGCAATTTCATCATCCGAGAATGGGTCTTTTGAAACGACACGGTAAAGATTCTCGTAGTCCGATACACAGCCCGAACCTATGTCGCTAAAAAGCCTTGTGATCGAGATGAATGGCGGGGTTGAACATGGGTTTCCAGGCTGAACTGGTCCATCACTCTGCACATTCCAAATAAGATTCGGCCCCTCATCATAATCAAACGACATGTTGAACGCCGCATGAGCCAGTGGTCGCTTCGTTAGGAAATTCGTAACGTGAAGAGGCGTGTAGCTTATATTATCCGGGATGATTGGCAGCGATTGCTCGAACTGGAGGGAAGCTTGCCAGAAGGGGGCAGCAATTATGACAGAGTCAAATGTTCCGTTATGATTTTCTGTCAAACCATGAGAAAACTGGAAAGTCCAGTAGATATCCCAAGTCGAATCAGGCCGTTGAGCCAATTTGGTCACAGTGGATTGTAGATTGAGAGAAAAGTTGGCTCGCCGGCCTAGTTGCTTGACCACGTCATCTAATAGAACTCCAATTCCAGTGTCGAGGATAGATTGGGGATTTGAGCTAATGAAATAACGTCCTGCGAATTCGGACAATGACTTCTTGTCAGGGCCGGGTCGCGCCCGTATGAATATCGATTTTACTAACAATTGGAAAGTTGTCCAATCGTCATATTCCCCCCCACTCCTGTCCTGTCTTCGAATTCCGGACACTCGTCAATAAAGGTTCGATATATTCGCCATTGATTGACTGTTTCAAGGAGTTGAAGACATTTCGCCAGTATTTTGGGGATAAGGCATGCATTTGCAGAGTCCTTGCCACATTTTCCAATGTTAGAGGCGCTCGATCAGTCGGATTTAGTTTCAAAGTCTGGCCATCCCAGGTACTAGCTCGTTCAGGGAGTCTTGTGCCGAATAATTGGCTCCAAACAAAAACGTTACGGTCGATGCTATCCTGGGAAGAGGTCCTGCGAACCATGTCGCCGATCGCTTCATCGTCCGAATCAAACATATACGCTCCGCTATCGGTAGGTGATATTATCGTCCAGGAATTATCCCGGGCGTCGTATCGATAGTTTTTTCCAATTCTTCCTCCAATCTGTGGCTCTTTCTCAAAAATCGTAGCTTCTATTGATGTGAGTCCAGGGTCGTTACTTTCAAGGAGGTCCGCTAGGTAAATTCCGGCAATTCCAGCACCTGTGGGAACTTGAATGTTAGAAACGATGTACCACTGAGTACGAGATGTGAATGAAATTTGCTTTCTTTATTGATAGCACAATTAGTTTCAAATTCGTGGAGATACTCTTACCGATAATAGCGACTTTCGTTTTGTTGGCTTCAACTGCCTGGATCTCGAGGGATTGTCTGTATGGATCAGGTTGGTGGGTCGCAAGTGAAATTGAAATTGAACCTGGTTGATTTTGTCCCTGAGATGGGCGACTCGCATGAAGTTGAGAATTGAGTGATGATATCGGGACGACAAGGGAGCATGATACATGGCACGACTAGAAGGCCGTAGGACGGGCCTTGAGAACAAGATGACTTCTTACGGTGAAGACCCATTTTATCGAATCCAAGTACCACTTGGGTACTTATGATCTGTGGCAGTGTAGCTGTGCAAGAGGAACATGCCTGATCATAAAGTATTCAAGTTTTGCACCTTAAAGGATTGGCCCCCATCTGAGTATCACAACACGGTGGCCCCAAACACCTTGGCAAATGAAGAATTCAAGGCTCGCTGGCCTTCCATTGGCCGCTAGTTGTGAGTCATTTAGATATTGGTGAGCAGGACGGATTATATTTAGATCAAAATAATTCAGAATATGAGCTCTTCATGGCAGGTAGAAGGTTGTATGAACATTGGACGCACTTTACAGGCTAGGATTTCTCGCTGATGGATTAATGAGATTGAATGCAAACAGCATGGCATGTATTCGGTATGAAGAAGCCAGATGGGGGTAGAATAATAAGGCTAGCATAGCAAAATCAGCGTCATGTGGTAAATGAATTCTTCAAAACCTAAATGTAGACGGTCATGCTAAGTGTCCAAGGTTCCATTATGCTATTCAATTGATCCTAACATCCATACTATGCAAATCGGATAGATATAGTTTTCTGCATGTATTCAAGTGTGTTTTCAAATCTCTAGCCATACTCCAACGATAAATAACTCCAAGTTGAAAAACCCAACCCTCAAGTCAACCAATTACCCTCCTCATCCTCCCACCCAAGATCAACCACACTCCAACCCATAAAGGTCCTCCCCTTACCAGGCGTAACCTTCCAACCAAAATCAAAAAATGCCTCATCAGTAACCCGCTGCCGTCCAGCCTTCTCGTGAAAAGAATTCAATTCTTTCATTTCGTCTTCCGTGAGCTCTGCAAGCTGTCTATTCTGCGCAAGCCGTGTTGGAGAGCTCGAGTGCGGAACCACGATAACTCCGCGCTGAACAAGCCACGAGAGGATAACTGTTCCGGCCGATACGTCATACTTCGAGGATAGTGCTTTGAAAAGAGGATCGTCGTAGATAGTCGTTGTATTTGTGTATTGACTTGATATTCCACCAGCAAGGGGTCTAGATAAGTAAGTAGCTAATTGTTAGCACCGATCAAATGTTCAAGTTTCCGACAAATTAAACATAAATCCAAACTCCAACTCACCCCCAAGCAATAGGTCGAATCCCATTCTCCAAACAATAAGGAACAAGCTTCAAATTAGGATTCCTCGGCTGAATCTCAATCTCATTAACAACCGGCACAACATAAACACCCGGATCATTCAAAAGCGGCTCCAAAGTCCGAATCGTAAAATTCCCCACCCCAATACCCCGACACTCCGGCCCAACCAGTTCCTGCATCTTCTTGTAAACTTCAATATAAGTTGGACTCTCCCCGGGATCCAGCGGCCGCGAGGGATCATTCTTATCAAACCCCTGTGGCCAGTGCATGATGTATATATCGATATACGTGCCCAGTAGCGCGCGAGATCTTTCGAATGCCCCCCGCACGTCGTGAGTGTCTGAAGGAGCTAATTTGGTAATTATGGTGAATTCTTCGCGGGGGATGGATGTTTCGCGCAAGGCGAGACCGACTAGGTCTTCTGTTTGGTAGAGTCTTGATGTGTCGATTGTGCGGTATCCGGCGTTTATGGCTTGGGTTATTAGGCTTTTTACGTGGTTTCTTTCGGAGGGTGGAAATGTGCCGCCGCCTTCTTGAATTGGTGGCTTTGTGTTAGTTGTGGAGTGCAGTGGAGGGGGTTGAGTTGATATTGAGGATTTGTGCTTGGTTTAGTTGGCTAAGGCTTACTTTTCATGGCACCGAAGCCGAGGGCTGGTACCTTTTGGCCTGCGGGGGGGATTGTAGTGAGTTAAGAGTATTTATGAGATATTCAAGACGAGTGGTAGAGTGATACCATTGTTCAATTCGAAAATGGTGGCTCCTTGCGGGGTAGCATTAGATGAAGCCATATTGGGAGTTCTTCCTAAGTGCTTGAAAGAGTTGCAAACGGGATGGGAAAATCCTTCGCCCTGAGTGATGTACTTAGAAAACCTAACGACAGCAGGATGTCGATCGCTTTAATAACTGCATTATAGTACGAGGATTATTCAGCCAGCAGGGGTAGGTGGGGGTCTCACATCAGCATTCTATCGCAAGGCTAGCTCAACCTGATTCTCGCGTGGATTAAGCTCCGAGGGCCGAGTGGAGGACCGAGTAGCTAATCCATTTAGAGGTAGCTTTGCGGTGAGTTGATATTTGATGTGGAAGTGTAGTAGTAGGATTACTTGTAATAGCTCGAATTGTTCTACACTGGATGGTATGGATCTATGATCAATACTACTCTTAGAACCTGTCTTATTTGTATGATTTATTGATATTTGTCAGCTTAAAAGGGTTTATATTTGTCAGGATTGTGTTCCCTTTGCGCTGTGTATCTTTGGGGTTCCTGAGCATAGGTGGTAGATCTATTGGATATTGTGCAAATCAGGACACGATCGGTCGGTAGTTCGGATGTTTGAGTATGAAAAATGCGCCTTGATTTTAAAATTCATCTTGGATATAAGCTAAGAACGTGGTATATTTCATACTTCAGAACATGATTTGGTATACACATCGACCGATGGACCACCACCAGTACGATTGATTAGGTGGCAACAACTTTGATCGGGCCACCAATCTGGAATATTTACAATTAATCAGCCCAATAGGACAAAATCGACAGAGAAGTGAAGACACCAGGCGCAGGTGCAGGCAGACGGAAATGTACAGAAGGCAAGACAACGCTGAAAGACAGAATGCAAGCAGTGATCAACTCCACCCACGGTGTTCACAATTCAACCACCTGCGGCGCATTCGCCAATTTTCCACTCGACCTATACATACATGCCGCATTCACCATCCACCCACCGTGTTGACTCTCCCCACCCCAAACCTGCGCCCAAACCACGCCCAGGACGCCATAAATCAGCACTCGCGCCGCATCGAGCCAGCTGGCCGGGTCGAATAGGTCGCGCAGGAATCCCATCAACGAGAGAATACGCCCGTACTTTGCTCTCGGTCGGCGTGAGGCGCAGAGTCGTTCCCAGGCGCGCTGGGCTTCGTCCCAGAAAACGGGTTCGCGGCCGGCGGAGTTGTGGATGTGGCCGAAAACGTGGAGGGCGGGTTTGATACGCCATGTTTCGGCGAGTAGGTTTGGGCAGCCTGTTGAGTAGATTGGGGACATGTCGAGGTGGGCTTGTGGTGGGGTGTGTGTGACTAGAATATCTGTGTCTGTGGGAATGGTGCGTGTCCAGGCGTCGTGGTGGGGTGGGTAGGTAAAGGCGTGTTCGGGACCGAAGGGCATAAGTGCGGGGATTTGAGGAGCGCCGTAGATTGTGAGTGAGCGGGAGTGGTCGCTGGTCAGAGGTGTAGTGGCGGTTGGAGGAGAGGAGGGTGCGAAGTCGAGTGTCACAGAGGAGTGTTGGAGGTAGTGGATGTCACCCCAGTCGATGCGCGAGGCTGTTAGCTCGTCCAAGGATCGGATGGAAGCTGTGGAGGAGACTGCGGCAAAGGAGGCGGAGGCGCTGGTATCTTCGCGATCTTCTTCAAGTCGCGATCGCACGTCAAAGTAGCTATCGTGATTGCCGCCAATGACGACCTTGTGTGGGTGTGGCAGACTGCGTAGCCAGTCGACGGCAGCTTGAATCTCGCGGACGGAGCCATCATTGGCGAGATCGCCAGCATGTATCAGAAGGTCACCATCTGGGACATCGGGCCACTGAAGAGTATGTGTATCGGAGAGACAGACGACGCGGATTGGAGGCTGTGATGGTGGGAGTCGGGGAGAGCCGCGGAGACGGAGGAGGAGCTGGTGGAAAGGGTAGAGCAGGGCGACAAGGGGGGAGGAAATGAAGTAGTCTGGGATCGAGCGATGGTGATATGGGTTTGACATGGTGTGAGTGCCCAGGAGGGGGCAGTTGGAGTGGCCTTGGGAGAGGTGAAGAGGAGAAGTGGAAAAGAAGAAGAAGCGGAGGAGGAGAAGTGCGGAGAGAAATGGATGACATCAGCAGGGGTCAGCAATGGTTATTGCTGCAGGAAAAATGCAATTAATTCGAGGAAAATAGGGAGAAATTATAAAATGGAAGAAGGGGGGTGTATATAATATAGTTAATCTAAAATAATGGAAAAAAGACATGGTGGTGGGAAATATACTGGTGGCTTCAATTGGCAGTACTAGAAGAGGGGATCTTGTAGAGCGGAGTGGATATAAAACTTGGTGGTATTAAATCAAATAAATTAGAGATAAATATGAGAAAATATAATTTACATTCTAGACATCTGTGAAAATATTTCTAGAGAAAATTAAGGAGGATAAGCTAGGCTATGAAGAGATAGTATGATACTAGTACTAGAGTCTATGTGACAAAGTGCTTGGAGAGTGGAGTGGATATAGAACTGGATGAGATTAAATCAAATAAAATAGATAGAAATAGAGAAAAATGTTACTTTGAACCAGTATGTTTATAAATATGTATACCAGAAATTAAATAGATTAAGCAACAGTGTGTAAAGATAGCCTAGTACTATAAGTGCAGTAGTGTATACAATCCAGCTATAGTAGTGATAGGGATTCAATCATACAGAATAGAATATACTCTACTAATACCAATTAAAAAGATCAGATCTTTATTAAATACTATTTACCTAGGTACTTTACTACTAATCCTCTGCTATCAATAGTTTACAATAATACTACTGTATACACTACTAGCACTGCTGTTGTGCTGTCTACTGCTATTCCCGCTCCCTCCCACTTCTTCCCTCCGCATCTCCCCTCAACCTCACCTCACCTCAACTTACGGACTCGATTCCCTTGTCGCATCCTTGGCCTAGATTGCTCTTTGACTCCTTTTTCTTACTCATTGCCATACTCTGCAGTTCTTTGATGCGCCACATCCCCCAACATTCCAGGTATACTACTGCACTCAGGCCCACTTGTCGCCCGATGCGACATTTGCCACATCCGTCCCAGCTGTACTCAGCTCTGCTGCTTGCGGAATCCGATCGTTGTCTCGATTCTTCTATCTTGATATTCTCCTGATCGACGATCTCGACTTTGATCTTGATCTTCATCGTGTGGGAATCTACCCACGCTAGACTCATTTCGCTGGAGTCAACTCTTTACCTTGCTGGAGTCAACTCGCCACTCACCACTCACCACCCACCAACTCCCCAGCCACTTACCACACTCACTCAACACGGGCCCGCAACTTCATTGCCCCGCCTCACCTTCACTCCACAAACATGGAGGGCGTTGATCTCACCAAAGTCTTAAACAAGGGAAAACAGATGGCCAGTGTCGCCGCATCCGCTGCCAATGGCAATGGCACCGGGAAAAAGGAGAAAGGGTGACTTGAAGCCCATCGTCACCAGTGATGCGACCCCCAGCGCGACGGAATCGTATGTACTATTTTTCTTTCGGCTTTCCCAGCTACGAAGCTATCAGCTTCCACTGTGACCCTTGCTCTACCCTGCTCGACCCTGCATTCTCTCCCACCTCTATCATCCTCATCCTCATCTACCTCCCCTCAACATCTCCCATCTCCCACTAATGCCTTTTTCCAGTACCGGCGCGGCCTCCACTGCCTCCGCCTCCAAATCCTCCGCCCCCGCCTCACGATCGCCCTCCGCTTCCTCTGGCGATGAGCTCGAAACTACAGCCGAAGAGGAAGACTCCGAAGACTACTGCAAGGGTGGCTACCACCCTGTGGCTGTCGGCGAAACCTACAACAATGGTCGCTACGTCGTCGTGCGCAAACTCGGCTGGGGCCATTTCTCCACGGTGTGGCTATCGCGCGATACCACCACCGGCAAACACGTCGCGCTCAAAGTCGTCCGCTCAGCCGCCCACTACACCGAAACCGCCATCGATGAAATCAAACTGTTGAATCGCATCGTCCAAGCCAAGCCCTCCCATCCCGGTCGCAAACATGTCGTCAGTCTCCTTGACTCCTTCGAACACAAGGGCCCCAACGGGGTCCACGTCTGCATGGTTTTCGAGGTCCTCGGAGAGAACCTGTTGGGTCTGATTAAGCGTTGGAACCACCGCGGGATCCCCATGGCCCTCGTCAAGCAGATCACCAAGCAGGTGATGCTTGGTCTGGATTACCTTCATCGCGAGTGCGGTATCATTCACACCGACCTGAAGCCCGAAAACGTTCTCATTGAGATCGGCGATGTCGAGAAGATTGTCCAGGCGCATGTTCAACAGGAGCAGGCGAAGAAGGATAAAGAGGACAATCGCAATGGTCGCCGACGGAGGCGTACCCTCATTACTGGCAGCCAGCCGTTGCCCAGTCCGTTGAACAGCAGCTTTAGCGGTTTCGACTTTAAGCATAGTTCCTCCAATTCACACAGCAGTCTCAGTCAGATGGTTAACGAAGCAGGTGAGTGTTCTCGAGATGATGAATCGATGCTTGGGGTCCGTGTATACTAACTTGACAGCATCGGGAGACCCTCCATCGATGAAGGAATCGCTTGGCATCACAGAACAAGATGAACAGCAAAGCCAGCGCGAAAAGACCGCGTAAGTTACACCCATCCTCCCATTCGCTCCATGAACTGCGCTAATCAATCACAGCGATCTCCTGGAGAGAGAGGTGTCTGGTATCTCGCTCAACAAAACCTCCCAACCCGAAGACGAAATCGATCTGAATATAATCTCCGTTAAGATTGCCGATCTGGGCAACGCCTGCTGGGTTGGCCACCACTTCACCAATGACATTCAAACGCGACAATATCGTTCCCCCGAAGTTATATTAGGTGCAAAGTGGGGTGCCAGTACTGACGTATGGAGTATGGCCTGCATGGTGAGTGTCAACAGAAACCTACATCCACGCTTGTGCTGGTGCACTCCGGATTATTTTGCCCACCTCAGTACTAACAACTATCATCAGGTCTTCGAACTCATCACGGGAGATTACCTCTTCGACCCACAGTCCGGCACAAAATACGGCAAAGACGACGACCACATCGCCCAGATCATCGAACTCCTCGGCCCCTTCTCCAAATCCCAATGTCTATCTGGGAAATGGTCGCAAGAGATCTTCAATCGCAAGGGTGAACTGCGTAACATCCACCGCCTACGCCACTGGGCTTTGCCCGAGGTCCTCCGCGAAAAGTATCACTACACCGTCGAGCAAAGTATGCGTATTAGCGAATTCCTTCTTCCGATGTTGGATCTCCTTCCCGAGAAGCGCGCTAATGCTGGTGGTATGGCGTCGCATGAATGGATAAGTGATGCGATTGCTATGGAGGATATTGGGTTGGGGATCACCCCCGGAACCCGCGGTGAAGGAATTGATGGATGGGCCCAGGAATTTAAGAGGCGATGAGAGGGTTGGATTCGGATAGGAAGAAGGGGATAGCGTCGTCTTGTGCTGAGTTGAGTTGAGCGGAGTGGTGGTTGCGTGCGGTTGCGTGCGGTTGCCATTGCGATCTATGACAGTCCAGTCCAGTCCAGCGTCTCTGCTTGAGGTTGATTTTCTTTCTTTCTTTTCTCTTTCTCTTGACTCTTTTCCGATTTGGATTTCTTCAGCTATGACCATGATGTTGTGAGTCTAACGATCTTTTTTACCTTTCTCCATCTTCTCTTCCTCTTTCTCTTCCTCTTTATATTCCTCTTTCCTTATCTTCTTTCTTCTTTACGGGATTCAGTCTGGTCGGGCCATGTCTTTGATTTGATTTTGTTGGATTTTTCATTCTTCTTCTCTTCCCCTAGTTTTTGTTCCGGTTGGGTGTTTTCCGTTCTCCTCTTCTCTTTTCCATGCGCCTCCCCGTATCCCACCCCCACCACATCCCATGCCCTCCCTCGCTCGCCTAGCCCGCGTTTCCTGGCTTCTTATAGATTCTCTTCTGCTAGCACTGATATCTTTGGATTCAAGTTATATGGCGAGAATGAGCAATGCGCTTTTGTCGCTTGTGATCAACGTACACGATTTGAACTGTCTGCATTGTATTGTATCGTATTGCACTGCATTGTAGATTCGTATTCATGTTCATGTTGAGTTCATTCAGCTTCGCTAGGTAACTCGGCTGGAAACCAGCCTACCGTCGAAAAATCAATGTAGAATTCCCCCATGCTATCGCCCTTTACTTCGACGCCTTCGGAGCGGAGGACTTCTGCTTGTCGTTGGGCGCTGCCGGGTCCACTGATGTAAATGCGGGATTGGTTAGTTGTGGGCATTGCTTTGGGGATATTATGTAGAGAAAGGGGTATATTGACATATTGAAGTGTATCGCGAAGGAAACATAGCAAGAAGCACAGCGCAGAGAAAGACAATGTTTGGTTTGGGTTTGTTTTATGCCCGACGGGACTCACGGACTCACCGATGAGAAATCATTCCCTTGGAATTAACAACCCGTTGCCACGGCACGGTGTCATTCGTATAATGATGTCCGGAGTCAGCGTCGGGTAGTGATTTGAGACATACGCCGACTTGGCGGGGTCTTTGGGCTGGATTGGATGGATTGTTAGTCTTGGCTTGATGTCGATTCTGACCTATCCTGCCTTCGTGTTTCTAGGCCACGCCCGGGGTTTCATCACCTGGATGCCCAGGTGGCCAACTGGCCAAATAGAAAGAAGATTGGGAGGCAACCGAGGAATATCAGGTCTAGAGACGTACGTTCTCCTAGAAGAAGGGCAATATGTCCGTATGAGGTCACTTTTCCGTGGGGGATTTCTTGGATGGCGGAGTAGACTGCGTTGGCCCATTGTTCTGCTTCTTCTGAGCGGGGCATTTTGATTCAACTTGGGAGGCTGAGGCGTTGGATTTGGATTTGGTGGTCTTGACTCTTGACTGTTGTATTTCAAAGCGTAGCTCGAGGAGGTCCAAGGAATGCCAGTCAGCGTGGTGATTGGTCGAGAGCTGGAACTTTTGTTCTTCCGGTTTTTGGGTATGGTAACATTTGTGTTTTGAGATATGCATTGGTAGCGTGGGTATTGTATAGATGACCCTACCAGCATTTGTCTTTCTTTTCATTCGAACCAATGCATTATACGATATTTCTCACAACCGTTTCATCTTTTTTGGTCTCCTTTATACTGCCCGTCCATGTACTAGAAAACATTCTTCTTGTCTCTTTGACCCGGGTCATAGTTAGCATTTATACCATCTTGAGGTCCCCCGGCGGTGGCACAATTATAAGAGCTACTCATACTAACTATTCTCTATCCCAGATATTTAAGATCGCCCTGATATCTCAATCGTTTCCAATTGCTATCTGCCTCCTGTCCATGCCCCCCATGTACTGAAATGCAATGTCACCGCTGAAGTGCCTGCAATAAGTAGCATGCCCATGTGCAACTAGGCTATCTTGCTCCTGCTGTGATCCATCTCCATTGTTCTTCTCATTCCGAGCGATGTTCAGTGAGATCTCTTGCCCTAGATAATTTCCAATTTCTTCGTCCAATTCACCAGGGCATCCTTTGAGATGATTACTTTCGTCAATGTCCTGTAGTTTGCATTCTAGAAGTTCAGCATCTTTGATTCGCTCTTGACTTCGGTAGGTCGATGCCAAACCCGCAATGCTGAACTGAGTGAGGGGGTGGTCTGGCCCAAGGTTTCGCGTACGAGTTTGCATGACAAAAGATCCCAATTCTTCAGCTTCGGTTAGTCGACCCTTTTGGCGGTATATTGTTGCAAGGTTCCCAATACAGGTCATGTTGGGGTAGGTCTGGTTCAGAGTCCATTCATGAGCAGAAATCAATTGCAAGGATAAGTTTTCGGATTCCATCAATCTCCCCTGGCTATGGTAGGTGAATGCCAAATTGAAGATACTGATAAGAGTATCAGGATGTTCTAAGCCATGCACATGCCTCCGACCGTGCATAGCCTGATATCCCAAATCTGCTGCTTCTTCCAATCCGCCCAGGTGATGGTATAACATTGCCAAGTTCATCATGCTTGTCAATGTATTAGGGTGAAATGATCCAAGCACATCCATATTCATCCTCATGACTTGCTGCCATAAGTCCCCGGCTATCTCGAGCCGGCCTTGATACCAGTATGCCGAAGCCAGGTTGTGCATGCTGGCAAGGGTAGCAGGATGGTATATACCCAATAATTGCTTATATGATGCTACTACCTCCAATCCCAAAATTTCGGCCTGCTTGTAGCGTGCCTGGATGCAGTGTGTGAAGGCAAGGCTAGCCATACTCATAACAGTGTCAGGGTGTTGCGGCCCGACGGTCTGAATCCGTGTGTACAGTACCTGCATCTGTAGCTTTTCGCATTCTTGCCAACGTACTTGATGCAAGTATATTGATGACAGGTTGTGTTGACTTGTCAGAGTGGCAGAATGATGAAGACCTAGCAACTTGGTTCGAATCTCTGCTACCGTCAATGCGAGAGCTTCAGCTTCCTTCCACTGGCAGTTTAGCATTTGCGCAAGGCATAATACTTCAGCACTGTCAAGTGTTGACTCATGGTTAGAACTGAATGTTCCCTTTCGCGCCTTATATGCCAGTTTGGCCATTCTTATACTTCCACGAATGAAACCCCTCAGTCTCGCGTATGATGAAGCATTCTGGCATAAAGAACACCACTTTTGCAGATATTCCCCATCATTAGGTCTATGTGCAACTGCACACTCTACATGAGGAAATAGCGATTGACATTTTGGCCAGTTATTCACGTCGCCTAGTGCTGGCTCCGACGGGAAGCAACAGTAAAGCGTATCGATGAAAACATTTTTCCACCTTTCAAGTTGTCCCTGACTCTTGAGCCACTCACACATGGCTAGCTGAACGAGACCATGCATTTCGAAATTTCTGCCGTCGATACTGACAGTAATCAAAGAGTAATTTCTCAAAATCAGTATGTCGTCTTCGAATGTTTCGACTGAACTGGACTCGCTGGCACACTCTTCGTCACTTTCACTGGCAACTGGCGTCGCATCACTTCCCGCCGACTGTGCTCTGCTGAGGATCAAAGTATCAGGAATTCCTTGACGATCAAAAAGCTCATCAGAGCAAGGATATCTGCCGCAGACGGATGTACCTCCCGTATCTGGTCGAACGAGCTCTGCCAGGTGAAGAATATTGCATTTGATGCTTTCTTATCTCGACGGAGATGTCCTCCCTCGTGGCTCAGCAGACTGATTTTTTTGCGATCGCTCTTTCGAAAAACCTCAAGATATTGTGCGACTGTGACCCGCGGTGCTCTCTGCTTGATGTAAGATGCCGCTTGGACTATTGCAAGAGGCATGAATTCCAGCGCCGTCGTCAGTTCAGTCATTTCTTTTCACGTTTCTCTATCTCCGGTCCAAGCTTTTTCTTCAGCAGTGCTGTTGCACTGGCCGCATCCATTGGCTCAACCACGAAAATATCAGCCTCTTCAACTAAGCGCAATGCAACTCGTTTGCTTCGGCTCGTGATAAGAATTGACCCGGGTAATGTATGACGAAAGAAGTCCCAAATTGGAGACTTCACTGTGCCACTCGAATCACTTTTTCGCTCTCTCTTCTCTGGCGGTGACATCCGATGAAGGAAATCGTCATCATCCAAACTGTCGAGTACTAGAACCCATGGTGTGCCGGAATATTGAAGCCACCTTCGGAAGAGTTCGAATATATTTGCGTTGGTGGTTTGGCGACTAGGGATATCTAGCCGGTCAACGATTTCACGACAACTTTGTTGGAAACGGACGGCACTACTTGAGTGAACCCAAAGGATCCACGTTTCCGGTGACCGGTCTCGTATACGATATGTGTATTCAATAGCAAGTTGGGATTTCCTTTCATTTGTTAGACATTTAATACTGCGAGACCATTTTTTCAAGAGCACCCACCCGATTCCGCCTAATCCAACAAGTGCGAATCTAGAGCCGCTTCCTGGGTTGTTTTGAGCGATCTTTTGATCGATTTTATCAAGAATCGTTCCCTGAGTAACAAAATCTGGATCCCTAGGGAACGGAACAGTGGATACAGGAGAGAGAATTGAATGTTGAGAATGTTCTAAAGAAAAACTATGGATCAGCCCGCGATATCTATTCGAAGTTTTCTGAGCTTACCCGGATGCATATAAATATGCGTATTGATCGGGGGCATTATTGATACCAATCTGCTGTCCCGAATTGCCGTCCCGAATTGCCGTCCCGAAATAAGATAGGTCCCATAGTGGCACAATATGTATCATGTGCAGGTCATTTCTTGGGAACGAAGTCGGAGGATTGAGGGGTATTTTCTCGGGCGCGTATTATAATTTGTTTTTCTTCTCATGCATATTAGCGCTGCTATCCAATGGGGGCTTCTTCCACCACCCAATCGGTTCTGCCCTCATATTGGGGAGTACACTAGATCTGTGTATGAAATTTATCACCTTCGACATAAGTATGTTAGTTAGTAATAGATTATGGTATTTGAAAGATCCATAGTAAGGTTATTCTCCCACACTTTTTAAGGCTGACGGTTTTAATATTTGGCCGATTATCATTGAAATCGAGAATACCCTTCACTTTCCTGGACTCCACAAGCTCAATCCAAGATTGAGTCACTCAATATGACTTTCCAAACTGCAAACTGTTATGATATACACTCCATATGAGAGGGCATGTCTAATAGAAACACCCACCGGATCAAGTGTCAGCAAGAGAATTCCCATAGCTGACTAGAAATTTCATCTAAGATTCCGTTCTGCTTCTTCGGCACCCTTGTACGCTCGATGTACTTAGTAGTAACTTCAATCGTCAAACCAGCGAGGTACTATCGGCATTGCTTTACGTTATAGAATATAGTGTATACATATACCATAGTGACTATACTTAGGTAGTACATAATTCAATGTTCCATGGTTAGCGTGGTGAGACTATTGTGTATAGTACTAGCAGTAGACAATGGTATATATAACTGGCAAAGGTATGTGAAATGAGTTAATAGGAGGACATGACTTGCTTTGGATATCTGGTTAAAGGGGTAATTTGAAACTAAGAAGAGAAGACACAAAGGGGAAAGCCTTTTGAATTCAATCAGCAGATAATGAAATTCTAATCGATTTCCATTTAATACTTTCACTTTGTTTCCACTTTGTAGTTTTGTTTGCTGGCGATACACTTCGGAGAAAGGATGATCCGGGCTCGGCTTCGCCAAATTTGGAAGCTTCCATCGCGGAGGATCGAAGCAGCTTCAAAGTTCAAGTTCAAGTTCAAGTTAACTTCACCACATTCAGACTTGAATACCCACACATCCCAACCGTCGCCATGCCCGGTTCACTTGCCGATTACCTGGCGAAAAACTACCTCAACGCCGACCCAGCCACAGAACGACCGAAGAAGAAGCGCAAGAAGACCAAAACCACCGATGCCTCCAACGGCCTCATCATCGCCGACGATGACCCTCCAGATTTACGCAACATGTCTACAAAGACCGGTGATGACGACGAATACAACCCAACCCTAGATACCTCCTTCAAATCAGCCGAATTCCGCCGCACAAAGAAATCGACCTGGACGAGCGTTGGCGGGCCCGCGCCCGGCGCGGATAATGACCAAGCCGCCGCCGACGCGATTCTCGCATCTGCAGCTGCAGAGCGGGCGGCACGGGAATATGATGATAATGAGGAAGGGGCTACACTGGTTGAAGAGGAAGATGAGGGCGGACCGAAGATGGAGTCTGGAGTTCGCGGAGGTTTACAAACGGCAGCGCAGACGGCGGCGATGGTAAAAGCGCAAGAGAAGAAGAAAAAGGTCGAGATGGCTAAATACCAAGACCCCGCTGCTGCAGATTCAGGCTCACAGGAAACGATCTATCGTGATGCCTCGGGGCGAATTATCAATGTTGCCATGAAACGTGCGGAGGCGAGGAGGGCGGAGGAAGAGAAGAAGCAGAAAGACGCGGAGGAACGCGAGGCAGCTATGGGTGATGTCCAACGACAACAAAAGGAGACTCGGAAGCAGGAGCTTGAGGAGATCAAGTCTATGCCTGTTGCGAGGACGATTGATGATGAGGCTCTCAATGATGATCTCCGGTCGCAAGCTCGCTGGAACGATCCTGCTGCGGGCTTCTTGACAAAGAAGGCAGCGCCCGGTGCGAGTGTCACAGGGAGACCTTTATATCGGGGTGCATTTCAACCGAATCGGTATGGGATTCGGCCGGGACATCGGTGGGATGGGGTGGATCGAGCGAATGGGTTTGAGAAGGATTGGTTTGCATCGAGGAATAAGCGGGATCGCATGGAGGCGTTGGAATACCAGTGGCAGATGGATGAGTAGGGGAGAGACGGGATATGGTGTGGATATACATGTAGTGTTGATATACTAGTATTAATGTTGGAATGATATGCTGGTGCTGGTGGTACTGGTGGGCGCTGGCGTCTACAGTCTACAGTACAGTCTATAATCTATTGTCTCTGTTCTCTTGTAGTATGTGATTAGTCTTGCATTGTACTGCAACCTACTGCAATTTAGTATTTAATAAATAATACATTCTCTACCAATATAAATCATGAATGCAGTGTAGTACTAAGAGTGTATACTCCCGTGCAGTCACGTTGCCGCGGAGGTGATGTTTACCCAAACAAAACTTCTCCCCACAATTCAACTTCAACTTCAACTTCAACCTCCTCCCCTCCACCTCCCCCTCCACTGCAGTCCACACAATGCAGTCCAGAACAGCTGAGAGTCCGATGGAATTCGAGTGGCAACATCGCCAGCCTGGTGATGCCAGCTCCGGGTTTCATCAGGTCGCTCTGCAGCATGAAAACAAGAAGCGTGCGCCTTTCATCCCTCCCCTCCCATACATTCTATTCCATTCTATTCTATGCGCCTTTGGCTTTGATAAGGGTCATTGCTAACAAACATCCCATTGTAGGCACATACAGCGCATTTGGTTCTCCTGAGAAGACAAAAGTCCCCGGTCTCCGCGCCCCCAATTCGCATCCTTTCCTTTTCTCTCAACAACCGGCTTCGCCCTCACCCGCACCCTTCACCTCGCAAAGCTCTTCACAAACCCCCCCGATTTGGCCAGTCAGCTTGGACGACACCGCGCAAACCTGCTGAGATCGATTTCTCCTCCGGCGCAGAGAACTTCTCTTCACCCGAAAACGCAGACAACGAAGATACCCCAGAGCAGCCATACCGACACGAACGGCAAAACTCCCTGTTCAATAACCGCGGACGCTTCGCTCCCAACGCCAGTCCGGGTCGCGGAGAGATTCGCAAGAATCACTATTCCGGCGCTGTTGCCCGTAGGGTGTTCAAGAAGAGACAACGAGATAAAGAGATTGGCCGACGAGTTCGTGTGGATAGCGACGACGACAGTGACCGACCCAGCAGTAGCGAGGGGCTACCGGGCAAAACGAACAATCAGAAGAGATATTCAAAGAAGCGCGACCAAGCAACGAACAGCTCCGCCTTATCACAATTATTCACCTTCCTCGAATCACACCCAAATATGCCAAGCATCCTGTCTTGGTGGGCGCAGCTGACGCTCAACGTATCCATCTTCTCGATGGCTGTGTACGTCGTTTGGTCCGTCTTGCAGTCCATCCGCGGCGAATTCCAGCATATGGCCGAACAAGAGTCAAGTGGGATTCTCACAGAGATCCACGATTGTGCTAGGGATTACCTGACCAATGGATGCGAGAGCCCGAATCGCGCACCCGCGTTGAAGAAGATTTGCGATGGCTGGCAGGTCTGCATGGATCGCGACCCGGCCAAAATCGGCCATGCGAAGTTATCGGCGGCCACCATGGCGACAATCATTAACTCTTTCATCGAGCCAATTAGCTGGAAAGCGGTGGTACGTGGTGCTGTAACTGTAGCTGCAGCTGCAGCTACTGCTACTCGCAGTTCCCCCCACTATAATGCAGATCTTCGGCTAACTTCTCCTTCTCGTATCAGATTATCTTCCTGGTTGCCATGTGTGTCATGACAGTTGTCAGCAACTGGTCCCTTTAGCGCGTTTAGAAACAACCTTAACAACCAGCAAGGGTATATGCAGCAAGCAGGATACTCCAACTCCTCTGATATGAATAGAATGTACCACCCGGGACTGCTCCACCACCACTCGATGCCCAACTATGGGTTCCCTCCACAACAGCAGTCGCACCAGCTCGCACCGTCGTCCGCCGCAGATGCCGAAAAGGAAAACATGCCCTTGAGACTTGAAGCGCCGAATATGGATTTCGTCACGGAACGCAGTCGAGATCGCGAGGCCCACCTCCGCTCGCCGAGCCCCTCCAAGCGGACCCGTCAGTTCTCGTGAGATCAACATGAAATTCTTAATTGGATAGGCGTCTTTCAATTGTGTTTTCCTTTTCCCGTCCGTGGTTGGGATGGTCGCATAGCCGGTGGATTTTATCGGAATGGTTCGGGTTGGTTGGGCTCGATGGTCTTGGTCTTGGGCTTGGTCTTGGTGTTCTTTTTATCGGTCAATACTTTTCAGAGTCTTCCCATTCGGGTGTATTTTCTTTTCTTGTATTTAGCATTCTTTGCCGAATATCCATTTGGTCATGGCCTAACATTTACTTTCCTTGACTCAGTCGGATTGCAGTGCAGTTGTGTATAGCGTAGCGGGATGACCCTGGGATACATGGGCATAAACACAATTATCTTCCGCATCGACTATCCCTTATCCTCAAATTAGTATCAGAAAGCCTCGAAATAACAGCAGAAGATGATCCGCGGCAAACATCGCCAACTTACTACTAGTACACCATATCTACTGACGAAGCATAGGAAAAACTCGAAGAACGCCGAAGCTTTCCCGACAACAATTCACAACCCAAAACACCCCAAACAAATCTCGGCCAACTCAGATATATCTCAAAAAGAAATTTGAAATAGCTCCACTATTAACTACAAAAAACTACCTACAACGCAGCATGGCCGACTCCGCCGATGGCCGAGCCTTGGCAATTTTGCCGCCGCAACCAGAGAAAATCCTCGGCATCGGCGAACTCATCGCCCAACCAGATTCACGAAACCATGAAATTTTTCCGCCCGAACCGAGAGCATGATTGGGTCGTTGTTTGCATATCGGTCTGACAGCTCTCGGCATCCATATGCGCCACTGCAATGCCGCGCCGTGCCGCAGGGTGCCGCTGCACATGTCGTCTCGCCCGTCGGCGAATTTTTATATTCGGCATCGCATGGCAGCGCATGGCGTGCGAATGGATGGAAACGTGCAGGCGAGCCCCGAGAAAGATGATGCTTTCAGATGAACCAGAGGGTTGTGAAGGTCGGGCGAAGTGAAAAGTTTTCGTTTGATTGCGATAGATCCAGGTATAATAAGCTTCTATTGTCCTGATTTTGATGCTTTTTATTTGAAGGTTTATCTACACTTTTAATCAATACGCTCGCTCTGATCTTCTCACCAATCATCCTCATTCTACTACTACTAGTACACTTTATACCGCTTACTTCAATTTACTCCCGCCCATCATCCACCAAATGCACCACGAACCCAAAACCGATGTCGAAAATAACACCCCCTACCCAGAGGGCGGCCTCCAAGCCAACCTAGTCGTAGGCGGAAGCTTCAGCTCGATCATGGGCGGCCTGGGCCTAATGAACAGTATCGGAATCTACCAAGCCTGGATATCAACCCACCAACTCTCAACCCTAAGCGCAGGCCAAATCGGGTGGATCTTCGGAATATACAATTTCATGGTCTTCTTCTGCGGTATTCAAATCGGTCCTATCTTCGACGCTCGCGGGCCACGATTACTGATGTGGATTGGTTCCGCGCTGATTATCATCACCTTCGTCGCTATGGGCTTTTGTACCCTCTACTGGCATTTCCTCGTCGTTATTGGAATTCTGGGTGGTATGGGAACGAGCTTTATTTTCATTGTCCCGGTTGCTAGTATTGGGCATTTTTTCAATCGTCGACGTGGAGCTGCGACGGGTCTGGCATTATCGGGTGGAAGTATCGGTGGTGTTATTTTCCCACTTGTTCTTGAGATGCTTGCTCCGAAGATTGGATTCGCTTGGTCGACTAGGATTATTGGATTGATTACATTGGTCCTACTGATTCCCGGCGTCGTTCTGGTGAAGGCGAATCACCCGCCTAAACCGCCCTCGCCGCCGTCGGCGAAGGTCTTTTTGCCTGATTTGACTATTTTGAAGAATCCTGTTCTGGCATTTACCACGTTGGGTGTCTTTTTTATTGAGTGGGGGTTCTTTATCCCGCTTGAGTACGTCGCTTCGTATGCTCTTGCTAGTGGGATTGATCGGAGATTGTCTTATATGATGGTTGTGTTTTTGAATGCGGGTTCGTTTCCGGGGCGCTGGTTGCCTGGCATTCTGGCTGATAAGATTGGTCGATTTAATACGCTGCTCTTGACGAATATTCTTTGTCTGGTGTCTGTTTTGGCGATTTGGATGCCGGCCGGTGGGAATGTTGTTGCTGTTATTATTTTCTCGGTCGTCTTTGGTTTCGCCAGTGGGAGTAATATCAGCCTTGTTCCTGTCTGTGTTGGGGAGTTATGTCCCGTTGAGAATTACGGGCGCTATTATACGACGGTTTATACCATTGTCAGCTTTGGGTGAGTCTAATATCCCGCCTCTCTTGAGTACTTATGTCCATGCTAATGCTAACATGTTTTGCAGTGCTTTGACAGGTGTTCCCATTGCAGGAGAAATTCTCCACCGCTGCAATGGCGAGTATTGGGGTCTAATTGCTTTTGCTGGCTGTGCTTATGCTGCTGGCATTGTCTGTTTCTCGGTGACAATGTGGCTGCGACGGAAGGGGGTGAAGAATTGAATTGACCCATGTTGGTTGTGTTGGTGATGGTGATGATTATAATGACAAAAATAGATTTAATGATAAAATCGATAGCATGAATAGACAGCAATTGCATCCAACACGTTTCTCTCCTCACAGTCCTTCCATACGCTGCCTGTATCTCCCCGCACGACCCCGCACTCAATCACGGCTTCCCCGCACACACGGGCCGATCCCGCGCTGAACCGATCAGGCAAGCATCGACTTTACTTTCCTCGAATGATTGCAGGCAGCGGGGAGGTATCGACTACACTTACTAGCACAACGTTTTTGTATCATTATTTTCTGAAGTTTTTGAATGAATACCTTCCTGTTACGATAGCTTGAACAAGCACGCAATGCTATTCGACTGATCAAAATCTCCTCATTGGAGGCACCGGGCTTGCCAGCCGGCCAATTCTCCACTCTCGGGCGATGCTGCCGGGACTCAACATCCTCATGAGGGAAAGACACGCGCCAGGACTTCCCCTCGGGGATGCGGCCG